TTTAACTCTGATCCAATTCGACTTATTCAATTTCTTTGGTGGATGAATTGGTGCTCGATTTTGTGTATTGACTTTGTAAAAGTATACATGTTCCATAACTGCGTGGGGTGGCTAGGAAGTGACAGGAAACGTGCGATTTATTATGCAATATCAAAGATTCAAGAAGATTCAATTTGTGTCCTGTCTCCACTGTCAAAATCCATGATGCATGCGGATTTCTCGACGACTTATGCATGCATGCATGGATGTATATGAAACTGCAAAATTTCCTCTGTGGAAAATGGAATGCTTGAAATGCCGGTTAGTTTTGAAGGTTTGGCATGTAGTAGCGGATTCTGACATAAAATGACATCACGCTTACCACGAAGGTCGTTTATAATCCTCGAATAAATTTCGGCTGGCTTTATATAAATCATGTTTACGCGAACTGTTATTGACCAAGGGATTAAAATTGATGTTTGGGGAGTCGCTTATTTTTTGTCTTGCTAGGAAATATTGAAATATTAGTGGGAACTTTGCTTCAAAAAAGCAAAGTATGCGATGGGCAGGAAAGCAAAAAATCTCGTCCCTCGTGTTAACATTTCTACAGGACTTGAAACCCTTCGTATTTTCAGCAGAACTGAATTGCTTGAATTTCTGCTGCTTCGTGATTTCTCTGTGAATTCATGTATCATCCTTTCTCTTCCTCGTCGAGAATATATCTTGGACAGTTTGAGACCAGAAAATCCGGAGGAACACATTTCCAGAATTTTAAGGCCACAGAGAAAACACATACATATACATGCCAGCAGTCATCCTCCCGTGTCACATATCGCCAACCAACACCAATCCTTCTGACAAGAGCAAGTCAGCAAAATTCACAACTAAAACAGAAACTATTTGCCCCAAAATTTCCAAAATGCGTTTCACAATTTACGTAGATAGACAGACTTTCCTTGCGAAATGATTTTGGTTGGAGAAAGTGAGCTGAGGGAATTAGAAGGGAATTTCGTCCTTGTGGTTCTATTTTCATTTCAGTCAAATTCTAAATCCCTTTGCATCCCGGACTTTCCGGCTCAAGTCGACCATGCAACTCAAGTGGAAGTAAGTTCACTTTTTGAATTTTGAGGCTCCCTTCCTTCTTCTTATTCTCCACCGTTCATTTATCCTTGTCGAGGAGAAAGTGTCGTTTCGTGACCTTTACGATTGCATTTTCACTACTATTGTTGTTCAAGAAGTTGGTTGGATGAGATTCCATACATATGAACGAAGAGAGTTGTACATACGCAGTCAATAGTTGAATGTTCTCGGCGGAAAGTTTTTTTTATAAAAAATAAACGATTGTTTGTGACACGATATGTATTTTGTTTCACTTTCTTTGTATTACTTTCTCCGCTCCGATTGATGTTGGCTAAGTGAATGATGGATCGAGAAGAAATGTTTGTTTTAGGCCTTTTAAGACGGCCTTATAGATTTACCAAGATGTCTGTCTGTCCGTCCGTCTGTGCGTCCGTCTGTGCGCACGATAACTCTCTTTAAACACAAGCTATCGACTTGAAATTTTGCATACTTCATCTTCGGGTCAAAAGTAAGGATGAGTTCGGAGATGGGCATGATTGGCCAAGTAGTTGGCCAGTGGGGGTCTTTTCCACCCAAATGTGTTGCCATTAACTACCAAGATGGTATTAATGCCATCTTAAAAGGCCCCGCAAAGTTGCTTGGAGTAGGTTTTTCTCATTTTCATTAAACGAATGACGGAAACGTTATTGGTCTGTCTCACCAAGAAAATCTCAGATTGCCCGTTCAAACCAATTATTTAGCAATTTGAAAACAATTCACTTTCATATTACATTTATTGCATTGGACAATCGTGATGACAAACTAGTCTCTTGTGCATAGCAGAAAATGATGCAGAATCTGAGTAAAAATTCCAGTAAAAATTCCATGAATTACTGCAGCCACGTTGTTCCATTGTTCTCTGAAAACTGAAAATAAGACAATAGCCCAACCCAAGTTAAATAAAGTGTGTAGTAAAAAAAAAACATATATAGCCGAATTTTTTGTCATGATTAAAATTCCAGAGAACAGATTTATGTTATGTATGTGTAAAAGTGTGATATACTTTCATACACAACTTTCACCGACCGAAATAGTCTCCGAAATCACACCAAAAAGACAGAATTTATTACAGTTTATTTTTCTGTGTGTGTGTACATTGCGTTAGTGGAAAATGGTTCACTGAAGAATTACAAAGCCCGTATTTTTGAAATGAGGAGACACACAATTTCTACTTTTCTGGCTAACGTGTCTCTCTCTTTTTCTTCTTTTATTATCCACAATTTACAGCTGTGCTTTCTTTTTTAGGATTTTCCCCATTTATTCACGAGATGACAAATTGCTCCTCATTTTCACCCTCATTAGTATCACCACCACACCACAGCAAAAGCAAGCCTGGTATAAATGGCTAGGGAAGAGGAGTGTCATGCCAGAGGGGCCGTGGTGAAGTGGATACTTTGGAATGTCTCCCCAAATTGCCTGCAGTTTAGGGCACAAACAAATACGCTCTCATTTTTGGCAGAGAAATGATATTATTATGAAATAATACCATTGTTTTCATTTTTGTCAGAGGCTCACAAAAAACAGCGCGACCACTTATTATTACACTTCTTGGGCAGCAATTTTTAATATAAAAATATTTACTAACGATATTTACGAAGAAGAAAATGAGACAAATTTAGCCGACAAACTCGCTGATAAGTAATTCAGGTGCATTAAACAAATCACTACATACAAGATTTAACTACATGAAGTAACATTTTCCTCCATTGTTCACAACAAGCTTTGAAATTCTGCGTGAATGAATGAATCCGCTACTTTACTCAACTTCTTTTCTTTTGACTTTCAATCCTCTTTTGTTGTCAGTGGTGGTTTGGTTACTTGGTTCCATTTCATCTCTGGAGCAGGCTTCCATCCAAATTTGTAATGCAGTGTGTAATACAAGATCTGAGATTGAGTCGAGATTCATCATCATCCATTCAAGCCAAAAATCTTAAGAAATATAAAACTTCTTAATTTCCTTCCCAGACCAGACCAGAGCTTTCTCCTACACTCACTTCACTCTTTCGCTCGCTCGAGTAGTGTGCCCATCAGATGGAATAAGTAAGACGCTTTAATGGAGTATCAGGATTTGCCGATAGACTTCTTACTTTCCTCAACAACATGATATTCTTATTCTTTATTGAATAATAGTCTCCGAGGGAAAAGTGTGCATGGAGGAAGAGAACTCTTGTTGTGGTTCGATCTTGGTTTTGGCAGGAGCTCAAGGCGACTTCAGTTTTGCTTTGATTGTGGATCTTCTTATCATCCGGGTTGGATGTAGACTTTATCTATGTAAGCGGAGTGAGTGGGTTGGATGTTTTGTTCTTCCAATACATGCGGCAGATGCTCGGAATTATATAATTTTCGGAAACAATGTTCTAAACCTAGAAATTGAGCAGGGTAGGAATCAATATCTTGATTAGTATTTATTCAGCTTACTTAACTGCATACAAAGCTGGGTAAAAAGTGAAAGGTTTATTTTAAGAAATATCTACCTTAAGAAGAAACTGAATTTGTATTTGGCAAGGACTTTCGGTCGTGGTTTTCTAACTATAGTTTTCTTTCTCAGAGCGAGTAGTTTAAAGTCTGCCACAACGGTGATCAGGAATCAAGAAAGGAGGACATCCAGGAAGACTTTCAAGTGTGATTTTATCTCTATACTTAATGGGAAGTCAAACTCGAGAGGAAAGTCTTGAGAGCTTGTGTGACGCAATTTTCAATGTCCCAGTAATTTCTACTCCCTCGAAGAATCTTCCCAACTTATCTCGCATCTGACTTCTTCTCCATCATCCGGTGGTGGTCGTATGAAGAGATAAATTTTGAGCTTTATTATGACGCTCTGTCTGACTTTTGTTATCTAATGTTTCTAACCTGGTCTTTTACGACTTGCTCGATCCTACTCCTCGTAGTAAATTTGCAATGCTGAAATCATACCCAACTTTTCCTATCAGGTGAAATCAGCTTGGAGCAAAAAGCAGAAAGTTTATGACCAATTCGAATCAGGACAATCGGCGTCGTAAAAAGTGATTATATTTATACGCGACACGTGCGTTAACCACAAAGAAAGGTGTACATTAATGAGTGTAATTAACGTGCATAATAAAATTCCAGTGTGGTTTTGGTATCAAATACTGACAACGGATTGGAGTATGGAAGGATTTTCAGTGGTTGTCATCATATATTGATTTACCAAACTGACATCATAGACATGGAATTTTCATGGAAAGCCTATGTCCCTAAGTTTGACCTAGTCTTGCGTAAAATCCTCTCCTGTCATACATAAAAATAAGGACAATCCCGCATTTCTAAGGATTTTGAAAGATTTCCCATTCGTCGTATAGAGTTTAATTATTTACCTGTACAGGTCTACCAACCAAGAACTTTTACCATCCACTTACTCAACTACGTACACACCGATCGTATGTCTGTCTCTGTTTTAAGGACAAGTTCTACCTACAGGTCTCGAGTGAGTAGTGTCTGCTTAAGCCCAGCCAGAGACCAAACTGCGGACGAGATGAGATGAGAGGATCCACTTGAAACGTTCTCAAGTGCACTTTCTCCTTCCAACCCATCTGCTTTTCTACTTCATCTCCAGGACAATCAAGTTCGTACGAGATTATGCGGAAAGGATGTCACATTGAAGGCGTGTAATTTCATTGGCAAACACGTCCACAAACAATTCAACTGTCTCACACAGCTTGGCGCAGGCTCTAAATAATCCTCTAATTGTGACGTGAAAAAAGTAGAGCTTTTCTTTAACCTTATAAAAACTAATTAATTTTGACCTGGATACCATTTAAAAACGGAATTTAAAATGGTTTCTATTGCTCTTGAGGGCGGACTTTCTGGGGTGCAAAATACCATTGAGACCGAGTTGTGGGGCGGTGATAAAATCAGTTGGGGACTGAATTAATGCAAACCGATTTTGAATATTCTGCTTATGCAGTTTTGATTTATTACGAACCAAGAACTGATTCGCGAACAATAATTAGAACATTATACACTTTTTGAACATGAAATTTCAATTATAAATCAACAATATAACTGAGCCAAATGGCACACACTATAAATTTTTGACATGACAGTGGGATTTGATTTTCATAGTAGTACAACAATTAACTAAACGAACAGTAAATCATCATCATTGATGACATTACTATCATGATTTTGGGATGCATTATATATTTCAAACAAGTTATTGTAATCGTAACGTGGTGAATTTTGTCCAGTGTTCTGTGACTCGTTGCGATCCGCTAGTGGCACTACTTGCTGCGATACCTGCTGCTGCGATAACTGCAACTATTTGTGAATACACTACATAAATTCTCAGCAAAGATAAACAGCATGTTCTCGACTTACCATTTCGTCATGATAAAATTTGAAACAGTTGAAGACGCTGCTACCAATGCACAAACGTTTCTCGCAAGCAAGGCACTTGAACTGCGTAATCGTCCTCTTCCCCAATTTTGTTTTGCAGTGGAAACAATCGGATTTGCTTGGGTAACCGTTTTCTTTCATAACTCGTTCTGGAATATGCATATTCGCTAAGGGTACTGAGACACGGCTTTGGGAAGGTCTTCCTCTTGGCTTCCGTGCTATGGGGAACTTCGTGAGAATGTTGTGGATTATTGATTATTGACCAGTATTCTTTATAAGATGATTTTTTAACAAGCGTCATGGCCAAAATAAGAGATAGAAAGCGCCAGATATTAGCAGCAGTGACTGGGGTCCAACCAATAAATGCACGGAGAGAGGTTCGCTTCACTTGCTCAGCGTATCTGTTCGACTCCACAGCTATCTTTTCGACCATGGAGTCATCAATGAATTTTCTGAGAATGTCTAGAGATGTTCCAAAGTGGTGGCGAAAATCATCCTTTACTTGATCATCTGGACCTTGGAATTATGCACGGGTGGACGAAATTCTTCATCCCAGTTTATGGTTTCATCCTAATAAGTAGAGCAAGGTCATAATCCGAGGAATGGTCACAAACGAAAAGAATATTAAACCTCGTCAATATCGCTGTCAGACTCGTCCTCAGCTTCAAAATCATCTTCTGAAGCAGCGTCGTAGTAGAGGTCGTCGTCATCACCTTCCGATATTTGCATAGCCATGATTTCCAAAAGTTGAGAGTACCTGTTGAAACGTGAAATAAATTTGAGTCGATATTCGAGGAATATTTAACATTTATGCACATACATATTACAACAAAATATACAACACTTATTGGATATTTTCCTATCTTTTCTGGAATTTTGGCTGGCTGTATGTTCAGCACGATGCAATTACTCCCCCAATTACAGCTCTCCCCTCAAAAATTGCAGTTCAAGCGTGAAGAAAGTCCAACGATAAATAAGGAGGAAAGAATGGAGCAGCTGAGAAAATTTTCTCCGTCACTTTATTTTTATTTTTTTCCTACACCTTATTGATGTAGCCCGGTCTCAACGGAATTCTGTAACCATACACCTTATTGGTGGAATCCGTCGTCAACGAGAAAAAGTTGGCCTACACCTTATTGGTGTAGTCCGTCGCCAAGGCGAAAAATTTGGCCTACACCTTATTGGTGTAGCAGGACAGGGTTTGAGTTTGACAAATAGTTGTTTCTTCTCTATGTTTGACCAGTCCAGCATTTCAAACCGGTTGTCACTTGATCATTATCGCTGGACATCAACCTTTCATTATTTGCATTGCATTGGTTGGTGGTGTCAACCAGAAAAAAATTGTCTGACATTAGAATTTCAGACAGCAGTGTCTGCACATTTTCTTCTTGAGTTGAGTATAAAACCAAAATTGTTACAATTTCAATTTATCTGTAGTTTAATCACGCCGATTGTGAAAAATTTTGTTGTTTGACATTAACCAAAGAATATCCAGATATAGACGCTCCCAAATTTGAAGGTATGTGAGTGAGATTCTCCAAATTTTAATAATTTACAAGATTCATCAACCCATTCTTACGTATTATACTCACTTTTGAGACCCATAATGGCCCATCGTCACCTTACGACTCACTCCTCAGATTAGGAATGAAACATTCACTTTTAATTATTTCAATTTGGCACTGACTCTGTCCTCCCATTTCCATTATCGTAATCATACCGAATGTCATCTTACTTTGTAGGAACTGTGGGCACTTATCTTAACAGCGGGGGTATTAAATGTTAATGAAACCTATTCCAGCCCGACTATTCCGGCCAGTTGTCTCAGCAGACTCGTCATTTTAACCTTATTATATACCCTGTGAATTACCACCATTAACTTTACAATAGCTGAAAGTGAGCAATACTCATATTAGGAGACAAAGACTCGCACTCACCATTACGTAAAAAAATTTGGCATGATTTGTTTCTTCTCCTGACTTGACGAATTCCATTGTCAGTTGGTGAAAATAGGGTGAAATTCTTCTCAAGTATGTATCGTAAAATTTACGGAGCCAAGGGACAGCATGGCACCATATAAATCTAAACGGGGGCATTTATCTCGAGAATTTTCATGGCTGGGGTCGATTGGGTTCGCAGCCAGGTTTTCAAGCCCTGCTTACATATGACATGTACACGAATATTCAAGTCTGCTGTATGTACATTACGCGTGTTATATAATACTCTTCTTGGCCTAAATTATTATTGCAGTGCAGATTTACAACCTCCATTTAAGCCGTAAGAGAGAGAGAGGGTGGTGTGCTGAAGAATTATGGGGTCGCCATTCCCGTTAAGGTAGCACATGGCCTAAAGTACTTTTACTCGTACTTGACGACGACTAGGAGCGCCTTGTGACGTAGCAAATGTCACCCCCAATTTTCTTGACAGGATCAAGAGACAGATTGTACACCCTTCTTCTTCTTCAGAAGCTTAGCAGAGGTCGAGGACTGTTTGAGGCCCAAATTACACAATCCTGTAATAAATTATGCCTGTCAGAGGCCATTTGTGAAATTTAGTTTAGATTACGAAAATGCAATGCTGACAGACGCTGCTGTGGTGTGGTTAAGTCCCTCGGCATTCAGATAAGTACTTAGTTAGAAGACGTCTTTGTGCTGGCAGTATGGTGATGATGATGACGAATGTAAGATCAAGTGCCGAATTTCCATTTTATCAGCGGCAGCATCCTTCTCGTAGAATGAATACGAGTTAATCCCGAATTTAATCCTTTTCCTTGCTTCCGGTTGACAGGACAGGTTCCGGTCTTTTATTCGGGCATAGTAGGACTTATCAAATGAGAAGAACCTGACCTGTAGTGAGCTCCTGAAAAGCTCGTTCGTGAATTCCACGAAAGTGGAATGTTTAACTTTGTAATTTAATTAAGTGTTGTGTCTAATTACGATATACTTGGAGAGTTGTTGGGAAAACAGCGGGCAGAATTAAGCCTTTCTATACATACATACATACAACTATTTCTGCTTATTTGCAACAAATTTTAGGACACGACGGGTAGTAACAGGACGACAACCAAATTAAAGTCGTGGTAGTCGTGACGGTACTTAGGGCGAAACGAGGAGGAGTATTAGCCAACCAAATTATCGTAGTCTGACTGAGAGAGAGAAAACGAAGAAGAAATGAAAGAATGGAAACTTGATACATCTTTTCTTGCTAGATTACACGAACCAGTGACTCAACTGACAAGGATTCAATTAACAGAGTTAGTAGCTTCATCCTTATAAATGAGGGGACTTTCTCCTCCAAACTGACACAAGTGGCAAGTCGCTCGGCATATAAGTACAGATCTCATTTTATAAATTATCGCACAGCTCAAACTTTGACATCGGATTGGATCTCCATTTTTAACTAGGTCTCAATCTATTTACCCGCAAAATGACTTACTCCTCATTTTATAAAGAAATTCTCCGAAATTCTGTGTAAGCACCGAATTTCTAAAGTTGGTCGCTTCTCTTCTCGAGAGAATTACTTTATCCATGCGGGTAAACTCTTCACCCTCTTTTTTTTATCTCGAACCGTGTGTGTAAGAACTCTCTCATGTTATTCTTTGATGTGTCTCAACTGCATTAAGAAAAGTGCAACGTAACGTTTAGGCTGCATCCGCTTCACCACTTTTCCTTGATTTGATCCTGATACAAATGGGAACAGCATTATCATCAAGGGGAAAAATAGCGTTGGAAGAAGACAAATGCCTCCAGAGTCTGAGACAGACCGGGATTGATCTAGCGCACATTTTAGATCTTGGTGGACAAGCAGAAGGAGAATGTGGAGACGCAGTGGAACTTTTGAACACCCTTGATGGTAAGCAGGAATTGAAGGAAATGTAACCAACGAAAATCTTGATTGCTCTAAACACAAGGATTTGCAAGTCAGTGGAGCACAAGAAAGCTCTTAATCCTTCCGCCACCTTAGAGTTTTCCCTCCTTATTCGAAACCCTCTTTCTCCCCCAAAATCCAACCAAATGTAAAATTTCACAGTGCCTTGTTCTCCGTCTATCAGAAGGAACAAGAAGTGGATGTGATTTATTTTCAAAATTCTCTTTAATTCATTCCTACCACCACAACTGCTAATGCATGTTTTGCTAATGAGCCGCCGCCTCTCCCCCGAAATTTATGCAGCTCTGGTTGCGCCATGCTTACTAATCTGGCCGGGTTTTTATATACCAAACCGACCACCGCCGCCACCCGGGTAATTAAAATTTGAAACTTCTTGCAGGTAAAAGAAGTGAATTTAACGTTGAGGTTAATCCTTTAAATTATGGAGAATCCGTAATTTCCAAAAGTGAAGGAAATCGTAACTCTGACGAGAAGAGGAAGGATAAACCACACAGGGTTATTCGCTGCATGGAGCTGAAAAGCAGAGAAAGTGCGAAAAAGTCCTTCTGCAGTAAGAAGACTGCTGCTTCGCGAGAAGATTTATTCTCCCAAGATGCACAATTTCAAGTAGTTTCGTCTAATTCCTTTCCTCATGAGACGACCGGTTTAACTTTAAATCCAGGCCGGGATGACGACGACCACTCTGACGACGACTTGGTCGGAACATTAAGACGAAGACTGAAGAGGTTTCCGTTTTATTTCCAGTCTTTTATTTTACGTTAAAAGGACGAAATTTTAAACTCAGCAGCCTCAATTGTGTTGAATTGGGGATTATACTTTGTTGTGGAGAAAAATGGGCTGGCTGTCAGCCGCTGTCTCAATCAGTCCTCTTGACGATGCAATTAGCCGTTACTTTGTGGTTGACGGTTGAGATTTACAGAGTTTTTTTTTCTCTATGACTGAGAATTATTTAAATGAAATTGAAGTTACAGTTTAAAAAAGAAAAGAAACTTTCAGCACTTATTTTCCAGATGATGTCTTTATCGAAAATACAATTTCAAGTCTGCCCAATTTTTCTTTTGGATGTTCATAAAATACAAGAAGTATGTAGTTACTTTCCCCATCTGCGACCTTAGGTGATTCCAACAACAACCTTCCCTCGTATAAAATGATATGCTCACTCACGTCGTTTGAAACCCATTCGAGTAAAATTTCAAAAGTTTGGCAATCTTAAAGATTTACTGATACCATTGATGTAGCAACTTTCACCATCAAATTATCAACCATGAAAGAACGATTTGCTTTTAGTCAGGTAAAGTAAAGCACCACGACTTCTTTACTTTTATCCCGATAATAATCTAGCTCCGATACTTGAGAGCTGAGTGAATAAGTGTCCTCTGCCCCTGAATTGGATTGTGTCGAGGTGAAAGCAATAAAGTGCTGGGAACAAGAATACTTCAAATGAACAACAACCCGCTGATAAAAAAAAATATTTGGAAAAAGTTTCACGAACCGAATTTCAACTAATGTGTCTCCCATTTGTTACAATTTCAGGACGACATGGCTCTCGATTTTCTTGGGTCAGGTGAGTTAGCGAGTGATGGGACAAATTGCAAGAAAAAATCAGTTAGAGCTAAATTGTAAACGACTTCTTTTTTATTATTTTAGGTGCTATCTGGAATTCTATGTGCTTCTGCAATCACAAGTGTATACCTGACAGATACATATAACATCCACGTACCCAATGGTAAGCACCCATAAGTTCTTATCTTACAATGCGATGGTGTGAAGTGTAACCCTCCGATTTGGCTGAAATTTTGAAATTAGGTGGTCCAAGTCAATACAACCTACGTTTCTTCAGCCAGTTTGTGCGATGGTTGGAGTTTCTCAAAATATTTGAGGTCAAAGTTGAAAAAACGGCCGACTTTTTTCAGGCGCAGTGAGAAAACTCCACTTCCATTCTCTTCCCCTCGCATTGATTTTATTCAGGTTTCTCACTCACACATACGCCTTCATACACAAGCATAAGTAGTGATGCAAAATAACAAAAATAAAACATTATTATTACCGCTTAAATAGGAATTAACAGGCCTTATACTCGCGAAATTTAATTCATAATTGAATAAGTGAGCTTTTTACTTCTTTGTATTAAAAATTCAGACAAACATTAATTTATAAATTCATCAACGGGAAATAAACATGGAAAAACTTACTTTCCATTTCGAAAGCGTTGGTTATTCTGATTTCCAATTCATTTGAAAACAAAGACCAAGACGCATGTGCAATGAATAATTAATGTTTTTCTATCATAAATTAAATTAACATTGATGAAATCTATAATTTTTCGGAGTTAAAATCAATGCGAGGGGAAGAGAATGGAAGTGGAGTTTTCTCACTCCGCCTGAAAAAAGTTAGCCGTTTTTTCAACTTTGACCTCAAATATTTTGAGTAACTCCAACCATCGCACAAACTGGCTGAAGAAACGTTAGTTGTAATGACATGGACCACCTAATTTCAAAATTTCAGCCAAATCGGAGGGTTACACTTCACACCATCGCATTGCTAGTACATAATCTGCAATAACCCACCACCCCCCGCCTTGGATTTATGACGCTCCTTGTTTCCTCCTCCCATTCATCAATTAATTAGCAACTAGTTCTTCGATCAAGTCATGTCTCGTAATTGGAAGAGGAAGTAAAGGAAGGCGAAGAAATAAGGAAAAAGACGTGTTTATCTCATTCATTAATTTTGATCAGCAAGTAGTCGAGGTGGTTGGTTGCATGTGTGCGACTCACCCACCAACCACTACACCATCAGTATTGAATGTGGTCGTGGTGAAAGTCATTAATCAACTCACTCCGGCGATGGTGGTGTGGGCAGTGGCCGCGGAAGCCGTGGGGGACATCGGGGGACATTAACATTGGGGAGAGAGGGGAGGGATGGGTTTATATAACATGGACATATGATGGGGAAATTGTCCCTATGTCCCCACGCTTCCGCGGCCACTGGGTGTGGGTACCCATCAGCCCAGTTATCACAGCACTATACTCCCTGTCGCTGTGGTGCATGGTTGAATCGGTGCGGAACGTATAATGTCACGAACTTTCTCCTTGTTTTGTGAATTGTGTGAAGTTTGGTTCCGCTGTATACGTGTCACACAAATATGAGGTTTGTGTGTGATGAAAGCAATGGAATGTAATGGTGGTTGGTTGGTTGGTGACTATGATTGGAATAGTGAGAAAGCAATTTCTTTTGTTCTTTTATTTCCAACCGGCACGAATATGATACCACCAGCAGACAGACGGAAGACCATTGCTCATCCTGGTGTGTGTGTGCGTTTGAAGAGACAAATAGCATTAGGAATAAATAAATAAATAAAATAAATGATGGCAAATGAGCGAGTGGGCATATTACTATATACTCGGTCTCATTTCTCATCAATGCATATGCAAATAGTGAAAGAGATACGACAAGGAATTCATAATTTCGATCAAAGTCAGGCCAGAAATTGTATTTGTAACGTTGGTGGAAATGAAGCCTTCTATGTAATTCGCCCCCATCCTCCAAAACACAAATGATAGTCGTACCCACCACAGAACAGTTTCATGAATAATTTTCCCAATCAAAATTAGCCAATCTTTCAACTGGCGCGACGTTACTTTGCTTTTTGGCTTTTGAGAATAATTTATGAGCGAATTTCGCCCCCCCTTTTTACATACCACGCTTTCTTCCCACATACCATTTCATTCACAATTTCTCTCTCCATGCAGCATTTGTGGTGCACTTTTACAAAAGATTTTCCTTTGCAAACCCTCCTTCCCGGCATATCTTTCTCCCGTTTCGCATAAAATAAAAAAGTGTGCAACGTAATGCCGAGATGGCAAAGATCATAAGAAAGGACGACACAGAGTTCAAGCAGATTTGGGTCTGGAAGCATCGATCTTTTTTTCTTTAAGAGCAGTTTGGGTTCTTCCTCCTCCTCCTCTTCTACGGAAAGAAAATAAAAGAAGACAGATAACATCAGATCGGATAAAGAATTGCGAGACCAATGGTGTGTGTGTGGTTCAAGTTATAGTTCTTCTTCTTCCTTCCTCGTATGTGGGGGGAATACTGGCAGTTTGGTGTGTGTCTCCTCTCCAGTGGCCGCGGAAGTGTGGGGACAATGTCCCCATCATCTCCCCATGTTACATAAACCCCTCCGTCCCCTATCCTACAATGTTAATGTCCCCACAGCTTCCGCGGCCACTGGTCTCTCCTCTCTCCTCCTTGTGGTGGGTGTGAAGAGAGGAAATACAGAACGACACGAGGAGTAAGAGAGAATGCATGCAGTCACACTGCTGAAATAAAAAAAATGGGAAAAGCTGTAAGCTTTTTGAACCGAAAAAATTCAATTACTCCCCACTGATTCCTGCTTCGAGAGAGAAAGCGACATGTACCACACTCCCCACTTCACATTCCCACGCTATTACCAACACACAGTCGGTGCATGGATGTATGCCGTAAAATTGCATGGATGGATATGGGAGAGGACGACACATTTTCCGAATTTCTTTCGTATTTATCCTGAGAAGACAAAGAGATCAGCAGAAGAGTCGTGATATTTAACTGTGTGCGGAATTTGCAAATTTTGAGGACAATTATTTTAATTATTTCTTGACGAGAGAATTTTGTTTTTGAGTATGCAATTTTTATTAAAATGTTTCCAGAGTCAGTAGGAAGGGAAGGCGAGGATGAAGTTTTATTTTTTCACATGAATGTATATACATACGTACCAAGCGGGACCAACAGTCCCAGTCCATCACGATCTTATTGACAGAGTGATTGATGAGCATCCCCAAAGTATATAAAGTACATTAATCTAAAATCCAACAATTTCTCTTTTACTTACTTACACACCCACCACTAATGCCACGCCACACACACCCTCCTCCGCCCAACATTGAATTCACATTACTTCTTCTCCTCGGTTTCAATGCTGGAGGAGGAGAAAAATCCGTGTGAAAAAGTTACCCAGTGTTAAAATACAGATTAAAAACAAGGAGAAAGTTTCCCAGAATGAAACCTTCCTTTTTCCGGGACATCAACAAACTTTGTGACTCCAGCTAATTTTGCCATTTCATTTAAAACCCATTGTCCCTCCGAAAACTCTTCTTGCTCCAGAAAACTTTCATGATGCTACAAACTTAATGAAAACTACGAATATCTTTCAATCTTTTCCAACAAACCGCCTTCCTTCCGTCGAAACATACTCACCCTCGCCATACACCATACACACAACTCTGCCTAGACAACATTCAACACAACCATTGTTTAATTAAATATCTCGCGTCACTCTCCCCACCACTCTAGCAGACCAGACTTGTCTTCTTCCTCCTCTACTGAGGAGAGACGAGGCGAGAATTAAGATTAGCAAGCGATTGAACTTTCTCTCCGTGGAAAAAGAGTCGCGATAGATATAGTAAAACCGGGAGCGAGAGAGAGAGTGCTAAATGTTGTTAACTGCTAAAGTTGCCGATAAGCCAAGAAAGATCTAGGATTTATTTCAGTGTCAATCCAAAACACAATTCTTGTTAACTCCTCAGTCACCACGAGCACCAACCAATACCGTGTAGTAAACCTGTATATTTACTGTATCCAGAGGAGATAAAGTTCTTTCTCTTGTACATTTTCGCGTGAAAATTCCTTCTTGGCGTAAGTAATGAGAAGTTGATGGCACCACACTTGCTAAGCTGAACATCCTGTGAGAAAGGAAATGGTAATTGGGACTAGAAATTAAATAGTCCTCCTCCTCCCTTGCCAACACTCCGATTCTGATTAAAAACGGGAATGTGCTCGCTCTCTCATTTATTAAAGGACACGATCTTCTTCTCGGGAAGAAGATCCTTCCCAGAATTTGCTACTCTTTTTAATCGTTCCTCCCTTAATATTAGTTCATCCATTGCATTGCGGATAATTTACTTGCGCAGAAGGACATAAATGTCGAAAGATTACGTAATCTTTTATGATTTTATGTATATACAGCTCAAAACTTTGCCTTCTACATAACACTGGCTACGATATTCACGACGATATTGGCGTGTCGTCCAGCCGAGAGGAATTTATTCCCCGTGCTTAAAATGCGAGGTTGGAAATATGCTCTGGTCGCGTTGGCCGATGCGGAAGCCAACTTTCTCGTGGTGAAAGGTAAGCAATCAATAGAGGACATTTTCCCAAAATGAAATTATGTTGAGAATACGAAAAAACACATTTTTTAACCAATTAAATAAATATTATCGTGTTTTTTACAGCCTACCGATACACCACCCTCACCAGCGTGCAGGTACGTACTTCCATACGATTGTAGTTTCTTCCTTATTTTCTCGCTGTCATCTCCTCCCCTGATTTATGGCCAATCTCTTGCGAGCCAAAAAAGAAATTGGGGTGGAAATGGTTTACTATTGGTTTCACTCCGAGGAGGAGAAAGCAGCATGTTCCGTTTAAACACCCGACGACGATGGCGATTGTCTCAACTTTTTTTCTACTTAATTTAAGAGCAACTGTATTTACAGTGGTCGTGAAGTTTTTTTGTTATGTGAACGAAATTCAAGGACATTGCTTTTTACCCACAGTTTAAGAACACCTAAAATTAGCTGTACGTTCAACCTGTCTCATGTCGCTCGGACCGTGTGTCTTTATCGTTTTACAGCTCTTGGATTGTTTTACGATACCGACCGTGCTCTCTTTGTCGTGGCTGGTGTTACGAATCCGCTATAAAGTTGCTCACATTCTCGGCGTGTCCATCTGTCTCCTTGGGGTTTGCTGCCTCGTTTGGGCAGATATTGAGGAAGGTCGACCTCTCAGCCATGGTACGTAACTTGTAGCAAAGAAACCACAATTTCCCAACCAAATCATTCATTCCGTTCCAATTACTTTCTCCTCTCTTCTTTTCTGAGGCGTGCTTCCATTTCAGTTGGAGAGATTACATAATATTTCTTTGTGTGTTTTGGTGGGTAAATAAAATAGGTAAAGACCGCTTCTTCGGGGATATGTTGTGCTTATCTGGTGCCTTTCTGTACGGGGTCTCAAACGTGGCTCAAGAGTTTGTGGTAAATATGTTGGTTTACTTTCTCTTGTGTAAATATTTTGGATATTTTTCTTTATCTTCTTGTAAATAAGGCTGAAATTTGTGTGGGCAAAATGTTACGTATCTTGGGATTAGTGCATTCAATGTCATTTATGTATGTATGTGCATAGGTCCATTCCTTCGACCTGGTCGAGTTCCTCGGGATGGTGGGTCTTTTTGGGAGTTTTGTGTCCGGAGCTCAAACGTGAGTTTATCTTTTAAATCCTGTTTTATTGGTGTAACAAGAAGAAGGGGCACCGAAAAAAATTTCGTCCACTTTGTCCAGGGTACTTTTGGAATACACCGAAGTGACAACTGCTGAATGGGGCGGAATCACTGGAATACCAGTCTTACTTTTAATGGGATTTGCTCTAGCCCAACTAGCTTTCTATGTGTTGGCCGCATTCGTGATAAAGTTAGCAGGGGCCACGTCCTACAACATCTCTATTCTCACGGCGGACTTTTACTCCCTCATCGTGGGAATTTATCTCTTCCAATATAAGGTAAGTATTTATATTCATTCAAAATTCCGTGAGGGAGAAAGTTCCATAAGAAACTAATCACAAAGATCAGATGCAAATTTCCTCCTCCGAAAGTACTTATTTTTCCCATTGAATGGTACAGGATTTTGAGAAGTACAATTTATGATCCCAATTAATATGCATGTCTCGCAATAACTATTGTATAATATGGAATCAATTCTTATCTACTTTCACCACCCGAAAATAGAGTAATTTTCCTTGATCGATGAAAATTTCGATGTGAAAATTAAATTCGGGAATTGCTTTTCCGGCAAATAAATTGCTGCTTTGAACGATATTGAAGTAGCATTCTTCGCTTCAAAAATGTTGAAGAATTTTTTTTCGTCGGGAAAATATTTTAGCCAGGAACTCTGATGCTTTTTGCCCATTCTATAGCTACATACCTTCAACGTGTAAAGTGAAAAAAAACTCATTTTATTCAAATGGCAGTAATAAATTAAGTCGTTGAGTGGTTAAGTATCCACCATCTCGTGGAAAATTGCAATTTGCTTTTTCCTCTTTCACTCAATATACGTATAACAAAACAACTGCTGCACTGCAATATTGGGGCACATTTAGTTGTGTAAGAGTAGCAGAAGTAAAGCAACCCTTGATCTTTTTCCCAGCCAGAAAGTAGAAAATAACGAAGACTAATGAGATTTTGATTCTTGATATCTTAATTCCTCTAATTGATGTTCCCTTTTTCCCCACAGTTCCATGCCTTATACTTTCTCTCCTTCGTCCTGGTGATGAGCGGAGTGATCGTGGTAAGACGACGACCATCATTAAAAATAAATGTATTTACAGTCTCGGTTACTCATCCGACATTTCATGTTGTCCTTTTTTATGTAATATCTTTCTAGTTTTCCATTAAACCAACCGTACTGGATTCCCATGTTTATCGGTAAGGCTTATTTTTTCTGTCAAAATACAAGCATAACCCAAAAAGTGTGTATAAGCGTGGCTTATTAAGCGGGCAAGATTGATGAATAGATAACCAGACAGATGATGAAAAAATAAGAGAAGAAGATTACTTTTACGGTTTTTGGTTTAGTTGATGTTTAGTTATTTTATTTTTTTCATTTTAGCCCGAGCCAGGGCTTATGGAAGCATAATGTCTTGCGATAGTTCTCGCTAAACTCGTATTGACTTGAGATTTCGTACGCATGTAATATGAGGTAGATCAGATGAACAAATATGAAGTAAATTTTGAAGATTTTGTTTGATAAGGTACCACACCGCTTTTTGAAAATAGTTGAGGAAAGTTGAAAAATTTGGTATCAAGGTTCAAAGTGCTGATCAGACTAATCTTAAGAATGTGAGGTCAAAATTAGGAATGTGTACTTTTCCGAGATGGACCCAGCAGGGTGACACTTGTGGTCATCTGACAAAAACTTAGGAGCGGACTGTGAGGGCAAAATCAACATTACACATTGTAGATTTTATTTTTTATTTTACAGGGATAAAAATAAAAAGGAATCGGAGAATGACATACTTTTCCAGAATCATAACGGGCTTTAAATGAATTTTATTTATTATTTTGTTTATTTTGTCATTTTAAGTAAATAAAATTTTTTACAGATATTTGATTTGATCCATTTATGTACATAAAACCATGAATTGATTGCTATCTCTTTACTGTAAGTCACTGTTCCTGATTATATCATCAAACTCTCCTACTTTTGTACCACTTAATATACTTACCCAACTTTGCAATCCTTCGTTCATCTCCCTCCCGTCAAATCCTTCCAAGGACTACGAACAAAGGGATGAGGAGCACTTAAGAATTAACCCTTTTGTTTAATGCACTTACAACAATACAAGGCGCAAAAAATAAAAAAAAGCCGGAGAAAGCAGACAACAGACCCTTCTTCTTCTTGGTCTCAATATGAATCGGGAACGGAAAGAGCGATGAGATTCCGAGCTTCCTCCATTAGCCATTAAGTCCACACACAGGAGAAAATTAAACAAGTATTGAGGAAAGCTCAGGAAGAAGAAGAACTTTCTCCTCCATCCATCCAACAGAAATAAGAATTAGCCGGCTTCTTGGCACAGACAAAAGAAATCAGCTTTGAAGAAAAGTTGGTCCATGGATGGCAGTCTCCACGGAGGATGGACTTTTGACTCATGCACGATTCCGCTATCTTCTTCCCTGTGTAGAAAACAAGTCGAAAAAGAGTTCGGTTAATGCACAACGCTTGTTTAGAAAACAGCGGCTTATCCGACATCACCATTCCTATAATAAAATAAGAACAGACCAATAGACCTCCGGTGGTAGTAACCATTTCCATTATCGTTAAGTTTAACTTAACTGGAAGATCTAATTCAAGTGATCTTATTATTTCTGAGAAGTTCAAAGGACTCTGTGAGATCATTTGTGTTCCTAATTTATAAATGATTTTTTTGCTAACTCGGTTCTGTCTGTGAGACGGCAATTTCATCATTTTCTTCTGCGCAAATAACTAAATAGGAACAGTTTAATGAGTCACGGGGCGAAAGTGGTGTGAACTTTAGTAGATGAGCCTGAGTTTTTATTTGTGGTGGGATCATGACTCGCTATCTTTTTCTCTCTCTTGTTTTATTTGATTCGACACAGCGTTATTTTTATTTATCTTTCCAGCTCATTAACGAGAGAACACACGACCACGGTGGATTTGGAATTGATGGCTGCCACTCCCCCGGCTTCATGTCCTTCCGGTTATCCGTTGGGGGTCGGACCTAATGGAGGTGGTTCCCTGCTCGATGCCTCGCCAACTTCATCATGTTGCGACAACATGTCCAATAATCATTGTCATCCTCAACAGCATCACAATAACATTGGGAGTGGTGGTGGTGCGGACCCATCCTATCTTTCCAGCCAGGGTTGCGATGTCGTAATGCAGACGGGGTCATTGGGCAGGAGGAATGAGCGGTACAATAATACAAGACAGGTACACAAGGCTTTAGTACCCTTTTTTAGTGAAAATGCAAATGATCCCCAAATACACAAGAAAGTACGGGATGTAATCCAAGCATTTCCTGTTTTTGGAACTTACCCTGCTTTCCTTGTAGATACCTCGTTCCTGCGCCATTAAATTAAATTGGGTCCCGTAGACATATATCATCCGCCTCAAGCGATACAATAAAAAGTCAAAGTTATTGCAATTGTAGATTTACAAGGGTTATTTTATTTTGTCTGGAATTTTGTAGGTAATAAAAAATCTCCTCCTCGAGGTTATGCAAGACGAGGTTACAGTTACAAATTAGGGAGAGTGAGATAGCGATTTCTATATATTAAAAAAAGTCACGTACATTCCCCTCGTAGTTTTAGGGACTAAAAGTTATGCAACTTTTGCTTTCTAGTCAACAACGATTTAGTTTAAAGCTTGTAGCTACTTTCTCCTCCTCTGGGCAAATAAATTGAATCAAACAAGAAGGTTGGCTAATGTACGTCAGAATTAGATTTGGATTCACTAATGTGATTTATCAATACGTTGACAGATGTATGAAACAAACGGGACATACCCGATCCCCGAAGAATCCGATGAAGTTTGTTGACAAGAAACAGAAACAGAAGAAGTTGAGGATGCGGAAGACCCAAGAGGAAGGATGGGGAACAAGGCAATTTCAACTTTGTCTGACAATACGACGACCAGGCTCTAACTAAAAGTGAAGTTAATGCTGTGTGTCCTTTCCTCAAAAGACATCTGCATCTGTCTTCTCAATTCTCAAATCCAAAAAGTCTCAAATGCCAAGAAAGAAGGAGAGGAGAGGAAGGAAAAGAGAGATTTCGAAACCAATCCAATTCTGGGAAAAGGCAAGCATGGAAAAGTAAACTTACCCAGAGGGGCCACAGATGTGATTCCTGAGTTTGCATACATCCAAGAATTTTGAATATTAAGATTTGAGTTTGAATAACACCTGGTCCTCATCCACCTCAAGTGATATTCTTCTTTAGCTCCGAGGGGCAATGGTAACTTTGTCAACGACACGAAAGAGGACGACGGATGGACGATCCAATATGAAATTCTGTCCCATTTTCGACAACGAAAGTCAGGATGGAGTCAGATCTCTCGCTTTCGCTGGCTAAGAATTGGAAAAAGTTTCTTCCAAATACATTTCCTATCGTGTACTACTTGCACATTTATAAGTATCCAACTTATTGAAATACTCGCTACATGTACATGTATTTATAATGTCTTCTTGAAGTTTCCTAGAAATTTTAAAATACTTTTAATGTACTTTTAATGAATGAATGTTTTAAGGAAAGCAATAAATGGAATTTTTGAATGTTTATTATCTATCCATACGTAATTTTCCTTTATTTTTACTACATATATGTTAACAATCTTAAAATGCATGGTATTTATATGCATCAATATGCAAAAATATGAATGCTCAATTATTCTCATTACACAAATGGATCTTGTCATATCATATATCATGCAAACAAAATAAGCTTTGGTTCCGGCTAAAAATAACAACAATCTAAAATCGATTCTTCCCAACTTGCCATGTTGCACAACACACCAACAAATACCAAATGATGAAATAAAATTTTGTTGTAAATCTGGGAAAACATCGCATCAAACATTATTATGCGTCCATATCTCTAAACAGTTTCATATTCTACTGAAGTTGGAGCTTATACCTGTTTCTCTCATCTATCACCTGGCTGCAATTGATCTATTTGCTCATTATTCATTCAAGAGTTTCATTTCATCATCATCTCTTTCTCTCTCTCTCTCTCTCCTTCTCGTTTCCGGGTGAAAGCATCATTTTATCTCATCATCATCTCCCGTTCAACAACTTCAAATGGAAAATAAACTATTTTGATTCCAAGTTTAAGCCGATTTCATCATCAACGTTGCCATGTTGGTCCTCTTCTTCCCGTGGAATTTCCCAACCAGGACCAGGAATACGCCAACAGTTGTTATATTTTGTTGCACAAGGAGCTCTTCTTGTTTCCTCGTAAGGTAAGTACGTACGTAAATGGGGTGAGATTTGGTTTGCTAATGTGTGCAAATCTTTTATTCATCCCATCTCTCTCTCTTCCTCATTTTCCCTCAACATTTGTCTCCCCTTCCTCAAAACGTGGTAAGTATATTTGTTTTCATTTCTACTAAAGCATTAAATTCGACTCACCAAACAATTATAAAGTTGTTACATAAAAGAGATAGCGTTCAAAGAGGGTGAAATAGTTTCCTATTAAGCCCTAGCATTTATCCGCCCACCTCAATTTCACCCACGTACAACGTATTTAATATTTTCATATATGAAGCTGCTTATCACTACTTTACTCTGAAAGAAATGATTCTTTGTTATCGACAGATAATTCCCTCATCCATCCATCCACTACCCACTTTTGGCCACAAGACGTGAAATTGATCTCCCATAAATCTTGACGTGAATGAAGCAACTTTTCCTTTCGCGTCGTCCTTTCATCGTGTAATGTGACCGACTTAAGTAGTTAAGTTAACAAGCTGATAAATAAAGTTGACATGTATGTGGGTATACGTCTACATGAAAATAAGTAACCACTGCTGGATGGAGAACGTATCATCTTTATCATCACCATCATGTTACATACTCGCTTTGCCGGAGAGAGAGAGTCATGCATCATAGATGACTTTTGAATGACGGCTCATGACTTTCTCCGTAAATCTTCCGCTTCTTTACTCTTTGTGGGAAAAGAGATTTCGCAATCTGCGTAATAAATAATACAGGATGAATTCTTGGAGAAAGTAAAATCCCGAAAATATATTTTTTTCCACTGAATTTCCAAAAATCCCGTAATGAACAAAGTTTCCAAGAATGACTCCACGTCTCACTAATTGTTCGCCGTAAAGTAATTGTTCAAATTGATTTCGTGAACTTTGCATGCGTGGTGGTGTGGTGGTAGTGACGAGATAATTTATCGTTGGGTGCAAAGCGTGGAGCAAAAACTCCCCACTTTCACCCAACTTTAACAATTATTTCACTTTCCACTCAAACTGTCGCCAACTCTGGGAAGTACGGTATACAACCAACCGACTAGTTATCACTATGTATGTAGGTATGTAAGTATGCTGTAAATGTATTATCCCAACCACAAGTAGGCAAATGTATGTATACGTCGATCTCTTTACTGCTCCTTTAATTTTCCATTTACACTTTTACCCCATCCCATAAATACAGATCACTTAAAAAATTGACGACTTTCTCCTAACACTGCTTCCTTTTTTTGGTCAGCAATAAATCTGCACTTGCAGTAATCTCACCAAGTGCTCGGCTAAACTTTACTATTAAATTTGAACACAACGACGAAATAACTCTTTAACTGAGGATCAACCTACTAACCACACGCCGTATAACCAAACCAAACCACCAGTCGTCAAAACCACTACCACCACTTTCTCCAAGCACTTACATATCCACCAGGAGAAGAGAGAGGAGGGGTAACCGAAACGGGGTGAGATGTCAGTATTCTTTAGAAGGGCAGTGATATATTGCATTAGTTGTGGTACATACGTTGTTAACGAAGTGTATCGTTCTGCTTAGAAAGTGAAACATTATTCCCTCAAAGAAAGAAAAAATAAATGAAAAACAAGTCCTTACATCATCTTTTTGCGGGTCAGAGAGAAAGTGTTAAAGTGAGAACAGAAAATGGGAGATGATTCAATATTAAGAAAACTTATGTATTTCTGCCAGTTTATTTATCGGATCCAGAAAAAAAATATGTTCATGTTCAAATAGCAGTACACAATTTAATACCAATCATATACATATTTCATGATTTTATTCAGACGGATTCAAAATTTTGGGAGGATTTTTGCAGGCAAAATAAGTACATTCTTTCTCTGGTGATATTTTTTTTAAAGCCAACTCAATAAACCGGCAACGCGTCATCATGTATCGTCCCACTAACAACCCACCAGTGTCAAATCCGCAGCTCATTCTTCCTCCCTTTCTTCTTTTTTGACGAGACAAAAATTCAGTCGCAATCCTACATAGAATGTTTCTCACCTAGACGGAAATCCAGTCGCAAGTAGGAGATGCTCAATTTCTCATCTGCTACAACGAGAAGGGAGTCGGTGCCAAATTACTGTGTTGGCTGTGGGAAAAATACGAGAGTGAAAGTGCCACCGAGACGTCTCAGGACACGACAAGGCGAAGAGATTTACGCGAAAAGTAAACGGGAAATGGCTAAACACATGAATATTTTACGAACAACTCATACTGCCAGAAAATGGAGAATATAGATATATCCGGTCTCCTTGCCAGTGGCCGCGGAAGCGCGGGGACAATGTCCCCACGGTTGTTCCATGTCCGCATCATCTCCCCATGTTATATAAACCCGGCCCTCTCCTATCCTACAATGTTAATGTCCCCAGGTATCCCCACGGCTTCCGCGGCCAATGCATCCTAACCCTATGCACGTGCATATAAGGTGTGCAAAGATTAGGACGGCTTTACCAACGTTTTACGACAAGCACGCCATGTCATTCAACGGTTCACAGGAGAGAACATGCATGCATTTATAAAAATAATAATAGGATGGCTCTCCGTTTGCAGGATTCAAGGTTAAAAAATGCTGAACCAGTAAAATAAAAAATGTCCTGAGTAAAGTGAGTGACAAAATTACCTGTATCTTTTAAATAAATTTCCATGTTTCTTCAAAAAACTTTCTGAATACTTAGCAGTGTGAAAATATTTATATTCTTATTCTATTTCTCCTCTGTTCAAAAAGTCACGTCTTGCCCAACTTTGCCTCAGGTTTGGGAAAAAAAGTTGTTGAATGCTGATTGTCGACTCGATCTTGCAAAACTTGAGTACAAGTTTCTTAAGAAAGAAAGTTACTAAATAGCGTTCGTTAGTGGTTGATTCAGTCAGTCAGTCAGTCAGTTAGTTTGGTTTAGTTAGCCTCCCATTTCTGTACTTCATGCTGCTTCAATTTGAGTCCTTTTTACACATGTATTCGTGTCCCTCCTTGAATCCGTGGGGTTTTAGGTCAGGCAATTTCGCAACTGGGCAACGAGATAGTCTGGCTTCCTTTGAACTTTCACCGTGTTTCTTTTATGTTTTTTTGTGTGTATATGAGAAAAAACACGTGGGCTACTCGTACATAGTTGAAGTAGATGCGTTGGCTCATATATATGATCTAACCCACCTTACTTACGGAATCCTAATAAATATTTACACTTGATTCCTTCACGGTTGATGGAGTTTCAGAATTATATTATTTTCTGTGAGCTAAATGTATTTACATTGAAACTAACACTATACGACAAGAGTTGAATTATTCATTTAAAAAGCACATTTTCGCGTTTCGTGTCGCTAATCTAAAACAAAAAATATAAAAATAATTATTTTCCAGAAAACCTGATTCAGCTTGATGATCGTCATCACTCAAGTTACAAAAGTGCGCGTGGCGTGGGTGTGTAGACAAATTGAGGAAAGTTAATTGCTTCATCATCACCACTAAAAGTGTGGAATTGAATTACTTTGCCATAAGAGCCGTCATTACATTACGTTGTTGGTTGGTATCTTGATGTAGCGATTGCTGGTCTGGCTGGCTGGAGTTGAAAATGTGATGAAAGTGGATTGGGTGGAGAGTGGAAATAGAGATAACCATAACTTAATTTGTGTCTCTGCTCAACATTCAAGCGAAATTCGAAGGATAAAGTGTACTAATCTCAATCCCAGTAGTAGTGATTTGAAACCTTTGCCAAAAATGTCACCCAAAAACTCCAATCTATGTCGTCTTCCTTTTTCTGCGTTTCACAGATAACATAGAGTAGTGCACAGGCCACTATGTGAATTTATAACTAGCGAATGGGGACGCAAACCATGTTCAACTCAGATTATTTTTTGACCATGTTAATTTGTAAGAAAAATGAAATCTAGCGAAGCACCTGGCAATTTTCGCGAACTGGGGGCTCCCATAACTTGCTGAAATTTTCGCATCAGCGCAATTTCCGCACAAAATGTTGTTCCTAAAAAGTGGGTCTTTCAAACTAACATGGTCAAAAAATAATCTTGGTTGAACATGGTTTGCATCCCCATTGTAATTTTGTTGGAACAAACGCTTAGAATTTTATTTAAGTCATTGTCTTTTCTCCGTGTTGAAAATGTTTTCACCCAATTTGTAACAACTCTGCAAAACATAAACGTCTTGTTTAATCCTTGTTTCGTAACGTAGGACAAAGGACGATACAAAAACCCGCATTGTGAACACTTCAGAAATACAAATATGACTCGTTGTAATCGCAATTAATCTGGTCATATCTGGAGAAAGTCGTCGTAATAAAAATCATTTTTAAGGAGGAAGTTTTGAGACTTCCTCTTAAAACCTGCATGGCTTTTATTACACAGCATTATCGCTTTCATCTCCTCGTCTCCGTGTATTCTCCTCTCTTTCTTAGTCCAAGATTAGGTGGCTCGCAAGTTCAATTCAAATCTGAACAAAGGCAACATTATTTCTTCTCTGTGAAGTTGTGTGACTAGCTCGCTTTCACTTTGTTTGAGAAGAACAACATCCTGTATAAAACCCGAGAAGTCGGGAAGTAGGTGGAAGAGAATGAGGCTTTTGGAGTGAAAGTGAGGAAAGCGTCAGAGAGAAGGATGAAATGGTTGAAAGAGAACTTACAAGTAAGAATAATGCCTCTGTGTCTCATTTAGATTCATTTCGCGATAAGACGAGCCCCAACTTGACGTGAATGAAGGAAGGAGAAAGTTTTTACTGTTTTTGGCTTGCTTCTTCCTCTCGGGTGGTGAATGTATGTATACCTGAACCAAACAGGGCTAAAGGGGAGGAAATTTGCACATAATTTAGCGGTATGGATTACCTAATTAGTTTGCATTAGTTTAAATGTTTAAGTTACAGGCTAAAAATGGTTTGTTGCGTGCGACATTCGAGGGCAAATTTAGATTTTGCTGGTTTTATAATTAGCTAATATGACAGGTCATTTTGGTGGAATGTTGGTATTATTCATGTTATCTTTAATTCTGAGAGAGCGTTATCTCAAGCGTTTCGTGACTTTCTCCATTTAGTTGGATGCTGTCACTTGAAATGAAAAATTTTTGGATTTACCACTTCTGATCGACGAATAAAGCTGGATATGATGAGTAAAAAGTTTTCAGTAGACTTGACGTTAATTATGGAACAAAATTACGATTATTATTAGGAAATCCTTGCTCGAAACTACAGTACTATTTTTATTCTCATTATCGAAGAAGTGTCATTAATTATAAAAAAATGTACATAAATTTGCAGTTCATTTGCTTTTAACCTTTTCTTCAACTGTTTCAGCGGCTTTATATCCAACCGCTGCACCCACAGCTCCTAACGTTGCTTTTGTCGCTAAACCAATGCCAGCCGCACCAGCGCTTTGAAGTGTAGCAAGCGCCCCTCCGCTTGCCACGACGCCTCCCATCGTGGCTTGCAAGCCTGCAGCCATGGAACCAGCGGCGATCCCCGCGCCTGTAAATCCTGCGGCGGTTAAGACCACCGGCGCGGCTGCAATTGCACCTGCACCTACGCCCACTGCTACGGCACCTTTTGCTGCTTGTTTGATTCCCTGTTTTTAGACATTAAAATAATTTTATAGACTTGCAGCGATGATCTTTACAGAAAAATTCCTTACCCACCAGACCCACGAGTCTTCTTCAGCTGCGTAAATAAAATGCGTGCTTATAAATAAAGTTTATTGATTTGTATTATAAATATATGAATGTACCTTGGGATTGATGAAATACTGTGCTTGACAGTAACAGTACCAAGATCAAGGTCTTAAAAATTCGATTCATTTTTATAGGAAAAAAATATTTAAAAATTAAATGAATCAACTTAAAATCAATCCCGCCAGGAAACTTTGTGCATTGTATGTACATAAATGGAAAAGGTTGTGGTCCTTATATATCTCAATCCCTATTTTTCTTAGGTGAGGCAATGGTTGGAACCACGGAAAAATTAGATGTATATAATTTTGAAAAGTGGATAAAAATCGGATCTCCCTAAATTTTCATACGATTTTGGTGCAAAACTGATAAGAACTATCTATATTTTTAAGATAAACGTAAAAATTACATCTTAAATAAAAAGCTTCATCTAAAAAAAATACAGCATTATTCACACAGGAATGGCGATTCTTAGTTTTTCACTGTATGCTGTGGGTGTGGCTGACGTGATAGGGTCGATTCTACATGGTAATATGTATGCTAATTATTTTTGTGAATACAAAATAAAGTGAGGTGTTGATCGTTAAGGAGAATATTGGCGAATAAAAATACGATACGTTTAGCTCATCTAAGCTTTCATCTTTTCGGATTAGGTTTATGCTGATAAGATAAGTGTAATATCACCTTATCATAATTCCTTATCATAATGAAACGTCAAACTTGTTCTCTCCCTTAACTAGTGGCTTTGAGCTGTGACGAAGTCTTGATCTGAATCTTTAATCGGGTAGATTCCGTCCAATAGAGCTTTTTTCATTTTCACCCTGCTTCTTCCTCCTGTTTTCAATATTCAATTCCACTCTTTAACCCCTCAGTGAAGTCTTTATTCTATCGGGAAAGAATGACAGCAGACAGTTCACTCACTGATGAGATGATTCTTTCCAAAAAGTTGAAAAGACTTGGATAAAAGAATACCAAGGAAAAGTTTCCTTGTTCACTCCTGCAGTCTTTAAACTTGTGAATTTCTACAACCGGTGAAAAAAAATCGTGCAGGCAGATCCTTATTGTTCACATCTTTTAAACTTACATGCTTTATTTATATGATGGATTTGTATATAAAAACCTTGATGGTACATATACTAAGAAGGACGTCTACGCAGTTTCATGGGTACACACACATCTCGACGACCAACGACATCACCTGACCTCACTCTTGAATTCATGTAAGAATTGTTTGCAAAACCATGTTCTTCTAGACTCGTCCCTATTACAAACAAGCTCCACGACCAGACTTTGGAGCACATTTAGCACATAAAAGTGTGTAAGTAAGCATACCTTGGTTGTGCGGTGAATGACAGTGGATGGGACGGAGGAGGAGAAAGTGAGAGAAAGGGAGCAGAGCGGAAGGAAATTAAAATTCAGTAAACGTCCAACTCATAAAAGTTTTCATCATGCCCTTTCACTTCCTCTTTGTCCTTTTGTACTAAACCTGGTGGAAATCGTGACGGAACATAACATCCAGAGATCACATCGTCTCATCCGAAAAGATTTGGAAATCTGGACTGTGCAGTGGATTAAACAGCAACTTTAATGGCGTCGTTATTCCCTAAATTTTGCAAATATTTCTAATCCGACTGAAAATAACTTGCTAAAATCTTTGAAAAAACATGCACAATTTTAATGAATCTTACCCGTTTATTTTGGTTCACTCATACATAGTTATTACCTACCTACATACGGCTGCTGAGGTTGACTGGTCTCTTGCCCAAAGATCGCATCAGGAAAACAGCCAAATTCTCAACCTGTGAGTCTCTCTATCCGCCGCAGAATTTTCTCCTCCAAAAAAGTTAAGTATATGGTCAGACGACAGAGATTTCGTCTAGTGGGACATATAGTGCTGGAGTGAAAGTTGAAGGAATTCAGAGGTTGGTGGAAGTAATGGGAATGGGGACTTGACTTGAGATGAAGCATCCATCAACACAAATCTCCAACAAGATTGGATTACTTACTTATACTGCATCATGGAAGTCAACCTGGCTTGCATGCTTAACTAAACTTTCATCATTCCAGGCACAAAAGGAGGTTCTCTCCCCCTTCGTTAATAAAACGCATAATAATTTATCTCTAAATCCTTGTTAGACCCCAGTTTGCTTTTTCTCTGTGGAATTGACATCATTTTCAAAGTTCTTGCCGTACGTAATTACCTACATTTCTTTGCATCACCCATCATTAAAAAATATTGAGATTAGGTTCAGGCCAGAACATAACGGTCACATACGCACACATTTTATCTCTCGACTTTCTCTTTGTAGGTATGGCATGATGGGTTGGTTGGTACTTGGTAAGTTGGTTGGTTGTGGGTGACACTTGGCAATGCATTTGTCATTGTTACCCGTTATTGGATTTCTGAACTCGTATAATGCTCCAAGGTTTGGGGAAATCGGTCCACGAATGGATTGCAATCACAATTTCTGCGTGAAATGTACCACATGGGCGGTGAGGTAAGCAAGAATGCGTACAGGGTTTCGAAAAACTTGTATAATAAATTATTCTCGATGTAACTAAATGCGTGAACTAAATGGTGACTAGTTTCGGAGTACGGAACCCTGTCTGGATTTCAAATAAGATAGAGATCACTTCGTCATCGATCATGATCTCCGATCTTGGTGACCTGCCTCAGAAGCCCTCATCAGTTATTTTCCCCCATTTGTCTTAGTCACCTATACCTTCCCCAAGTTCTCGGATGGTATGTACCGAGACTTGCGTAAATACAAAATTAATTCAGAAAATCGGATCCCTTTCCAGACTGTAAAATCCCTAAAACGAGGATTTTACTACTTCATACACAAATTTGTACGGTTAATGCATGTTAAAGTTTATGTATTAGTCTGAATAAACATGGGGTGCAATATCTCCATTTCTCATCCCTTATCCTGTTATTATCTCACCTTATGGGCTACAATTGTATCACTATTATGCCCACCCACCCACACACAATAAGGTTATTCGAGTGAAAGTAAGAATATATAATTTACTCAACTGATTTCCTAAGTGAATTGGACGATGCGAAAATGCTGATTGTCTGCATCTACGAGTTTATACATCTACTCGGCCAACCAACTGTACTATTTGTTCTAACCCGTTCTTCCTCCATCTTCCATGTAAGCAGTCCACTTAAGAATTCAAATGAACTCGGGCAAAATTCGAGTCGAAGTGAAATTCATGACATTATTTATTATCACAAGGTAACAACTCGGCGGCTGAGGAAAGTTCAGGCCGGAGGCAGTCACGTGGAAAGTCATAAAAGAAAAGTTGGACTTTCTCCTCATTCTTCAACATAAGAAGACGGAGAAAACTGGCTAAATCGACTATCTTCTTCTTCTTATGAGCGTCTCGACGGAGAATCTTCTTCTTGTGGATGAGCTGAATGAGAGTTTTGTATGTGGCGAATCTGAATCTATTCATGCAAGGGAGATGAAAACGGTATGGCGTATGGAATGTGCTGAGTCGGTGGGTTAGTTTCTAAATTCTGCGAAAAATGCACGTCTGGTAGTTTTTAATGGGATTACATAACCAGAAATTGCATGCAAATTCAGACAGTTAAGAAGTGACAGTGACGATGAAATGCTCGAACGATGATGATCTCTCTTGACAAGTGAAAGAAGTGAAAATTTACAGAAATTCTCACCGAGAATCAGATATGCTTTAAAACTATTGCAAAAATTCAGATAATACTCTTTATTATTGTTCAAAAACAGGTTCATAAAAATATTCCATTTAAAAACATTTTGTAATAAATATGTAGCACAACCCAGAATCAGATAAATACCAATGTGTATAAATAAAATATCATGAAGCACCTCATTAAAATCATGAATGAGTTTGAATGATGAAATCCCAAGAATTCATCCATTTCAGAGATTCCAGCTCAGATCTGGAGAGTGCCGGTTGGCCGTAAGACGTAGGGACAAACTTTGTGAAAACATAAATTGCTGTGACCAGCCAACTGATTAATGTGAAACTGATGAGATATCTCGCAATCGAGTTTCTGCAAATAAGTGGCATGACATTCATTCAGTTTAAGTTTAGATTGGCATTGCATTTTACTCATCAGCACCTACTTTCACTCATCCTTAGGCTTACCTTGTAATGAAGTGAATGTGATACATCGTCCCAACGAAAAGGACCAATTTGAAAACGTAAGAAGGCAAATAATGATGCAAAAATAGGGTTCGATCCACGCAAAAGTGATACACGTACGTCAGTAAGTAACCACCAAGGCAAACGCTGGATTGTAGGACGAGAGTTGACCATGTTTCTGCACAATAAAATGCAAATTGTTCATAATTTTACCTAAATTAGTAATAATTAATTAGATAATTTCATGATGAGTACCTTCATCAATATCGAAACACAGCCTCCGTCTCCTCAACAGGTAAAATACGACGAGGCTTGCATGCAGTGCTAATCCAAACGAGGCAGAAAACCAGATAACGGGGTTACCCAACAAATGGATTTGAGAATTATTTCCAGCCCCAACCCAATAAGCAATCCCTCTCGATAAGAATAACCACTCGGAAGGAAAAGATGCATAAGTGTGAGATTCGCTCTGCGTCGCACTCCCAGAATTTAGCAGCATTTTCCTATAATTAATAAATACTTTTAAAACTACAAACTCCCAAAAGACTAAGAAACATATTTGATAATATTTGCAACTGAACTTACCATTGCAATTCCATAAATTTGGCCCAAAATGTAAGAACGGTTGGCTTGGTGGGGATCATTTCGGCTTGAAGGAGTTCTTTTTCACGGTCCTTTTCACCTGAAATTGCAGAGTTAAAAAATTATTAGAAATGACAATTAACATAGTTAACACAATAATTATGTACTTTTCGTGTATCGATGTTCTTCCACATTCCACACGGTGTCATCCTGAACCACGACGCGATCAGAGGCGACTTCATGTTGATGAAATCCCCATTTGGGAAGCTGTTTTCCAGTCATTCGCATCGCTTGGCCGGTGCTGACATGGATAAGTCGTACCATTGATCGCACCGCGTGCCACTCACATCCAGTGCTTTTTTCAGGGTCGCCACACCCACCAATTATTTCGACTCGCCATAACGGTTCTGCCACCATCTATAAATTTGTCATATTTAAAACGTTCACGAAGCACACACATGAACATACACGATCCCGATAAGGTCGTCACTACTTACCGAAACGTTGTGGTCAATGTAACAGCTAACTTCTTGGTTTTGAGGTGTCACAGGGGCCGCGACATCGTGTGAATTTAACAGCCTGCCGATAAAAAATATTTCTCAATTGAACCTGGAAATATGTCCTCTGAAATAATATCCGTAACCCTACCTTCCACTCATCCCATGAACCAAATGAATTTCTTCGCCATGTTTTATCACATCTTTCGTCTCATTGACGGCAATGTTATCAATTTCTGGGCGTTTTATTACCCACCAGTTGTTAACATCTTTAAATGAGTAGCAAGTAACTTGCTGCTGGTGTGAAGATCCTCTACCATCGTCATATTTTATGGGATAATTGTGAGCGTGTGAATGAAGCCAGCATGCCCTTCCCAATGAGTGACGAAGCGTGACCTGAGAACCATGAGCGACTTGGACCGGTTGACCTGTAATTATCAGAAGTCATTCAAAATGTGACCACTACATAATTAGGAAATATATTTTCTATGTTATCACAAATATACCTTTAATTATGGAAGCTAGTCCACCCTTCAAAGAGGCTTGGAACGCAGAAGTCATAACAGAATCGTGTGGTCCAGCATTTGTAAGGACGCTTAAGTGAATGTAAAATATGGAGACGTACGTAGCGAAAAATGTGAGGTAGAAAACTCCAAAATATGATAACAGTTTGAACCCAATTTGTCGTGAAGATAAATCCTTTCGAGGCACCCAACGGGTATAAAACCTCCAGAATATTATTAAGGCTGAAAGAGCGAGGTAGAACGCTCCGATATACTTCACACTGAAATTAGATGCGAAATGTAATTAAGTAAAATGTTGATTACACAAGTCATTTAAATTAATACCAACCTCATTGAAAGAGTTCCAAAAAATCCCGATAGCGAGACAAACATCAAGTTCTTTATGGAATTTAATTGCTTTGTCGACTTTAATGCAAAAATCAGACTCGAGATTCCGAAAAGTATTAAAGGCATTTCCATCAGAATGTAGCGAGATTGAATTAATAAGGCGTTATCTAAATTAATAAAATTTCATGTAGATTTTGTCTAGCATTTTTGAATATCATACTGAATTTGATAAAAATATATGCAAAGATTACCAAAAATAATTATGATTCCTGCCACAGCCGCAAATAATTTCGAGATTCCAATTTGTCTACATAAAATGTAGGCTGCAGACGGAACAAGTGATCCTGCCAGGGCTGGAATAAATCTCATCCCCAAAACGGGGATCCATGAGGGATACGCAGTTCCTATCCGGTCAAACTTAAAAGTTCCTTAAAAATAAATCGGTATCGTTAATACATAATTAGTGAAACTTGTCAACCTTATTTTATTTAGTTGACAAGTTACCATTGTACGAAGGATCAAATAAGTATGCTGATGCAGCCACGAGTTGCTTCCCCAGAGGAGGATGAGGGTCAAAGAAAAATATTTTACGGAGGTAAAGCGATGCATATTTCCCGTAATGTAGCTCATCAAACCTACATAAATATATGTTAATTAATACGATTAAATCATGGATGCATGTCATTAATAATTCTTAATTATGCACTTACACAATATTACGAGGATAATCTAAATTGTAAAATCTTGTCGCAGCAGCAATGGCGAATAGTAGTGTAGCAATTAAATCAATTTTAAAAGAAATTTGACCAAAGCTTTCCTCGTCATCGGCAAATTGTACATTCTTTTTGGTAATATTTGTCGGTGAATTTTTACTTTTGAGAGAAGATTGTTTTATAACTTCTTTTGAGGGTGAAAGCTTGTCGGGATCTTTACGCGTCTCAAATTCCTTATCCTGTCAAAATTAAATTTAGTTTACACAGAGTAAGTGAGTTCATTAAGCTCGCATTCATTTTCATTACCCGATCAGGATCGAATTGCAGTTTATTATCGACTTTACTACTCCGATCCACTCCAGGAATTGTGTTTTGCTTGCGATTGATTACAGCACCCGCACCATTACTTCCATTCGTTCTAATTTTTTCTTTAGCACCACTCATTTTACAGCAGTTATATTAAATCATGCCACAAACGGGTAAATCAGAATTGTTGCAGAAATCATTAATAAATTCACTATATCGGGAACATATTATCCATATAAATTACAAGGCACTGCTAGATATTTCACAGAAATTTAGATTTCTAAAAATTTTGGAAACTTAAATGAACATGAACTGTCAATGAACAACTGTCCATTCGATTATGTATCTGTTTGAGGTTGGTGTTAATGGCCAGCAGCAAGTCTTTAATATGAACTTACTTGTTATACGCAGTCAATAAGACATCATATTGCAGTTACTTAAGAAGAAGACTATCTATCAGTTCCATCATTGTGGAATTTATACCTCTTTTAAGACTTGCAACAAGAAATGGATGGTTTTACCTGAGGGTAAATGTACCCTCTCATGTTGGTTGGTACGTACATATGTATTTGCATAGGTTACGTATTGCATCTGGGTATCTCTTGTTATACGGAATGCGATTCCGCTCATTTTTCGATGCAATTCGACTCGAACAGGGCAATTTTCATACGCATCGAATGGTGAAAGCGGAGTTCCGGTGTAAGCTTTAAACGCCATTATAAGAATTATGGGATAAATCTTTTTTTTTCACGAATGTAAACTAAATATTTAAAGGTCAAAATGCATTTATAAAATTATTTCAAGTTTCTACGCTTAAATGAAAATAATGGACATGAGCAGTGTCACATCTTTACCAGATTTTTTAAAAGAGATGAGATTTGTGTAAAAAGGGTTTCCTAATTAATCTTATCAACTCGGTATCGATTGCCGTCATTCTCAATACCCGAGTAACGATTGCTAAAAAATAACAACTCATTATCATCTTTATGTCATGATCGACACAATAGATTACACACATGCTCCATGTGGGCATGACATTGTTCATCAATGGTTTATGCAAATTATTGAAGGATGCAGAATATATCGACATGTATATATGCACGTAAGGACAAATGTCTGTCCGTCATATCCAGACGTCGGATATGAATGACCGATAAAACCTCAAAATATGAATGAAAAATGACCGTAAAAATCCCCAAAATATGACCATAAAAATGAGTTTATTTTTTAAATTTTTGGCTTAATTTTTCGATATATTTTTTTGTAATGCTCATTTTTCAAGTTCTGGGGTGATTTAATGCATTCCCAATGAATTAAATCACATGAGGCGAAAGTGAACGTAAATTTCTGAAAGTTTCTCACAATGAATCATTGTGAGAAAACTGAATTTTTTGTCATTTTCTGTCGATTTGGTTGCTAAATCTTAGAATTTGGCCAAAAATGATAAAATGAACGAAAAAAGCCCGAAATATGATCGGGAATATGAATATGTCCCAAAAACCCGAAAATATGACGAATATGAGAAAATATGCTTTGACCTACGTGACCTACTAGTGACCATAAACATTCTCAGAAAGTTTGGCGACTGTAGGTCAATAAATGGAAAAAGTCATTTTTCATTCATATCCGACGTATGGTCATATCCAGGTAAAAATGAGTGTGTACTATCTGCACTTGTGTGATGAATCATTCCTTGTCCCACACTTGAAGTTAAAAGGTCAGAGTCAACAGTCATTGTAAATTAGTTGTGAAAACGTTCAGCAAGAATTGTAATTGGAGTTTAAATTATCTCTCTTTGAAAGAAATCTTTCTGTTAAATAATTTCTAAATATTAAAAATGGGTCTTAATCTGGGATACATAAAAACGGTCGTAGCTATTTTGAAGCTTGCTTCAATTGTAAGAACGATTTTATTGATACGCCCAGATAATTTAGTTTTTACTAATAATACTTAAAAACATTTTCAGCTACTCTTAATTATTGCATACGCTGTTGGAATGAGTGCTTATTTTGGATCAGAGTATAACAAGGGTTGCATCGACCCTAATGGGTCAGATCCCCAACGTACCACAGTTGGAAGTATTGTGACATTTTCTTCAACATCGTCCCCTCGTCCGAGCTCATCTTCAGTATTATCCACCACGGAAGAATTCATCGTTTCTTTGGACCCTCAACCTTCGTCACCGGGCGACCCAGAAGAGAAAACCGGATGTGACAAGGTCCCCATTCTTTGGATGGAACGTTTCCACTTGATTGTCTCTGGCGTTCTTGTTTTATTGTCTGCCATCTTGCTCATTCTTCATCTGGTGAAAAAAGATCTGTTAGAAAATCCAAAGTTTACAGGAATTGTAAGTCCATATGTCGACATACGTTTGCGGTTTTAGATATCTGCACAATGCATAATACTCGTCATTAACTTGAATGTCTTTCAAATGTTTAGGATTTCGGCTACCATTTCTTTGGCGCAATTTGGCTCATTGTCGCTGCACTTTTCATGACTTATAGTGCCACTAAAATTGACAGCTTAGCAGAAGAGTTATGCCACGATCCGGATAACTGTCAGTTAATGAAGCAAAAGCTGACGGCTGCTGTAAGTATTTAAAAAAAATCGAATCGTATTAAAATTTAGGTTCAGATCGAAGAATAATTCTTATCTTTATGTATTTTTTATAGGCTTTTGCGTTCCTCGCTGGAGTAATGTTTCTCGCCATTGGTGTGAGAAGTTACGGGAAAAAGTTCTATCAAACCGTGTAACATTAAAATAATTTACTTATTTATATGGAGAAAGGGCATGGTTTCCTGGTGAAATGATCTCACGCCTCATTTTGTCTCAATTCAGTTATTACGAGTATTAGTATTACCAGTGATTATATTTATGCACATGATGGTAGAAACTCGTCCAGTCGTTTTCTCGCAGTTATTTTGTACATGAAATTGTTCTCAATTTCAAACACTACTAAATAACCTTATTAAGGTTAGTAGTCACCTAAACAAGTCGATGACCAATTATAATTATGCATGCCGGCTTTGTTGATGTAAATGTAAAATTCTTGGCATTCAAATAAATTATTTTCCTCAACTTTTTACTTGATTCTGACATTCTTAGATGATTTCCAATGCAATGCAAAGGACTTTGAAATGCTTGATTTGATTTATCAATAAATATGGATGTAGTCCCGTCGCTTGCAAATGTAGTGTCATTGATTTTTATAAAACATTTAGATGAAATTTTGTAGAATCAGCATAATTGTTACACAATACTGTCAATTTAAAAGTTCCAAAATAATCGTCAAAATTTCAATCAAATTCTCGCATGTGCAGTAACCACAAATCAAATACCGTAATAGAGAAAATAAGTATGTATCATATTTATGCCGCATTATTATCATTGACTGCTCTTTGGAGAAAGTGGTGGCCCTTAAAAGGGCCGTTGGTTTTTTTTTGTGATGTGATGGATGAATGACAACTGTTTAGGCACGTTCTCCACGGATTCGGCGAGCGAGTTGGATGTCCTTGGGCATGATGGTGACCCGCTTGGCGTGGATGGCGCACAAGTTGGTGTCCTCAAAGAGACCAACCAAGTAGGCCTCGGACGCCTCCTGCAAAGCCATGACAGCGGAGGATTGGAATCGGAGATCCGTCTTGAAATCCTGAGCGATTTCTCGCACAAGTCGTTGGAAGGGGAGCTTGCGGATGAGAAGCTCAGTGCTCTTCTGGTAACGACGGATTTCTCGGAGGGCGACGGTTCCGGGCCTGTAACGATGGGGTTTCTTGACACCTCCGGTCGCAGGGGCGCTCTTCCTGGCAGCCTTGGTGGCGAGCTGCTTGCGGGGGGCTTTCCCTCCAGTGGATTTACGAGCAGTTTGCTTGGTACGAGCCATTGTTTATTGTTTTGTAGGTTGGAGTTGTTACTTGTTCCCAAGAGAAAGGTGAGACAGCGAGTGATGACTGTTTCCGTTTGGGCTGCTGGTTTTATAGAGAAGGGCTGAGTTTTGTGCGAGAAAGAGGATTGGCTGAAAGTAAGCAGTGAAAGCCCGCTCGCTCCTCAGAACTCAGAACTCAAGAGGTCTGCTCCGCAACTCAGCCAGTTGGTATAAATTCAAGCTCGAATCCAACAAAGTTCATCACAAGCTGCTGATATCTCATACTGAGAACATCTCTCTCCAAGTTTCAACCACAAACTACTAATCATCATGTCTGGCCGTGGCAAGGGAGGAAAGGTGAAGGGAAAGGCAAAGTCCCGATCCAGCCGTGCAGGACTCCAGTTCCCAGTGGGTCGTATCCATCGTCTTTTGAGGAAGGGCAACTACGCCGAGCGAGTGGGTGCGGGTGCCCCCGTCTACTTGGCTGCCGTCATGGAGTACTTGGCCGCTGAGGTCCTCGAGTTGGCTGGAAACGCTGCCCGAGACAATAAAAAGACCAGGATTATCCCCCGTCACCTTCAACTCGCCATCCGAAACGATGAGGAATTGAACAAGCTGCTCTCCGGGGTCACCATCGCCCAGGGAGGTGTCCTTCCAAACATCCAAGCCGTCCTTCTCCCCAAGAAGACGGAAAAGAAGTCCGCCTAATTCCTCAGCTTTCACAAATCTACACGCTAACAACCCAACGGCCCTTTTAAGGGCCACCACATTTTCCAAAGAGCTCAAAAACTCCGGTACCGACGAATAATACATAATTTCATTATGATCATGCACTTTCTTCGTTCAAGCCCAACTTCGTCTCGTCAGGTTCTATTTTTATGCATTTCATATTTTTATACGTTCATTTGTTGAGAAATTTTTGTCAACAAAGTAGTGCATTGAGTTAATGATGTAAAATAAAATGAAACGGATGGATGGATGAGGAATTATTTTTTCTTGTGCATTTTATTTATGTACTTTCACAATGGAAATTAGTAATTTCGTGCTCCTGAAATTTATATATGCAATGATTAAGACCCCTTCGTAGTTTAGTTATGATTGATTTCGAATCAGACTTGTGGATAATATGAAAGTAACCTAACCTATGACCTATCCCCACCCCAATAACAATCATGCGTATTTTACATTTTTAGCATTTTATAAATGCATCCAAATTGGATGTCGTCGCTCCAGTCTCACCAAAATTTAATATAATTATTTGTATGCATTAAGTAATAGACAAACTTGAAACATCTATAAATTATGTGAAATTGGTTAACGGAACGGATCAAGAATTGTTTATTTATTTTTTTTTTAGTTATAACGTCTTTTATTAACATAAACATTGATAAACTATGAAATACACTTAGTTGGCTTGGGGAGTAGAGGAAAAACCCGATGTTGGTGGGTTGGGAAAACCTTTACTTGATCCGGATAGGCGTCCGAGATCACCATTCGGCCCCTTACATGATTTTTAGCCCGAGTCAGGGCTTATGGAACCGTCATGTCCGTCCGTCCGTCTGTCTGTCTGTCTGTCCGGCACGATAGAGCCAAAACGGCTGAACCGATTGACTTGAAATTTTTACCATATGCATATCGGACAAAGTTAGGAAACGAGTTCGAAGATGGGCAAAATCGGTCCAGTGGTTGACCGGTGGGGGTCATCGGAGTGGGTGGGGTATTATGCACCAAAATTTCAAAATTGTCGTAGAAATGAAAATTGGATATGAAATAAATATGAAATAAATATGAAATATAATAAATATGAAATAAATATGAAATATAATAAATAAATATGAAATGAAATTGGTAAAATTCTTATCTGGAGCGACCCTATGGGGTGACCCATACCGATTTTTCAAAATCGTTATATCGAGCAGAAATTTGATATGGAGGCTGAATAGCTGGATAGCACATACATTACATCTTAGAACTTCAGGATGTTAAAGAAGCCCACTGGTCATGGTGGTCAAGGCACATGATTTGTAAATAATTCAAAAATTTGGTACCAAATAATAGAAACTATCTAACAAACTTTTAACCATCCACAACACGGAAGTTGGTGATATTATGTCGCTCAATTCGGAAAAATTTTTAGAAGGCTCTGACTTATTGAGTCAGGGAGTATGTCCCTGACTCGGGCTATATGGAGTCTGCACTGTAGGTTTTTGATTATTATTATTATTATTATTGTTTATTTTCAGCTTACTTTGACATTAATCGAGTCAAAATTCAATCTCACTATGCCTCAATTTTAATGAATTGAATAATAAACAGTGATTTATAAATCATTTTTAAATCATAATAATAATCCAACTCGACTGCATTTTACCTTAGTTTTTAGCAACATTACACGATCTCAATATTTGCCAATAATATGCATTAGCGTGGAAAGTACCAATAAATTGTGCAGCATGATCAAGAATGAAAATAAATGCAACTATTTTTTTTAGCTCTTTGGAAAAAGTGGTGGCCCTTAAAAGGGCCGTTGGGTTTTGTTGTTTTATGGAAGTTGGTCAGGTCATCGTCTACTTGGAAGAGGTGTATTTGGTGACAGCCTTGGTGCCCTCAGAGACGGCGTGCTTGGCGAGTTCTCCGGGGAGGAGGAGTCGGACGGCCGTCTGGATTTCTCGGGAGGTGATGGTTGACCTCTTGTTGTAATGGGCCAGGCGGGAGGACTCGGAGGCAATCCGCTCGAAGATGTCGTTGACGAAGGAGTTCATGATGGACATGGCCTTGGAGGAGACGCCAGTGTCGGGGTGGACCTGCTTGAGGACCTTGTAGATATACACGGCGTAGGACTCCTTCCTCTTGCGGTGTCGCTTCTTCCCGTCCCCCTTTGGCAAGTTCTTGGATTTTGACACGGCCTTCTTCCCCGCAGCTTTTCCTCCGGTTTTTGGTGGCATTTTGCAAACTTGTTTGAGATCTACTTCAAGTGAATTCAGAAAATTGAATGATGATGGGACGGAGAGACGACGAAGCTTTTATATGCGGAGGCTGAGTTGTGAGCTGAGTTGTGGAGAACTCTACGGAGTTGTGGAGAATGGAGGGAAAATCTTGGGTTGAGTTTGCTGAGAGACTTGCTGAGTTCTTACTTGCGAGGGAACTCGAGTGGAGGGAAGAGAGAGGCTACCCGGTTCACCAACGTCCGCTCTCGCTCTCGAGGTGTGTATATAACCAATCTCATTTCAGTCAGTCTCCATCACTCGACAGATTTTAACTTTTACAAGTCTAAACTACTTCTCATCAAATTATTTCAAAATGACTGGTCGTGGCAAGGGAGGAAAGGGACTCGGCAAAGGAGGCGCCAAGAGACATCGCAAAGTCTTGCGTGATAACATCCAGGGAATCACCAAGCCTGCCATCCGTCGTCTTGCTCGTCGTGGGGGTGTCAAGCGTATCTCTGGCCTTATCTACGAAGAGACCCGTGGAGTCCTCAAGGTCTTCCTTGAAAACGTCATCCGAGATGCTGTCACCTACACCGAGCACGCCAAGAGGAAGACGGTCACCGCCATGGACGTCGTCTATGCCCTCAAGCGACAAGGCCGCACCCTCTACGGATTCGGCGGTTAAATTGATCTCGTCCCTCCCATCAAGTCAACTTATCAACATCTCGTAACCCAACGGCCCTTTTAAGGGCCACCACATTTTCCAAAGAGCTATATGAAGCTATAGGGTCTGGGTGTGATGTAACTGCTAAATTTGCAGATTTTTTTATGACATTGTGTTATTGGAGACCCGTGAATCGTTTATGTCCGCTTATAGGTTAGGAACCATTACCAATGACCAATGAATGAACCAAAATTAAAATTAATATGACAAATCAATTCTAAAACTATGCAATGATTCTCTGATAATGACGTCCCGCTTGGGTCTGGGTTTATTATTATTTGATGATAGCTTCTTATTATCTCGACAGTAGATAAAACTGGACACAGATCAACGTATTTATGTATCAACCTAAATATTTAAAATGATTGCAGTATGAACTTTGCTTATTGAAATCACACGATAAGAAATGTAGCTTTGTTAGGGAAGGTATATCTCTTGTCGTGTGTATTGAAATGTGCGTTCTACGAGAGTTGTATTAACTGCGAAGGAAATCCGATACGATTTTAATTACGAATTCATAAAACCAAGATTCTATATTCATAAACGCAAATAGCACGTCATCACAAATTCACAAATCAAGGATCTACTGTAGTAGTTAGTAATTATATGTATTTAATTGTAAGTCATGAATGATAAAATTGCTTCATAAACTTCTCACTCTTTCCCTCCATGCAAGAAATCTTGCTCACAACTCAACCGCCACTCTGGCAACTCAGGAGGGAAAGCAGCCGCCCCCAGTACGTCGGCACTCTCGTAACCCCATCCCCTTATAAATTCAGTCTCAATCTCAAACTTGCCTCATCCTGCGTCAACCACTGCTGTCTCTCTCACTGAAAGAAAAATCATCAAAAACAACAAACTGATCAATATGTCTGAAGAAGCTGCGACTGCCGCCCCAGCGGCCACCCCCCCTCCTGCGAAGAAAGGCAAGGCTCCGAAGAGTCCCAAGAAAGCTGGCACTGCGAAGCCAAAGGGGGCGAAGGCAGCTGCGTCTCACCCACCAACTACGCAAATGGTCATCAACGCGGTCAAGTCCCTTAAGGAAAGGAATGGCTCTTCTCTGCAAGCAGTGAAGAAGTTCATCGCCGATACCTACAAGGTTGACACCACGAAGCAAGCCACCTTCATTCGTAAAGCCATTACGAAATTGGTTGAGACTGGAAAACTGACCCAAACCAAAGGAACTGGGGCAAGTGGATCCTTCAAAATTCCCGTCGCTGCGAAGGTTGCTGCTGGGGAAAAGAAGGCCAAGTCTCCAAAGAAGAAAACCACCAAACCCAAGAAAGCTGCTTCCCCAAAGAAGAAGGCCGCCCCCAAGGCGAAGAAAGCTGCGTCTCCAAAAAAGAAGGCAGCTGCCAAGCCGAAGAAGGCTAAGGCCGCAGCTCCTGCAGCCGCACCCAGTGCCCCAGCTGCAGCATCATCATCTCCAGCTGCACCCAAACCTGCTGCTGCCAAGAAGCCGAAGAAGTCTCCAAAAGCCAAGGCTCCAAAAGTCAAGCTTCCCAAAGCGAAGAAAGCAAAGTCCCCCAAGAAGGCGAAGCCAGCAAAGAAAGCTGCCCCCAAAAAGGCTTAAACATCATCATCCTCTCTTCTAACAACAAACTTTAACCCAACGGCCCTTTTAAGGGCCACCACTTTTTCCAAAGAGCTATGGTCTAATAATTCTCCGAATTTTCATGATTTTCAGCTAATTATTAGATTAATCGAGCACAATGCAAATAATTTACTTTCAATTGGTAACAAAACACGGAAAACTATTCATTCAAAACATTACTGATTAAACCATTCGACAATTAATGACAAATCAGTTGCGATTGCGACCACGATCACCAACAAAATGGTCGACGCGTCTCCATCAGACACCAGTTTGCAAAAATTCTTGTACCACAAATATGATGCTTTCCCTCCATATTTCCCTCCTACCCCTTCGTTCGGATGACAACGTCGCCATTGGCCGCGTGAGGCATCCCCACACACTAATAAGGCAGTGCAATAATAATTAAATGCATAGTCATCAATGTTATTCCTGTATGCATTTACTAGATTTTCACTCAAACATCACAGCAATGTAATTTTGAGAATCATTTCAGTTTGTATTTATTTTTCAATTTTATGTCGTTCTTTCCTCCATAATTATCTACCGACAAAGAGCCATGATTCATAAATTTAATTAATTCGTGCAAACTTTAACAGCATGCAGTGATTACTATGCTGAATTTACGAGTCTTGATCCGAGAAATAACTCCCATCATAAACTTGATCAGTGCAATAATAAGAAAACACATCATGTATATATGTTGTATGTATGTATTACATAATACGTAGATTGATTGATTTATAGCTCTTTGGAAAATGTGGTGGCCCTTAAAAGGGCCGTTGGGTTACGAGATGTTGATAAGTTGACTTGATGGGAGGGACGAGATCAATTTAACCGCCGAATCCGTAGAGGGTGCGGCCTTGTCGCTTGAGGGCATAGACGACGTCCATGGCGGTGACCGTCTTCCTCTTGGCGTGCTCGGTGTAGGTGACAGCATCTCGGATGACGTTTTCAAGGAAGACCTTGAGGACTCCACGGGTCTCTTCGTAGATAAGGCCAGAGATACGCTTGACACCCCCACGACGAGCAAGACGACGGATGGCAGGCTTGGTGATTCCCTGGATGTTATCACGCAAGACTTTGCGATGTCTCTTGGCGCCTCCTTTGCCGAGTCCCTTTCCTCCCTTGCCACGACCAGTCATTTTGAAATAATTTGATGAGAAGTAGTTTAGACTTGTAAAAGTTAAAATCTGTCGAGTGATGGAGACTGACTGAAATGAGATTGGTTATATACACACCTCGAGAGCGAGAGCGGACGTTGGTGAACCGGGTAGCCTCTCTCTTCCCTCCACTCGAGTTCCCTCGCAAGTAAGAACTCAGCAAGTCTCTCAGCAAACTCAACCCAAGATTTTCCCTCCATTCTCCACAACTCCGTAGAGTTCTCCACAACTCAGCTCACAACTCAGCCTCCGCATATAAAAGCTTCGTCGTCTCTCCGTCCCATCATCATTCAATTTTCTGAATTCACTTGAAGTAGATCTCAAACAAGTTTGCAAAATGCCACCAAAAACCGGAGGAAAAGCTGCGGGGAAGAAGGCCGTGTCAAAATCCAAGAACTTGCCAAAGGGGGACGGGAAGAAGCGACACCGCAAGAGGAAGGAGTCCTACGCCGTGTATATCTACAAGGTCCTCAAGCAGGTCCACCCCGACACTGGCGTCTCCTCCAAGGCCATGTCCATCATGAACTCCTTCGTCAACGACATCTTCGAGCGGATTGCCTCCGAGTCCTCCCGCCTGGCCCATTACAACAAGAGGTCAACCATCACCTCCCGAGAAATCCAGACGGCCGTCCGACTCCTCCTCCCCGGAGAACTCGCCAAGCACGCCGTCTCTGAGGGCACCAAGGCTGTCACCAAATACACCTCTTCCAAGTAGACGATGACCTGACCAACTTCCATAAAACAACAAAACCCAACGGCCCTTTTAAGGGCCACCACTTTTTCCAAAGAGCTAAAAAAAATAGTTGCATTTATTTTCATTCTTGATCATGCTGCACAATTTATTGGTACTTTCCACGCTAATGCATATTATTGGCAAATATTGAGATCGTGTAATGTTGCTAAAAACTAAGGTAAAATGCAGTCGAGTTGGATTATTATTATGATTTAAAAATGATTTATAAATCACTGTTTATTATTCAATTCATTAAAATTGAGGCATAGTGAGATTGAATTTTGACTCGATTAATGTCAAAGTAAGCTGAAAATAAACAATAATAATAATAATAATAATCAAAAACCTACAGTGCAGACTCCATATAGCCCGAGTCAGGGACATACTCCCTGACTCAATAAGTCAGAGCCTTCTAAAAATTTTTCCGAATTGAGCGACATAATATCACCAACTTCCGTGTTGTGGATGGTTAAAAGTTTGTTAGATAGTTTCTATTATTTGGTACCAAATTTTTGAATTATTTACAAATCATGTGCCTTGACCACCATGACCAGTGGGCTTCTTTAACATCCTGAAGTTCTAAGATGTAATGTATGTGCTATCCAGCTATTCAGCCTCCATATCAAATTTCTGCTCGATATAACGATTTTGAAAAATCGGTATGGGTCACCCCATAGGGTCGCTCCAGATAAGAATTTTACCAATTTCATTTCATATTTATTTATTATATTTCATATTTATTTCATATTTATTATATTTCATATTTATTTCATATTTATTTCATATCCAATTTTCATTTCTACGACAATTTTGAAATTTTGGTGCATAATACCCCACCCACTCCGATGACCCCCACCGGTCAACCACTGGACCGATTTTGCCCATCTTCGAACTCGTTTCCTAACTTTGTCCGATATGCATATGGTAAAAATTTCAAGTCAATCGGTTCAGCCGTTTTGGCTCTATCGTGCCGGACAGACAGACAGACAGACGGACGGACGGACATGACGGTTCCATAAGCCCTGACTCGGGCTAAAAATCATGTAAGGGGCCGAATGGTGATCTCGGACGCCTATCCGGATCAAGTAAAGGTTTTCCCAACCCACCAACATCGGGTTTTTCCTCTACTCCCCAAGCCAACTAAGTGTATTTCATAGTTTATCAATGTTTATGTTAATAAAAGACGTTATAACTAAAAAAAAAATAAATAAACAATTCTTGATCCGTTCCGTTAACCAATTTCACATAATTTATAGATGTTTCAAGTTTGTCTATTACTTAATGCATACAAATAATTATATTAAATTTTGGTGAGACTGGAGCGACGACATCCAATTTGGATGCATTTATAAAATGCTAAAAATGTAAAATACGCATGATTGTTATTGGGGTGGGGATAGGTCATAGGTTAGGTTACTTTCATATTATCCACAAGTCTGATTCGAAATCAATCATAACTAAACTACGAAGGGGTCTTAATCATTGCATATATAAATTTCAGGAGCACGAAATTACTAATTTCCATTGTGAAAGTACATAAATAAAATGCACAAGAAAAAATAATTCCTCATCCATCCATCCGTTTCATTTTATTTTACATCATTAACTCAATGCACTACTTTGTTGACAAAAATTTCTCAACAAATGAACGTATAAAAATATGAAATGCATAAAAATAGAACCTGACGAGACGAAGTTGGGCTTGAACGAAGAAAGTGCATGATCATAATGAAATTATGTATTATTCGTCGGTACCGGAGTTTTTGAGCTCTTTGGAAAATGTGGTGGCCCTTAAAAGGGCCGTTGGGTTGTTAGCGTGTAGATTTGTGAAAGCTGAGGAATTAGGCGGACTTCTTTTCCGTCTTCTTGGGGAGAAGGACGGCTTGGATGTTTGGAAGGACACCTCCCTGGGCGATGGTGACCCCGGAGAGCAGCTTGTTCAATTCCTCATCGTTTCGGATGGCGAGTTGAAGGTGACGGGGGATAATCCTGGTCTTTTTATTGTCTCGGGCAGCGTTTCCAGCCAACTCGAGGACCTCAGCGGCCAAGTACTCCATGACGGCAGCCAAGTAGACGGGGGCACCCGCACCCACTCGCTCGGCGTAGTTGCCCTTCCTCAAAAGACGATGGATACGACCCACTGGGAACTGGAGTCCTGCACGGCTGGATCGGGACTTTGCCTTTCCCTTCACCTTTCCTCCCTTGCCACGGCCAGACATGATGATTAGTAGTTTGTGGTTGAAACTTGGAGAGAGATGTTCTCAGTATGAGATATCAGCAGCTTGTGATGAACTTTGTTGGATTCGAGCTTGAATTTATACCAACTGGCTGAGTTGCGGAGCAGACCTCTTGAGTTCTGAGTTCTGAGGAGCGAGCGGGCTTTCACTGCTTACTTTCAGCCAATCCTCTTTCTCGCACAAAACTCAGCCCTTCTCTATAAAACCAGCAGCCCAAACGGAAACAGTCATCACTCGCTGTCTCACCTTTCTCTTGGGAACAAGTAACAACTCCAACCTACAAAACAATAAACAATGGCTCGTACCAAGCAAACTGCTCGTAAATCCACTGGAGGGAAAGCCCCCCGCAAGCAGCTCGCCACCAAGGCTGCCAGGAAGAGCGCCCCTGCGACCGGAGGTGTCAAGAAACCCCATCGTTACAGGCCCGGAACCGTCGCCCTCCGAGAAATCCGTCGTTACCAGAAGAGCACTGAGCTTCTCATCCGCAAGCTCCCCTTCCAACGACTTGTGCGAGAAATCGCTCAGGATTTCAAGACGGATCTCCGATTCCAATCCTCCGCTGTCATGGCTTTGCAGGAGGCGTCCGAGGCCTACTTGGTTGGTCTCTTTGAGGACACCAACTTGTGCGCCATCCACGCCAAGCGGGTCACCATCATGCCCAAGGACATCCAACTCGCTCGCCGAATCCGTGGAGAACGTGCCTAAACAGTTGTCATTCATCCATCACATCACAAAAAAAAACCAACGGCCCTTTTAAGGGCCACCACTTTCTCCAAAGAGCAGTCAATGATAATAATGCGACGCAAATATGATGTATACTCTTTTCACCAAGTGTTGTCTCGTTCCTTCCATATTAGATTCGAGATTGCTCTGCATACGAGAATTATATCTAAAATAAGATGCGTATTTTGAAACTTACGTTATGTAACGTACGTCTTTGGATTTATATGCAGCATTGATTGTCATCGAATTGTATATAGTCAATGTTTATTCCAAAGTGACGCAATTAAGACAAGTAATGTTGGAGGTAATAAACAATAATGTGTAATGATTTATCACGATATAGTAATTAAAATTAAAGTCATCTTCGGATGACCAGGAACGAAGAATGAATAAATTACGACTAGAGCTACGCATAATTCTGCACATTAAAGCAAATCATCCCTGCTTGCTAGCATAATAGAACAACATTTCCAGCCTCAGAGCCCAAGAGTAGAAATTGATTTAATGGTAGAAGACGCATGCTTGTAACAACGCCTTTAAAAGTATCAGATCTTAAACGAGTGGAAGAAAAGTCCGAGTTCGAATCAATGCCACAATGGATTCCAATTCGGTTTGAGGTTGTACAGGAAATCAGTTCGGATTCATATGCACACATTGAGTGTACAGGCTCGGTTGGTCCCCTAATTAATTAATGAGAAGGAAACTCACAAACTTTTTTGTAAATATTTTATACATTTTAAACAAAACTGCGTACCTCATGCTGAAAGAAAGCCGATTTTCATCTAAATTCCATACTGAAATATTCTGATCAAATGAAGAGCTTATAAGCTGCTTGTTACGATGTGTAAGTAGCTGCAACACCTGTACAATCGAATAAAACTAGGTCAAAATCTATGCAGTGGTTCGTTCAACGAAAACTGTTACCTCTCCATCGTGACCTTTCCAGGAACCTAATAACGTCCCATTTCTTAAATCCAAAGTCGACAGCATACCCGATGAATGCCCAACAGAGACGATTTGACCGTTATCAGAGACGGCAAGACACCGCACTAATCCACTCGCTTGGCCAATTCCAATCTAAATATCATAAAATGACACATGAGACTGAGTAATTATGTCGTTGATAAAATTATTGCAATACCTTTAGCTCGTAGGCGTTGTATGTTCTACAATCGACAACGTGAACAGTGCTGTCGATTCCAGCTCCCACAAAGTTGCTAGTATGAAGAATAGGCCGAAGGGCACAAACCTGACTGCTTTTAGCTGCATTTCCCTTGTCAAGAACTCGGACAGAGTTTCCGACGAAGGGGTCCCACTACAACAGAAACAGAAATCATTATTTAATAATTTTAATAAATACTGTTACCAGATGGGTGTAAAATCAATATCCTTACCAGATGAATGAAGCCATCGGTTGATGCTGCGAGGTGTAGTGGTTCATGAAAGATAACGCTCAGAACTGCTTTCTTGTGATTGGAATAAGTCCACTGACAAGTGGACACTGCAGTTTCATCTCCCTAAACATTGTATGTGTGAAATAAAACTTTAAAGGTGATTTTTTTAATAATTTATTTATACCTGATTCCGTAAAGAAAATAATTTCACGGTCTTGTCTTTGCTGAGTAAGTAGAAACAACTATCATGCTAATTTGTTCAAAGATACTTGAAAATAAATTCCACAGATCCTTACCTCGCAGTCAAGAAACTATTTTCATTGTCGAGAGCATGAATATATCTAACCGATCCTGTATGTCCCGTGAAAGTGTGCAGTTTTATTTGTTTAAAGTTGAATTTTGAGTCTGACCGACCAATCTCATGGTCCCAATAGACGAGCCAATTGCCTTTAAGATGACGCGTCGGGTCTTTTTTAGTTGGCAAACTAGTTTCTGCTTCCTCCGAAGTTGTTTCCAGCTAGAAAAATGAAATGTTGAGTTAAACTATTTAGTTTACTATGCACAATAATTATCCACTGAACCTCTTGAACTTGGATACGATTCCCAAAACTACGTGAACCGAAACTTGATTGCTGCTCAACTTTAGACTTTTGTTGCGATTTTTGCGATGTAGGGCTTCCATCTGAAAAGTAATTTGCATAAATCTATATAAAAATGCATGTTATCGGATTTGTAGTATGATTACATACTCTCTCGCATACTGGCTGATTTCTCAGATAATCCTTGTTGAAGATAAAGGTCACGGATCAAAGATTCATATTCTGAAAAATTTGAATAAAAGACAATGAAAATGGTTTGCATACGGCGCATGACTTTGACTTATGATCAGTTTAAATCATTGACTAGCTCAAAAATCTTTATCTTACCTGAACCCGTGATGACATCACAGAAATTTGTGAAAATTTGAGAAGCCAAAAGTGGATCAAATGCTAAAGTTATATCGGCCTAAAATGTACACACACATTATAAATTAAACTTGCAACCAGAAAATGTGCGATTAGAGTTTAAAATCATACCCGAATATCTCCATTTTTACTGTAAACAATCTGAAACGTTTTGCAAATGACGAGTAGAACTGGTTTCAGATGAAGTTGACTTAGATCGGGCCCTATCTTTTTCCGTATTGAGGTCATCATGTTCATACACTGCAATTTCAGGAGGTCAATAAGACAGTGCGCAGTGATAAATACGACTAAACTAATTTTAATATTTAACAAATATCTAATAAAGTCTCGTACTTTACAAGCGAGCAAGGCCCTTGATATTTCTCCGTTCGGCAATTCCACAGAGTTGGAGCAGATCAAGCCGACAAGTGGAGATAGAATTTCTCTAATAATGGGGTCCTGTTGTAACAGAGTAAATCAAATTTATTGTTAGGGACACTATACATATTACGAAAAGGTAATGTCGAACCTGTAAAACTGTCATAAGCACAGTATCTGAAATGTATTGAAAGATTCTGTCCAGCATGGACGAAACTCCAAGTAAAGCAGATTCTGCATTATGATTCATTTTCTGACTTGCTGATTTGATCATATCCGCACAGTAAGGGATGTACTGCCGCTCAACAAATGAATCTCCATAAAGATCTAAAAATATAACCACAGGTATTTGGTAGTTGTGAAAGTTGTGTGTTAAATAATATAAGTACCAAATAACATTCACTTCCAACTCTTTCTAACCTGAAATTGCCATCAAACAATCCAAAACCTTTGACACGTTTAGATCTCCGTCACAGGTCAACCCTTTGTGGGGTTCGATCAACGTTAAGTGATCTTTGTAACACAGGGTCAACATTTTTAGCAAGTTTTTAGAGAAATGTTTTGCCGTCAAGACTGGTCCTAAACGATGAGCAAGATAAATGACACTTTCAAAGCACACGTCAGAAATGTCAATCACAGAGTTGCTTCCTCCTCCTCCTCCTCCTCCTCCTCCTCCTCCTCCCATGGATGAAGCGCTTCCACTTCTACGAGGCATAGATCCATCTCTTTGGTGTCTACTATGTGAGCTTGACTGATGTGAACTTTGGTTTTGACTAGTAGTAGTTATTGTTGTTATTGTGTTTCCTCCTGACGTTACTTTAGGTTGACTAATTAAATCGGAAGGATCGGAAGCATTGGTCACTTCTACTGCGGTTGAAGAATTAGTTGTTGCTGAGGTTTCATTTCCTTCAGAATCAGAAACATCCGGCTCCATTACAAACATTTCTGGTTCAACGGTCTGTGATGTTGATGAATCTATTTCGGATTCGCTTCTCTTAAAATTTTGTAGTTTCACTGACTTCTTTCTAGACGAGCTTTTAGGTTCGTCAGCCTGGTTAATTTCTAAATCGGCAGAGTTTAAATGAGTCCGAGTATGCGTTTCACTTTGATCTCCGGAAGCCTTTAATCCTCCAATTGCTTCGACAAGAAGAGATGCAAATTTTTTGAGAAATTTTGTGAGACCAAAACAACTGCAGAGTTGGAGGAGAAACGTCTTATGAAATAACTTGAGATGTTTATCAGAGTGATAATCGTTTTCATATATTTTGGCGATTGGGTCTAATAAATACTCGGATGATTCTACAGAAGATGTTAGATAAAAATCAATAAATGTGTGTTACAAAGTTAATTATATATAAAAGCCATTAACTTTAACTTACTCTTTCTCCCAATAACTTTGGCAAATGGACAAAATAAATTCCATGAAGCCAGCACCCGTGTTTCCGCATTTTCAAACCTATAATTGTAATCTGGAGTCACATTCTGTCCTGTATAATAAACATGATGTAGTAATATTTAGATAATAAATAGTCTTACATCTCAACTACAAATGGTAGAACCAAGTCAATCCCTTCATTATCCAAAGTACCCAGTAGTTGAGTAAGATCTCTCGAGAACGATTGCACTTTGAGTTCCTGCAACCGAAGTCGATATCCCACATCTTCTGGAGATGCAGTAGCCAAAACTTTCTCGTAATTTCTCATTGACCTCAACATTTTGTACACATTAGGAAAATACGATGGGAAAGGGATTGGTCCTAACTTTTCTCCTAAAATATGATAAAAATTACATTAGTTGAAAGTAAAAATTTGTGTATGTTCTTTAATTATTACATGCTTACCTAGTAAAAGTAAATCCAACGACATGTTGATCGGTATAGAAAATTCCAGACTGTCGCTATCAAATATTGACTGAATAGCTCTCCTACAGTAAAGTGGAACTAGTGGCATTGATCCTTTGACAATGCTCTTATAAAAATTAAACTTTTCTTCTATGCCTCCTGTCACAGATGCATGTCTACATTTTTGTGGCAGTATGATTTCCATGAGCAGACATCCGAACAGTTTCACAAATATCGGGATTTCTTGCCTATCTTTCAAACCAATTAATGTAACGCCTGGATCTGTTAAATAGGGAAACTGAGTTTTGAAGAAGTTCATTGTAACTTCAAAATCGTTAAAGAGTCCCATTGGATCATAATGTTTCGGCAAGTTAATATTTTTCCATATTCTATTTTTTGTATCCAAAGAGTTTGACGAGGCTTCCAGAATGTGATCGTCGCCTTCTTGTTCTCTTAACTCTGTACGGAAATTAGCAAAATAAAATTACACACCGCTGCATAATAATCAGGTAAGGACCAAATATCCTAATCTTACTTTTCAGATCTTTATATTGAACTTTATTTCGCATATCGCGCAACGGATTTTTCCTTGGCGGATGAGCAGTCTATATAGAATAACGAATAACTAATTATTGTCGTGTTTGTGCAACGCAATTTATTAGCGTTATTCTCAGACTGATATAAAGATTTAATATTTAATCAAAACATACCTGGAATAACTGGACAACGCCATGAGATTCTAAATTCATATGAGAATCGACTAGTGACAGATAAATGTTCTTTGACTTTACGGCAGCCGTTCCACTTAATTTATATCCGAATGTCAAGTCGATCCAGTGGTGCAGCTTTGCAGATACGAAATCGCTTTCTAGCATTCTGCGATGTTGAATGACAAAATCCTCAGGACTAGAACACCAATCTGGGATACCTAACGTCGGAAGATCTTCATGGATTGACTGAAAAATAATAAACAACGTACTTGTGATTAGAGCAGGATATTTTCATATGCATCAAATATTACCTTACCTTAAATATTGTGGCATCATCGAAATAATCAGGAATGCATTCATCCGGAGTCCAGACTTGCATTCGAGTTATTGAATTAGGATATTCTGCCGGGACCCATATTGGTCGAACAAATTTACACAACGTATCTTTTGGTGTCCTTCGAGCTTTGTAGACATAGTAAGTGATTTCAGACAAAATATCTGAGACATGGTGAGGAGCCTATACATAGTTAAAACATTAAAAAGAATAGTACATTTCTAACATTTACAAGTACCTTTATAACAATAAAAAGCATTTGCATTAGAATATACCCCCTTGGTTTTGTCCGACAAAGGTTTAGTTTTGTCTTGCAAAACTTCTTCATACATAATATCCAACTGTCTGTCTCCCTTGTTGAGTCGATACTTTGACTTTTTGAAATCCCTCCACCCACCCGTTGGACTGGAAAAATCGCAGACCTGCACGAAACCAATAAAGGTATAAATTTCAATACCAATACCAATTATGGTGTAATTGAAAATTGGATATGGCTTACCCATGGAAAGACAGGGTAAAAATTTGGATTCACAGAGCAATATCGGCCGCACAGAAAATTGAGGAACATAATATATTCATAATTTGATACTAATCCTTCACACCAATAACGGATCACTGTTTCGACAAACTTTGGATCAATTTGGCAATCTTGTGGTGGTGCTGATGGCTTTTTTGGATCATTGTCCCATCCTCTAACCTTGTTTACAATGCTTTTCAATTTGGCAATAACTTTAGAGTCCACCACCTCTTCTGTCCCACTGTTCTTGTCATCGGAGTTTGTTTTCAGCTCATCATAAATACCAGATATCCACGGAATAACGTTTAAATATAAAGACTCGTCTATTTTAAAATCGTCCAACGATAAACCCCCTAAAGGAAGACCGGTTGTTTGGAAATCGCGTAGAAAGTTGAGAATCTGATACACTATAAACATTTGTCGCGATGTTGAGGTCAACTTTTGAGGTGAGAATGTCACAGCATCGTGTAAACTAAAATCCATATACTGATGAAACAGTAGGAAGCACTCAGTCGGTACTTTCTCGGCAGTTTCGATTGATTTTGTGATTATTAATAGCGCCTGGGATAAACCGGATACTGGGAAACGTTCTACCTCAATATTTTCGCCATCATCGCCTCTTGAACGTCCTGCCCCGTCGCCCAAGTTTATGTACAATTTTCTAATGAGTTTGTTAAGGTAGAGATGTGCTTCCATTGTAGCAATTGATTTACTGGTTCCTTCATTATTTTTTACAATTTGTGATTCCGAGTCGTGATTTCCCAGCAGACTAATTTGTGGTTGTTCCCAGATAAAGTTGAAATTTGACTCTCCTATAAAATCTAAAATTTGTGGCCAGGTCATGTTTCCTTTTGGTTTCTGGTTGTGATTGGTAATGTTCCCTTCATCAAGATCAAAATAGGTTTCAGCATTTTTTGGAGATTTCATAACCTACAAAAAACATAGCTCGTAGTTCATTCGTAGTTCTAAATTTTGTATTGTTGTAATTCGTAACAATTAATTACGGTAAGTAGCAGAAGCATCCAGTTTGGTCCCAATTCTTCAGGTTGTCTTTGACCAAGAAAAGCTTGAACTTCATCATCCAGTAAAGTTTCGTGAGTTGGGAATGTAGATGGAATTGTTTTGGTTGATACAAGCTCCCTGTAATTCAAAAAGTTAAAAATCATTACAAAATCTGACTATCTTTAATCTTGTTTACCATTAGTGTAATATATATCATTAGTAAGTTATAAATTACAACGTTATAAGCAAATAAAAACATAATTACCGAATCCAACTTATGTGGGCAGCAATCACGTAGCGTTTCTCGAAGAAAGAAGCGTTTCTTGAGGGGAATGGAATGATATATTTTGAGGGGACATTTTTTATTCCCAAAACGTGGAATGGATTCATGCTTCTCACATTACTTAAAAAGTTAATGAGTTCATAGTGATGGAAGTTTAATATCGAAGGGTCCTTCATTTGAACTCATCCCACGAAAAAAAACTAATTGGTAAAAAAATGTTTGGCTAATTGATTACTTTGAGTCTTTATTCTCTTCACGGTTTATAAATATCAGACATAATAATAATAGCTTGGTTTTGCAAAGGAATACAAAATAATCTGAGTTTTTTACGGATTATTTTTTGACAACTGGCGAAAAGTCAACAGAGTTTTATTCTACAGCGAGGAGTGAACTGCCGCGGTGTTTCTCAATGCCTACATGTGAAATGTGTTGAGAAAGTGGAGAAAGTTTGGGACGATATTCGAACAAATTTTTATAAAAATCAAAAATATTTTGTACGTCTGGGATAATCAGTGAGGCAGAATGTAAAATAAGGTAAGTAATTAATAATTATATCAATATTTTTAAAAGCGGTGAAAGTTTTATTTAGTGAAAGTACAGCATCATGTTATTAAATCGAAAAGCAGGTCAGGGTCATTCTGGACTGGATGAACGGCTGTATTTATTTTTGATATGGACTCTGTGAACCAAATTTTTCAAAATCCTAGTCGTATTCATAGGAGTATACAAAGCTGCATACAAAGATTTCAGTGTATTTTGAGTACATTTATTGCACATCCATCAATGTATAATGTTTACACATTGATTATACTATAAGCGACACCGTTATGCAAGGTTAGACTTTCGCATTTCCGTCCCATGTAAATAACCGTCGCAAACGAAATGTAGCGAAAGGGTGAAACTCATCCGTCGTTCGCTACCGTTTTCTACAAAATCTCATTTTTCCCTAACGGGGGGTGCGGCCATACTCCTTCAAAACTTGTCTCTGCCGTCTTTCTATCCATTCCTATCATTGTCTCATATCTTCTATTATTTTCATAAAATCTCACATTCCCGATTGAGTTCATGGGCACACCCCTTAAGATCAAAATTTTCTTGTTAATATAGAACACTCTCACGGATGATATATTCAAAACGAAAAACAAATCATTTCCACACACCCATAACGAAGAGGGGGTGTGGCCTACAACGCCCATTTTCGAACTTAACTCCTTCCCAAAAATTAGAAACATTTTGGTGATGACCGTTTCACTGTTTGTCAAAATTCGTTCGAAAGTTATCGTGGACACTGACAGACGGACGGACAGACAGACAGACAAGGCAGTGCTATAAAATGGATGCACAGTGTAGTAAATAACCATAAATAAACATTTCGGTTAGTTAATGGAGATAAATATACACACATCTGTACGAAAACTTTGCCGAGTTAGTTTGAGAACATTGCATTGTACCGAAAGTTTGAAGCCAACAGTTGACTCTTAACCTTGAATTATTATATATCGACAATTTTGTAACTTTTCGGCTTATTTAAATTATTCAGTCAATATGGTTTCGCAATTGCATGCATAAATTGACGTAGTGAGGTGCAAAGTGTTGGCTGCTTCCTCCGGGGTTCGTATGTACGAGAGTGTGTGGTCATCATACGGTAAAGATTCTCATGAATTTTAATGAATAGCTATTACATAGAGGATACCTAATATTTTGTTCAATAACCTCGCTATTAGCTTGGTTTCGACCAAAACGAATATGCATACGCGTACAATTTTTGACAGTGGCAAGGTTTATTCTCCAATATCAAGTTTAAGCACCTATGTATACATATTCCATTTTGTAAAGTTTAAATTGACTTCGTTAGATACACTACCTTCAACATTACGCTTTTAAACTGCAACGCTTGGTTGTGAATTGTATGCAAAGAAACGTGTGCTCTCTGCACCTTATATACTAATCTAAGCTCTGCACTCTGTAAGTCTGTAATAGCTCAGCGTGTGTACATTTGACAGGATTTTTATAAAGCCATTTAACTAAGGATAAATGCATGAAGGCAAGTAAATGGTTGAGAGAATTTAAGTTGATTTAAAAGAGCAGAGCAGGTTATTTAGTTAACTTTCTACGCTATACGTGTTTTGCCAAAATTGGATTTCTAAATTTCAATTTCATACGATGTAATTGGATTGTTTAGTTGGTTGGCGTGTGTGGAACCCAACGTCTGATGGTGTTCAGTGCATATCTTCTCGAGGAAATCTCACTATTCGCACTTCAATTGTCTGCAAATTGCGTTGGTCGTGGTTCTAAATAGCAGAAAATGAATTCTGGTAACGAAAATCACAAATTGCTTCTGGAAGAGGTACGTATTTATATTTCTATGCAGAATCATCATGCAACTGTATTTTATATATTTCTGAATGTTATTTTGCTCAGTTTCGGTCTCAAGTATCAGTAGGAGACTTTTTGTCAGATGAAATGGTGAAGGATGACGCTTTTTTGATGCGATGGCTGATTGGTAAGTGAAATTTGATTTGCATGTTTAATTATATTTATAATTTATTTTTTTTAATAGCACGAGACTTTAATGTGGATAAGGCGCTCGTAATGTTAAAAAATGTAGGTAAAGATACCTCTTGCAAAGGCAGAAATTTAATATGCCACCAACATGCAGATGATGAGCACTAATCATATGCTACTTATTACATTTAGTGCATGACGTGGAGAAAAGATTATCAAATTGATTCAATTTTGGAATGGGAACCTCCAGAAGATCTTAAGAAAGCGTGCCCGTATGAAATAACTTTCAATGATCGTTCCGGACGTCCAGGTACGTTGAAACTTATTGAAAAAATCCTAATCATGGTGATAATTTTGTCATGCTTCCAGTTCTTCTCTTTCCCTGGGCACGATGGACTCCGTGGGACTTTACTGACCATGGTCGTCGAGATGAATACCTAAAATACAGTTACCAAATGCTGGAGAAATGTGTGGCTGCCATAAGAAAGCCAGCGACTCAGTTTACTCTTATTGCTGATTCAGATGGCTTTACGTTCCGTCACATGAGTCGAGTTAAAGGTATGCATATATGTACAAATGCATACATTTACTACAGTATCTAGCTAATTCATGGTCAAGTATAAACTAATAATTTATTAACCAATTAAGCCCTTGAAGCCAACCTAGAAGTTTTGAGAGGATATGAATGCCGCTATCCTGAAATGATGGGTCTTGCAATTGCTGTAAATTGTATGTTATGAACCTGTTAAATCAAATATGTACTATTACACAACACGCAATCATATTTTTCTATGCATTTATTTATCACAGGTCCGAAAGTATTTTCTCTTCTATTCGCCGTTATCAAACCCTTGATGTCGTCCCGAACTCAGGAAAAATTGGAATTATACGATTCAAATAGTGCCAAATGGATGAAGCGGTTGGTTCACTACATTCCTGAAAATGACCTCCCTGAAAAATACGGAGGTCGAAGAATGACCCAAATCATGGAGAGGATTGAAAGTCCACAACAAGGATGTGATATTGAAATTAGTGCATAGTCAGAGTCAAAATTCCAGTCCAGCTCATGGGCAGCAAAATTACCATAAATTTATGACTGTACTTACTCCGATCTCTAAATATTTGTTATTTGTGCTACCCAACGTGGAAATGGTATAAATTGTATGTTTCATAAATTATTGTTTGGTATACAAAGTTCAAAAGCAATAAGTACAATTGACGGATGTTCCTTAATGAGCATGCTCGTAATAGTTAAAATTACATTTATGTATGTATTTGAATCTTATGACCATGCTAACAATTAAGCATATATTTTTCTTCTCACTACTATTGGACAATACGTAGAATGTCAACATTTATCCTTTTTTACATACATGCCAAAATTATACTTAATCATGTTAACTATCATAGTAAAAGCATAATTGAGTAGTATTTATATAATTTAATTGGTAATACCAACCTGGTATGCAAGTAAAACGAAATAAATAATCCAAATCTATTTACCTAACTATCTCACTAATCCATGTATCTCATCGCGATTAATTATGTAATCCAATCAATCCATAAATACACGAGCAATAAAAGCAATATTAAATGGGTATTTATTTCCATCCATTTATCATATTTCATTTCGTTCGATTGGGGACCCGACAAACGCCAATTCCCCATCCATCCAACCATCCATCCATCCACTTTCATATCTCATAATATTTTTGGGAGTGAAAGGTGAAACCAAAACCCGAGTCTACTTTCTTCTCTCTTTCAGCCTGCCTCGCCAATATTTCCACCTTAGCGTCCAGCACTAGACAACTCGAGGACTATTCGCTCCATTGATTCCAACCTAGCACGAAAAACATAATCGAATGCAATCAAAGTGGAGTTCATGGTATGTTCGTAACTCGAAACCGCACCCAACCAGCCAAGCAACCCGACCCACCACCACCCAAGTAAATTAAACGGCGGAATGGTAATAATGGTCATTTTAACGGGCCTGGAAGTTAGCTAGAAATGAGATAGATTCTTCCGGTTGTCCAATAACAAGGGGAATAAAAGACTGCGTGACTCATCTTCTCCTCCCACTTAATTATGCAATTACATTGATTCATATAATAAAAAGGGTGGCATTTAATATAGCTTTCTCCTATACTATACACACGCGTATTTATGTACGTACTCCACTCCGACAATCCGATCGGGTGGGTACATGCGTATCTATCACCGTTGCCTATCCGTGTCGCTACAAAGGGAAGGAACGAATTCAATAAATATATAATACAGTTACAGACAGAGCAGTACTAAAGATAGAAATGGCTTTATTTCATCAACTACGATCCATGGACGTACGTATCCCCCGACTCAGGATCAGGGACGGATAGAAAACACAATAGGAAATAGAGATAACATTTCTAATGGAAATTTCCCATGAAATCTTCTCTATCTGTCTAGCGGAATGGTGATGTGATGAAGACTTGGGGTCTGATGGCTACATTACATCTGGAATTTCTACCCGGAGGTGAAAGTGTCGTAAGTTGTCATAAAAGAAGGCTTCCGAGACCGGAGGATGCAACATGCTGTGCGAAATGATTATGGGGTAACCAGCCACGAGATTGTACATACACGACCAGAGTGGAAGTTGTGCAAGTATGCATGTTCTCGTGACAAGTTTGACATTTTCGTCTTAAAGCCATAATATGTGTGGAAAAAGGATACAATATAAATGACAAGAAAATGCGTCCATGTTACCAACTTTATTGTGACGAGATGAATTTTACGAGAAAGTTTCACATCAACTTTTTCATCGAGTTTTCATGATTTTTTTTTATCCATCAACCAAACTGTCCCGACAGTATGGTCGGATTTGCATGGAGATTGCATGCCGATACATGTGTACAAGTATGTATGTAGGAGAGGAGAAAGTTGGTCATGTACGTCAATTTGTGACTCACTCACAAAGTAATCATTAAAGGATTTAGGTTTGCCTGGTAGGGGTTCGTCTTCTTCGGTGTTGGTTTAGTTGGTTGGTGCTAGCTGTTGCTTACTTACATGCTTGTTTGCTTCGGGTCAGGATAAAGGCAGATTCGCAATTCAGTAGGAAACTCATTCATTTTATGGCATGTTGATGTTTTCTGCCACCAAGGAAGGAGTACGACGAGGACGAGGATGACGGGCTATTGCTACGGGGTGAATTTGGTCCATCTAAATCCATGCTCTTTGATGCTGCTGCTGCTGCTGCTGCCTTTGGGTCTTTATTGTAGACAAAATCGATTTCTAACTGCGAACAGGAAAAACGGGATCCAGATTTATTCGCATGGCACTTTTGTTACCTATCTGGAGTAAGCAAAATGAAGGAAACACACACACACAATACATACACGAGAGGTCTGTATGAGTATATGCATGTACGTACGTAATATGGATAGAAAAAGAGATGGGAGAAAGCACTTCAAAAGCAGGTGCTGGCAGGGCACATTTATTTGTTCGTGTAGGCTTTGCTTTCCTCGCTCCCTTCTTCAACATGGAATTGGATCTTTCTCTAATAATCTTATGAAATAAACACTTGAGTGAGAAATGAAAACATTCTTTTGTAAATTCTCAAATATGAGTTAAAATTACATCTTCCCGGAGGAGGAGGAGATGTTCTCACATAATTCTCCAATTTCGCAGAAACTCGAATTTCATTCAATCCTTGTCCTGGTAAATTTTAGATTGAAAAATATTTCTGATACGAAACTACACCGGATCCGACCGGATGGATATCTAGATCTAGATCCAGACCCACATCCACCTACATTTAGTCAGCTATCCAATTTATGTTCGTGACATTCTGACTTGTCCTGCTCACAACAAGGCGCTGAGTAATGATTGGCTGTTCTGTTCTGCTGAGTTCTGAGTTTGGAGAGAGAGAGAGGCTTATTTCCTTTTCTAAGGTGTCGGATGAAAGGACTCTCATTTGTCTCCTTCTGTCGACACTCTCATTAAAACTCGTCAGGAGGAGGACAAACTATTGTCTTGGTGTTGCTTAATATAGGCCGTTGTATAGGTGACAGGTGGGTGAAAGCGAATGAGTTTTCGAGCGGGGTGATTTATGGATCACGTAAACTAAAGTGTGTCTGGTCTTCTTCGCTGCTGCGTTGATTATGACTTTTATTACGCAATGAAATGACAATCCTGGTCTAATAGGAATCACTAAAAGGAGTAGTGGGCGAGATGACAAATTTTTAAAATTGGGCCACGAACGACGAGGATAAAACGAAGCTCTAATCGAATTCCGCTCAAACACATGTCAGGTTTCCTTTTAATATACTAAATCACTGGGTGACGACGTTATTCGTTCGCTGTATGCGAATATCGATCCTTCTTTTAATGAGGTTTTTGCAAACATCTTTTTCTTCAATGTACTCCACGTCCACCTGAGAGCAAGAAGTAAGCTCGTTGATTTTTTCTCCTAAAGCCTTCTTTTCATAGTGACTGAACATCCCTTTGAATCATTTAATTAACGATGTCTGTACCAGAAGAGAGAGTGAGAGAGAGTGGATGAGTGAGAGAGAGAAAGTTTTGAACAGACAGATTGAACAAAGGTGTGTATACGGATGAGAAATTCCATCATTGGAACGTAGAAATCATGAAACTACGCACACGCGATTCTCCACCAAATAAATTTATGTCATCTGCACATCCATTCCTAGATAAATGACCATCCTCCAAAAACATCATCCATTACCTGGACTCTCACTCTCTCTCTAACAAATCGCAAAAAAGAGCTGCCAACCAAACGTTCATTCGCATTTCTATTTCATGAGCGAAATTAAATTACCTCCCGTGAAGTGGTTGATTTCCTCTGGCTGGTTGCACTTTGAAAATCCGGTAGAATAAATTTCCACCAGGCAGCATCTACCAACCAACCCACATTAATCGTGTGTCCACTCCAGCTGTACATTACAAATACATGTTAATTAGTCAGTAGGGAGAGATTCGTAGGGAAAACGGCGTGATTTATGGTGGTGGTTGGTTGGTTAGTTGGTGTTCCATATCCTTCACGCTCAGGCCTGTTTTTTCCGTGGTGGGAGAAGTGAAAGCGTTGAGAAGAGAAACTGAGTGTGAGCTTTTGAGCGTGTGGTGGTGGTGGTGGTTTTAGGAGAGAAGAAGACGAAGAATTGTGTCAGAGAGAAAGTTGCTGCCGAATCGACAGGTATTTTGACTTTCTCTCCGACAAGAGTGGAAATAAAATTGAAAGACGAACCGTCGTCCTCATTAGTTTTATTATCAAGGCATCCTTCCATTTCCATCTATTCATTCCACCATTTTCTCGGAAGAATTTGAGCAGAGCTTGACTAGATTTTTGTATGAACGTGTCTTTTACCTAAGTGGTAGGATGTACTTGCCGATACATTCGAAGATATTATAAGTACGTGTACACAGAGTGGTGGGTAGGATCGATATTAATATTGAATTACACTGGTAATAGTGAAGTGAACCAACCGACTGACTTTCCATTCTACTTTCTCCCTATGCAACAGGAGTCAGAAAGAAAGAAACAAGGAGGAGAAGAGTCATTCTTTCCCTTCGCGGTAGATTGAGTAGAAAAATAAAACTAGAGAGATCGGGTTCCTTCTTCTTTCTTTTTTACTTTGTGTTTTTTTCTACACTCGCTTTTCGCATTTCGCGAGAGGAAATGGATTTCGTTAATTACTCGGAGAAAGTGAAGTCGTGTTATTAGTTGGAGTTGGAGGATTGTGTGTCGGAGATGATTAACTGAGGTGAGAAGGCTGTTATTATCTATTGTGACCTAATGATGACCTGATCATCTTATTCTTATCGCTGGACAGGATCTGACCATAAGATTGTGAAAAAAATGTCTGAAACGGACAGCCTGGCATCGGAGGTGATCCGGCCGATATTTCGTCCCTTCACGAGAACCTCGCTGGACAAAATTCACGCTCGTATGACGGAGGAAACGAATCGGAAGAAAGAACTGGAACGGAAACGAGTCGAAGGCGAGGTGAGTATTATGTTTTCTTTTTTGCATCTTTTATTTAAAAACCGAAAAGGAAATTGCCCAATTCATATCCAAAATACTACTAAACATGTTTCTATTTTTACGTGTATGTAACATAGTTGTGTAGCATATTGTGTACATTGAATTCCACCCGGGGAGAGTTTTACCCAGTAAAGCGACGACCTCTTTAACACAAATTAATTCCCTTCTTCTTGTTTCTGTCAACCTCTATGTACTCGTACTGCTGTTGTATTTGTAGCCAAAAACTTGTTCAACCTCACACACTCGTCTCCATTGGTGTGCAATGATTGATGTGTAAATGTCGTAAAACTAGAACTTTTTTCCCGTAAAACATAGTGTCTCGTGCAACAAGTAGTAGCCCTCCAACCTACGTTTTACTCACATTCTTTTGTCCGTCCGTAGATTTGTGTAAAATTCCATCGGAGAGACTCGCGTGCGGTTGAGTCTCACAAAAAGATATTGGAAACAAACAAACGTTCATCCCAGGGAGAAAGTTTTTGGGGAAAACTTTTGCAGACACGTCAAATCAAAATGTTGATCGTTCGTTGTTGCTTCAAGTTGGTGTTGGTTTTGGTGGTGGTGGTGGTGGCGATGATGGTGGTGTTCAAGTCGTTATTTGAGTAAGAGCCTTGCATGACCTCTTTCACTCTCCTACTTTCTCTCTCATCACTAACCGTATCTCTAATATCTGTCTGCATCTCTGTCTACTGACCACATTGTTTTTCAGGCTTAATTAAAGTGTGGAATGAGCATGTATCTAACTTTGTCCATGTGGCTTTCTCTGTTCTTAAGTGTTTTCTTGTCTAACTTGCATGTACATTGGCGAAGAAGTACACAAATCTCATTGTATAATTTCGGTCGGCTAAAATTAACTAACACGTAATGCATAAGGTGAACATATATTTATCTCAATATGGATAGTGAGGAATGGCTTAATTTTGATAATAAATGCGTAGGCAAGTAAATATTAACCGGTTTATGATAATGAAGCCAAGATAAGTACTTATTTATGTACATAGCAGCTACATAGTATTTATAAATTACATTATTATTACACTTTATTTATTTACTTGTATACATTTTTTATCACTTTTATTATAGTCTAGTTCATCCTTTGCATACGTAATTAATTGGGATTGAATTGAGATGTGATCTAATTTTAGGTCAGGTACGACGAAGAGAGCGAGGACGAAGGGTGAGATAAATAAGAGCAAAAATTAATAAGAGAAAGTAAAGAAGGTAATCCTGTATGTACCTGAAAATAAATAAACTTTGTCATTTTGATTGATAGACCACATGCAGACGCCAGTTTGGAACAGGCATGAAACAACAAACTTTCGAGAATGAACTACTTAATTTCCGACGTGTTTGATCACGTGTGTCTCCTATTTTGCAGGGAATGCCATTGCCAATTCGAATGGCTGCAGCTTTTGAGACCGACCTGGCATTCGTACCGCTGGAAGATATTGACCCATATTATCAAAACCAACCGGTAAGTAAATATTCAAATATATGTAAATAAGTAGAAACTACAAAGAGAAAGTTCCTCTTTGACTCCCTCACATTCCATGTTCGTTTCATGTCACTGGGTCTCATCTCATCTCTCATATTGCGCAACGAGCTAATTATTTTTTGTTTTCCTTTCCACATCCAGACCTTTGTCATCATAACGAAGAAGAAAGATATTTTCAGATTCTCTGCAACCAAGGCTGTCTGGCTGCTCGATCCATTCAATCCAGTCAGGTTGAGCATTGCATAAATCTCTTAAAAATAGGAGAAGAATGAATAAGCGACCTTTGACCTTTTTTTAGACGGGTTGCAATCGGAATTCTGACGCACGGTTTATTTTCACTCGTAATTATCACAACAATTTTAGCTAATTGTGCAATTATGATATTGCCAGCCTCACCTCTGACGGAGTCAACCGAGTAAATTCAAAAATACTTACGCAGCAATGCTAAGTTTGTGTCTCATTTGAAATTTTATGATTACAGAGTAATTTTTACGGCAATATATACTTTTGAAAGTGGAGTGAAAGTCATGGCGAGAGGATTTATCCTGGAAAAATTCACGTATCTTCGAGATGCATGGAATTGGTTGGACTTTGTCGTCATTTCGCTGGTAAATGAATGTTGGAAATTAAAAAAATAATTAATTTAGATAATAATCTTGAATACTTTGTATTTAATTTCAAACACACAAAGGGTAAGTTAATGGATATATTTTCATTCGTATTTACATAATTGCAAGTAAATGAAAAAATTTCAGCCGTTATGAATTTTTTACAAATTAAGAAAATATATTAGTGCTCAGAATTGTAGCATTTTTAGATACTTCTTCTATGAATCGCATTTATTTAATAGCCTTTTTGACAATATTATTAGTGGTAATTGGATCGTAATTTAATTGGTGCTGTATAACTTTGTGGTTGTTTCCTTCTTATTTTCTTCCTCTGCGATCTATATCGCTCTTCCTGCGACTGGTTCAACTCTCTCGCCTCTGGAAATTCCTTCTTGTAACACGCAGCGTGAGTCAATACTTAATTAGTTTAGTTTAGTCTAGTCTAATTTTTAGTTTCTTTACTTACTTCCAGTCTTAGTGTTTTAGTCACAAAGCTGAATCTACTTCATTAATTATTAGCTCTATTTATATCGCTTTTACAATATTTATGTATAGCCAATAGTGTTTTACTTTCACTTAAATATTTTCTCAGTAATTTAGCATTGAACTTTCGCTTCCTTGCAGGCCTTTGATATTACATTTTCATTTTAATCAGCGGAATTTATTACGGCCAATTCAATTTATTTTATTTATAGACTACTTTTTAATGAAAATCTTTAAAAAAAATTCCTGGAGAAAGCTGCATCAACTCACATTTTATTAGTTTTTATTGGTGAATGTTTCATTAATGGGATAAAAACATTGTGCTATTTTTGAAATCAAAAGGTACGTGACTTTGGGCATAAGCCTCGGAAATCTTGCGGCGTTAAGAACTTTTCGCGTTCTTCGTGCCCTAAAAACTGTAGCAATCATTCCAGGTAAAATTATTCGTAGTATGACAATATTAATGCCTTATTCAGACACACACACAAATACGTACGTACGCAAGGTACCATTACAAATGAATGTGACACAAGATAAGATTTAGTGCTCAAGATCACATTCCACGAAGCACGTGTTTAGGGTGCTAAATTGCGTTCGGGATGTGAAACTATGTGGATTTCTTATACACACAACTTTCTCTTTGCCAGGTTTAAAGACCATCGTGGGTGCTGTAATCGAGAGTGTGAAAAATCTCCGGGGTAGGAAATACATAGATAAAAACAGAAGTTTGGCCATTCTTAATTGCAGTTATTACACATCATTTTTTTTAATTGACAGATGTGATCATTTTGACCATGTTCAGCTTGTCCGTCTTTGCACTCATGGGTAACTTTCTCCTTGTAAATAAATACTGAGGCAGTAAAATTGCATCGCAAATGCAATATGAACTTAATATCTCAATTCAGGTTTACAGCTTTATATGGGAATATTGACGCAAAAATGCATTCTTAACATGCCTGACGACATCTTTTATGGGGACGACGAGGATATTTATGCATCTTGGTACGGCTGGCACAACAATAAAAGTAATGTGAAAATTATATATTTTATGGGGATGCGTAAGAGATGGGATGGGTCATAAAATGCAAAATTATGAATGTTCTACTGGTGCTAAATAGGCAACTGGTACACTGAGGATCCCGAAAAGGATTATCCATTATGTGGAAATTCCACGGGGGCAGGGTACTCAAAATGCTGTTTCATAAGTCAAATTTATTGGATGACTTTATTATTAAAAGTCTTCATTATTGACGTTTGTATGTAGAACCTGCCCTGGAAATTATACTTGTATGCAAGGCTTCGGAAAAAATCCAGATTATGATTACACTTCCTATGACTCGTTTGGTTGGGCATTCCTCTCCGCTTTCCGGTAATATTTATTTGTATGCATATTGCAATCAAATGATAAGATTCTAGTGTAAAATGGTTTATTATATAAGCTTGATAGACAATAAATTCATTTCATAACAAAAGATCAATTATGATTACGAGAGATGATGTGTCTTGTCGTTTATGAATAATGTAAAATTCTTTTCTGATTTCGTGCAAATTACCTAAAGCTTGATGACTCAGGTGAGGAAATTTTGAAATTTCGAAATTCTTGCAAAGAAAATGACATCGTGTAAATGTATTGTTGATGACGCAGGACTACTGGGAAAGCTTGTACCAACAGGTAGTATTTACATACATCATAAATAATATTGTATGTCAATCGATGTATGTAAAATGGAATATTTTCTGAACAAACGTTTAAATGTTTGTTGTTGTTTTCAAGAAAATTACATGCACAAAATACAAGTAGAAATTTGTCCAAAAAAATCTCACTTTACACCAATTAGCCTACAATATTGTTTATGATGTAATAAAAATTACCATAATTTCGCACACTAATTTATTGGAAATTCCAGACTTTACGGGCTGCAGGCCCATGGCACATCACGTTCTTCCTCGTCATCATCTTCCTTGGCTCGTACTACTTGGTGAATCTCATCCTCGCCATTGTCGCCATGTCGTACGATGAGCTCCAAAAGAAAGTTGAAGAGGAGCAAGCCGCTCAGGATGCGGAGGAGGAGGCCATGCGGGCGGAAGAGGAGGCTCGAGAGGACGCACGAGAAGTCAGAGATCAGGCCAGAGCAGCTCGAACAGCTGAGCGAGATCAAGTCGGAGAAAATCCACCAAAATCTCCAGTCTTGTCACAATTTTCTTCCAGAAGTTATGAAATGTGGGCAGGAGAACAGGGGGCGGATGACCAGCTAAAAGATGCCAAATCCGAGTGTGGCGACTCACTCATGGATGGAAGGTTGAATGGAGGAGTTGGGACGAGGGTGGAGAAAGTAGGGGCATGTTCTCTTTAATATATTTTTTTGAGTGCATATATATAATTTATTGGTCTTGCTTTCTTTGCTAAAGTCCACAACAAGTTTACCCGGAAGTCCGTACAATGTTAGCCGGGCATCGCACAATTATTCTCAATACAGCAGATGTTTGGATGAGAAACGTCCCCTGATTTTGTCCACGTACCTGGACGCCCAACAGCATCTTCCATGTGAGTGATTCCCTATGAAATATTTCAATAGGGAAACACAACGTTAACGTTGATATTTTTCTTCTTGACGAAATTATGGACCATAGTTGCCGACGATTCAACAGCTGCGACGCCAATGTCAGAGGAAAATGGGACAATCATTGTCCCCTTCAATCAATCGTGGCATCCTCACCATCACCCACATGCACAACATTTCGGTACGATTATCTAAAATTGGGTGATGTATTTACTTAATAACGTTAAAATCATTTATTATACTCGTAGGCTACATTTCACGTCATTCGTCTTACAACTCGCACTGTTCTCGGTTATCTTACCACTCGCACGACCAACTTCCCGTGACCAAGGAGAAGCAATTGCGAGACCGATCGAATAAGGCGTTGGCTGATAGTAGTCATCTTGAGGTGAGGATGCGAAATTGATTTGATCACTATTGCTCTTTGACATTTAAATAATTTCGAATATGCGCATAGGCCCCGGGACGTTTTGTTGACGAGATGCCGAAAAATAAACCAACACCCCACCAACAGCAACGCAGGGACACGATGCATTCTGCACGGTACCGGCCACCTTCTACGAGCGTGGACATTCGAGGTCTGTAAATACTTAATTAAATGGCCTTTCAAATTATGTAAGTTTAAAAATAAATGTGAATTTTCGAAAATTTTTCTCCAGATGTGTTGGTGCTAGCTGATATTATTGAGCAAGCGTCAGGTCCTCCGCATTCTCGGCGAATTAGCGACATGGAGGAGGAAGAAAATGCACGAAACTTGCTGAAGCAAAAGATCATTGAGGGATGTTTCCGCTGCATCGATATTTTCTGCGTTTGGAACTGTGGCTTCCCGTGGAGTGTTTTCAAGAAAATTGTGGCATTCATTGTTTTCGATCCTTTCATGGAATTGTTTATTACGCTTGCGATTGTAGTTAACACGGTCTTTATGGCGTTAGGTATACATACATTTGATTTCCTGGCATTATATTTAAGCAGTTTTTCGGATTTTTACCCTGACATTATTATGTAGATCACTACGGTCTTTCGGACAACCAGGGTTTATATGATACATTGAAAACCGGAAACAAGGTAAACCCAATATTTGGCTAAGTCATGTATCATAAAAATAGTTAAATTTACTAAATTACTAAAACATGTAAACTTTTTTCTTTAGGTTTTCACTTCAATTTTTACTGTGGAATGTAGCATGAAGCTGATTGCTATGAGTCCAAAATTTTATTTTCAAGGAGGCTGGAATGTTTTTGATTTCATTATAGGTATGCAAACCATGATGACTAATTTTAGGATTAGTTTAGTGATGCTCATAAAAATCATTATTCTCTTTTATTCCTTAGTATTCTTATCGTTGCTGGAAATGTTGTTCGAGGATGCTGGAATGCCAGGTATGCAATTATAAATTACTCTGTTATATTCAATCTAAATATTATTTGAAATGTAGGGATCAGTGCCCTACGGAGTTTCCGTTTGCTACGAGTCTTCAAGCTTGCCAAATCATGGCCAACGTTAAATCTACTTATCAGCATTATGGGAAAAACAATGGGCGCTTTAGGAAACTTAGTCTTCGTCTTGATAATTATTATATTTATCTTTGCCGTGATGGGGATGCAACTCTTTGCAAGAAATTACTTTGATAAAGTATCACTATTTCCGGGGGCAGAGCTTCCACGGTGGAACTTTACCGATTTTGGACACTCTTTCATGATAATCTTCCGTGTCCTGTGTGGTGAATGGATTGAATCAATGTGGGACTGCATGTTGGTCACGGGCCCGGCGTGCATCCCATTTTTCTTGGCGACTGTGGTGATTGGAAATCTTGTGGTGAGTAATTTGATCCAAAATTCTGACCAGTTTTACTTATGTAAGTATGTCAAGTATCAAGGAATTATCTTATGATTAGGTGCTTAATCTCTTCTTGGCCTTGCTCCTCTCCTCTTTCGGAGCAAGTAGCTTATCTGCCCCTACCGCGGACGCAGACACAAATAAACTTGCCGAAGCTTTCAACAGAATCGGAAAATTCATACGATGGATTAAGAAATGTGTACAAAATGCAATTGGATGTGTTTATGATTGGATTATGGGTTTGAAAAACAGCATAGTTAACAGGATCCGAAACGTAATACAACCTCCCCCACCGCCACTGGACCCTGCAGATGAAGCATCTTCGAAAGACGTTGCTCCTGAACCAGAAATTGGTGCGAACAATAAAATTAAAATTTAACTCTAAATATACGATTTTTCACTAACTTTCACTTTTGATAGCTGAACCAGTCAAGGCAAAAAGCAAACTTGCAGACACTGCTCGACTCGTAATTCGCACAAGGAAGTTAATGATGACTAATTTGCAACAAATTAAAGCTGCTGCTACATCTCAGCAGCAGCAACAGCGGCAGCAGAAGGAAGTGGAGGAGAAAGCCAAGCTAAAAGAAGAGGAAGAGGACAATCTGAGCTTGAAATCTTACGGTTCTCACACGCACTATCCAATTAAAGGGAAACCAGTAAAGAAGAAAGAACCCGTCGTGACAATAAGCACAGATAAAGATGAGGTCGAGTATGGCTTCTGTGATGATGATGACGACGACGACAATAAAGATGAAGCCAATGATCATGATGATGATGACGACGACGATGAAGACGATTGGGATGATGAAGACAATGAAGACGAAATTATGGACGAAAAACCGAGAAGATCAATTCACAGTTCGCAAAAACAAGAGGAGGAAGAGGAAGAAATGCCGATGGATTGTTTTCCCCCAGATTTCTACCATAGGTTTCCAATTCTATCGTTGGAAGGGACTCAATTCGGCGTTGTTTGGGCGAACATACGACTCAAAACTTTCCGCTTGGTTGAGAACAAATACTTTGAAACGGCCGTGATTACTATGATTCTTCTCAGCTCGTTGGCTCTAGCACTTGAGGATGTCCACCTGCCTGCAAACCCAATTCTGACGGACATTTTATTCTATATGGATCGGATTTTCACCGTGATTTTCTTTTTTGAGATGTTGATAAAATTCTTGGCTCTTGGATTTGTGTCGTACTTTACAAATGCTTGGTTAGTGACGATTTTTTTCTCGTATTGTTCCCAAGATTCCGATGATTTTAGTTATCAGTTTCACTTTCCAGGTGTTGGTTGGATTTCGTTATCGTAATGGTCTCTGTAATCAACTTTGTCGCCGCACTTCTGGGTTTTGGAAGTGTGCAGGCCTTTAAAACAATGAGGACATTGCGAGCTTTACGACCTTTACGAGCCATGAGTAGGATGCAGGGGATGAGAATCGTTGTAAACGCCTTGGTTCAAGCGATCCCTTCCATTTTCAATGTGCTGTTGGTGTGTCTGATATTTTGGCTGATATTTGCAATTATGGGAGTTCAATTGTTCAGTGGAAAGTTCCACAAGGTAATTATTTATTGTTACAATCTGCCAGTTGTAAAAATATATGCGTATGCTTGCAGTGCATCGACCCCTTGGATGGGACCCGGCCAGATTATCGAATTATCCGAGATAAGAAGGAATGTCTTCACAACAACATGTCATGGGAAAATTCTGTCATGAATTTTGTAAGCCGAATAAATTATTTACTTTGGTTTACTCGTACCGTAAGGTATCGTTACGTACTTAATTGCAGGATCATGTGGGGAAAGCGTATCTTTGTCTATTTCAAGTTGCAACGTTCAAGGGTGAAATCTTTTATTTGAAATTCATAATTATTTCCTATCTTTACACGTAATTTGTATTTTAAAAACAAAATTGTGTAAAGGTTGGATTCAGGTTATGAATGATGCGATTGATTCACGCGACAATCCGGAGCATCAACCTCACCGTGAAGTCAATTTTGTCATGTACGTGTACTTCGTGGTGTTTATCATATTTGGGTAAGTTTTTAAAATTGTTGAGATTTTGTGACAAAAAAATTAGGACTCATATGAAAATGTATGTTCTTAGATCTTTCTTTACGTTAAATCTATTTATTGGCGTGATCATTGACAATTTCAATGAACAAAAGAAAAAGGTGGGTTTGCATTTAATAGTCGTGGATGGATTAATTTGGCTAGTAATAACTTCAAATTATGTAAATAGTCTGGAGGAAGTATGGAAATGTTTATGACGGATGACCAGAAAAAATATTATGGCAAGTCAAAATTATGACCATAAGTATTTTGGAGTATAGTTTGTGTGTATAATTGTTTGTTTGATGTGCAGCTGCTATGAAAAAGATGGGCAACAAAAAACCATTGAAAGGTACGAATTCTGCAAATATATTTCCTTCTCAGCTTTTCAATCTTTTCTAGCCTTTAATATGAATAATAACGTAATAACAATTTACATTTGTTGTTTCAAAGCAATTCCTCGTCCATCGGTAAGATAATGCAGATCATAATGAAACCTTGTGGGGTACAATTTTTATAATCATTTACTATTTTGCTATGTAGTGGCGACCTCAGGCCATTGTGTTCGAGATTGTGATGAACAAAAATTTTGACGTAAGTTCTTCAAGAGTCTGATATGTTCTTACTGATATTTCGTTACATAATTACTAAAAATGCTGTATTTTTCAGATGATTATCATGCTGTTTATCGGACTTAACATGTGGAGTATGACAATGGTAAAAATTTTTACGTGTTATTTTATGGATTATTACGTACAATTAAATAATGTATTTCTAATATTTCATACAGGATCATTATCACCAGACCGAGGTACATAATTTTATGCATACATACTTAGGACTAGTGTATTAGATGGAGTTATTTTTAAGCATGTCAATCTCGTACAGAGTTGGGATATTTATTAATTTAAAAATAATAAAATACAGAGTTGGGATAGGGCCCTGGGGATCCTTAATGCAATTTTTATTGCAATCTTCTCAGCAGAATGTGGTTTAAAGATATTTGCGCTGCGTTACCACTACTTTACAGGTACTGATGATATGTAGGTATATATTAAAAATATTGAACTGTTTTAACCTTGCATATTAAATTTCAGAACCGTGGAACTTATTTGATTTTGTGGTAATTTTGCTAACACACAAATTGTTTTCTCGAATAATATGCATTATTACTTAATTCCCCGTACATACGACAGGTGGTCTTGCTCAGTGTCGCGGGTATAATGCTCAGTGACATTATTGCCAAATATTTCGTATCACCGACACTTTTAAGGGTTGTCCGTGTTGCCAAAGTTGGGTATGATATTACTGTAAAAAAAACTATTGCTTTGATATATTGTTTTGCATTATTTTTGGTAACGAATCTGCACAGGCGTGTTCTACGTCTTGTCAAAGGTGCCAAAGGAATTAGGACACTTTTATTCGCCTTAGCGATGAGTTTACCTGCACTATTCAAGTAAGTCAGTATGTGTAGAAGTGCATATGTATAAAAGGGTTCATAGATAATGCAATGATGAATTTTCATAGCATTTGTCTGCTGCTTTTCCTGGTGATGTTCATTTTCGCAATTTTCGGGATGTCATTTTTCATGAATGTAAAACTGAGGGACGGACTTGACACGGTTTACAATTTTCAAACCTTTGGCCAAAGTATAATTTTATTGTTCCAAATGTCCACATCCGCAGGTATTTTTTATACATATTTCAAAAAGCAATGTTTAGAACACCCAGCAAAATATTTTCATTGCTCTGATTTCTTCAGGGTGGGACAGTGTTCTTGCTGGTATCATAAATGAAGATGAATGCGACGCTCCAAACGTGGAGCTGGGAACAGCAGGGTATTCATAACAAAAATAAATAAACGGAAACTTATCCTCAAAATTGGCATATACTTTTTTTAGGACGTGTGGAAACAGTGCAGTGGGGATTGCATACTTGTTGAGCTATTTAGTAATTAGTTTCCTAATTGTTATCAATATGTACATTGCTGTGATTTTGGAAAACTATTCACAAGCAACAGAAGAGGTTCAAGAGGGACTCACGGACGATGATTATGACGTATGAAATAATTTCCTCAAACTAAAAACCTCGCAATCTCGCCCAAGCCAATATCTGGGGAAATCTTTAACGATATATGAATTTTGCGTGTATAGATGTACTACGAAATTTGGGCCCAGTTTGATCCAGACGGGACGCAGTACATTCGATATGACCAGCTCTCTGACTTTCTCGACGTTTTAGAACCGCCGTTACAGATACATAAGCCAAACAGGTTCAAAGTAATATCGATGGATATTTCCATCTGCAAGGGCGATATGATGTACTGCGTCGACATTTTGGATGCATTGACACGAGATTTTTTTGCTAGGAAAGGTATTTACGTTTTGCTGCGCTGCTTTCACCATAAATTATTAGGTACTGTAAATGTTAGTTATCTTCCGTTTTTGTACGCAAATTCTAGGCAACTTCATCCAAACTGATGGCGCAGACCTTGCAGAGGTCAATCCAAATCTTCAAGATCGACCCGACTATGAGCCCGTGAGTTCTACTCTGTGGTAAGTTCATTTTGTATGCGTTTTAAATATCAAAAACATGGTAATTCTTGCAATTTAATATTTTACCTTGCAAAATTTCATAGGCGTCAGCGTGAAGAATATTGTGCCCGGCTAATACAACATGCTTGGAGAAAGCACAAAAATCCACCAGAGGATGAAAACGCTACGATTACGGAAGAAGTCAAAGGTAGAGTCTCACCAATTTTAGAAGAAATCGAAAGATCTGTTTCACCCTCATCATCATCTCAGGTGGTGAAGGCTTAAATAAGTCAAGAATTTAAATGAATCTCGTTCAGGAATTTATTTTAAGTTCTCGTTTAATATATATTCAGGAATTTATTTTAAGTTCTCGTTTAATATATATGCAAATAAGGATATGTAAATGTTGATACTGTAAGGCATCGTGATAGCATTATTTAATTTCTTTCAAGCCATTCGACATATTTACTTATCACACAAAACTGATCATGTAACAAAAGTGAAAAACTGACCTTCAATGTGACCAATCAAACCAATTCATATAACTTTTAATACTTGAAACCAGGAATTTATACAGTGTATCATCACATGTGGAATTTTACCAATCGGAACAAAACTTGATATTTTTTGTACCTCGATGTTCACATACTCATCAATCTATAAAACCGACTGTACTCCAAATTCATACTTGCAAATTAATTCTGTATTTTTTGCGCCCAATTATAAGATAACAAAAGTAACAGTCTGATTACTTTTATAAAATTATGCTTTCACCAAATATTTCCGAATAGTTATTGCAAATCAGTGCCAGAACAAATCTTATATAATTCAGCGCTTATTATTCGTAATAATTCATTTGCAGTTTTACCCAAAATAGTTTATAGTCGATCGCTAGCATAATGTATTGTAACGTTTATTTATGATTTAAAGAGTCTAAATAAATAAATAAGCAGCCTATCCCTTTAATAAACATGAAACTATAATACAATTTTTGCACAAATTATTTGCAAAATTATTTGTGATTTACTACAAGAAAAGTTACATCAACTAATATTACTTGCACGTATGTACATACACATCGTTGCGTCAGGGTCAGTCATCTCGATCACTACGACAATCCAACTATTTATTAATGACCTGTATGTTTGTGCTTGCCCTTCGTTGTCGGCGCCTTCGTGGTGCTAGGACTCTTGTGCGCTCCAATACCTCGGGCGCTTGGAGGCGGACCCCAACCATAAGATAGATACCATCCTATCGTGAAAAAGATGGCGAACATTGCGAATAAAAGCGTCCAGATCCCCGTCCAGAGTATAAGTTGTTTCTTTTTCGGTATGAATGGAGCTTCGTGATGTACTTCTAAATATTCGTAAACATCCGATCCATCATCAGAGTCGTCGTCATCCTCGTCAGAATCTTCCACTTTGGGGGACGTGTCATCTTCAGTTACTGAAACGGTAGGCTTTCCAGTTTCGCCACCTTGAGTAGCGTTCGTTTTTGCAGAGGTGCCGCCGGTCCCTTCTGCATTTGCTTTAGTACCAGGGACACCAAGCCGAGTATTGGAGGGCTCCATATTTATCAGGACTTCTTCCGGGGACACTCTTCTAAGATCTAACTTGGAGGTTTTTAATCCTTTGTTATGAGGGGGAAGGGCTAATGTGGAAGGTTTGTCGTCCAACGTTAAATTATTTGGGGTTTCTAAGTCGTTTTGTGGTTGGTCTGAAGTTTCCAAACTTCCCAGCTTCTTTTTCTTCTTGGATCCCTTTTTATGATGTTTTTTCCCTACTGGGTGACGCTTAGTTGAGGGCTTTCCGGGGTCTGACGTGGGTTCTTCGGATGGGGACCGGGAAGTATCAGAGTGCTCGGTGTTGAGGTCGACGGTTGAGGTTGGATCGAGTTCGTCTTGATGTAATTTTTTCTTATGGTGCAACTTTTTCTTGGATTTTGATTTCATTATCTGACGTATTGAAGCAATGTACTAGAAGAAGTTAAATTTGTAAAAAAATCATTACAAAAATGTGTACAAAATTAGACCTACAATTCATTTTCCATGCTGAACGGCTTACATATGGCCATTTGAGAGTATCCAAGATATGTACGTGTGCATAAGACGGTGAAATGATGGACACAAATTATTGCAAGTATTTTTCTTGGTATGTCAGTCGGTAAATAAATTTCGAGTCGGGATCGTGTAAGTCAAAAACATAATTAATTTTATTTATTTACGTGATCACATTATTATCGAGCACTTGACATGGTTACAAGTCTCGTAGATTTTACATGGGGATACCACTCCGTTCAAAAACATCGGTGTATTTAACACAAATGAAAAGTACCCAAAGTCGATACACTATATTAATTAGCAGGATAAAAAAGTACACTAAAGTCAACAGGACATGGTCTGATCTCCACATGAAGAGGAGATAGACAAAGATTCCGGTACTGATGGCGATTGTGAGAAGGTAGCAAAAGCAGAAACGGAACATCCAATACTTTTTCTCCTGCATTATTGCAAATCGCTATTTTTTTATGAGGAAGACAACTTGACACGTTTTTTGCATTATTTAATACCTTGTAAACAATGTAGAATCCTATGGCTGCAAGTGCGATTCGAATATATCTGAGGGCAGTTTCTTCTATGAGGAGGGCGATATCTTTGTCATCTAATTTGCATATATGGAGTCACTTAAATAAATTATTGTGTACAGTGTCGAGTTTGACTGTAAAAAAAACTTGCCTTCATATCCAACAAACTCGGCTTGAAAAATGAATCTTGTAGTTTGTCGATCCAGAAATATTTGAGCATTTAAAACCTGCAAAATTTAAATATTGCAAATAAATTTAAAGTAGTTTTATCTCTTCAAAGTATAGTTGACCACTCACAATTTCAAACATTAACACCAACGCACTAGCTTCTTTGACATGACTTTTGTAAAAATCCACGATAAACGTCCATCCTTTTCCTATTGGTTCCAAGTCCGAAATTGTGTTGAAATATGGGAGACAATTGACTCCGAGATTAATTGCGTAAGCATACATGGCTGTCATCATCAGAATGAGGTACAGCGTGGTCAAAGCTGGACTGATCTCTTTGAAAGACCAATCAATGTAGAATAGCTCGATGAAAATGGATATGGCTAGAAACCCCGTGTAGGTGCCCATCCAATATATTAGCCATGATTTATTCCCCTGTCAGAAACATGGTGAAATATGGTGAAATATGTACAGATACAATTTTGTTTGTTATATAAACGCTGCAAAAATAGAAGCAGAGTTGACGACAAACCTTTAAGACAACGCCGTAAACGAGGAAGATCACCGTGGTCAATATTTCGAGTAGGATCAGCACTAACCACGTGTATTCTTCCCATGCTCCTGTTAATTTAAAAATTATCATCACAATTATATTACATATTTTCAAGTAATTTATATCTTTACGGAAATCGTATCCCATTTCTTTTATTGCTAAAACGGCGACCCAGTCGACACACGTATTGAATAATAGATTGACCTGGATAAAGAAAATGGGCAATTTGAGTACATCATGATATTTATTAAATAGAATTTATTTTTTTAAGATAAATATACCACTTGTAGAACAGCCACCAGAACCAATGCACTTCCCGGTGGGAGCCCGTATCGAAAAATTAGATGCATTTTGAAGTTTCTTTGTGACTAATTTCTAATCACTGACTCAATCTAACTTCGCACCAATGTTAGTAAACAAGTTCATTACACTCTGTTGTCAATAACCTACTGCATTTTATTGAGCAATCTATTTGTTTTACAAATACAAAATATCCTTCGGGATAAACGAGTCATTGGCAAAACAAATAACCGACAGAGTTCAGTTCACCAGCTTTATTCCAAAGTGACCTGGAACGAAATGATCCAGATTTCGAGATTTTTCCAGTGTAGGATTGTGAAAATATTAACTGGACCACAATTTGACGAGTGTTAGGTTAAAATTCTATTAATTGACAAAGATCAATACTGAAATGAATTAGTTATTTCTATATTTTCCAGCCCACCAGAGCACAATGTGTCAGAAGATGATCACGCAAACGGAAAAAAATGCAATCGGACTGGAGCCGGCAGTTCACAATGGGCATAAGCAAGTTATACATATAAAAGTTGGAATAGAATGACTCGATTTTCATACATACATGGACATTGCTACATTGCTAAAGCTTTTTAATAAGGCAAGCAAAGCAACACCACAAAAATGTGAAACGGATGTGATGCCACACAATTATTATACATCCTCGGGTTTGCGTGTCACAGCTTGAGATTCCATTTTCACTGTACGTATTTAGCTCTTGCCACACACTGATTGTGTAATTTATGAAAATCAAAGCTCAAAATAGCTGCAATTTGAGCTATGAATGCACTAAAAAATATAAGTGGTGCTGGATAATTGTAGTGAATTGTGATTCCAAATATCTAGTGGTGGTCGATTCGATAGTCGTGGTGGTGGAACATACGTAACAAAAGTCGTAAAATAATGTACATCTCATATTTCTTTTAATGTCACAACTTGGCATCTCACCCATACGTCAATATCATTATTAAAATCATATTACAAAAAACAATATTTTTCTTACTTGCATAAATCTACGTACAAACAGAAGTATCGGTTTCGCTCTACATAAATAATTCTTACCCAATGGCCGCGGAAGACAGAGGGACATCCCCACGGCTATTCGATGTTTCCATCATCTGCCCATGTTATATAAACCCCCCCCCCCTTATCCTATAATGTTAATGTCCCCTGATGTACCCACGGCTTCCGCGGCCACTGTTTTTACCATGGTCTGCTGCATATGGTTAACAATTTTTTATGACGGAGAATGGATAATGCATAATAAAAATAAACCTTTTACTACTAATTTGGACGGCTGAACAATAATCTTTAAATAACGGAGATAATTATTAATTAAATTAAATTACTATCAGCACTTGTTGATGAAGGATGGCAATTTAAAATTGTGTGTGTAGCACCAAGTCCTAACTGTACTCTGCAATGAAGGCAAAGTCTGAGTTTTCTTGGGGGTACGAGTAGCAGAAACAAATGGTAAAGACGAGAATTCTGCAAGATTAATTTTACACATTACATATTTTGATATGGTCAATTTTTAATTCAATTTCCGTTAATAACTTGCCTGTACACAATGTTGATTGCAAAGTAGAAGAGGTAGCCGTAAGTTAGGATTTCATGTTCGGCCATCCAATCCACGACCAAGTACAAAAATATGGCGAAACTATATAAATAAAGTGTGTATGTTACACGTTGCATGCAGATATTTTTTTATGTAAATTGTAAACTATACCTTAAGAAGAGGGTCAAAAGGTACGGGATGCACCAATACTTGACCCAGCGTTGTTTTCCCTGTAAAAATCGTAAAGAAATTGCACTTTCTTGTACATAATTCGTGTACCATGTAAGACAATATTTATATTTCTACTACCTTTGAGATAATGACCAGACCAGCAATGCCCACAACAACTCGGATAGCTCGTAACACCATTTCTTCCAGAATTATTGGGTACGACCCATTATCTGCGTACACTCCATGATCTATCATTATGAGTCAGGCATTACTGTACATTTAGCAAATATTACTATCCAAACTGGTCAACAAATACCTTCATGACCATTGTAAGATCGGTCGAAAAGCACGGGTGGCAATTTCCTACTCAGGAAAAAGTACATGTTGAGAATCTGCAGATGCGAAAACCATTTTTTTTACAACTAGTCTCTTTCATCGTTTGTGCAAATTTGACGAACGCAGATTCGCACATTACCAATTCAGACGTAAGCATAAGTTGAGCCCCCATTTTTGCATTGTGTGCAAAGTACTTCCAAATCCGGACAAATCCTTTCCCAATGGGTTGCAACTCTTCGAGATTTTCCTTCATGTGGGGGACGCACTGACAAGCGACGCAAATGATGTATGCGTAAAACAACGTGTACAAAACCACTGTGTACACAGCGCTGGTTAAATTCTGGTTATCATCCGTCCCTTCAGAGTAAACATAATGAAACCAGACAACGTTGAGAGCCACGACGCTCGAGATGGTTACCACCACCCATGAGATCAGAAGCAGTCTGGAACCCTGGGGGCAGGCAGAAGGGTTGATTATTTATTGTTGACTTGCTTCGTTTAATGAAATTTGTATATTAATAAATAAATAATACTTGGAAATATTTGGGTAACCTTTAAAATTGCGCCCACCCAGAGGAACAGGATATCCGCGAATATTTGCATGAACAGGAATACATTTAAGGCTAAGACCGATGGCGTCTCTATGTAGGACAATGTAATGAAATTCATATTTTTTCTTGTTCTTCAAATATAATGATGGATGGATGGATGGTTACCCAGCATGAATTGTACGACGGGTGTATTCCAGTGAATGATGAATACACTTATCACATCCATGCACGCTTCGTAGAGGCTGATAACCTGTCAAAAATAAATAAAATACAAATGGAAAAGGACCCTCGATCAATAAATAATTTGGACTCGTGTGATACTTAAAAGTGTTGGCTTAAAAGGTTAAAGCGTGTGTCATGTGGGTAACTTTGCTTTATAACTTTGTCAATCAAAGCGCAGGTACCCCGGTCAGATGTCAGAGGAACATTAGTTTGTCAACTTAACTTAAATTGTTGTGACAAGGCGGCATGAATACTTTGATAATATTCTAATGTATGTAGGTCTTATCAAAAGGCGAAAAACAGATCGATAAGCCAACCCTTTACTCAACACCAACAAAGCCGAAAAGTCTAAAAGTCAACTCACCGTCTCCACAAATCCACAAAGGATGAGACAGCTCCCCAAGGGGAGGCCAAATCTTAGAAAATCCACCGCGTGCAACTGCATCTTCCTGAATTTTTATGTATATAGAATTTTTAAGAGTCAAATAAGTAACGCGTACACCAAATTGGTCACTGTTGAATAAACAAGAACTACTCAGAAATTAAGATAATTTTGAAATAAAATTAATTTATTAATGAGATTTTTGCCTCGTGGTCACAGGACCATCCCCACATTTAACTGTGGTACCAATGCATTAAAGAATCTCAATCTGACACACTTTCAATTTTATTCACTTCACTTTTGCCCAAAAGTAAAGCTCCCACAAACAATAGTGGTAAGTAACGTGCACCTATTTACTCTACGTCACTTTTTTTCCACTACCTGTTTCCTCATAAAGTGCAGTGTATCAATTTCATTCAGACAGTAATAGCACCACGCCACGCGTATGGTTTGGGGCGATAAAACAAAGGCAACAAAAATGTAACGTCAATAATTGTCAATTGGCGAATTTATTAGTTCAATATTTCATGCTGTGTGTCACAAAAGGCTGGGATCTGGTTTCGTTATGTACATACGTTTCTACGTGCACTGCCACTGCATACACCAGCTTGTTAAGTTGTACACAAGTATGTACATACGAGAGGATTTTTAAGAGAACTGCGTTTTACGAGCACTTTTTTCACTCAAGATTAAGTAAGACATAGAATTATCAGATGCATATGTACCCGAATTAGATTTGCGGAGTCTAATAATAATAGCAATAGCACAAAACTAAACCAGAAGAAGTGAGGAGGAGAGAACATGCATGAGAACAACTGCATATACTTATTGGACTCCAGCCCAAAAGAGTCGGGTGTCAAGAATTGGGCAGGTTTTTAAACCGTATCGTCTCTGAGAAAGGTTCTCTCTTGGTGTTACAGTTATTGCATTTCTGACTTCTGCCTGACTCACCAAAACGAAATGAATGATTTGTTTGTTTAACGTTTAACACTGCTCCAGATTTGTAAACATATGCATATACTTTAAAACCAACTAGCTATTTAGCGATATGAATGAGCCTTCACTTCCTCCTGGATGATCCACCAACCAAGCAACTGAATAGTAACGACGCCTACGACGGCACGAATTTCACTATCGCGTCAAAAAATCAGGCATAGGCGGAAAACGTACATAAGAACGCTTATAATATGAACTTCTGGTCCCTTTTGTTTTAAGATATGCACTGATAATAACAAGTTATCGTAATATGAACCACGTCTCCAAGAAAATAAATGAACCCAACAATACTCAACTATTGTTTCTTCCAAGATAACTGGTGGTCTGGCTAACTAACTGCTACTTTAAAATTATGCACACTTATGAATATTGACAGATGAAGGTATACATTGACTTGACCACCATTCTTATTGCACTTCCACTTCCTTCCAGCCGTGTTTCAACACTATTTTAGGAAGGCGACGTGATGAAAGACCATTGAAGGAAATAAATGAAGTGGACTTGCATTGAATTTTCCGCATATGATTAGAAGAATACTTAATAAATAATGCTTCATCAGGCAAGAAGGGAGAAGGGGATGCAATTTTATTTGGCCTATTGTCAAGAAGTTGTTGCTTATTGCTACTCTTCAATAGTTCTTAATACGGACATCATTCAAGCGACGGTGTGGAGAAGGCAAGGTCGTCAAGTATTTATTATTGTAGGTATCAAGTTGTAGCTTGCAACAAATTAACCTCAGGTCTTGTTAAGAAATAAATTAATAATAAAAACATTACTGCGTGTAGTGATAAATAACTCGATAGCTCAATCTGCCCAGTTTTCAGTGACAATAAGGATCATGATTTGCCTTTATACTTATCTTCATATCTTGTGGATGGTGACCCTAACTTTGCTCAGGGTTGGCTTGTGTATGTAGCAAACCTCCAAATCGTGGAGTTTCATATTATTAATTTGTCCGTGCTTATTACACGGTTATTATGTAGCATATAATGTCTTTATAATTGTCTTTTTTAATGGGGTATCACATAAAAAATACCTATTTTTGTCTGGTGCATTACACATTTTTATTTATTGAATGACGTTCCCGACCGAATGTTTAAGAAATATGAGCCAAATTTTGTTTTAATTCGAAGTCGTTTTTAAGTCGTCGTCGGAATGTCGTTTTTTAAATGACGAGTTATGCTGGAACGGAATTTGAGTTAATTTTAGTAAACATCGATATTACCAAGTACATTCATTGTTAAGTACTTATTCGTCCAGGTCATTGTGATTCAGACTGCGATGCACTCGGAAATATGTTCAACTTCAAGATTATGTCATCCCTTTTTGTTTTAATGAAGTGATTCAAGCCACAAAAGTAATGAACTTCAGAATGCACGACCGCCGTAATCAAGGTCCTCGTACATACGTGTCTACATATCTTCTACATATTTACAATAATATCTTGATTATCTTCTAACAAAGCTATAACAAACAAACAACAAAGTCAACAATGTTCTGGCGACCGCTAAAGTGTGTACATTACACGAATCCACAAATAACCAGTTCAATGTCCATGAGATGTTAAAAATGAGAAAGGAAGTACCAATTACTTAGATTTATTTACATATACAAACAAATCATTGTAACAGGACCAGTTTTTATTTATAGCAAACTAATTATAATAAATGTGACCTTTACAAGTTCATCAAAGACCATTTTCAAAAGGAATCTTCACACCAATCGAGTCATAAGTATCACATTTAATTCAATTAGTCAAATAAATAAGGCTAATATTTATTTATGTACTTGACTGATAAATATCAAGCTAATAAAGTAATTGTTATAGAACTGATACTTCATTTATGGGCATGACATTTCACTAAGGTTGCAAATTTATTGTGTGGACATATCAAATTTTATTATCGATCTATTTTCGCAACAATATATACCATTTACTATTTGCATTCCACTTCACTTATCTAAATATCCTTTGTGTGTGTGGTCGTGCTAAATTTCCAACTCAAAGACCACGCCCTACTTGCTTCTAGGAACTGCTAAATACCGACACTTATGTATAAAACTATGTTTGTAAACGCATTTCCTACTGAATTTTCCTTCCCTTTTAAAGAACCATTGTGGAGAAATTGACTTGAGTATACCTCAAACAAAAGTATAACACCACGCATCGCCATAAGAGGTGAATGGGGAAAAATAAAAACACGGCGACAGTGTCAATGAGATCCTCTCCTCGCCAGGAAACGGTCAATATGACGAACAACGCAGTGCTGATCAAAACCTGAATCGCTACTCCGAGACACCACAATCTGACCTTACTTCTGTTGTCCTGCATTGAGCCAAAACAATGGGAATTTTTAGGTATTGCAGTTTTTCGTGGAATTTGTGGCACGTAAATATTTTTGTGTTTACCTTGTTGACTAAATACAAGCCAATGCCATCCATTATGAGACGAATTGCAGTCATGACCCATTGTTCGCCGAGGATGGCAGGATGCTCAGAAGCTGTAGTTATTAGTAAAAATATGTCATATTTTGGGATATGTGGGTACGTTTAGTAAATAAACTGAGCTGAATTAGTACGGACATACACAGATCAATGGCAAAAACGTACAGGAGAAATCGTCGAATTATGATGAACTGAACATCAAGGACCTGTGGAGGAGTGAAATTTTATCGCGACAGATTTTTTAAACGATGCGGATTGGTCTTACAATTTCTGAAATGATGAAAAACTTGGCCGCATTGTGCAAATCATTGCAGAAATATTCCCAAATGTAGAGCACCCCTTTTCCAATGGGTTGTAAAGCTTCCCCCCTTCGTAGCGTTTGCCAGGCCCAAATTGCAATCGTGGCCTGATACGAGTGCATCAATGTCAGTGTGATAATGGAGTAAATTGCTTCCGTGTAAAATCCCCGGCTGGCAAAGGCTATCCCGATAAGGACATAAAATACGGCGAACAGAAGAACCGAAACTATCCAGCCTAACAACATTCGATGGCTTCCCTGAAAAAAAATAATTGACGAGTCATCCTTGTTTTTGAGGGAGAGGAAATTGTTGTATAAAATAAACAATTACAATAAAAATGGTCCCAATCCATAAAAATACGAACGTGGCTACAGTTTTATGCACTGCTACGCCAAGTTCTATTCCAATGTTAGGATCTGTGTGAATCAGTCAAGAAGAATCATTTTGAGGTACTTTTGTTTGACTACAATTTAACGAGTTGTACCTGAAACGACGCCATAATGCACAAAATTGTAGTATAATGTGCGAGCAAATTCCATTATGCAAATGCAAAATAGAAATGTCTAAAATATCAGAAATTTTGTTATGTATTTTAATTTTGATTTATGAGTATTTTGATGTTTGGTAATTACCAGTTCAACCAGTGCTACAATTAATAGAGCGTTTCCCAAGGGAAGTCCAAGTTGGAGGTAGTTGCGAATGTCCCCCATATTTTGAAATAGTTAACAATGAAATGGTTAAAAATTATATGAAAATTCGTTCATTGACGGGCAAGGTTAATGCAGTTTTTGCTAAGTTTGGACATGTCGATGCACGAGAAGGAGAATGGCTGAGATGAGGAAAGGCTTGATTTATGTTATCAACAAGATGATGCCCTTTGTGTATGACCTTTTTATAAGCTAGTAAGTAAACTGAGTGGGTATGATCACATGTGTAAGATCATGTCATATTTATACATGTATGATGTGCGGCAGATCATGATTTTCATCTGTGGTTTGGTAATTTCATCAAAGTCATTACGAATAATAAGACAAAAGTCATTACTAACAAGTACGAATTTGTGTATGCACTATAATCCTCCAGACCATGTAATTGTAGAAAGAAAGGCCATAAATCTCGTGTCGATAATTCTTAATTCTAAATATAAACCTAGCTGTGTGGGCACTTAAACAACAAAGGTGCATATTTCATGACCTCAGAAAATTTCAGGAGAAACCGAATTAAGATGTCAAAAAATTGTGGAGCATCTAGTTGAACGACTTTTGTTAATACTTACTAAAGTCATCATACTGGAGTTGGTCGGTTACATATACGGATCTCGGTATGTCAATGTCATGCATTAAATAACAACCTATGAACATGAGGAGGGACTGGATATATGTATGACTTTGAGTGGATAAGAGCAGAGTTAATTGGGGATTCCAAACCCTTTCAAGATCTGAGATCCAAGAAAAGTGATTTTGTGTCCATTAAGGACAGGATTTGTCTTCTACTACCGAAATCAAGAAACAGTGGAGCACTTTGTCAATGTTAATCTGATGTGGGTTCCTATATGATGAGAACTGTCTGTGTTTGTTAGGTTTGCTTGTTGAGTACATGACGGCCATTTACTCTTTAGTATTTAGGCAGCATATTTTATGACATGAGATGAGTGATCACGCATGCATATTAATTAATAATAACTCTCGAGAGTTATTATGGAAAGTGAATGGTTATTTATGCAACTCATGTCATCCATAGTCCGAATAAGAAACATTTGGAAATTTCCAGATTTATGTAGCACGTACTATTTATTATTACTTAAATATGCATGTCTTACAAATAGGAATTAGATATGGTTAATCGTATGAGTGGATATCAAACTATATAATAGTAACTTTTAATTAAGATGGTAATGCATCTTTGTCATCACGTGTATAATTACTTGTGTCATTAATTATAATTAATATAAATAAGTAGACATATGTGTATAATTTTAATTATGTACATTCATATATACTCAATTTTCTTCCTGTGCGATGCAGATTGTAGTAGCTTAATCAAAATATTCAATTTATGCAAAGTTGGATGACAAGCAAATTAAATTATGAAATACAATTATAGTACAATATTCCATTAATCAGACCAAATTCAGGTACAGACAGATTAATTTTGATAAATGGTTGATAATAGCACATTCATTGATTGAGGACACGTGTACCAGAAATTCTAAGCTATGTAAATATAGACTTTTCACTTGTTTTCATCAATTTAAACGTTTATGTAATCTGAAGGCTAAAGTACTAAATACTCAAAAAAGTACATTGTTGTACTCGAATAGTTACCACTAATTATGTAACCAATTTAATTTTTAATTTAATTACTGATTTAATCATGTTTAATTAAATTTATCACACATACTTTCCATCCATAATTTACCCACCCGTAAAACTTTCACTCTCACAACTTTCACTTTTACACGAGCGTCGGACACTTCATTTTAAACCGTTGGCAATACGTTCCAAAATCATAGCTGAGCATAAACAGAATCACAGGATTCATCATGACCTGAATGTATGTAAAGTTCTTCAACACTTTGACATAAAATTGAGTATACGCCACCAAAATGTCGGGGAGAAGATTTTGTGGTAAGTCCAGAAAAAATTGAGCGAACCCATACGGTAACCAGAAGACGAGGAATATTACCGAAAAAGTACACGAGTTCCGGAGCAGACGAAGCCGGGTGTCTGGAAATGTTGGGAAAATTTGTACCCCGATCCTGTTCTCAGACCAAGTCACCTGCAAATCAAGCATAAAGTTGACGGGGAGAAGAAGAAGAAATTTAAATACTAAAACTATGCATCGCGACTTCAGCATCTTTCAAAATAGCGTCATGCATTCTGCAGTTTTTTTTAGAATTCCGCAATCAACGAAGACTCACATTCTTCACATGTGCGTAGGATGTTGCAGGGTTTGCGGCATGAGTCAATAAAAAATTTAGATTTTTTTACCACAAATACATACGGACACACCTTACAGAATAGATTTATAAAGGGCAAAGTTCAATAGTTGACATTGGAGGAAGGAAGGAAAGAAAGAAGGAAGTTTGTTGTGTATAAAATATTTATTACTGGTCTAATTTCAAGTCTCAGAATAAAACCGACTTACGATTGAAGCTCGAAGAAATCTGATTTTCCTCAGCGTTTTCGTCGACTCTGTAAAACAAGAAGGATGCGAGATGAGAACTTTGCTTCCAGTAAAAGTTTGCATGGACGAAATGGGAGAATCTGAATCAAAGACATTCCAGTCCAGACACAAGTAGCAGCAAACCACCCACGACGACAAGGACTCCTTTGAGAAAGGAATCGTCGTCCTCGTGCTGTCTCGTGAGAATTCCAGAATTTCAAATTTAAATCTTTTTGAACTCTCATTACTTTCGACCCGCTGGATAAACTTTTTTGTATTTTGTATGTACTCGTAGCATCAATCTGACTGAAGTAATGTAATGTGCATACATACATACGTATTTATGTATTTAGTTACCTTGAACCAGGATCATCGAGGGTATAATGTAGACCGAAAATAGGAACAGGATCGCATACATTATGGTAACGGACATGTTGCTGAAAAGGAGCGTCTGAAAAAAATATAAATAGAAGTAATATTACGTTTTTTGGGGAAATTTGGTCATTGTAAGTCTTCGCTCGTTTGGTTAACAAAAATACAAAATTTCATTTTCAAGGATGCAGGTACATTTTCATATTAAAAGTAATGATACCTTGATGGGTTTAAAGATATGAGTTGCGCAATTAAGTTATACAATCCTAGAGGAAACTTATTTAGTTACGACTATTTATAAATATGCTTCGTAGTTGAACAGGTACATATGTAAGTTGAATTTTAGTTTCACAAGCTCTCAGACTGAAAAATTTCGACAGTTAACATGTTAACAAGCTCATCGCTAAACTTTTCGATACTTCAATCATTTTAAAAGGAAAGGTTCCGTATGAAAAATATTTGACTTATGCAACAAAGAAAAAAGTGGATGGAACATAATACGCGTTTTCTTAAAGTCGTCTGCCATACATACGTAACATCAGGAGAAAGTGGTGAAATTCAGGATTGCCACGTGCCTTTACTTTATATAAGTAAACTCATCACCCAACAGCGTTGCCCATATTATTTCATGGTTGGTCGTTTATTAACAACTTACGACATGACATTCGACAATTTAATATGGACGAGGAATCCGACCGTATTATTAGGATGTCTTGCTCAATAGTGACTCAAAGGTTGAGTCAAATTAGAATGGAATGATTGAATTAAATGCATTAAGCCTTCGGGGGTAGGAAGTCCATGGATGGTGAAGTTTGCGTACGTAACTTGGGTAAATCGCAATAAATGTCTATTAAATAGGAGGACAGATAACCAACTATCAGTTTAACACTTGGGTGAACAATTGAGTTCTCGTAATTTGAATTTATACAATGGGACGCTATGACGAATGCCTTCCAGCGAGGTGTCTACTTTCTCTATGTATAGGTCCAATTTACATCGCTCATAAAGTTTTCATCACCAGCGACGGTCCAATTACGCTCATTTCGTAGTACTCAGAGGCATCAGGAAATACAGAATTTTCCCATGCAATATGAAACTCACCTTTAATAATCCTAAGTAAGATACTTACTGAATCAATTACCATTATTAATCAACAGATTTTCGGGATATCGGTTATGTGTCAGGGAAATTGGGGCTTCCAACTAATTGTCATTTTGCCATCATCACTCACTCGTTAGTCGGAGGCACAACAAAAAGGGACACGATTTGAATGATGGCAATTTCAATTTTTTTCAATTCAATTTGGAATCGTATGGGGGGACACCTGTCATCATTAACTAACTAAGCATACATTTGGTGCATACTGATTCGTGATCTGTGTTGTACGGAGAAAGTAGGGCTGAGACAAAGCAATGTAAACAATAGGCCCATTTTAGGTGGTCGTTATTATGCATGAGTGCCGAAAACCAGAGTTAGGTAAAGTTGTAAACCAATTCTGAGAAAGTAAATTGCCTTTATTATTATGTCAGAGACCAAGTGCATCCACATCGCTGCACATGATGCCTACAAATTCCACACGTCGTAAATAATACGAAAAGGATTGCTTTGCTTGGCATGCTCTAGACAAGCCGTCATTTAATTTTGAATCGAGTTGTTGGATTGCCACATAATTCAGGGAATTGTTCAATCTGGATGGATGTCTGCTCAATTTTGTTCGCAGGAAGGAAGGAAGGAAAAAAAACGCTGTTCAAACAGAATGTCTAGTCGTGGATATGTAGATATTTAGGATTCTGATTTTAAATTGGACCCGAGTTGTGAAGCGTTTCCGTTGCAAATTTGCAAATTGGAAACAAATCCTCCGCCCATGAAAGTTTACCGACTACATAAAATGTATATTTTATACGAGGCTGTATTTGGTCTGTAGTCTGTAACGTTAAATTATTATGAATTCTGTTTGAAAATGGGAAAGCATTTTATTGGGTTTGACGATGTGAGCATTAGCATTTCAATTGAATATCTACAAGTGTTTACTTTGTTAATTGAATGTATTGAATTTTCTCCATGTCAGATCCGATATTGACAAATCGTGCAAGATTGAAATAGTCAAATATACCATGCGTGGGGGGAATTAAAGAGGTGCCACAAATGTGTGGGGGTAAAATAAATAACTTAAAAGAAAGGGCAGTGTCTAAATTTGGAAAAGTAAGCTTAATTTTCGTACTTTCAACCAAACTCTAAAAGAAAACCGGAGCACGTGATTTCTTCGCAGTAAAATATCCTCTTTCTGCCCACATCAAAGAATGTGAACCATTTTACTGCTCTCGCAATCTTTCAAAGGTGTGTTTTTCAAATTCAACTAAATATTTATCACCAACATCTACTTTCACTTGATACACACATATTTACAGAGGTGAAGTTGAAGCGTGGGCGAGGATGAGGGTGGTTTCGAGCCACGCTTCATGACTCTTGTGGTATCTCTGGGGAGAGATCACTTCACTGTGGTTAATTATAAATTGAGACTACGTACGAGACCAAAGTCACAAGTCTTGGTCTTGTAGGTCGGGTTACATTGTGGTCAAATGTTAAAATAATAACGACCCTGAAGGTTCACAGAGGTCAAAGTGTGTCACACGACAAAAGCCCCAAAATCCAGTCATGAATGAGTTTCGCACGATCAAAACTCGTGGTACAGGAATGTACCACGAGTTTATTGTTTCAAGGCACGAATTTTCTCGGTTGAATGTTAAGCGTACAATAAATCACTCAGGACTTCAGAACACAAATGTATACACATATCCACATGCCAAACAAGAGAATATGTATCATTATCTTTACCTTTGAACATTTATAGGGATTTGAGATGCAAGGATCAAATTTTCGACTGACTCCTAGTGGAGCAGCGATGAGGAGAGAGAAGCTCCAGATGAATATCACCCTCCAAAACGGATTCATGGAACATGTTCTCGTCAAAGGATTCCGAGCAACGCGACCTCGGTCAAAGGAGATCGCCTGCAAATTATCATAATTACGGATTTGTCTTTTTACTAATCTTTTTCGATATTACCATTGTTGTGAGGGCCACGAGTGGAACGGGTATTCCTGCAAAAAGTTAGGATATATACATTTAGATCTATATTTGGGATCTTCTAAATGCATATAAGAAGTTAATAAACTATTCTTATTATTTTGTGGTTATGCAACTTGTTCGGATAAACTGGCGAAACAATTTGCATGCATTTGTTCAACATGAAGGGATTGAAAACACGCAAAACTTAGGATTATGCATGCACAATTGAATTATACACAGAACACCTCTTCACGAATGCGAAGTTTCATGGTTTTCTTATTTTAGGTCGGTTGGGAATTTTCAATTAGGTTAAAAACTTTATTTGTGACGTGGCGTCTGCATAGTTAGCAAATAAAGTCCCACGCAGTGCAAAATTTCAAACTTTTATTGTTACGCGTACGATGTAAGCAGGCCAGCGTGCGGCACCACAGAGAAGAATAGGTCCAAAGGTCCATTGAAAATTCCATATATCTGATATTGACGGAAACCATCAAAAGCAGAGATGAAACCGAAAGGTTGGCTATGAGTAGATTTGCAGGTCTGAAATAACAAAATGCACCACGTGAAATTTATTATGCATTTAATATCACATCACATTTTTTTTTACTTTGTGCAAAAAGTGCCAAAATTCAAGGGCACATTTGGGCTTTGTTATTTGAGTATATGAAAAACTTTCTCCGGCAAAACATGTTCTGGATCTTTGGAATTTACAATAGATTCATGTCAAAACATGTTAATCTCGTATGTATGTCAAAGATGTATGTCAACATTGATAGGGAGAAAGTTGTGAATGTTTATTTGTGTTGTGTGGTTGAGACCCAATCGGCAATTCAATTCACTCACTTTCTAAACTTTGGAAAAGAGCATATGAGACAGATGATGGCCAGATTTCCAAAACAGGACAATGCCGTGACGAAGATGAAGAACGGGTTGGTGAAAATCTCGTCAGCTTCAGGAGTGGCTTTCTTCAGTGCAAATAATGTCGTAGAATTGATAGATCTGGTCAAAAGGGAGACTTTCTCCAGTTGCTCGGACTCATATTGGAGCGGAGACATCCAGCTCATTTCCGTCGTGGCGACAGTTTCCAGCCCCAGGTCGACAACTATTTCGCCATCCTCATCCCTCCGCAGTCCAGTCCCAAAAAAGGAGGATGAACTGTTTTGAGATGGTGTTCCAAGAGAGTAGTTTTTGCACGGCATTTTTTTCGTACGATTATCTGAAATATTACAAAATATTATCATGACAAATTCCATTGTCGGAATTGAAATAGGACATATTTTCATTTCTTGATCTAGCTTTCGGGCACAAGTACAAAATGCCGATTTTGTAATAAGATGGATACTTTAACAAGCTATCAAATTTCTGGGAAGTGGATATTTTATTACAAACTGGAAGACTGAATTTAGACGAATTTAACTTAAGTAAATTCCTAGAAATCCACTTTAAACAAAATTTTATAACCCATTGGTGTTACGTAGATATTTGCAATGCATACATATGTTACGTATGTAGTTATATATATTACACCCACGATATGCTTATGTGCATATGGTTAAAAATTGACTCACTTTCTCAACTTTCTCTGAATGCAGGGGTAATTGAAACAAGAAAGAAAGCCGAGAAAGTCGGAGAAAGTAACCAAACGTTATAAGAATTGCATGAAAGGATGATAAATAAAACACCCGAGATTTCTGACATCCTTCCTTTGCAACCTTCCTTCCGACTTTAAATTACTATGCATCTCGTTGTTTGCATCTGATTCAAGTAGTGTGTAATTTTTTGTAAGAAATCAGAGTGCGTAAAATTTGGTAAAAAGACCTTGAAGGTTGTACTGGTATTTACATATAGACAAATATTTTTTAATTAAATGCTGAGAGTTCCCTTTCTTAATCCGGCCTTAGCAAAGGATGTATAAACATTCATTCAAATAGATTCTGGGAAATTCTTCCGACACGGATGAATTTTTTTTGTGTATAAAATTTCCACCGTCATTCTTAAATTCTGAGCCATTTGCATGAGCATCATTTGAGCTGCAAGCTTTAGAAGTACGTTTACTCTCAATTAAACGCGTATAACTATGATTGGGACGATAGTTTGAAAACTTTTTCCGAAAAAATTCTTCCACCAGGTTGAAAAACTTTCTCTCTTAATAAAGTAGTCTCAGCGTCTCAAAATGGGAAACTTATTCTACTTACCCAATAAGAAAACTTTTACTGCAAAATCAGCCTCTGGGTTTACATATTAGTTGGTAGTCATAAGTTTTCGTGTAATGCTTATAAGTTTCAGAACGGGTTTTCAAGCATTAAATGGGTGCAAAAGGGTTATGAAAAAGTTTCCAATATCGTGTTTTTTCTTACATATAAGGAAGGTTAGGTATATGAAAGTAATCTATTTTTCAGGTGTGGGGGCTCAAGCTACCGGATGTGGAATGTTTTTCAAGGATTAATTTCCTTTACTTTTCAAACTAAATAAGTAGCTCACGTCATTAGGATCGAATTAGCTAACCTTCACATAATGATGTATTTCCTTCCATGCAGAGAAACTGATTCAGGATTTATTGTCTAATTTATCAATTGTCATTCTTCCTATAAAAAATAGCAACTAATGCGAAATTGAATTAAGTCTCATGTATTTATCTCGTATAATGGCATGTTATGTATGAAAAAGTTACAAATGCCCTGCTATGTAAGAAGTCTTAACTTATCCTTAGTCAAACAAAAGGGCTAAAAAGTCCCTTTCTGTCAGAATTATAAGTAAGTTTTATAATAATAATTCATAAGTTTCTAAAGTCAGGGTCCACTCAATAGGGAAATATTGAGACTGTCAAAGGTATTAAAAATTGCATAAAGAGCTTGAAAATAATTTCTAATATTTCTGGCAGAAATTTTCTGCATACTCGTGAGATCAAAGATAAACACGGACCCGTCTGAGAACTGGGTAAGCATCGATCTGGTGGAAATTATAAGCCATTCGTATCACGTAATATATTCATCCAGATACTTTCTTAGTCATATATTCTTGATCATTGATTCAGTTCACATAATATTTTTTTTGCGAAGTTAATGATGATACTGACGAATTCAATTCGAACGGCTCCTAATTAAACCAAGATTTCCTTCATGTATAACAAATTTCAAGCTTTCTATTAGGTGTGCAGTTCATTACGACATAAGTTCAAAATGTTAACTTGTTGCTTGTTAGTGAGGTTTGAGCAAATAATACAGTTGATTGCGGAGAGCTTTCTATTACGTAAGTTTATCAAAGGAGGGAAGTTGTAAGCTTGTAAGGCGATATTCCTGTAACATTACATACATTCATCTATACACTGCTGGCAGCCTACATACATAATTCGTTAATTAAGTTTATTTTGCTGGTAGATTTGTCAATATCCAATTTATAGATTTTCGTTCTAGCTTGCTGAGTTTGTGAGTGATTAACACAGTAATAATTGTGACTGGTAAATATGATTTTAATGAGAGAGTGAGGGTCAAAGTTCATCCACCCAGCCATGTGCCCTTGATTCACAGATTCTTACACTTGCCAGATTTCCCATCAATCTTTTGTGCACCATGTGCAACAGTCCAAAAACTAAGGAAATGTCTCATAAGGGGTGGTATTTCTTCGTAGAAATAAATTTCCCTTGGGAAAACTTTCTAAAGGAAGGATTAGGTCAGTTAATTAATTGACCACTGACCGAAGCGCGGCTACTATGCGGCACTCAAGTTCAGAATGAAGTGTACAAAAAATATATAGATCATACAAAATTGAGAAAAATATGTGTATGCTTATTTATATTTCGATAAATGAGCTTTTCTTATTCCGCCCATACACACATTTGAGGTGATGAGTTCCATTACAAACATTGCATACATAACCGTAAATATCAGTTTCTAGTCACAACTCGAACCCCAATGTGTCGTGAGATACTCGAGAATGTGACTAAAATGCGAGCACATTTACCCGAATATGAATGAAACATTAAGCCGTAAACCACTTTAGACACGACTTTCTCTTCAGAATTTTCATCCAAGAAGAAGGTGCCACTCTAAAATTTATTTGTGAGTGGAATGAATATGAGTAGCTTTTTACACCCACACAATGTGCGCTACATGTGAAATAATATTTGTTTTCTAGGAGGAACAATTTTCCATACGACGCCATATGTGGCGTGAATGATAAGTATTCCTTTGCTATATTTGGAATTTTTCGATTTACTTTATATCGCCGAGTTAGCACATTTGCAAACTCCACGCTGCATAAAATATAGTAATACAATTCAGATACTACCACTTTTTACAAGCGAATCAGTCTGAGAATAATACGGTTTGACGTTAAACTGCACGGTAATCTAACGTGTGTCTGTGCAAAGTAAACAGAGACAGATTCTACGTACTTACTTGCACCACATCTCCTCGTCTCTTCATACTTTCCCTACCACTTCAGTTCAGTTTAACGTTAACCAAACACCCGACTCATCCTCAGCCGTATTAGTCCTGCTTAAGTTTCGGCACCATTTTTACTTTCACCTTCTTGGTGGTGACGGGACAAGGCCAGCGATCCATCCATTATCTCAACAGCGTCACTTACTTATGTATTCCACATGATACCATAAGCTACGTACTGCGACCTTCCTGCTTTCATAAATATGCACTGCAATGTACAGCAGATGGATCACATACACGTGAATCTCTGGCTGAACTCGGTAAATCCATTAAGTTTTGGAAAGGACAAAAGAGAGCTTCTTTCTCGATAACAACTTTCTCCTCTTCATTTTACTCCCCTATTTATTCGACCGACAGAATGGATCTCATGCTCAGACTGCTCCTCCTCCTTCTCTTCGACAAACAAGTTTTACAAGATAAATTGAAGTGGGTTTCTGGCCTAAATATCTTTGTCCCTACTAGAACTTAAAAGAACTAGAAAATTCTGTCTGTCTGTCTATGATAACATATGGGAAGTGTCGGGTTCGTGTTTTTTCGCCACTGTGAAGGGAAACAAGATAGAGTGAGTTTGGAAAAAAATCTTATCAATCATTTGACACCAGGATGAAATGAAATGTATTGTCGCGTTTCGCAGTTACATGAGAAATTGAAGACAGCAAGAAAACTACATATGATGAACTCGATGAAAAGTGAGTAAGAGAGGTGAATTTCATGTTTTCTGAAGTATCGAGTTTTACAAGTTTGGCTAAATTGAAAGAGGTTTTCATGTTCCATGTACATGGAAAATCGAACGAAAGCATACACATTTCAAGATGGAAGGAATTTCGATAGTCGACTCAAAACTTTCTGCCAGCCATCTGTATTATTTGAGTCAGGTGCTGGGAAAATGACGACCGAACTCTTGGTCATTACGGGAAAGTGTGTCCCATCTGTGGCAATTTGACTGGGAATGCCATGTGGGACCATCAATATTTGACGGGCTATTAGTGCTTGAAAGCATGTATGTACCTAATTTTGAGTAATGGTGGCAACAAACCTCGACGACCAGCAGCTAATCAGATTTTGCATGGTCACACCGCACTCTTCCTTTCGTCGCAATTTGCACTATCTACTCCATAATTTGCATCACTTGATCAATGCACTTTGTCCCTTCATTTATCAAAGGTTATTATTAAATCGGCGTATTTAACAGAATGCACTCTGCACAATATAGTTAATTTACACAACCATTCATCAATCCAGTTGAACCTAGTACACAATTAAATTAATTGCGACCTACCTCACAAGGCTTGTAGAATTCGAATGGTCCCAACAGACGGATAATGGCTGCCTACATTTCCACTCTATTGAACAAACCACACTGCATCTCGAATGCACCAAACTTTTGCGTCACAGAATAAATTACTTGATTCACTTTACTTACAAACACCGAGAAATTCAAGCAAAATGGGTCGGTCGGATTAATCTCAGAACGAGTTGTTTTTCATCTCACTTTCTCCCCACGAATGAATGCATCGTCTTTCTCACTACACACACACGAGCAATTGTAGTAGCTGCAGTAGTGAGTCACTGAAAAAAATATGAGACTGAATTTTGTTGTTCACTTGGCTAGTAGAATGGTAAAAATAACTGCATTCTTCTCCTCTGGAGAGAGCGGAATAATGCCTCAAATGATAATAAGAGCGAGGAGACGCTGCATTTGGAGATGGCCCAGTTCCAAGAGATGGAGAATGAATGGAGAAAGTGGGACCGGAATGGGATGGATGTTCTTCGGGTGAAAGTCTACTTTCAACTGATTGTTGAGCTCTAGTGGAGACAGGCGAATAAGAACGGCCAGGCCATTCCATCGAGACCACCAACAAATACATGGTGATGATGGTACGGTAGACCGGAAAGTGTACACAATTGGGCCCTTTTTGCTGTTGTGTTATGTACGAAAACGACGTGTTGAACTACTTTTTTGTGGACCATGTCAGCCAAAATGGTTAAGTTATTAAGCCATTTGAAAGCGCATAAGTAAGGTTGAAAGGTTGAAAAGAAACTCCCCGCAGTCTGGACACGTGGATGTAAGTATTTATGTATTTGGCCATTTTCGTAGCATGTATTTCCAATTTTCTCTCTCGAATAATTGCTCTCGTGCTGGTCTGAAACATGAGGATTTCTAGTTATGTATTTATTGTGGGAAGACCTTGGCTTATATTTTTGCTTCCTCGTGTCCCTAATATTAGAATTTTAAATTAAGTACTCTTAGTGGTCGGGTTTGATTAAAGTGTTGGCTAAACGAGGGTATCCACTACCAGTTATAGATGGTGGGTACGAGTGAATGTGTTCGTATGTAATTTTGTGAATGTGGATGAGAAGATTATGCGCCCAGGGGAGCATTTCTGAAAAACAGGTCGGCATGAATGCTTTCTTTCACATTGATATGTAAATCTATATAATTTTCTCATTTCTCGTGGAAAAATATGCGTACTGGGTTCTCTTACTTACTGAATGAGTAGTTAGACCGAGATGTGAATGAGGTATAGCAGCATTACTGGAATTAATTATAGCATCTACTGATCAACAAGTTGTGTAATGAAAATGATGGTTCTTCTAGCGTCACTAAACGACATCTTATCCCTGTTTTACATAATACGTAGAACTCAAGAAGCTGAATATGGAAATTATGTGAACATTTATGTAAAGCTGGAGATTAAGCTGGTATTAATGCGAATATATGTACGCACCACTGCTAAGCTGACCTCAAAACCACAAAATTGTCTTTAATGAGCAGCAAACCTAAGTAAGTATTCCCAAATTAAACCAGTCTTGTTCAGAAGTCGACGCCGACCAATTTTGCAGCGAAGGATCCTTAATTAAACCAAATTCAATTAGAAGCGTCAAAGGGCAGCAGCAATTTTTTCTTAAAGAAGCTCCCGAAATAGGCAACTTGACCCGAAAATTGCACTTATTTCATTCTTTACTAGACTATTCTTTAGAGTTATCAAAGTTGTTGACTATGTAAAAGCATAGCAGTAACATTGAGAAAGTAAATATCCCATTTTCTAGCATGTAAGTACTTACATTAATGTTTCATGGAGCCTAACGCAGAATGATTATGCATTATATTTTCGTAGATTGAGACTTCAATTTTATTGACCCAGCTTCAACTTGGAATTATGTCACAATTTTGCGTCAGTTTTCGATCAATTTGGGCAATCTCATCTCCAGGTTATTGTACATAGGAAGATACTGCACCACTCGGTTACTCAATCTCACTTCTGGGTTATCACGACCTTGTGTTTTTTGTGTGGATAATACCAATCTTTTTCGATGATCTTGGTGTTGGCATTGTGTTCCGTAATCCAGCAATAATCCAGCCGTGAGCAGTTTGAGGGAGGAAAGAGCAAAGGTAAATTGAGTCATTTAATATTATGTCTGTCTTCTTGTGCAAAAACTATAGTTCCTGATTGGACTGTCTGATTTTGTTACATATCTTATTTTGTAGAAGGTGTATGTTTGTACGTATGTAGGCGGAGGACATATGTAGGCGTTCAGCCAGCTCAGCCTTTTTTGTCCGTGGATCTCAGAATCACTATAATTTTAATCAAGTCGAAAGAGAGAATACGACACTGCGTGAATTATATGTGTGCACCTTCGTCTGTACTTTCTTTCTTCTTCTCACTTTGAGATCAGACACTGGACACAAGACAAACAAGATGAAATGAAATTGAGAAATGTGTCGTTTCTGAGAGAGAAACAGATTGTTTGAAATTTGAAATCTAACCTTCATGATTCAGTGGAAACGAAATCAAAATGATTCAATTTCAACGACATTCAAAGATTTCAAGTGAAATGTGAAACCAAAATTCGACACGAAGACCTACAATCGACAAGTGAAAATGGAATCACATAGGGAAAACAAGGTAGATATTTTAAGGTGATCTATTGTCTCGTCTGTGTGTAGTTTTCACTAGTTTAATGATTTCTGTTACTTGTAATTAGTAGAATTTATAGGAATTCCGAGTTCCAAGAAAGCATGCGACTTTGGATTCATGTGGGTGTGGAATGATACGATATGTGACGAGTTTACGGGAAACCGAACTGGTGTCAAATGGAAATTATAGACCATAGCTATAAAGATAATATTGATAACAGATCCAACCCTTAATCGTCATTTATCATCAAATCGTGTAGTAGATATAATTGGCTCACTTTGTTAAAATATGGGTTTCCGAAATGAACAAGCTCATAAATCAAAGTCCGAAAAATGCGAGGACTCTCTCCATCATTTTGCTTTCTAACAAACCTCCTGGGTTACTGACCACCTACTGAGTTGCGTATTGATTTCGTAATTCGTAGAACATCAGTTCTCTGGAAAAGAATAAAAAGGGACAAAAAAGGATACATATGGAACTTGTGTGGATAATGAGATGAGTTAATAATATACTAACTACATATACCCACGTCAAAAGTAGTTTGTCATTATGTCGGATATTATGAGAAGAATGCATTTTGCGTGGGTTTACAAAAGTTATATTAGAGTTGTATATAGGTACATAGTACGCTTCATACTTTAATACGGAAGTGGATTATCATCCTGGTGTCTGCAACAAAAAAGATCCCTTCTCCTGCCCCATTGTTCTAATGATTCTTGTGGACAAAGACCCATGCGACAAAGTTATTTCGTGACATTTCCGCATTTTCAGCGTAATACAACATCCTTTGGAGAAAGTTGGTCATGAGCTTTCTCTTAAACCAAAGGGAGATTATATAGCTGGATGTTTTTGCTCGCCGTTCGTGCGTTCGACTAAACGACATTTATTTTTGCTGATTTTGGTAATTTTAAACCTGGCTTAAATGCACTTTGTCTAAACAGACAGCTAGTTTTCGTTGATCAGCATTTAGATATGTTCAACCATCAGGCACAGAAAACTTTGGTAAATGCCTATCATCAATTACGAGGGCTCCTCAATAAGTACCATTTTTCCTCTGACTATAATTTTTTCTATTACTTTTTAACATACATACTATAGTACACCCCTAGTTAGTTATCTCACTTTCCTCGTTCCGTCACAGCAGCAGCCTTTAAGCAATTTATGCACAAACGAAAAATAACCCATTATAGTCCCTGAATCCAATCCTTTGAGATTGAATTGGTACATAACTGTGTTGTTATTTAGGTTAACATTGCAATAGCCAATTATCAAAACGTATAATACATTACACAAATATTATTTATTATTTTTATCTAGACATTTTTGCAGATATATTTTACATGTTAAATTTTTCGAAATATACATGTATGTACATACACGAGTTTTTTAAATGCATAAAAGACTACAAGTAAATGTATCAGGTAACGTATTACTTTGTTCCATTGAATTTCACAGGTACATACATTAAAATTACACAAAAAATACAAAATTTTAATTCCATTGGACGTATCTATAAAATAAACTACGCTAAAAGTCAGGAGTTCTATGCTACGGTACAGAGTTGGCTATAACTATAAAGTTCTCTTTAGATTGATAATATGGATACAACAATATGAACGCACCGCAACCACAATTTACGCTACATAAAATAGTATTAATTACAATTTAATACAATGTAAGTCATGGAGTTTACTAACATCACGACTCATAAACACGTCCGACAACTACGACTTAAATTTACTACATTGTAATAATACTGGTGTGACATAAAGTTCTGGAATTACAATATGTATACCTACTTTGAAACAAACTACTTTTAGATAAAACGTCTAGCATTTCCCTCCCTTGGCCTTGTACATACTTAAACATATATATTAACCAAGTTTGCTTGTTAATTATACCTACTTTTACTTGTGATAGAGTTGACATTGCTAATTACAAATAGACATTGAGTGGTGGTTAATTGGTTACAAACTTGACACCTACTACGCATTAGTGTTCATACCCAAACTCATAGAACCCCCAAGTTACAGTTACAGGTTGCTTAAAGTTCTGATCAAAATTACCTCTTACAGTCCACACATACATACATATTCAATTGCCAAAGTTATAAAGTAAACTAGTGAGCTTAAACTTGCATACTATTCAACATTATAAACAAAATCTGTGTATTTTGTATAAAGAGAAAGCTCAATAGAAAAGTTTTCTCATTTTCACTAATCTTCAACTTGTGTACCTTTTTCACTCGATGCTCAAATAAAATCTCCTTTTTTCTACTTCTAGAACTTGGATTCATCGTCCAATCTACAAATCACAGTGTCCAAAGTATCGCCACAATTCGGTTCAATTTCGACAATGTTTTCCTTTTGTGTAGCTTTTCTCCAGCCACACAAAGCCGGCAGTCATACCCGGCAAAGCCTTCTCCCACTCCCGTTGTTGTTGTTGGATTGTTCATATATCGGCATGTGTTTGAGGAGGTCGTAGCTGAGGAGAAAGAGGATGACGGGATTAAGGGCGATGAGGCAGTAGCTGATATTTTTAAAGAATTTGAAATAAAGTCGGAGATAAGTTGCCAAAATCTCGGGAACAAGTTCCCGAGGAAGGTCGAGAGGAAATTGAAAGATTCCGTACGGGAGCCAGAAAATGAGGAAAATTAGACAAAAGATGCAAGAGTTCCGCAAAAGTCGAAGTCTGTTGTCAGGTAGGCTAGGGAAACTGGGAGAATGCTGCATCACCTGGGAATAAACAATAGAAAATCCTAGAATAAATCGTGTCCGTGAGTTTGACAAAAGGGTGAAAGTTGTTGTATTATTCTTACCCCGGAAAGTTTCAAGAATTTAATTTTGTCAATTGTCTTGGTGGTTTCTGCAATTTAATGAAAATGAAAAGAGTGGCTCACGTTACGGCGGGAGAGCTATTTAATTAAGCTTGATACCTAATAAAGGAGGACATGCTCACCTTGAATTAATATCACGGCGGGGATAACGTGGATAGAGAGGAGATAGATGCAACCGTATAACACGGGCAACACGGGATTGTCAAGTATCACGACCTTGGGGAAAGTGGGGACATAAAAAAGTCAATGTTACAGACATGTTTTTTGCACATGAAAGTAAATATGTGGATACCTTTTTGCACTTGTGAAACACCGAATTGCAAGGGTCGTATGCTCTGGTAAAGTAGAGTGGCAGGAGGATTATGAGTGAGAAGATCCAAATGTACACGATCCTCCAGACCGGATGTGTCGTGTTTGATCCCAACATTGGATTTCTCGCAATTCTTCCTCGGTCCAAGGAAATCGTCATGGTCGTCAGTGCTATGACGGGGATTGGAATCCCTGTTTAATTAAGAGGCGTTAAGCTGGTTAATAGTGCTGTATAAACATGATTGGTAATTTATCATTCTGCTGGTCCTTAAATAATGAGAGAAAGCTTGGTGAAAGCTAGGATTATGTCATAACCGCGTGGATGCGTTTATGCAACGAGGGTCAGACAGGGATAAAATCTAACTGATGGAATTGAGTATAAATCTCTTTCTATCCCAATTTTGTTAACGGAATTGCATTTGTGATATTGGAATCACCGCGTCCGGCGTTACATAATATCCAATCCCCTTTTGTGTGCATTTACGACCGTGGTGGTCAATAACCGTGTCACTCCTGTATAACTTTTGTGCACAAACGAATTCCCGAAATCTTTATCGTTTGTTTGATCTAGAGAGCCCTTTACTAGATCAATCATATCCTTTTTATGTGTACATACATAAAGGAATAGTTTTTGCGAAACTTTACGAGAAAACGAGAGTCCTCATAATATGTACATGTATTGCAATTTTGTAGGTAAATACGTAGTTAGATACTAGATAAATAAAATAAATTGCTTACTATGTAAAATTGCGAGAATTTTGCATAAGGAATCGCTATACGTCCAGACATCGAAAGAGTTTTCGGCTAGACGTAGATTTGATGAGATGATGAAGAGGAAGGACGAGAAGGATAAATTGGCTACCAGCAGATTTACCGGCCTGTGTAATTCAGTAACAAAGATTAATTATGTAATAGAAAGATTAGAGAAAGTTACGTAAGCATGAAAAATTTTACTAAAAATACGGTTAAAAGTGAAAACACAACTTTCACCAGACTTATGTAAAACTTTGAAAGTAAAACAGCTTAAAAATAGCATAATTATGAAATATAAATGCATATTAAATTTTTTCACTTACTTTCGAAACCTTTGCTTGCACAGAATTACGCCCACCATGGTCAAGTTGCCAATCATTGACGCAATTGACACCGAGAGATACAAAAGGCTGGAAATGATTGAATCTGGCTCAGGAACCTCGTGTGACACTGTTCCATTAGTTGAAACTGGATACAAAATTCCAGACATTGGAGAAGTATCGTTGTGTTTCAAATTCACAAAAAGATCCGACGACATCATGTTGACTCTACTGACATCCACTCATTGATCAATCGGGTCGAGTTGACTTTTCAATCTATGCTCCTTCTTGGTGTTCTTTTGGTGTAATTGGATTTCTAGAATTTAGAGTATAGATAATACGGATATAAAAACGTGTTAAGAAAAATTTTGATCGAGTTTCGGGTAGAGAAACTCTTTACTGGAGAACGATATCGAGTTCACACGCCCACAACTTTCCAGAAGTGAGAAATTTGACACAAAAGGGACCACATCGATCCGGTGCAGATGCTGTATTCGCGTTTAACGAGATTGAATGGAAGTGGTCACTTTTTGGGAAATAATTAGAACGGTCCAGTGCATGCGGTTGTTAGTGGTGCACGTGTCGTTTCTATTCTCACGCGAGAATCTGGCTCAAGAATTTCATCGGTATGAATGGTGTGACGATGCCTAGATATATATGGACTGACAGGTCATTTCCTCTATTTCTTTATCCAGTGTTGTTCCGTGTCTGTCCCTATGCTACAGCCTCTTCAAGCACGTATACTTAGATTGTAAATAACAACAGATAAGTAACGGAATGACGCACGGAATAAAATTGCCCATCGTGTGTGACGGTGCATTTCGTTAAGGGAAGTGTCATGAGCGTCTTTTTTTTTACAAAAAAATGTTTAATTTAATTTGTTCCTCGTTTCACGCAGTGATGAAAATACCAAAAACTGAGAGACAACAAAGCAGAGATTGTGAATGGGAAGAAAATGTTGGATTATGAAATTATGAATTTAAGTGCTTATAAATTTTAATATGTATTAATTTCAGGTTAATTAAGGGGATTGTATAAAAGTCTTATGTGTATATGCCGTTAGTTAGTTAATAGGGTAATTTTGTTTGAGTTTGTGTACGTGCACAATACTTGTGATATTATTAGAACGGGGTTTAGAACATTATCATTCCTTGGCGTATAATATCGCTCTGAGGCACAATTTAAAAACTATGAAATAGTTGCGAATAAGTTATAGCTCTCCAGTCTGGATAATATTATTAAGGAACACCATTAAGTTACACAGAATAGAATTAAGAGCTATGTTGTATATACAGATATATGCCAAAACTGAACTTTGTCATTAATTAATGAAAATTGATAAAATTAGAGAATACGCATTATTCTCAGGCTCTTACAAAGTAGGAGCTAAATATGCACCAAAGTTCTCAAAAGCAAATTTGCAAAGATTTTAGACTTTATGCATCCTCTCCAGAGTGCAGTAAACACATATTCTCGGAAAATAATTTATGATAAGCGATCTAAACGAGGGCGCTAATATTTTTCCTACATGCTCTTTGTACAGAAGAAAAAGCACGTACACACATACAAAGAGGCATTTGATACATAAAAATTCGGTAAATTTATCTCATTAGATCAAAGTTTGAAACAAGAATTGTGCAATTGATTACTCACTTTGTTACATTGCATTGATGTTATTTTATGAGCAATTTAATTTAATAGAGGAAGATGTGAAGAAATGAATGGATAGACAGATAAACTTTTATCGCTGTATTGTACAAGTTTCACAACGCCAATAAGAAACAAAGTTTCATTTCGACATGAAGGATTTTTTTCTCTCATATCCCAGCAGGTTGTTCACTTTGCACTCTAAAACTCTCTTTTTGATGCATCCTACAGGGGAGCCCCGAAGTCTTGTGAAATTCACCTTTAAACGAACAGTTCCATTGCTTTAAACGATTCCCACGTGTGGTTTAATGGTTATTATGTAAAGTCTAATTTTAGACTGCTCAAATGCATGCGAAAATTTGACCAGTAATAAAACCAAAATTTCGCAAAACATGTATTTAGTAATTCAATATTTTTACATATTTTTACATATGGAAGCCAAAAATTGGTATGCTGATTCCAGTCTAATGAAAAAAATGTATACAAACTTACCAGGATACGTTTAATAGATTTCCAAAAAGTGAGACTTCCAAAATCCGAAAAAAATGAGAATCCGACTCGAGCAACGTCTCCGACTGAATGAGTAGAGTCAGACAGATGTAGAATTTCAGATTTTCGAATAAATAGGGAAGATTCAGTGGGGAAATCGCGAAGGAGAAAGTGGAGAAAGCAGCGTGACGGTGGTTGTTTTACTTTTGGTGAATAGACAGACAGCAGAGCAGAATTTGCAGTGGTTTTGCGCTGCTGGAGAAGCGATGTGAACTTGACTCTGAACTGAGAACCACCACTTTATGTGCAATTCCTCGGACACAGAATCCACGCTACGGATGGAATCCACGTTATCAAAGAAACTGGGGATATGTACCTACGTACGTATGTATGAAATTGTATGTGCACAAGTGCGAGCTCTTCCCACGGGCAGACAAGAATTTTCATTTTATCAGATCCTTGCCCTATGTGTAAGTAGTATTTGTCTATGCTAATGGAAATTTGGGATTTATGCTATTCTTTTAGACCAGCCAAGTGCGGCGGAGCGAGGTTTTGTGAAAAGTATGTATGTAAGGAACAGGCTTTCATCATTTTGCATTTTTATTTAAAATATTATAAGAGCATGCCATTCGAGGAAATGGATATACGTATGTAAATCCATTTCAGAGATTGCAGAACTTTATTACTAACGGAACGATGAAATTGGAGAAATGAAAAGTATTTGTAAAGAGGAAGAAAGGAATTTGGGAGTTTATTGATACTGAATTTAGATTTCGGTTTCATGAGTTTTCGGATTTATGTAGAGTGTGACGGGGAATATGATACATTAATTTATTGTGTTTCATCCACACTTGACTGATATTTATGTAAGTTACTTATCTCGTTGGCCAAATCAGTTCCAAAAACTGGCAGAATGGTGCTTCAATAGCTGTTAATTACATGTGGGAATCTCTACGACCGGAAATTAATGCAGCGGACGTTTTTTTCTTTATTTATTTACTCACTTTCACTTCATACAAAATATAGGTACTCGGACAATTATGTACCACCCCCCACCCACCCACACCATACTTACATAATGCGTGTTTTCCCATTATATAATTATTCTTTATGTACAATCACAACTTAAGCTACGGCGTAATATATGTATATCCAACCTGTTGCGTGGGTTTATGAAAGAAAAGCCGACTTTCCTTGAACCGGTAGTGGCCAGCATTACATAAAATCACCAATGTTCCTATAAAAAGTATTGTTGTGAAATCAGTATTTTTTTGCGATCACAATAACAAAACCGAGAAAGAAAACAGGCATGAGAAGATTTACCGTTCTGTAGTCACACTGTCACCGGAACGGAAATCCTCTTGAGAATTTCCTGGAAAACTAGGATCTGTCACACCCACCGTCATCACATCATCCTTGACAGCCACCGTCATCAGGCTGCTTTCACCTTCAGGAGACTTGTTATTGTTGGTGGTGATGGTGTGGTCGTCATTTTGGAGACTTTGATCGATGGTCTCTACAACGTCTTCCATGATTTTCTGCGTGGTTTCTTGTATTTCCGTGTCAAATTGAATATCAGTCCTTCCTTCACCGTCAATTTCTTCTTGCCCAAGTATGATCAAGTCTTGACTTTCACCTTCTTGTGGAACGTCTGATGCAGATTCGTTTGAAGGCACTACATGCATACATGAGTTTCAGTTTCATGAAAGAATAAATAGCAAGCTTGTTTCATGTGGGTTTGGAAATGTTCTAGAACACGTTCCGGATTTTGCACAAGATAATTTGCGGTTAATAAAATACGGAGAAAATTATTAGATCAATGGGTTTCGGTTAGATGTTTCTAGATTCATTTTGCAGAATATCAAACAAACTTTTATTATTGTAACGATCATTGTGCCCTTTTAGATCAAGGACGGGCTGTGTATGTCTAGTTAATTAAACTAACAAAATAAATTGTCCTAAAGGGAAAGATACTTAATTCTATGCATGAAATAACGCATCGAATCCTCCAAAGAGCCATTTTCCGATACCACATGCACAGACTCTCGAAAAAATAAAAAGCAGACTCTGTGACAGTGGAAAACAATCCACCTCACCAAGAATTACAGTCCCATGACTGCCTCAAATCGCTTTAAAACTAAAGCAAAACAAGTTACTTTTGTAGTCTGCTCAATGTTTTTATCACGCAGAAACAGTTTCAGCAATACATAGAACAGGGCTGAAACGTTGCAGATACCACCGCACGACAAAAACCAAGTCATCCATCCATCCATAAATACAAAACTATGCAATTAATTCCGCACTAACCTGGTTTAACCGTGGTGAGCAAAGTGATAGTTTTCCAGCTTGGCAGGACCGAACTTCTGAGAGGAATCAGCGCGTTGATTCCCACAATTGAAGAGGTAAAGTTCTCCGATGGGGTTACAACGGGCAACCGAATTCGAGCATGAATCGTTCTGTGTAACTTTGTCTTGTGTAAATCCTCCTTTTCTGGAGCTGTGAGCCCACAATTTAAGTTAATTTAGCAACAAAAAAGAATACCTCGATAATGACGGGATCAAAGGGCTACGGGAGACGTCAGTGAATAAAAAGAAGGGATAAAATGACAGTGATACAAACACTTTTCGTAGCAACCTTTGATGTCAGCAAGTTTGACGGGTTCTTGGAAATTCTTTGATGCCATAAGACATCAATATCCTACTTGGTACAGACAGCAACTAACTTACCAATATGCAGTGTACTTCCGTTGCTAAACTTCACTGCCCATTGAACAGGTTGGAGAAAGTAATAGTAACCCAAGTTGAGACTCAAGTTTACTTCTTCACCTTCCACTAAATCCAAACTTTGTCTTCCTGGAAGCTCTTCTGGAAGTGGGTTGAGAGAAAGTAGGACGGTTTCGGAGGCTTTTAGTTTGTGAAATCCCATTCCTAAATGGAAAAGTTTGTTTTATTGAATCATGTGGGAAGTGATGCAAATTCAAGGAAACATGCGGATAAATTGACCTTAAATATTTTTTCACTGACAAAAACTAGAAGAAATATGTATGGATAATCGTTTTCGACTTACTCAATCTCAAATCGTTCGCCTCGTCAGTGAAACCACGAATCTGATCAATCCCATCTCCAATACATCGAATCAGTCCACTTCCCCCTTTGTAAAATATTTTTCCACAAAAGTTATTCCCACGGTGGCAGAGAGCCTTCGTAGCGTTGGAGTAGCCTCGGCAGCCATCCGACTTGAAAATATTGCATCATAATAACCTCATCAAATTCATATTTGTCTGACAAACTCGTTCCTAACTTTGTTTAAATGCGAGAAACTTATTGACAAAAAAATCGGTATGTCAACAAGGATTCTGTTTACGTAGTCCGCATTACACACATTTTTCAATGACACGGTTTCAATTGGGCTCACCTTTTGGAGACATATCTCATTGATTCTGCACTCACTGGGAGTTCGACAACTAACGAAGGAAAGTCTGCCAGGAAGGCCTGATTTGGAACGGCAAGAGAACGAACCTTCCAGCTTGTTGAATTTTATTCCACTCAACTTGTCTTCTTTTTTTCCTATGAGAAAACAAACATGTCAAGTAACTTGAAGTTTCAAGGTTAACTTGACAATAGTACAAGTTTCATTTTTCTGCACGCAAAACAAACTACTCGAGCACGTGAAAGTATGTGCAGGTTGCTTTCACCGCGAGACATTGTAATTTGAGATGGCTGTTGAGATTGGTAAAGTAATCATGGAAGTCATAACAGTTCTCGGTTACGGGCAAAATAGCGTCTGTCCCATTTTCTTGTTAGCAAAGAATTTCTAAACAAACCAAGGCCACATGTGTCAACGTCATTGGCAGAAAATCTAATTATTTTATGAATGCAGGTGAAAAATTGTTACGCAAAATGTCTGCACTAAACGGGTAACATATTTTTGCAGAATGGTTTCATAAAAAAAAACTTTCCCTTGGGACCATACTGCACTTCATTTACGTATTTACTTTTATACTACTCATCTGTCTGAGAGAAAAATTTGCAAGTTGTCTCAATTAATCAAAAATGCTGTCTGCACCGTTGTATAAAAATAAACCAGTAATAATTTTACCTGTGCTTTTATCTAAATTAGTCGCTCATATTAATTGTCGTGTTTTGGATTCTGGGACTTTCTAAAAATCATTACTAAAGTCGATCCCGTAAAATAAAAGATAAAAATGACATAATAACGAATATATTGTATTAATTTTATCTTCTACAACCTACCTCATCTGTGCATGCATTAAGATATTAATTTCCAAAATATTATCATAACCAGCTAAAAGGTTCTGCAGAAATGCACTTCTAAACTCTAAACACCACTTTATACCCTATTCTCGCATACTTTCACCAAAACCTGCCAACCCACGCACCTTATGCACTCGACAGGTAGGCAAAGTATTAAAAATCTTACCCAACACTCTATATCTCCAAGAATGCAAAACTCTTTTATCCTTCTCAGCAAGACATTGAAATTCTCCAAAAGTTCCGGGGACAGGATTTAAATCAAGATAATTGGCCACATGGAGTTTATTCTCAGTTCTTTCCAATGTCTCGTCAATATCCTCGACGGAATTGGAGTTGACATCGGTCTCATCTTCCTCGTCGTACATGTTGTAAGCGTCATCATACCCAGGTGAAAGTGGTCGCACTTTCACCTGCTTGAGAATGACGGAGTCTTCACTCGACTGGCAAGTAAGGTTGAGAATGTTCGACGTAAACACGGTCGATTCGGGTGGAAAGGCTCGAAAGGCTGGAAAGTTTTTGAGAAAAAGTACTTAAATGTCACTAGTTGCTTTTATAAGAGGTTGAAGACACTGGGACACGTGCAAGGACATAAAACTTGTGCTAATTCATCGCCATGTGGATAAGTACCTCATTTGAAGTGAGAGTAAACAGATACGGATAAATCTCAGAGTTTAGATGATTATCAAGCATCTTTAAAGGTTAAAGGACGTTTATCAAGATTCCAAGCACAAGTAAATTGGATGGAAACGGTTGAAGTGAAAATCATGAATTATTAAAATTTTTGTGACAACTTTGTTATCACAGGAATCAAAAAAATAAATACGCATCATGGGGGCAAACAAAACAAGTTTGTGGGTATAAAAGATTTAGAAAACAGAGCACATAATCATCTTGATATGATATGTTGTTGTTGTTGAACACACTCTTATTCTGGTCTATTTACCTCTTTTGGTGGTAAAAACATTAGGAACCATGTCACGAGAAAGGTTTAATATAAGCCTCCCTGTACTAATGTATTTTTTGGCACGGACTTACACGACACGTGGAGGACTTAGGATCCTTAGTACAATTTACTAAGAACCCGTGTCATAAAGATGATACGATACGATGTATTACTTACTTGAAGGAGGAACCATGCCAAAAATAACGAAATCTTCATTTCCGTTTTCATTAGTCTTTCCCATTGATCCAGGGGCAATTTTTGCAACACATTTATAATCTCCATAAAAGGAGGATAAATTCTGTTGTGGCGAAGTAAGGCTTACGCGAAAGCCGAAACGTGGATCGAAGATTACTTGTTCTTCTTCCGTCGAGTTTTCTCCGCTTCCTGTGCGGTTCATTGAAGCAGAATCAAGGGCGGAGTGACTCCCACTTGTGGATGTGGATATTAGCTGTGGTTTGGCAGAAATAGAGGAGAAAGTTTCATACATAGTTAGGCTGTGAGCTTATTTTGGCGGTGGTCTGATTTATTGAATCATTCAGACCAGCAGAAGTAGAACACTGAATACGAAGCCGTATTAGAGAGAAAGGTGGCCCTCAGACATAAATAAAGACAATACAGCATTGTGCAGAACAGAACCAGCCATAAATTACAGGCCATGTCACCACCGGTTATTATTATTATTATTGAAATAATAATCCCAGAAGAGAAAGCAAAGCTGTGAAAGAAAGTAATCACTGTACGCCGTAAACAATGTTTGACAATGAATGCTGGCAATGAAAGGTTTTCGGCACAATTTCGCACAAATGTCAGAGCATAAGCTTGTTAACTTTTATAATGAGACTGTTGCCTTAAAAGGATTTCGAAACTGTTGGCATTTTGTGCTTGCCTTGAACTTGGAGTTTGGGAACCCAGTCGGTTTTCGGAAGAGAGACGAATTCACGAAAGGACTTGATGTAGCGCAAGGGATCAGAAATGATGAATCTGTCGCATTTTCCGGACCAAGTGGAAGAGTAATTGTCTTCCTGCTTTGCAGAAAAGCTGGAGCGTTTCGCCCTGAAAATGAAAAATGGAGAGAAATGATGAATGGATCTTGCTATAAGACTATTATACAAAATGGTAGAATGGCATGGAACAAAAAATCTGAAAAATAATTTGTACAGTTTTGTTGTGTGACTCACTCCCAACAAAGACGTAAATTGAGACAGAGTTGGAAATATTGCCGATTTCATGGCAAGTGTACTTTCCCGTGTGTTTTGCCAAGTCAGTGTCTGATTGCTTGGGATAGATGGAAATTCGAGATGTCATGCAGTACGATGTATCATTTTCGTGGTCAGTTTTTATTTGGATTGAGCTGGACTCTTGAATTTTTGATGGTTCCTGGAATTTATGGATCGATAAGTAAATGAATAAATAATGCTGATAAGCTGAACTGATAAACTTTTTTATCCAGATATCAAGAAGTCGTACCCCGTTTCCTTCATAAATCCAATCCACATTTTGAGATCCTCTACAAGTGAGGAATTCTCTGCTAATGTCCGTCAATGTTACGAACGAGTCGCTTTCTAGGAGCTCGCGAACGGAAGTTTTTTGATGGAGGAATAATCTAGGGTGATCTGAACAGACGGATTCGCCCATTCGCGATAACGTACTTATCGCTAAAATTAAGGATAAGGCGAGACTTTGTCCAAGAAAATGCATCGTGGACAAGAAATTTGAAGAAAAGTTGTTCAGAGTCTCCAATAACAAGGCTTGATCACCTCTGTTACCTTATTTGAATTGCTGGTAGAAAATATTACCAGAATTTTAAAGTGGTTTACTGTAAAATAAGTCTGGTAAATTCGCTTCCTAATACCTGTCACTCTAATCAGTATGCGCTGTCAGATTCAGCAAGAAAGCGGTTTTTGTTGGATGATATTCGACTCGACTTACAATTTTAACATAGAAACTGGTCACGATTTTGACCCGAACATAGTTGTTTACTTTGCTTGTGGGTGAAGTAACATAAGATTTTGTAAGTAAATTTTAATATTTTATGCAGAATTTTTTGCACAAAGTCTGATATTTTTTATGACTCGAATTCAGCTCGTTATATAACAAGATGGACTTTAATTTATTTGAAGGGTCCGTTACATCATGCAAACAGTATTTTACAGAAATTTTATTTATGCATAAGCAATTAAAAAATTTTCATTTGTGTTTTTACATGTATTTCTAACCTGGAAAATCAATTCGTGCATTACAATGATCCAGTTGAAATATGAATGAAATGTCATTACATAATATGTATTTCATGGTTCGATAGTTGGGTAAACAATCGGGTAACGTTTATTGACACGTTCTTGGCCAAGCTTTTATTGATCAAGCTTACAGGATTCTGTCCGCTCTGCTTACAAATGTCAGCCACAATTGGACGCAAGACATAACGGTAACTAAGGGGCTTAGCTTAAGTAAAGTCCCGAATTTATACGAGTAGTTTTGACAGGTCGAAAATTGAAAATTGTACAACCGGAAAGAATTTTTCTACTATTTGATTAGTAAGCACTTTCAAAATCGATCGGAGCAGGGAATTGTTTACACAGTTTTGTGTAAGAAGATGGTCAAGTGCTCAGAAACTGAGTTTTATCGGGACGACTACACTTATGCGGAGGAGCCCGTCGACTACGACAAACTTCCCATAACAGAAACTTTAATTATCGACTCTCTAAATGAACAACTGCCAACAGGCGAAGAAGGCAAGGTGAGGGCAATCTCCGCATTTACCTTCCCCACGTCGACATATTTAGGTATCTTCTCCAAAGATTCATTATTTCGCTAAAATTGGGATTTGGTGGCTGGATTAGATGAATGTAGGGCGAAACGCAGCAGAGCAGCGTCGCAGTAATTTCCGCTTCAGCAGATAACGGTTTCGTAATACATATTCTGAGACGTATTTTATGTATTCTTTGACACAAAAGAATTTGTTTCTTGCTTCGTTCGGTGTGTGCTGCCGGCTTTTTCCACTTGAATGATATCCAATTAGACACAAGTAAAAATAGATTGGATAAAAGATCCTTATTTTTAGAAACTTATATCATCTTATGTACAGATAGGTTTTGTGTACGCTTAATTTAATTAATATACATATGAATATGGTCTCTTATTTTGCAGTATGCCCGACTGGTGAAACTTGACATCCATACTATCACGCATTTAAAGTTAGAGTACAAATGTATGACAAAATTGTATTAATTTACATAATATTATGTACATTAAATTGCTAAAAAACATATATTCGTGTCTTGTAGCAATTTCTATAATTGACAACTTGACCAATCTTGATGCCTTAACAAAACTGCAATTGTGTAATAATGTCATCACGAAGATTGAAAACTTGGACGCCCTCGTTAACCTGGTCTGGCTGGATTTGTCGTTCAATTGCATTCAAAAAATTGAGAATTTGGATAACTTGAGGAAAATTGAAGTTTTGGATTTGCATCGAAATTTTATCTCGACTCTGGAAAACATGGAGAATCTATTGAGGATGGAAATTTTTCATATTTCCAGCAATAAATTGGACAATTATGAGAATGTGAGATGTAAATATTTAAAATGTTAAGCTGTGTACAGTAAAATTACAGTTTTTTCCATCATTTTCAACAGGTGAAATACCTCAGGAAATTTATTCGTCTCCGATCTGCCAGCTTTTTAGGAAATCCAATGTGCAAAGACCCAAATTTCATGCCATTCCTGGTCGCCTTTGTCCCTCAATTGACAATGGTGGATTACATGGCAGTGCTTTCTCATGACCGGGAAGTTGCCAACGCCAAGCACAAGTAAGTCAATTTCTTAAATATTTGAACAAAAAGTGAACATTTGTAACAAGTAGGATATGAGAACAACTACAAAATAAATGATTAATTACGTTCGTACTTTATGAGTTTCTATTCACTCTTATTTTTTTCCGGAGAGGCTAAATAAATAGAAAATGTTGACATTTTTCTCCAAATTTCAGACCCATTGTGGATCGCCTTATCACAACAGAGGACAAACTCATCAGACGGGCTTCAGTCGTTGAGGCGGAAGAACAGGTTAGTTTTGTGGAAACTTCATCAATGATTGAGTGAAACTACGGCATACCGTCGGCTGTCTTTCCCAAAGTTAGTAAAGTTTCTTGGTCGTATACACCGGGAACCTTGATTGGGATGTCAAAACTACATTTCAATTTATACTGATGACACAATGCGGAAGCAATCATGCATGAATTCTTTCAGGTTAAACTGCTTCACAAGGACGCATTCGTGGATGGATTTGAAGGCGACAAGTTTTGGTATTCTTTGTTTGAGAATGATTTCGAAGGAAAATCAATCATGCAGTTGGGAGACACTGAAGACATCCAGATTGTGTAAGTTCGTTCAGTATTATTAAATAATTTGCCGAGAAATAGATAATTGTGGTAAGCGTGAGACAATTGACAGTTGCCGGCTGGGATTTTGTCATTTGTTCAGTGAACCTGGCGATGCGACATCAAATGCAATACTAACAAAACTAGAGGGACTTGCCCTACAGTTCGTGACATGCCCACATATTTAATTCACGAAGGGTGACTGAAACTACGAACACAATTGTGTATTAATTTTCCTCCTCATCATTAAAGATCAAAGTCCCTGAGTGAGATTGCATTTCGTGTGAGGTTTGTCATGCAGAAATAGTTCAAATGTCGAAAGAATTGAGGTTCAGAGGTGTATGTACGTAGGGTGGGTGTATTTGCATGAATTATTATCTCTGCTACCGTTTATTTTATAATTGCACACGTCGGGAATTGCGAAATTGTAGGGGTTTGACCTAAACGACAGTGAAAAGGTTAGACTGGGTTGGTCGGATTTACTGATTTGTCTCATTTCGGATTTATTTACGGAGAGTAAAAGTATGAAATGGGCAATAATCGTGTGACATTTAAGATCATCTGTCTGGAGTCTTTGGAATATGTAAACTTTATTTGTGTAATTTTGTTATGCCATAAAAAATCCAATAATTTCAGGTACAAGGAGCTATTCCGCAACAGCAATCGCAACATGTTTGACACTGGGATGCAGTTTTACGAGTTGAGGCGAAATGAGAAACAAGCTTACGACATTGCCGTGAAGGAGGAGATGGATAGGATTCAGAAGGCTGGAAATGTGTAATAATGCTTGTTCTTATTCGTACGAATTGTAAACAGAATATGGCATGATCTGAATTTTGTACGCTCTAAAACGCCGTTATTTGCATACGCAGCACTTTTCTAAAGTTTTCTTTGATACGCTACGTCGTAAAATGTTTGTTTGAATTGCGAAAAAGGAAATAAAATCCCTAAAACGCCACTTTCACTAGACAATCAATCAATCCAATCCACGAGACTTAATATTTACTCTCTCCTTTCTTTCTTCACACAGGCTCACGGAAGAATTCGTCGAGTATGGCGCAGCCACTTTGAAGGACATCATTATCCTGGTAAACTTGAAAGACGACGCGGAACGAAAGTTGCAACACGGCATGATTCACGAGCTTCCAGAAGAATATCCCGACTACGTGACGCAACTGAACGACATGGTGAAAGAATACGTGAAAAAACTTCACACCGTTTGGGCAACCTTAATCAACAATGAAGTCGAAGTTGATGAGCAGTATGAGGTATATAAAAAAATGCAGTTATTAGTTTGTGCGGTGATAAATTAATTATGTAAATATGACCAAGTTTTAATTAATTCATGCTGATTCCAGGACATAAACGACCTTCTGGATCGATCTATCCGTGAAATTATTCAAAACTGGGTGGAACAGTTACGCGGACAGTTTGCAAGTTTGAGGGACGTCGAGCAGCAACTTTTTGAGCGTCTCATCGAATCCATCGTTACTTATGGAGAATTTCGCCTGAGTGATACCACAATTCCGGAAAATCTCAAGGAGGTAGGAACTGCTTGTCAAAACTTTCTCCAGCAGAAAATAAGGAACCACGGAAAATAACTAATTATATTTGTAGCTGGTCATGGACAAGGACTCGTTGCAAAACTACCTTCAACTTTCCCATGACAAACACATCTCGGTAATTGACAGCACGGAAGATCAACTCGGTCGAAGGCTGAAAGATTGGCAGGAAGCTTTCTCCATCGGGATGCAAGTGTAAGTACACACCGGCGGATTTCATATCATGAATGACGCATTTGTTTCGCAACTAAGAGGAAAGATTGAGCAAAGTAAACTTTAATTGCACACAGAAAAGAGTATCAAAGGAATCGTGCCCGCCTTGAGGAGATTTCGCACTTTACCAACACCCACCACGGCTACTTGGAGGACACTCTGGCCTTTGTTCACACGACGGACTACATTCCACCCGTTCGGGGCGACCAGGAATGCACTGATCCCGACGTGTGCAAACCATTACAGTGGTACGAGCGTCTCACCAAGAGGTTGAGAGCGAAGGAGAAGAAGTTCAATGCTTCCATGATGCCGAAGGGGAGTAAGATAGAGGCGAAAGAGAAAGCCAGAGAAGGTGGAGGCGAGGGGGCAGATGGCGAAAGTGGTGGGACAAAGGAAGCAGAATCTACTTTTGTCTTGTAAATATGTGTAATGTCAAAGGGAATGAAACAAGTAGTCATTTGGGACATGACAAAATGAGAATAAAATGATATTAATATGAATAAATGGGTGGGTGGATACCGCAAGTGTGCAAAAGTTGGGATGATATGAGCTGTTTATGCAATAGAAGTCCAGAAAGTTCAATTAAGGGTGGTTGGATTACATAATTTATTTCATTTCGTCAAGTGCAAGTTCTTATTCCGGTAAAACTTTGTACGGATTCATAATATTCTTGGGATCAAGTAACTTTTTAATCTGTTTCATAATTTTTATTGATTCTCCCGACTTGGAGTGATGTATCAAATGCCGCTTTTTCGAGCCAATGCCATGTTCCGCACTTATGCTGCCTTTATGGTTGGCGACCCATTGGTACACAAATGGTTCAACTTTGGCGAGTACGTCAGGGTTGAATTTTTCCATTGTGATGTTCAAGTGGATATTTCCGTCGCCTAGAACGAAATAAAAGAAGTATTGCAAGAGAGCAATTCTGTACCTAAATAATTAGTCGAAAAAGTTACCCAGATGTCCAAAGCCTGTCACTCGCTTGACACTCGCCCCCAGATAAGCTCTCGTATCTTGTACAAACTTTTCAAATATTTCTAACGGTACGGAGAAATCAAAGATGAGAAAGTAGCCATCCTTGAGCATGGCATCCGCCAGTTTTTCCCGAGTGCTCCAGATCGCCTATGTTTACAGAAGGGAAAATTCATTTATAAATGTGCACGCTTTTTACACAAGATTACTACTTATGATTTGTTTGCCTTCATGTGACTCGGCTCAGAGGCAACGGTTCCATCCGTAACGAGATTTAATTTCATGGAGTCCTCGAGAAAAGAGTTTAATTTGTCTTCATCATGAACCGCATTTGATCCGGCAGTCTCGATCATCATGTAGTAAGGATAAGAGCTGATGGGGGCTTTGAGGTTCATATTTTCCTCGGCACATTTCATCGTCTCATTATCAATGTATTCACAAGCGGATAGAATCTCTCCGAGGTCGTTGCGTGCCTTTTGATAGGTTTCGAGAACTTTGGAGTAGCTGTCGAGACCTGGTTGAGTGGGTTTTCAATAAGAGTCAATGTACTCAATATTTCATTAGTTAGCGGTGTATAGTACCGAGAAAGGCCAGATTTATTGAATTAGGCTTGATAGGACATTGAATTGCTACTTTGGTCAAAATTCCCAATGTTCCTTCCGACCCGATGAACAAATGTTTCAAGTCGTATCCAGTGTTGTCCTTCTTCATGGTGCTCATGCAGTCTAAAATTGTACCGTCGGCTAACACCTTTAATTAATTAATTAAGATAATTATGATGTTCTACATTTCGAGGTTATCTTTATTTGCAGTAGGTAAATAGCTTACTGCTTCAATGCCTAGCACAGTGGCGTGAAGACTGCCATATCTCAGAACTCTAAGCCCTCCTGCATTTGTACTCAGATTTCCTCCGATTTGACAACTTTCTTTTGCACCCAGATCCAAGGGCATGACGAATCCGCGTTCTTTCACATGTTCGTCGAGAGTGTATAGGACACAGCCTGACTGACAGGTTAAAACTCCTGTGCAAAATTGGAAGCTTGGATAATAATAATGGCTTGGACATAATTTTTTCATACATAATATTGATGAATTGCGTAAGTCATACCGGTCAATTCGTCCAAATTGATAACTTGATTCATTAGAGAAGTAGATATCACAACTTCATCGAAAATAGCGATGCATCCCCCGTTCAACCCGGTGTTACCTCCTTGTGGAACAACTGCGAGATTTCGGGAATGGCAATGTTGCATGATTTGACTTACTTCTTCTGTTGTATTTGGCTTTAGAACGATTTGAGCGTTCCCTATGAAATCGGATGTTATTTTCATGTCAATCAGTGAGCATTATGAGCATTAAAAAATGTAAATCTCACCCCTCACAGATTTTAGCCAATCCACATTAAATCCATCCAGATCATCCTCAGCCCCATTGATTACACGAGCCTTGCCCAATATCCCGGTAAACACGGCAATGTCAACCGCTTCAAGGCGAGAGTATGGACCTCTCGTGATTTTACTACTGCTTGGTTGAGTTCCATAATAGGCTTTACTTGGATGAAGAGCAGATACTATTTTCGACTTGGATTGACGTGCTGTCAAAAATGTGCACTGCTGATAATTACTGTTTACAACGTAGCGATATGAACAACTATGTAAACCACGAGTATCATTAGAATATTTTTGTGGGATAAGTCTTAACGTTTTAAAGAATTGTTTGGAAGCCATAATATTTAGGGTTAGAGAACAGGTGAAGGTTAATGTACAGTTGGAAATGAAATGACTATATGCTCCGCTTTGTGTTATGTAACGAACTCCTGGAGCTGCATAATATATATTTAATTCAATTCCAGTAATACCTGTTTTGTTTGGTGGTTTTGTTTGCTAATGTCTTATCATCATTTCCACTTTTTGAGTTGGGTTGGTGGTGGTGTGCATAAATGCTTGTCCTTGTACAGAAATGGTATACTGCAATGTGTTATTATAGTGGCAACAACTTGGCTGTCTGGACAAGTACATTAATTATGGCATGACAGGGAAATGTGAATAAGTGCTAACTTGAGATTGGGTATGGTTTTAGGTTGGCAATGACATGGTGGTGAATAGAGATACCTAAGAAGAAAAATGTCACCAGGAAAATTACTTAGATTAAACAATTAGTGCATTCTTCCTTTCTTTTGACTGTAATAAACCTCTTATTGTAACTATTTCATTAAAAATGCCAATATTTATGTTCATAAGTACATATACAATACATGCATTTAATTGATTAAGATTCATGCATATGTATTTATATTATTCACCACATTCTGGAATTTTGGACTTGTGACCAGACCAGAGTGCGCCTATTTGTATTCTTTTAGCCTTTGACACTTGACCAACAAAGAAGTTTTGTGCCATGTTATGCGTAATTTTTAACGGCATTTATCAAAACATTTCCAGCAAAATGATTGACGCTGATGAATTTTTGGGTACGCGAAAATTGTCACATTCGTCACACCACAACCAATGTCACAAACATGTTTAGTCACACGTTAGTCCCTGAACCATTTAACTAAATGTATTAATTTTACAATAGCAATCAACGAAGAATTCGTATTTTGAAACAATTAAAAATGCGTGCAGAAAATGTGTAAGATAAAGATGCCGATGGAAAATTTTTGGTGGTGAATGAATGAATAATCTAAATAAAAATGGACATCTCATCTTCGTGGAAGGCTTAAATTATGCCTTACCAATCAGGTCGAGAATTATTTCATGTTTAGAACAGACCTTCTACAACAGTTCAAGCATTGATTGGGCTTCGTAGGTGACATCATGTCTAGGACAAAAATCATAACTTTATCCTGCCATTCCTGCGTGTCATCATGTCTTGACTGGAACCTTTGACCCATTCACAACCACTCCTGACCAATGTTGAACCCATATTATCAATTTATTCACTTTTTTGTACATAAATCACAGTTCAAAGGGATATGGTGTCGAAATTAACATGACTATTTCCACATAACTCCAGCAGAAGCATGACTTTGTTTTATATGGATGCTTATACGTATGGTGACCAGTGGCCGCGGAAGTGGGGGGACAGAGGGACAATGTTCCCCACCGTAGTTCGATGTCCCATCATCTCCCCATGTTATATCCTAAATCCGCCCCTATCCTACAATGTTAATGTCCCCAGATGTCCCCACGGTTTCCGTGGCCAGTGTGTATCACCCAAATGGAATGGATCACGAATAAAGAATTTCTCGAAATCGTATTAAACACAAGGAGAGAGCCTGTTGATTGGTTTTACATATGAATGCTTTTTAGGTTTGGATGGGTGGGTATACGAATATGCATGAAATGTAGGGGTGGATTAACACGAAATAAGAATGACTTCATCCAAGAATCATCTTAGAATTTGTACTTATCAACAACTCCTTTTGACCATATTCGTTGGATTTTTAGAGAAGTGGATGTGTTTTCATGCTATCTTCGCTTACACGGCATGCAAATGAAATGAGGCGAGGTTAAAGGAATATCAATGTCTAGTGGACTGTCAGTCTTTAACGGGAGAAGTTCATAGCTTAATGTGCCTCTAGTTTATGCATAAGCAGGTAGTGAGATATTTATTCCGTTAGATACTTAGTGGTGTTTCACACATTTTGATACCTGTTAAACCATAAATAGCAACAAAATGACTTCCACAACGGTCCCCGAGTTAATAACAGTTTCATTGTTCGTATTTTCAACATTGTTGCACAATACAAATGGAGAAAATCGAGTGATTTATGAGAATCCCAATAATCTTCGTGTCTTACAGGTAGGGACACAATCCTGGCGTTATGAAAATACAATTTCAACCTTTTCAATGATTAAGATTAAGATGATTAAGATGATTAAGGCAAAATTTTTTACCTTAATTTTCATTTCACAGGGAAAAAACCCCATTCAAATGTCCGTCTACTATGAAACCTTGTGTCCAGATAGTCTCCATTTCCTGCAAAATCAGCTCTTGCCACTATTAGCGACAACACAACCACAACCAGTGCCTACGAGTGGTGGTAGTGCAGGTCAAGATCATCAACCAGATTTTAACCCGAGTTCTGAAGTTGACATTGATTCTCTCCTTGACATTCGTCTCATCCCGTATGGCAAAGCTGTCGTAAGTCATATTATCACTCTAATCTCATTGATTCGCATCTTATTGCCCCAACTGTCAACTGATTAATACATAAATCTCATTTTTACAGACTCTGGAAAACGCCGAATCCACCAAACCTTACACCTTTCTCTGTCAACACGGTCCCCTCGAATGTGAAGGGAACAAACTACATTCTTGTGCATTGGACGCTGCAGAAAAACAACCCAAAACCGTTAAAGATGACACCGTGACCAATTTCCAAATGGTCAATTTTCTCATCTGCACCATGAAATACCTTCTCAACCCAAGCCTCACACCGCACAGAATCACTTTAAAATCCAACAACCTCACATCCTTCAGCGAGGCAGCGCTAGACACCTGTTTTTCAGAAATGTCAAACTCTACCACATTGAAAACAGAGATTGAGTCTTGCATTCGAGATGACCAGGGTCAGGGGTCACGCCTTCTCAAGCGAAACGGAGATTTGACCAACGAACTAGATCCCGTCCTGTATTTCGTCCCATGGCTCACCTTTAATGGAATTTGGACCAAAGAAAACTTGGAACGTGGTCAGAAAGATATCAACCAAGTTCTCTGCTCACTCCTAACGCCACGAACGCTCAAGTTCTACAAAGTTCTTGGATGTCAAAAATACATCGGAGAGAAAGCAGTGTTGCCAAAACTTAGGAAAGTTTTGGATCGGGGAATGACATTCAGCAACGATTTGCGTCAACCATACTTCGATCTTAGCAGACGAGATGGTCGAGGGATCGTTGAATCCAGAAAAATCCAGAGGATGATAATGAAAATGCGTAGACCGACGATGTCACCACAAAAAAACTTTGTCGGAGAACGAACCAGAGGTCGACGTGCATTCCTTCATGGGAACAATGACATGGGGTTGAGTCAAGGGGGAGGACCGGCTTGGAGATTGAGGACAAATATGCATGGAAATTCTCAAAGATGGAGAAAACCTTTAACAGTTGTGGGTCACTGAATGGAGAAAAGTACTGATTCTGATCAAGTTATTAGTACAAATCTCAATCTCGACTGTTATATTATATTACTTTATAATTGCGATAACTTATATAAGCATGTATTATATTTAGTATATTTTGTGTGTGCATTTACTTATTTTTTCTGAGCAATGTTTGGTATCTGAATATATGTAGGTTTAAAATAAAAATAGAAATATGCTTAAGAATGAATCATAAGAGCACTTCTACGATCAAGGACTCTTGAAATTTGCCATTATTCTACATAAAAGTAGTCCATGCAGTTCATGGCATTTCTTGTTGAGAAATAACAATGATATTTCAATCAAAATAAGAAATAAGTCTCATTGTCCTGTAAAAAAACGGTAAAGCATTTGGTTCATCTCCATCACAATTCAGCGTATTGCTCTCATCACGTCCATGTTCTTGTCATTGCTTTTGTTTCGTATACCGCAATCACAAAATAAATGCTCAGTTTCAGCTAAAATCTAGGACCTTGAGAAAAAGAGTTTGCTGTCTGCCTGTAATGAGAGTGTCCTTAATCAAATGAATTGCAATTGCATCGCATTGCATGAAACTCTCAGTCTTGGTTTTCCTCATTTCGCAAGTAAGTATTTAATAAGTAAGCAAAATTATTAGATATGGTTGTCTTCAAAGCAAAGTCTATTTATCAATCTAACAAAAACTACATACACAAAAAAGTTTACAACTTCATTGAACACATTGCATTTTCTTTTATTATACTATCTCAAACCTCATCAATACCAAAGTAAGTACATATTTCATACGGCAAGATGAACAAATGGAGCTAGAGAGAAATTTCGTCCAATTTGCGATTTTTCATTAATTTACGCCACGGGTTTCATCAATTACGACGAGTTTTTTTCGTTCAGAAATGTGGGTCAAATTGTAATTGTAAATTAAGCTGGAACTTTACTCATCCCACAAAATAAGAGAGTCCATTGTTGACAAATTATTAATAAAAGTAAGTTTTTAATACGTCATTCTGATTCAAATTAAAAATTGTAGGTTACGTACAATGCGTATTAGGCAACTTCCTCAATAAAGGACTCTCTCGCAGTCCTGTAATGTAAATAGTTCGCATTCCAATAAAGCAGACGACACATAAATACGTAAACTGACACTGATACATAAGTGAGTATTTTCATGCCTTAAGTATTACGACGACCATTACCTTCACATTTAATACGGCGTGATGCAACACACCCCTTTTCTTCTTATTAATGGGCCTTCTTTTGCTATCGCACCCAAACAAACTCATCTCATCACCGTTATGTTGCGTTACACACATACACACATTATCAAAATCTAAACCCTCTTCTTCCCGACGATTCACCCACCAAACAAAACCACCAAGTAACAAGTGTACATATTTAAGTGCATACGAAGAATCTAGAAGAAGAACCACATAACATAAGGAGAGGGGAACCAAACAATGAGAAATTCTTATGATTTCTTCCCTGATGCTTGACGAGGTTCATGCCATGCTTACCTGTGAATGAAGACACCTGAGATGCAATACTACTACCACTTTACCATCGTAGTCGTGGTACACACAAATACCTGTTGCTTGCTTGGAGCATTGTTGAGTATTGTTGTTGGCTGTAAGACGAAGAAGTTCATCAAGCCGCAGTTTTACGGTACAGTACAAGTTCAGCTCAACGGACCGACCCTTTCCCAAAGTGAAGATGGTTCCTACCAGGACTACGATTAAATTTTATATGCAAACAACATTGCAAAAATTCAATACATTATTATTCTTCTAGTCAGAGTATAACGAGATTTTAGGATTAAGTAAGTCAGGCACGGTTCAGCAAGTTAACAAGTTTGCTGCCCAGCGGTGGTTCAGTGTTGATATACAACTACGAACGGTTATTGGATCATTTGGATCCAACCATTTCGAAATATGACACAAATAAAGTAACATAAAATTTAAAGTGAAATTGAAAACATACGCAAGAAAAAAATAATGTGGTGGTGTTAAATATAAAGTTTTGGGTTCGCGTCCCGTTTTGGATAAAGTGTGTGAGGTGGTGGTGTCGTGTTTAAAATGAGGTTTATTAATAGTCTTGCAAGCCGAGATGCGGTGGAAATGTCCTTATTTAGCATAAAATCATGGTTTATAGTGTTGTTTGTTGGGTTATCGATTAACGTGGTGGGACATGGACCTCGAGGGGTTAGTGGTCAGGCGAGGGCGAATATGTCTCCATCCTTTGTAAATGGAGGAGACTTGTCCAAGGTTTCCGTACCGGAAGATACGCCAGTGGGATCGGTGGTTTACAGGTGAGAAATATTGGCATGAGAAATTTTGGTAGAATGAAGGTTATTTTCATGTTATGAATGGCACTGATTTCTTACCTATTAAAAATGTGTCCAGATTAAAGGGGATGGACCCTGAAGGAGGGGAATTAACTTACAGTATAAGTGGGGAATATCTGCGAGTCAATAAAAAATCGGGAGACTTGACACTAATCAAAGCTCTGGATCGCGAAGCAGAGCCGAAAATCGATGTGATCATCAGTTTAACCGGTAACATGAACATTTATAAATAGATTTCAATAGTGTTAATCAACAAATAACAGAGAACAAGTGCATAATATTATGTATTCTCTGAGTAAACGTATCATTAAAGAGTATATAAAGAACTAATAAACTGCGAACGAAAGCAAAATCACCACATTTGCTCCATTTCACACGAATTTACGCCAGATTTCCCAAGCGATAATGCAAACTATACATGTTTGGTCAGAATATTATTATGACATGAGTATGGGCATAATGCATACAAATGAAGTAAAATCACTTTCGCTTATTTTCCATACCTATTAAACATTGAAAGTTCACATTTTATATGCAAATTATTTATTATTTTTTTTCAAAAAGATGATGGCTTTGGATCAGAGCCTTCAACAGTGTCATTGCGAAGGGAGATTTACATTCAGGTGCGTGTGTACACTTACGTAGAAAAAACTAGTAAAACTTATGTATGAGACTAAAAATAAACATATGTATTCTTGTCAACAGGATCGAAATGATAACCCGGTATGCACATTATCCCACTAATCCAGAATTTGCATAAGACTTAAGAACTGTGATTTCCCTGTTTAAACAGCCAATCTTTCACAAACGACCTTACACGTTTAAAGTCGTGGAACGTGCCAGAGTGGGTTCCACCGTGTTTGCTGACATTCCCATCACGGATGCCGATTTTGGGATAAATGCTCAAGTAAATTTGACATGCTCTTATGAAGACACGCCTCTCGCTTGCCGCACGTTTAGCGTGGCTTCGGAAAAGGTTGGGGACGGTAAATACATCGGAATCATCTCGCTCGCAATTCCACTCGATTATGAGACGCATTCCTCTTACGCGATGACAATGAAGGGTAAATTTGCTGTTTGATAATGGTTTCAACTTGTAAATATTGACTAGTTTCACTTAATATTTGTTACTATTTAATTAGCCACGGATGGAGTTAACAATGCCACCGCAATGGTCACCATTTCCGTTCAAGATTTACAAGATCAAGCCCCCAAGTTTTATGGGGGTCCGTATGTTTTCAAAGTTAAGGAGAATTCGCCAGCAGGGACAAAAGTTGGTGAAATATCCGTCCAGGATGCAGACGTTGGAAATCCGAGAGCATTACAATTAAGATTAATTGATGAAGCGGATAACGAGTATTTTAGACTGAATGAGATCCAAAGGGATCCATACACGGGAACTTACACGGCCGTGGTGGAGACCACGAATAACACGTTGGATGCGGAAGATGAGTTTATCCGAGAAAACCTCGGTAAGTCACACTTGGAAAATACTGTTTAGAATTTGACATTGAATTTACATATTTCTGCATGTTCAGGTGTTTACGAGCTTATTCTCGAAGCACGAGAACTGCCATTGGACTCTGATGACCTCGAACCCACGCTAATCACGAGGACGGGAATGGCCGTAATGGTTAAAGACGAGGACGATCACATTCCAGAATTCAGACCCTCGACATTCACTCGAATACTAAAAATCCCATATAATGCCGGTGAAAGTTGGACTTTCCCCGATTTCCGTGTCGAAGTTGAAGATGGTGATGTAGACTCGTACAACTCCAAGTTTGAGTTAAAATTTGACTGGAATTTAGAAAATCACAAAGTTCCGGTCGACAAAGTGTTTCAATTCGTGACGCCAACACAAGACCATCCCACAATTCAGTCTAAAGGGATTATAACGATGGAAGTGACAAACGTGTCCCTACTTTCGCCCGGGGTGAAGATTGATCTCCAAATCGGTGCTTATCAGAAGGGTCATCTCGTTTCCAATCTCAACGTCCCCATCGAAGTTGCTTCAGGACCTAAAATACTGCCAGCGTTTAGTCAAAATGTGTACAAATTTTCGGTCCCTGAGGACATACCAGAGGGTGGACTGATTGCCAAAATATCGGCACGAAATCATGATGAGATTGACGGGGTCAAATACACTCTGATTGGGGCTGCAGCAGAGAGGTATGAATACCAAAACAAACAGATTAATCATTTCCATGCACATTATGTTGGATATGAATTGATTAATATTCAAGTTTCATTTTATGTAATCAATTTTGAAAATTCCAAAATTCCAGATTTAGTGTTGACGAGAACACTGGAGAAATTCGGTGCAAACTTGCCTGCCTGGACTTTGAGAAGGACAAGAGTCATTTCTTCCTGATCCGGGCGAAAGCAGGGGATGCCGTGGACGAAGAAGTTTTTGCATTATTTCACTTGGATGTCCTCGAAAAAAATGATAATCGACCTGAATTTGTCAATGTTCCTGGAATCATGACCCAGACTGCGAATGGGAACGTGATGAAGAGAGCAGTTCAGGATGGCGCGGACAAGTTTGATCCTCCCTTTCTGGTGAAAGCGTTAGATCCAGACTCGGATGACAAAATTACCTACAGCGTCAATGACCACTCCATGAGCAGCTCTGGAATTACGATTGATCCGGAAACTGGAGAATTGCTGTTGACTAAACCTTTACGGTATAAATATGAATATTTTATGCGGACTCACCTCAACTAATACTACTTTCACTTGTGCTACATGTAATGTTTTTTTGGCGTGTAGTTGGTCTGAAAGTGGAGAACATAAGCTTACCGTAACAGCAACTGATACAACTGGAAAATTCAGTATCCAACAAGTCCTCCTTGTTGTCCAAGCCGTGCAAAACATTCCGCCCACTTTTCCTTACCAAGTTGAGCAAATCCAAGTACCGGAAACACTTCAGAAGGGATCTCAAGTTTTGACGGTGAAAGGTACACTTAAAATATTAAGAATTTTATTACCATAATCAATCAAAGATCAAAGAAATTAACAATTAATTTACACAGCTCATGATCCCGATGGTCAGGATGCGTCAATCAAGTACAGCATCGACTATCAACCCATGGCAGACCTTTTTGTGATTGAGGAAGGAACTGGAACCATACGACTCAACGGGGACTTGGATTATGATTTAAAACAGCGTGTATATCGTGTCCAAGTTCGTGCAGAAGATGAGGGCAAACCGTCCGAAAGTGCGAAAGCTTTCGTTGAAATCGCAGTTCTTCCAGTGAATGATGAAAGTCCGAAATTTTTGAAAAATACGTACAGTGCAGAAATCAGTGAGACTTCTCCAAAGCATTCAACAGTGATCACCTTGAGAGCTAAAGATATTGATGAGGATGCCGATTTAGAGTATGGATTGGCATGTCCTTGTCAAACTTGGGATGCGTCGGGATCCATGGGGTCGAGTGAGGATGCAGAAAGATTTTTCAAGAGTTTGAGGTACATATATACACAAACATGTATAATTTTATGTTAAATCTAGCAATTATTTAACTACTAAATTAATTAACATTATATAATTTCAATTGCAGCATTAACCCCGAAAACGGAGAAGTGATTCTCCAAGACACATTTTCTCACAAGCAAACTGCCGTCTTGGAATTTATCGCTAACGTCGTGGACAGGAACGGAATAACTTTTCAGAATGATTCAGCCGCTGTGACGGTATTGTACATATTATTAAAATTTTTAATCGACCAAACAATAATCGATTGATTAAGATATTTTAATGTTAAACGGAGGTGGTTATTGCTTCAAGTTGATCTCTGTGATGATGCCATGTATTGAGTAGAAATCTGGGTGGTTGCTGTTGTTACTAGTGCCCCATAACCATAATGGCATCAGGGAAAATGAGATAGATATATCTATCTATCTCATCTATCTCTGTCCCTGTGGAAAAATATTATATTATAAATTAAAAAAATTATAAAATGGATAAGTCAAAGGAGGATGGTGATCAGGTAAGGTTCATACTCTACTTTAGTTGTTGTTAGCGAGTAATGAAATGTTTAATTTTATAGGAGAATCCAGTCCCTGTCAAACGGGTCAGGATTTTGGTGGATATGCCCGTGTCAAAAGCCCCATTTAACTTAATGACTTGCAATTCTCAAGGAGAGCATGTTGAATTGAACGGTGAGTGTACTGCTTATAAAAATTGTTGTTTATGACGTAATAGTAATAATGTATTTTTTTGTAGTGATACAAATTGAAGACGAACCTCCGTCAACCTCGTCCACAGTGAAAGTGGATTCAGTCCTTAAAGCTGTGCTACAGGGGATGATTGACAATAGTGGATATAAGGGGACCATGGAGTCTTTCTGGGAATCAGATGAGAGGAAGAAATTGAGTGATAAGTGGGCTAGTCACGTCAAGAAATCCAAGACTGACACGGAAAAGTACACGCCCCTCGAAGTATTTTATGATAAGGACAAGATTGCGATGCAATTGGTTAATGGGTTGCTACAAGTTGTGAAAATGCAGAAAGTTGGTGATGAATGGAAATTCAACAAGTGGTCGCATCGTCAGCAAAAATGTAGCGTTTGTGCTTGTATTGCAATGTGTGGGGTAAATGAAAACCTGATCGTTATTAATTATGATTGCAATAATAATTATCATGAGATAATACACATGTGTATTACTTTGTAGGTTGGGAAGTTCTGTGATACTCATGCCCCCAGAGAAGTTATTTTACTCCAAGATATGCGAGCTACTCCCCCTGTGCTGGCCTTGTTAATCCCTGACCCCACCACTCACCCCTACACTGAGAGTGAGATACGAACAAAACTACATGAATGTGGGGTTAAAAAATTGAGGAAAGGAAAAGAAATTGAGGGGGGGTCGGAATTACGGAATCAAAGTATCCAGCTCTATGAATATGTTGTAACAAAGCGAAACAGTAGAGAGGAGACTTTCTTTCGAATTATACGAAGCTGGCCTTTTCAGAATGACAACAACAAAGTCCGTGCTTCTGTGTATGTAAGTGTGTTACATATAAATAATTACTTTAACCATTAATTAAAATCTATACTTCGATATTTGCAGTTGGCTGTGTCATTGATGGTAATGATAAAAGGAGGTGCAACTCTGCTGAATTCTAGGATTCTCTTCCGGGGTGCAGATTTGACGTGGGTAAAGTCTTTTCTAAATCAAAACGGGGTGCTCTTCGAAAAGGGAGATCAATTTCAAGAGTCTGTCAGCTCCATTCCACCAGGTGTTTCCGGAGAAATCAATCGTTGTCTGCCTTATGTCTACCTCGGAAGAAATGATAAAGGTCAATTGTACATAGGGGTTCAAAATTGTATAAAAATACGAATTTCTGGAGCAAAATCTCCATACCATGGTCTTTGGAAGGCTGGAACGGGGATGGATTCATTCATAGAGGATGAAGACATGGTCATTTTCCAAAGCCCTATCCCTAACTTGTTGCTAAATGTAACTTCCCAGACTAAACGTAACAAATTCAGCCCAGAACAAGAAACGGAATTTTTTAAAATGGAGGAGGCTGCCAACAAATATGAAACCCTTGCTCACTCAGCTTTGAAGATTGGAGAGATGGTCGCTCAGACCTACATGGGGGCCTTAGTGAAGGGAATTCCAAAGCAGATGAATCATTTTGAGGGTGTTATTAATGTTGTTGATCTCATGTCTACATACTCTTTCTTGTTTGAGTCAAATCTAATCATGAGTGATGTTAGTCAATTAGAGATAGGTGGTGATGGAAAAGTTGTTATTAATTTCGTTGTTTAGTTATTTTTACGTTTCCCCTGAACGTGGAAGAAATTCATGAACTATTTCCATTATAAATAAAAACGGTTTCTTAAGAATATAAAAAACTACCTCTTACCGTTACTTTTCATAACGGTAAGAATTATAAATTAAATTGATATCCATTGCTGTCTTCAATGCATGATGTTGGCGTTGTTGGTGAGGAGGTGGGAAGTACGGGTAATTTCCTCGTAGATACAAAAAATGTGCATGATCTTGTTAAATACGATGCAAATATTGCGTGATGAAAAACATTGCACCATTTAAAACTTGCCGTCCATTTGATTCCGCAGCTTTACATCACGGCTGCGGAAAGGAACAAGCCGATTTTTGGGCATCCTTGGAGCATTGGAAGTCCGTGGATCAATTTGACTATCCCGGAAGATTTAGACGTAGAAACTGCGGTTGTCGGTAAGTTTTGTCGAAATATAGATAAATATAAGTCTGTAAATAAGTAAAATTAGTGAAGCTAATTCGTGTTACATTTTTCCTTTAGATTTAAACGCTTGGGACTACATAGCAGGAAAAGCTGTCACCGATTTTGAACTTATTGAGTTGGATTCGAATAACTTTGGATTGAATGGAAGTCAACTTGTGGTCATTTCCGAGTTAGATTATGAATTACAAGACATGTACATTTTACAAGTCAAGGCAAAGGATGAGAGGGGTGGAGAATCCATTGCAAATCTTGGTAAAATTATTTTGCAGCCTTCTACAAATTCATTAGCTTTGACTTATACTATGGATATATATGCAGGCATACAGATCTCAGATATCAATGATCACTCTCCCTCATTTTCAAAACCCGAGTACAAAGGAAAAGTGACCGAGAATGCCGTCTTCCCAACGCCCATCATCACCTTGGAAGCCTCTGACTTGGACGACCCTTCGAACTACGGTGCAATCAGGTACGCCCTGACCGGCCCACAAAGCGACCTCTTCACCATCGACCCTCTTGCCGGCATTGTGCAAGGTATGCATTAATTACAAAATATGGGTTATTAATTAAAGAAAAACTCCATACAATAAATCTTGATACATAATCTTCTAGTCGCACCTGGTGCAATTATCGATCGGGAGAAGGATGAAACTCACAAAATCACAGTTCTTGCGATGGACACCCCGTCCGGCGGCCCCTTTCAGCGAACTGCCACAGCCACGTTGCACATTATTGTTGAAGATGAAAATGACAATGATCCGATTTGCGACACGGAGGACTACCTCGTTCCTGAAAACGCTCCGGTTGGAACATTTATTGGGCTCGTGGATTGCAAAGACGTCGACAAAAATCCCAACATCACATTCCGCCTCGTCGATGACCACCACTTGAATCTCTTTGCGATTGACAAGAATTCTGGGAAACTGAGTGTCGCCAAAACCCTACGAGCTCGTGGAAGAAATGCTCCATATGTGGTTAGCCTTATCGTGGAGGATGGGAAGGAACGATTTGTGAGCTTATCTATTGGGATCAAAGTATCCAACGTTATTCCTAACGATGGGCGACCCCAATTCGTTCACGACACCTTTAACGCCACGATCCTTGAAGGAGCTCCACGTGGAACGCAAATCTTCCAAGTGAAAGGACACGACACGGATGCCTTCGACAATGGGGAGGGTCAGCTAAGTTACCATCTTCTCAAACAATTGTATCCATGTCACAGCAAGACGCTGAAGGAGAACGTGCACCGTAACATCGTGGATGTCGAACTCTTCCGCTTGGACGAACAATCCGGATCTCTCACGCTAAAGGACGCCATAGATCGGGAGAAGATGGACTGCTTTTCACTCTTGATTTCCGTCGAGGATTCTGGAACACCGCCACAAAGCGATTCAGCATGGTTTGAAATTTACGTGGTTGACGTGGACGACTCTCTCCCTTATTTGCCAGTTGCGGAGAGAAATGTCAAACTGGTTTTGAACGAGAATACTCCAATCGGATCCATAGTTCATCGCTTTTCTGGAATCGATGAGGACCTCGCCCCAAATAATTTGATCACCTTTGACATTTCTGGGGGAGGAAGTGATCTCTTCCAAGTCGTTTCAAGTGGACATCAGACAGCAAATCTTGTCCTGAATGTGGACCTCGCTCAAATGGAGCATGACGATTTAACGCTGGTTGTAAAATGTCACCCCACTGGAAAAAAGATTTCTGTTCCTGACTGCATTTCCAAAGTTAATGTAAAAGTCACCCGAGATTCGGTGGGGGCCGGTGGGGGTGGTGGGGGCGGCGGCGAAGGGAATAAATACAGGCTCAATTCCAAGACAAAATACTATGAAATGATTGTTGGGGCAGCGTCCGGTTCGCCGATAGGAAATCTGATTGGAAACGCTGGCATGCCCAAGAGAATTCACACCTCGACACAAATGTATCACCCAAGGCAAGTCGGATCTTCTCCAACGAACGTGTCAGAGCTTATCCACATTGACGAGGACACGGGAGATATTTTTGTGTGGGACAATTTAGAAAAGTATTCCAATGGTCATCTCAGAGTCCAAATGGTGGATGAGGATGGAGGCATGAAAAAAAACTTGAAGGTCTTCATCGCACCGAATGAGGCATGTTTGTCTAATTTAATATTACGCAATTATTTTAAAATTATTGATTATTATTTGTAAATAGCACCTCCTTCATGCGTCAATGATTGAATATTCTAAACTTCGCAAATGGGTAGAGGAAACGGACGCATTCTTAAATTCGCCACATAATAAGAGTGGTGGAGGAAGTGTCAAAATGGGTCAATTTCACGTCTTAACTTTCGATCAAAGCAATGCGCCCGATGGAAAAACGAGGTGATTAGCAATTAATTTTGTACAGACCTAAATATTTGTACACTTATTTTGACGGACTCTTAAAATTGACTTTTATGCAGGGTGTGTTTCCAGCTTTTAGAAAATGAAAATATGGTGAGCCAGGATAAGGCTATGAAGATTTTGGAAAATGGTGACCTTCAGGATCTTTTCTTAAAATACACAATTGACGAGGTTCACAGGGTATGAGCTAATCTTAATTGTGTAATATCTATTAATTTCGTGCAAATCCTTATGCAAATTTCTGCTCCTTCTACAGGGTTGTCCCTCACGACCTCGTGCCCCCGTAAGATTGAGTCTCGTCACTGCTGGGACAGGGCGTTTTTGGGTGGAACGCTCCCTTCTCGGTATAGCGTCCGTTGTGGCAATCGCGTGTATTAGTTCAATTCTTATTTTATGTTTATTAAATCGAAATCGGGGAAAACGTTAGCCAATTTTATATTTTATTAATTGAGTGAATTTGATGATGTTACAAATGCCTATTTTATTTATTGATGAGAATGACAAAACTATATAGATGAAAGAATAAAACCGACCGACCTTATTTTTTTAAAAGAAATCAGAACATTACCATTTTTATCCTCAAGTTTTTATTATAAAACACTGCGTATGCATATAGATATATATGGTTCAAAAAGGTTAACATTACGCATGACCTAAATAATAATAGTAGTAGTAGTACTATATAACAGTTATAACTCTCGACGAAGCTAAATCTATCGACTTTGTAGATTTTTTAAATAGCGTACGACACAGGATAAACGAAAAGATATATGCAATAGTAATTAATAAGATAAGACATATATTAGGTACTTATTGTGGTCGTCATTCTTCTCTTTATGAAAATCATCAAACGGTAAAGAAAAAATTGCTTGCACAAATAAGCCGTAACTTCGAAAAACACTAATATTACTAACATCTAGCAAATAATGACAACAATGGCTCAAGAAAAAACGTGTAGTAAAACAGTTTTCGGAGGTCGGTTAAAAAGTCTACTCTAATAATCACCGTCATCATATCGAATAGAATTAACTTCCATTGTGATTGCTCCGCCGCGATAACTACCGCGTTTCTTTTTGGTCTTCTCATGACGAAAAGACTTGCCACGGGTGTGTTTCAAGTCTGTATTAGCTCGCTCGCCCCACGATCCTCGAGCACCCCTCTAAACAATTAAATGTGTTTACACTTGTGTTAAGAATCAACATAAGACTAAAAATAATGAAAATTTAAATTAGTCATAATAAATGAATTTGTAGTCTTGGCTAGACTGATTTTAGTGACGAAAGGACAGACACTTCGTACGACACGAAAAATAAAAGTAAATCTAATCTAATAACTAAAATAACCTATAAAGATACGTAGTGTAATATAAATTATAAATTCTGATGATTTGTTTTGAAGTAAATATCTAGTCAAAAGTAACTTTTTTATTTTGAGTAGGAGCAGAACTATCGAATCCACCGCTTCTTCTTTGGGCAATTGCTGGTGAACCCCTTCCTCCGCCACCAAATCCACCACGACCTCCTCTAAATCCTCCACCACCTCGACCTCCACGGTCAAACCCACCGCGACCACCACCTCTGTCGCCAAATCCACCTCGACCTCCTCTATCTCCGAACCCACCACGACCGCCTCGGAAACCTCCTCGATCTCCACCACCAAATCCACCGCGACCTCCACCTCTATCGCCGAATCCGAATCCACCACGACCTCTGAATCCGCCACCGCCTCGGTCCCCACCAAATCCACGACCTCGTCCACGATCGCCACCTCTAAATGATCCTCCTCGACCACCCCCACCATCCTGCAATTTCATTTGAAATTGATTAACGAATGGAGACAAAGAGAAAAGTTAATTTGCTTGATAATATTTGACAAATCTGAACCACCGAGCTTAGATAGATATACCATTTCAAGGACTAAAATCGTTCAGTACCGAGGTGATTGAATCATATTTAAAATTGCAGGATGGTGTGTGGACAAAGCTAATGTTTTGAATATTTACGACAACATTGTCAAAATGAATAAAAAAAACTACAGTTAATCAGTCGAGCCAAGATCTAGAAACTCATGTATTAAGCACTCTTGCTTCAACCCAACTCACTTTCGCCTCAAATGAATTATCTGCAAATTTGTCACACACGGGTATCTCTTCAGCTTTTACTCGTCGAAATGGTGTTTTCCGCTCCTGACTCCGGTTCAGCATTTGCTTTTGCTTACAGAACAAAGATACTTTGAAACATTTAGAGATAGAAAAGAACTCAAAGTGTAAAAAAATACAACTCAAATTATCAATTATTAAAGGAAATAGTGGAAAGTATTTGTAAATTGATTATCATTGATTGATAGTAATAATGTAATAAACAAATTTTAATCCTTACCGAGTTTCTCGCTTGCCATTTATTGCCACCACCGAACCCATTTTCCTGTTGTTCTTCACCCTCTTCTCCGCCATTTTGACTTCCAAAAGAGTTGTTGGCTTTTTTAATAGCAAAGCCTCCATCTTCCTCCTCGTCGTCTTCATTTTCGTCATCATCACCGGCAACCCCATTTCCATTAACTTTGCTAACACCGTTAACTGCGACTGGCTTCTTGACGACGGGTGTCTCATCGTCGGAGTCATCATCATCATCTTCTGACGATGATTCTTTCTTCTTATTAGCAACAGCAACAGGAAGTTTCGAAGCGGGTGTAACTGCTTTCTTGGGGGCTGGCGTCTCATCTTCAGAGCTATCCTCCTCCGATGAAGATTCCTTTTTCTTGGCAACAACTTTAGCTGGTGTCGCAACCACTGGCTTTTTAGGAGCTGGGGTTTCGTCTTCCGAGCTGTCCTCCGAAGATGACGATTCCTTCTTTTTTGGAACGACCTTTGTTGGCGAAGCTTTGGCGGCTGCAACTGGCGTGATCGGCTTCTTTGCTGCAGGTTTCTCATCTTCAGAACTATCATCCCCTGATGATGAAGATTCTTGTTTCTTTGGAGCGACTTTAACTGGGACGATAGGCTTCTTAACTGCGGGCTTCTCATCCTCCGAACTTTCTTCTTCCGATGATGATGATTCCTTCTTTTTTGCAGCAACCACGGGTGCCTTGACGGGAGAAACGGGCTTCTTCACGGCTGGTTTCTCGTCCTCCGAACTATCATCTTCAGATGATGATTCCTTCTTTTTTGCAGCAACCACAGGTGCCCTGACGGGGGAGACGGGCTTCTTCGCGGCTGGTTTCTCATCCTCAGAGCTGTCATCGTCAGATGATGAAGATTCCGCTTTCTTTTGTGGTACTGCTTTAACCGGAGCCTTAACTGGAGATACAGGGGCAGTGGGTTTTTTCGCTACGGCCTTGTCAACTTCATCTTCATCAGAAGAGTCGTCCTCTGAACTAGACTCTTCTTTCTTCTTCTGAACAACAGGGGCAGCCTGTTTTACAGGGGAAGATTTAGGTTGGATCTTGGACTTGGGTTCGTCGTCTTCTGAAGAATCGTCACTGCTGCTGGAGGAGTCCTTCTTGGCCTTTTTCGCTGCTGGAGTATTAGACTGAGGGAGTGAAAGGCGTCGTTTCACTGGAGCATTTCTAGATAATAAAGATTAATTGAAATTAGTACTATATTTAAGATTCGAATTATTTGAAAATATTAATATCAAGTTCAACTTACTCTTGGAAATGCTTAACAACTTCTTGCAGCGTTGGGGAACCTGCGGCTAGCACTGGCTGCAAATAAGGAAAATTTATACACATTATAGTATTGGTACAGTAAAGAAACAAGTTACCACCCTAAATGAATTGATTTTAAATGTTCTAAATCCCAATATCATATCACTCATAATGAATTACTTACCGGGTTTACTTTCGTTTTGAAAGTTTCTGCTAAATTTCCTGCTGCAGACTTCAAGTAATCGTAGACCAGCGCTGCCATGTACTTATTCTCAACAGGAGGGTTTGCCATCTTTAAAACACTTTATCTTTTTTTTCTTTAAAAAATTAGAAAAGTCTGTCTGTTCGTCTATCAAATTAAGTCTTCTCCAGCCTTCCACAAACTAATCAGTCAGGTCAGTCAGTTGAATAGTATTGTTGCGCCGCTACTTTAAAACAAAACCGTTAGTTTACCAGTAACCACTTATCTTCAAAATTTGAAGAAAATTTCTAAAAATTCACGAATCTTTCTTACTGACGACGAGTGAATAGAAACGACGGCGTGCGTGGAGTGAAAGAAGAAGCAGCGAGTATACCCCTCCACACGTGTGTCTGCCTTGCTGCTTCTCCGCCTCTCGGCCATGATGCAGATTGCCTCGTTTTTGGAGCAAAGGCTCGTTCACAAAAATTTTCCTGAGATTATTGGTCTCAAAATCTTTGGAACATTAAATGTTTCACGTAGTTCATATTATTACTAAGAAATTAGTACAATTAAAAGTATGAGTCGGAACATTGTGTAATTTTTTTGAAGAAAACGTTATGAGCGAAGCTTGTAATTTTTGGATTCAGATTCTCCCATGATAGAAAAGGTAGCAGGGAGGGATGGTGAATATGCTGAGAAAAATCAAAAGTTGGCTGGAGGTAGTTCCGTCTTATGGCGACCTTGAATTATAGTGTTGTAAATATTTTAGGGAATTATGAAATCTGATGAAGTTTTGAAGTTTTCTAAAAGTGGGGTTTATTTTTTAATACGGATGCGGTTTAAATTGGTTTATTTAGAAATCTTAGCAAAATAAAAGTAGTGCGATGCATTTGGTCTCATTTTTCCCGTGAGGAGCGAAAATATTCATTTAAATTAAATCATGTTTTGATTTTGTTCAAGTGTCGAGTATTTGGAAGCAAGAATTTTTTTTCTAAAAATATAGACCTGTGTTTAAAATTCTATATGGTTTTTAAATTTTAGTTTATTTTTAATATGAAATTGAACAGGCCGTAATTAAGAATTCAGCTGCTAAGAGGGTGAAGGAAGAGAGCGAGTAAGGGTAAGTATGTGGTTTGTAATGTGTGGTTTATAATTTCATGTTTTGAATAGTAAGCAATGTGTTACTTTGGTGTACAGTACAAGTATCTCTAAATGGCATTCCAACGAGTAAAGAAATACATGCTGGACAACGCTTATACCCACACCGACGAATGGCTTAAAGCATGTATGGATTGGATTGAGTCAACATTCGGCAATGTGAGTTTGTAAATTAAAATGCTTTAGATATTGTATAACAATAATTGCATGATTAGACTGTTTTTGTCAGGTACCAGATGAAATATACCAAAAGCACGTTTACGAACAATGGATTGATGCAAACTTGGAGGAGCTGGGCAGTTCTTGTCTTCCTGCGAATTTATCTGGTCAAAAATGTTGCAATCTGGGTGGAAAATACGGACTTCAGGTGAGTTGTTTATATCAGGTTCACATAGTTGTGCGACGTGAGTCATTAATTATCTTCTTGCGTCAGATGAATTCTATTCAAGACATTGGGGAGTCGGCGTACAATCAGTGGAAGAAAATTCGACAACTTGAGAATGAAAATATTAATGTCACCGGTGCAGCCACTAATACCGACAACCAATGGGCTCCGAAACCTAAAAGATGTTTATATCTTACTCTATCGGATGGAATCCAACTGGTGTATGGATTGGAGTTAACTCCCATATCTTGTCTTTCCCTCAATTTAAGGCCAGGTGTTAAGGTAATGATAATTAAGCCAAGCGAGTGATTTAAAGTTCCGAAGTTGAATACTATATGGCTTTATGAAAGTGTATACAACAAAATTTAGTTACAAATTCAATAACTATTAACTATTCATATTATTTATTATTTTTTCAGATACTATTTATGGGACCGATAGAATGCCGACGAGGTGTGCTACAGTTACGACCAGTCAATGTAAAAGTCATCGGAGGTGAAGTTGAGGGGATATTTGACAGCCATTCCGTGGAAGCTGTTCTTTCCAGTCGATTGTAAATTAATCTTGTTTCATACTAAAACTGTACTGTTTGGTATTTACCATGACCATGTCTAATTAATACATAATGTTTTTCGTAGAAATATACCAAGGGATAATATTGACCCAGCTCCTACCACAACTCAACGTGCTAACATTCCAGCACAGAGTGTAGAAGATGTTGCATTTCCCGATACAATGGACGACGACGATGATCAATTTTTTATGGAGATTGATGAAAACCTCTTGTTAGGATCTGATCACCCTCCAAATCCACGAACATTGGCCAACTCGTCACTAGAAACACAACTTATTGACATTGCTGATGCTAACACCGAAATAATTAATACTCAAGACTTTCGAAATATGATTGCTACACAATCAAATAATTCAAATACTAGGCAAAACCGCAGTAGTAATAAAACGGTAACGAACAGCAGCAGTTTTCCCTCAACCTCATTAAACTCAACAGTAAAGCCTCCCCCAGTCGCTATCAAAGCTTCGATTAATGGATCTACTGCGACACGGGCGAATGTTCCCGATTCTAGCGCATCAAAATCAACTTCGTTGGTGAAAATGCTTGGTGGATTTCAAACAGCAAAGAACGTAACTAATTCATCCAAGAAACCTAAAGGCAAACAATTGAAAATAGATGGATATATGAAGCCGATGCCAGTTATCATAAAACCTGCTACACCTCCAGTTAAACCAACAGTCGCCGTACGAAAAGTTGTTACTGAAACTGTCCAGCCATTGAGTCAACCCAAAATTGAAGAATCTTCTATCATTCTTGTAACCGACGGAGATGAGGATGGTGACATGAGCGTTATTGAAGACGACTCGGTTGTCGCTGAGATGGATACAGATGAAGAGAACGCTGTAGGAAGAAGAGAAAATACTACACGGAGGGCACCTCGATTTGTTCCACCGATTGCTGCATCCACACCCATCACAACTTCAAAATCAAAGTCCACTGGAATCGTTCATCCCACCATCATCTCCACCCCCGTCAGATACCCAATCATGGTACCTGGTCGGCCATACATTTACATAAAGCAGATAAAGGAAAACTTGGAGCATTGGATTAATACAGGGATAAAAAGTGTTAACATCAAAGCCTGTGTGGCCACACTTATTTCAAATATACGAGTGGAAAATGGTGTTTGGACGTTAAGTGTTTCGCTAAATGACGGGACAGGGTTTCTTAACTGTACACTATCTCCTGAATTATTAAATACAATTATCGGTTTCGATCCGGCAGAGATGAAAAGACTGAAGAGCATGAAGACTCAGACGGCAAGGGAAAAAATTGCACAGGTAAATAATCGTCATAAATAATTTAAGCATGTAGAAATAAATTATTAAGTTCACATTATATTTTTCAACTCTCTACGAAATTTGTTGCAGGGCATGAAGGAACTTACAGAACAATTGGTTCTCTTGAATGCCATTGTGGAAATAGAGTTATGCAGCCCGGATCCCATAATATTAAACTTTACAGATGTCAGCATCCTCCACGTTAATGCCATAAAATACAGAATCTCGGCACTCAAATGAATTATCAAAGTTTTTATTAATAAGTATATTTCCTGCAACCATTTTAACCTGACTTTAACCTGTGATACATCATCCATTTATTTGTTAATAGAAAAATAATTGTGGTTGAAATTATTAAATTACGCTTTGATAACTATTTTAATTTACTGAATTTGTCAAAAGCTCAAAATGTTTCACAATCACAGTCACCAAAATCATGATGACGATCACTATCAATTTATAAGTACAAAAAAAATCTCTATTCATTCATGGAATCAGACAAACTGGATTATCCTCTAATTTGGGGAGCTCAGGATGACTTTGAAATTCGTGACCCGTCAGTTCAGACCACCCTGCAGGATAAATTTCCGGAGACTTGAAATCAATCCATTGACGAGCATACTCTGAGTCTCTTGGCCACCCGTCGAAATGGAGCAGCATCAAATGTTGGGCAACCTTTATTACCGTCACAGGTCCACAGTATGAGGGCTGTCTAAGATCAATAGCCTCAAATTTCTCCCCAGTGGAAAACGGATTATTGGAACGCTATATACAGAATATATAAAAAATTCTTAACATTCTTTGCTTGCAAAATATTGTTGTTGTTTGCCTTTCTAGTTTCTCTAGATTTATTCTGCTGATGAAAGGTATGACATTTTTTCGAAAGCTTTAGTATCATAATATTTAAAAAATACTTCCTTCCATCAAATTTCAACTAATTACTTTTAGCAAATGCTTTCGTACGTTTTTCGAGATAAAAATTTGAAAATTTCCAGGATAAAGCCACCAAGGAAGGAAATCTCTGGGAGTTGGAAATTGAGATTAAAAATCATGATCTTAAACCTTTTTCAAAAACATGAACGGTGCCACTTGCAATCTTTCTGGTCTACTATCCTACAAATTTTCAAATTTTTATCTGGAAAAATGTGCGGAACATAGTATTTTTAAAGGGTTTTAAGAGTTCTTACAGAATGTAAAATTACATTCTGTATAGTCAGAATTATTGCGAGGATACTGAAACTAATGGCAAGTAGTTTTAAATGTACCGTTGGCAATAGTGAGCTTAGATCCAATCGAACCGCCTTCTTCTTTGAACAATAATTTTTCCAATTGAATGTGGCCTTTGATTCTCCGCTAGGAACGGCAAGTTCAATTCCATTCTCTGCACAAAATCCACAAGGAAGAAGCCAGGGTGATGAGATGTGGAACACAAACTGCATGCTTTCTGTGAGTGGTTTGTTGCAAGTAATTGTTGCCAAAAAATAGCCAAATTTATAAACTTGTTCGATTTTTCCTGCGGCAATTCGATCCAGGTTAAAAGGGTGGATCACTTCAAAGACCATTCCTCTACTGAAATATATATCGTCAGGATACGAAGGCAGTTTTGATGTGTCCAAGTTCGAAAATACCAAGTTTCTGGGAACTCCTGTCAGCTCCGCTCCTACTGCTTGGCACCAACCCAATGGATTGATTTGATCGCTTTTCACATTGAACCAGTATCCAGGGTCTTAAAAAGATAGATTAAAAATAGATACTACTTGAGACCCGATGATATTGGGAAATTATGGATGTAATAATAAGATTAACCAGTCTACCTTTGCCTTCATCGTAGCCAGCATTTTTGACGTACGTTATGTGAACTCGATCCCCGATAAGTCCGGTCACCTTAGCTAAGCGCCGACTTCCAGTGCAATTGCAGTCCATGACTTCAACCATATCGTGAAGTTTGTATCTGTCAAGTTTAAATTATTAATGCATAATCCTTAAATTGTTAAATTTAATGAATTATACATGCTGGTGATGATGGATTACTTTTGTTGTGCTTTTATGGCTTCGGTCACAATCTCTATGTGATCGTTTTTCAGAGTGACCAAACGGTACTGATGAATGACGGACATAAGTATATGCATAAAATTTGGAATTGCTTCAAAAACTTCTAAAAATGATTCAAGTGAAGAAATGTTAGGTTATAATTAATTAGTGAATGAATTAATGAACATAATTTCATCAGAATTTTACTGTGTGGAGGGAACAGCACAATTTTGTTTTCATCGCAATATCCAATAGGTTTTGGAACGACACTGCAGAACGACATCCACGCGAACATTGCAGGCTCATACCCAAAAGTTTCGTATTGGACGAGTGCTTTGTATCCGGCAAAAAACTTGATTGTGGCAATCCAGTAGACTGGCCGGTTACAAGAGATGAAGACGTTTGGAATTTCAATCTTTATTCCTGGCTTGGCTAAATCTTTCCAAATGTTAGACATGGGGGCCTGTTATGAAAACAAAATTTAGTGAAAACATGTACTATACATTATATAGTCAACTATGTTATTTAATGCAAATTCATGTTAAACTGTACTCACATTCTGAAACTTGCTTACAGGAGCAATCCATTTAAAATTCTCGGGGTTTTTAGTATTGAGATAGTTATCCCAATCCCTAGTTTTCCCACTTAATCTAAGGAAGGTTTTGGGAGCGTCACCATCAACTTCAAACTTGGGATCTGTCAATGGATCTTGCGGATCTTCAAGCTTTTTTCGCTTCGTTTTTTGTTTTTTTCCAAAAAAAGTTTCATCTCCAGGCTTTTCGACTACTATGCGATTTTGCATAAAGCCTGAAAGTTTCTCATCTAATATTTTCAACGATTTATTTGGCCTTGAAGATCTTCTAGTCTGACTTTGACGACCTTGTTTTGTTTTAGAGGTAGATGAACCAGGTAGTATTTTGATGTCATCCTGATTACCCATCCCATTTAAACCGTGATTTATAGTTCCATTGGTATTGGCAGGTGTATCAGTAGAAGAAGTACTCTTATTCATTGATGTTATGACTGACTTGAACCTCATCGTAGGATCAATCTTTTCTTCTTTCTTTTTAATTTCCAATTTTTTCACATTTGATAAATTTTTACTTGCTCCTTTTCCCTCACTCGTAAGACTTTTATTAGTATTTTCCTTGATTGGAACAACTCTTATCGTGTCGTTAACCACATTCCCTGCAGCAACAACTTTTCCAGGTATTATTGGCATTGACAAGACAGGGGGAGCAAGATTTGGAACAAGTTTCGATGCTGAAAGTGGTGAACCATTCCCAACCCGTGCTTTAATCCTGGTTTTATTGAGGGTGGGATTGGCACTCGTCTCTCCCGACTTATCCTTTGTATCCGTTTCGTCCCCAGATTCATCTGACGAACTTGAACTACTACTCCCACTGCTGCCTGAAGATGAGCTTGAAGAGCTGCCACTGGAAGAGCTCGAGCTTGATGATTTTGCGGATGTCGAGCAACCTATCATTGGTGGCATTGGTGGAAAACTTGGTGGCGCAAGCTCATCCAGGTTTATTGATTCAGAAAGTACGAGTCCGTCATCCATATCTTCTCCAGTTGTAATAACAACTCTAACAGGGATTTCTTCCACACCCACGACGCCACCGCCATTTGAAGTAATTTGCATATCTCTCATCATATTATTCGGCTTGTCAAAAGTCTTCAGTCTTTATTCTACAATTCTAGTAGAATCGTTCTAACAGATTTCTACAAACAAAACAAATTACAATTTTTTAGGGGAAATAAAAATAATATTGAATATCATCACTCCAAACTCGACGTTTTACCCAAATCGGCGTAATATTAGGTGCCCATAAACTAAATACAAAAACATATATTATATATTTTAAAATAAAAGGATTTTAAATAAGTATAATTATTAAGTTATGAGTATTGAAATTCCATACGCTTAAGAAAAATATCCCCCATCCACCCGCACCTCTAAAAGTCAAAAGAAATGGAAGAGCTATGGGTCTTCTGGTCTTCTTATCGTCGCAAATCGTGTAGAGTCAGGCCTGAACAATAGTCAGCAGATAATTGTCGCTTTTTGAAAATCAAAACTTAAAAAAATTAAAAGTAAAATTGAACTAAAAATGCAAAAGCCTGACGAAACGAAACGAAATCGTACTCGTCATACGATACGAACACCGGAGCCAAAATTGAATTTGTACACATCAACAGATATTTTTGTGGAGAGAATTTGAGATTTTGAGAATGTGAATAATAGTGAATAGTAATTAAAATTTTAAAAGTTCCAAGTTTTTGAAGTTTCTGAATAACTGGATGAATTAAGCAGCACCCAGAGAATCAAGGTCATACAACGATAACCAAAAAGTAAGGATAATTTTAGATTTGGTTAATTTAATTGCATTTAAATTGAAGTTTTTATTTATTTTTGAGTTGCAACTAAATATTTAACGTACTGTGTAGTGAGGTCAGAAATTGATTTAATATGGGATAATATTTAATTCATATAGGTCGAAATGGTGCAACTGTTCTTGAGAACCTCCAACCTACTTATCATGTCAAATTAAACCACGATACTCGACTTTCATTGAGTAGAGGATTCCTCTAAGAGGAATAATTTTGTAGTATAATCATCTTGACAAATTCAAGATGTGGTGGTGGGGACAACTGCCCTCAATTTTGGCAATATGCTTATCCTGGTTAGTATTCAGTTCCATAACTTTTGACACAATCACTGCTATTCGGGTCTATGATGATAAACGATTAACGGAACTGAGGTATGTAGAACTCATTTACACTTATAATTATTAATTATGTAGCTAATAATAATTATTAGTAACTTATCGTAAGTCAGTAATTAACATATTGTTTTAATTTTCAAGGGAGGAAGTTCTCTCCGTATTTTATCATGGGTACAATAACTATATCGACCATGCTTATCCATACGATGAGCTGCGACCACTTAGCTGTGACGGGGTGGACACGTGGGGTTCTTATTCCCTCACCCTTATTGACACTTTGGACACGTTGGCAGTGGTTGGAAATTATTCCGAATTTCGAAGAGTTGCTCAACTTATTCTACAGAACGCCAATTTCGACATGAATATAAATGTATCCGTGTTTGAGACCAATATTAGAATTCTGGGCGGACTTTTAAGCGCTCATATGCTCAGTCAGAAGTAAGAGAACCATATTTTAATCTAATTCAACATTATTGGTTGGAATATAGTTAAAACTATTTATATTTCCGTTCCCAGGGCTGGAATGGATCTCGAACCAGGATGGCCCTGCCAAGGTCCATTGCTCAGATTGGCAGAAATGGTTGGAAGAAAGCTCCTCCCTGCTTTTGATACTTTGACTGGCATGCCCTTTGGAACTGTTGTAAGCATATATTTTATTTCAAACATGAACTAATTTGTTCTGTTAATTAATAAAAGGTTATTTTTTTTAGAATTTACGATATGGCGTCCCTCCTAACGAGACCCCAGTAACTTGCACGGCGGGTGTTGGAACTTTTATCGTCGAATTTGGTGCTTTATCTCGGCTCACAGGAGATCCGATCTATGAAAAGGTTTGAATCCTTCAGCTACTAAATAAATACTTGGTAACTTTGAATAATCTGGAACCAACAATTTAGGTTGCACTGCGTGCAATCCACTCCTTGTACTCGAAACGTTCCCCATTGGACCTTGTCGGCAATCACATTGACACCAAAACTGGAAAGTGGACAGCAGTTGACGCAGGAATAGGTGCTGGAGTAGACTCGTTCTTTGAGTATCTAGTTAAAGGATCCATCTTATTTCAAAGTCCAGAATTGATGCACTACTTTCGGGTTTTTCATCGTGCCATCGAAAAACATTTAGGTTGGTGAACCTATCCAATTTTCTATTCTTAGTAAATTGGAATATCATGATAAAGTTTATTGTTGTTATATTTGACACCATTATTATCTGTGTCTGTACTTAATATTACTAAATAATTTTAGGGAAGGGAGGTTGGTATGTTTGGGCTACAATGGGACAAGGCCATGTGTCAGCTACAACTTTTCAGAGGTAAGAAATTACTTGGTAAATAAATATATAAATGAGCATTGGGTATCGAGTAATTAATAACCTTGTCGAATTTGTAATAGTTTGGAAACGTTCTTTCCTGGAATGCTGAGCTTGGTTGGCGAATTCAAATCTGGATTGAAAGCGATGACAAATTATCACAGAATTTTAAAGCAATATGGAGGACTACCCGAACTATACAATATCTTACAGGTGCGTGACATTAGCGACTTATTTCAAGACAAGATTTACAATTATGATTATTATTAATTTTATTCAGGGTAAAGCAACACATCAAAGAGAAGGGTATCCCCTCAGACCTGAACTTATCGAGTCTGCAATGTATCTCTATCGCGCCACGGGTGACCCATATATGCTAGAAATTGGCGAAGATATCCTGCATTCCATTCAGTATAATGCGCGAACAGAGTGTGGATACGCCACAATTAGGGACGTCACAACTTTGACACTTGAGGATCGCATGGTTAGACTTCAATCCTGTTTTCATTACACCATTTTATTAACAATATGTGATGATGAGTAATTATATTTATTTATTTATTTCCTTCACTCTCCAGGAATCTTTCTTCTTGGCCGAGACAGTGAAATATCTCTACCTGTTGTTTGACCCAAAAAATTTTATTCACAGTGAAGGAGATGATGTGACTGTTGTGGACACCCCACGAGGAAAATGCACCGTTTATGCTGGCGGATATATCTTTAACACGGAAGCTCACCCAATTGACCCCTCTGCCCTCAATTGCTGTACTGGCGTAGCAGAGGCTGATTTGCATAAAGAGATTCAAGTGATTGACGAAGTTCGATCTTCTCGGGTATTCTCTGCCCTCAAGAAAGCCAAAGCTCATGCACAAGATAGTTCTAAGAGAAGGAAGCGGAAAAAGAAGAAAACTGTTGATTATAATAATGACGCAGTCAATAATAATAATATAATTATTACAGAAAACATTGACACTTCAGTAGTTCGACTGCCCTCCTTGGCAAAAAATGAATTAGAAAAGTTATTCGCGGACCAGAACATTATTCAACTTGACAAATCTGAAAGAATCAATCCATTTTTGCAATATAGAAATAAGCAATCCTTATCATATTCTCCAGTTGTTCAGTACTCGCTCAATCTCAGCTCCATCCCTCCTATGCAGACTGTAACTAGCGACAGTGACAATCTGGTTTTCAAGCTATTGAAGAAACTACTAGATGAGCAGCCTGATTACAAGGAAGTCGTTCGGAAAGAATTTGCCAACGGAGTGGAAAAAGGACTACAATTTGAGACCGGAAAGCAGGACAAGGATTTGAGAAAGCTAGTCGAAAAGTTTGAAACCAATTTGAAAGCGGCTGAAGAGACAGACTTGGCCAAGAGACGTAGCCTTGCGATAAAACAAGAGAGTGGAACCGTAAAAGGCTCATTGGGAACAGCCACCATTATCAAGCAGGATAAAAATAATGAAAACAGAATCAGATCAAAATCTCCCATTGGCGAAACAAACCCTGATCTGGATTTAATTTTTGGCACATCAACGACCAGTCGGAGCCTTTCGTTCTACTTTTCGCTTAAATGGCTCCCAGCCTTCCCCGACCTCCTGCTCAGACAACTCATGCCCAGTGAAAGTTTTGACATTCAAAATTTTTATTCTAGAATGGGAAATGAATTTTCGTCGCAAAACTTTTCTAAAAGATTTAATTTTAGTGAAGCTTGGTTAGATAATTTTGATGTTTTAAGGTGTCCTAGTTTAAAAATGGCTGATCGATTCATGTTTTTTAGATCATCTGTTGAAGATTAGACTGTTTTCGAGTCCAAGAAATAAATATTGTGATATTAGAATTTAGGTAGGATGATGACATAGTCTATAAATTATTATGTTGCTGATTATTTAAAAAAAACACATGCAAATAAAGCTCTATTTCAATACAAGTCAATCTAGTAGTCCACCGATAACACTCAAAAGTTTGTAACAATAACAGTTTATTTTGAAAAAGAAATCATTAACACGAATTTAAATAAAAATATCCACTTGTACAAATCAACGTCAAAAACAAGAGCCCAGCATTTACTAGCATAGTCGTAAGTAAGACAAAGAGAAAATATATAACAATTATTCGAGTAACAATATATGTAATTCTTACATATCCAAAATCTCGTCTTATTGTTTCTTCTTCTTTTTCTTCTTTTTTGCTGGCTCTTCCGGTTGTTCTTCTTCGTCCCCGTTATCATTTCCATTCGCTGCGTTTAAGCTATCATCCAAGGGGTCAGCTTGACGCTTGCGTTTTTTCCCAGCCAAGACTGGCGCAACAACTGCCTGCTCTTGGTCAATACCTTCCTCCGTGTTTTCAGCCTTTTTCGTATTCTTCTTTGCCTTCTTTTTCTTCCTGTCGGTGATAGTAAGGGCTGCGCTGAAAGATTCTTCTAAGGCTTCTTTCATCACGTCGGTATTTTTTCTGGGTACATCCCCCGTTTCATAAAACTTTAGACGCTCTTCTACTTGCTCCTTCAACTTTTCACCAAAGACGCTGGTTGGCAGTTCTGGACAATGGTATACAAAAGTTATGTTTTGAAATCCGATTTCTAATAATGCCTAATGCAATGAAATAAGGATAGTTGCTTAGTTAGAGAAAATTTAAAATCAGTGTTGATTCGGATAGGGTCAGTTTTTCCCTCACACTTTATTCGGAGTGGTGCATGCCCGTTCATCATGTTCAGGAAGGGTTTACATAAGCAAAAACAACTAATTTTTAAATTTTCTATCGTCTCACCTGTGAAACAGTCAATTCGGGAGGCAATTGTACATTTGTTGGCGAGAAATCTGGAAATTCGACCTTTGTTTGCAGCTCCAGCACGACCTATGGTAAACCATTAGCGAATATTAATACAAAGTTGAGTAATTCATATTACAATTCAATCATCAAACAGATTATTGTCATCAAGGCAATTATGACCGAAAGGAATATTATCAGCTCCCTACTCGGCCCCATGACAAGATTTTTTATATTGGCCCCGTTTGACATACATTAGCGATACAATTCGCTATTATACAACACTAATAGGGCCGTAGTACAGTAACAAACATTTTTCTTGTAATTTACGAACTCACCTATGAATGTAGAATGGAAGAGAAGACCGTATTTTGGGGTTTTGCCTCTAGTCTTTAACGCCCTGAACAGAGCCTTCTCGGCTCCGAGAATCTGGACGGTGGAGGCAGGAAACTTTGCCAAGTTAGTAAGCGACCCTGCGTGAGATATTAATCTAGCAGCTACAGTCTCTCCCAAAAGTGAGGTTAGATTTGGAGCAACACTATTCATTTTGGATTGAAGATACGCCAACAGACTCCTAAAATAAATATCATATTGCAAATATATTAAAAAAGATGTGTATATAAGTTGATATGATGTAATAGTTGACAACAACGATTTGTTAAACTGTGGATTTTGCAAAGTATCAAATGAGAATTAAATCGGCATTTGTAAAACGATAACAAAACTTTAATTTTGGCCCAAGGGAAAGATACAAGAGCAATCACAATGCAATTGTATGGCAAAAGGGCCCCGTTTCTTCGTAAACTTCAATTAAACTTTAATTATACAAGATTATTATGTAGAGAATATCTTACTTTCTGTAGTCTGCCAACTTGATGACTCTTCTCGCAAAGGCCTCGATATTGATAAGGTCGATGGGAGAGATGTCCATCCCCATCGAAGATCTTGATGCATCCAGCACCGCTTGAGCCTTTGCAGAATCTCCAATGATTTCTTCCAACGGTTCGACAGACTCATCCGTGAGCTCCTTTCGGTTCTTCACATAGGATACGACTCTGCAGTACAAGTGGTTATCTGGGACAATTTTGACCAATTCTGGGAAGTGGTAGGAATACCTGAAAAAATACAAACAAATTGAATGTTTATTGGCTTGGGGCGAGATGAGACGTGACAGGGTGCGAAAACCGGCACACATCCATCATTCCAGATATTCGAGCAAACATAAAACGACAAATAATAGTTTCGCTCTGAGTCATTTAATTTAATTATTCAAATTTCAATATTATTTAATTATTTTTTCAAAATATGTCGAGGTGGTGCTGGACGGCACCCTGATTTTACGGTGACGGAATCCATATGTATAAATGGTCTACTGGTGAGAGTATTTTTGAAGCAAAAGAAGCAGCTAGGCTTCATTTTAATTGGCAATCATCAAATCATGAACGTGGGGCAATTTCTTGTTCGGACATGTAAGGCACCCTGTTTTTATATTTACTTATTTTATTTTGTACATTATTTTTTACTTATTTCAGGAATCTGATGGATATTGGATTTCTCTTCCATCCTCAACTTGCAATACGCATCCCTGGAACAGAGACCTTTTCTGACCAGGATGCGACCGATATGAAGGGGTTTTGCAGGGTTTATTTAAAGGGTAAATCCAGTTAAATATTAGTTTTTAAATTAATAACCAATTAATGATAATATCATTCTAATAATTATGACAGATACTGTTGGACATTTGGCGAATTCGAAGGGATATTCTGGGCGACTTGAAGGAAGAAAGTTGGAATTATTGGCAGGGTTCCGTACTGTTCCAGAACTGGCCTATCGTGTTCTGGATGCTCCCGAGTGGCACACCACGGTCAAAAAGATGAAAATGGAGGATGGTGAGTCATTATAACCATAAATAACAATAAATCACACTAAATAACAAAAACTCCCACCTGTGTTTTTTTTTGCATAGATCTCCCAGCTGATCATTATGGAGTGATCCCGACCTTCATAAAGGGGCTACACAATGCTTCCTACAAAGGAGGTACAATATCGTGGACCCCGGATGACCTTGAAAAAGCTCTAAATGCTTACTTATTGCCAAATGTCACTCTCACTGATGCCATGAATGAGCATCAAGTACACAGATCAACTATTACTAGAGTATCGAAGGAAATAGTCGGATGGGAGAAAGGACGAGACAATTCAGCAGCGATCCATGCATATATCCTGAAAAAGTATTTCCACACGGCACCCTGTGCAACCATCACCAACCAAGCTGCCTCAACATCATCATCGTCGGTTCAAGAAGAGGAGGAACAAGAAGAGGAAATAATTCTGGAGGAATCAGAGAACGAGAAGAAATTAAAACAAGAAGTGGTCGAATTGAAGAATGAGATCACCCGTCTCAATAATTTGATTGAAAAGTTGGAGATCGAAAACGCATCGTTGTCCTGCTTTTGTGATGGATCTTTTTGATTAATGAATTTTATTTTTACTAATAAATAAATAAATGGTAAATAGGAATACCACTCTCTTATCCGCATGGCAAAAGTATTAATGTCCTTGTCCAACTGATCCAACAAGGCAATTCCCTGAATAATCATGTTATCTGCACGATTAACATTGAACTTGACTTTGGATCTAGAATAGGCATGTCCAAGGCCAAGTTGCGCTTTGCCACCTAATTATTAATTAACATTGATTAATTTGCGAATGACAATTCTAATTTAATGCCTGGTAAATAATTTTATAACTCACAAGCTTCATCAGTAAATGCTTTCACCATCTTATGAAAATGGGTCCGAATTCCTCTCGTAATTTCATTGATGACAGGCCCAATTCGAATTTTGATTTTGGGAAACACTTCTGAAATTGCAGCTCCCAATTTTGGCTCTGCCACTCCCAATACCAAATTCTTAATTCCCAAGGTTGATAAAAAGTTTTTCAAGTCATCTGCCAGTACTCCTTCCGTGACAGAGTTAAGATTTACCAACGCTGCTTGAGCCGTTTTGAAAGGAGAAAATGCGACATGACTGGCAATTGCAGAAAATCTACTGAAGTCGCGGATGCATTCTTCTACCTGTTAAAGTGCAAAAGATTACTTAATTATTATGCAATTTCCACATTTAAATGTTACCTTATGGGTAATTAAATAATTTATAATTGCAATCAAGAGCTCAGATTTTGATTCGGATATTTTTTATGCTTCATGGATCATCAGAGTGGTGCATGTCCGTTCATCATTGTCTTAATTGCTAATTAATTAGTACTTATTTATAAATAGAAACTCGGCTCACCTCGGCCATAAACATATTTTCCTCTTCAAACTCTCGAATCTACAAAGAAAAATCAAATTAGAGGCACGTCAAATAATGAAATATTATCAAGAACTATTTAAAACAGTGTTGAAACTTTGAAATACCTTGAAGATTCCAAAGCCAGAGGCATGTTCGAAGAGGAGGTGGAGCTTTTTCTCTCCCATCGTGGTTAAATTCCAAAATTGCTTTCAAATACTTGAACTTCTTAATTATGCATCTAAATAAACAAAGACCATTATGAGTTCAGTACAGATTGGGCTACATAATGTAGGCCACATTTAAACTGAAGTTCATATTTAATGCACTTATTTAATGAATTTTAGCATTTTGCAAAAAACAAAGTCGTAATTACTTACCTTGCTCTACACCCACGCCAACAAACTCGATACCTTACTTAATTATCCCCTATTCTTCCCAATTCCACACAATAATTAAAAATTAAAGAAATTGTGCTCGATCCACACTTAAATATTAAATGGAGGATCGAGAATGAACGGAGTTCAGCGTGGAGTTTAGGATGGAAGCATGGCTTTCACAAAAAAGCACTGCGTGCGTGGTTCATAGTCTCGTGTGCTCGCCGGGTCACGTTCACCGCGAGATTCACCCCAGTTGAGATTTACTTTTGACTTGAGGGTGAAAACAACTTTTAAATTCGTCACTTCCCCCATCATTTTATTTCTACTACAAAAAATTTCAAAAATAAATTTCGACTAAATTTCGACCCTTTTAGTCAAGACTTGTTAGTTGGCTTGGGAAGTGATTCACCAAACCGGTATAAAGTGTTTCAAATTGCAAGAAGCGAAGTTTGTAAATATTTTAAAGGTTCTAGTTAAAAATAGTTTTTTAATAAATTGGAGGTAAATTTCGTGCTCCGCAGGATTAATTAGTTTGGCCAAGTTGGTTTAAGATAAGGTAATGATCTTGAAGGTTGATTGTATTGTGTTGTGCGTTAAAATGAATAACTAATAAGGTTCATGAATTTAATTATTTTAGAATTGCTTAATTGAGAATGACCAGTCCTAGTAGTCAACCTCAAAATCGCAGGGGATCGATGAAGCACGGTGAAATATTAAATGTTCTCAGAAATTCGCCAAAAGGACAATTACATTATGACACTGGATGGGATGAAATGGGATATTATGCTGTTGCGGTATTACTTTCTTTTCACGCGAGTTTATTATTGCATTTCGACTTGAGTGGTATTTATACCATTTCGCTTTTATCTTAGAATTTGATTTCTACAACCCAAGCTGAGGAGGATTCTGTCAAAATCGCCGTAATAGAACGGGTGATCCGGTAATCAATATTTTGTTAGCTATTGTTTACTCATTTATTAAAATTGAATAAATTCTAACTTGTCGCTTCTGTGCCACATCAAGAGTAACAAAATGGTCTGAAGAACGTCAAGCATTACGAGACAGTGAAGTATCCCCAGTAGGAACAAGCAGTGGGAGTGGAAGTCGATTGACCCTGTGCGAGAATGGATATCATCGCCGCCGATCCACGAATAATAATGGAATTGATGAAGGTTTGTAAGATAATTAATCCTGAGCGTGTTGCAATCTTTAATCCAATTCATTTTTTGAACAGATTCGCCAGATTCACTATGTATAAAACCAAGACGAAGAGGATATGGAATCAGGGAGGACGAATATGATGACGAAGCAATAGAACGAGATTTTCAAATGCAACAAATGACTGATCAAGTTAACCACATTGAGGCCCACCTTCGCCATTACAATGTAATTAACGTTAGTTAATAATCAAACAATTAGCTGCAATTTAATTTATAATATGTACTAATTTTGTATCTATTTTGTTACTCATTCTCTCAGGAACGTCTTATTCAGACTGCAAATAAGAATAGTCAGAAACAGAAAGACAAAATCTTTAAGGATCTTAACGAGAGTTTAGAAGCACTTAACGTCAGTTTAGAAGACACCGACATTAAATATCGAGCAAACTTAAGCAGGCAGAGTTTACGGAACTTGGAACTTGAAGCTCAAGTCTTGGCGGATGTCTCTGCTAAAGAAACCCTTTGGCAGACTGAAAATGAAGCCCTTGATCGTGAATTTGAACTTAAAAAGAAACACAAACGGGAACAAAAGGCAAAAGAAAATGCTGCCGCACAAGCGAGGGAAGCTGCAGCAAAAGCAGCCGAGGAACGAGAACGTCAACTAAAAGTTCAACAAGAACAAGCCGCCGCGGATGCAGAGGCTCTCATTGCTCGACAAAAATTGGAAGTCGACGAAGCAAGAAAGCAGGAAGAAACGCTATTGGCCCAACAGGAAACATTATTGGCCGCAGCAGCAGCAGTAGAACAACAAACGAAACAAGCTCAATCAAAACCGGAAGCTGCCACAATTGGTGAAACTGTGCTTCCTGCCGCTCTACAAGGATTCATTTTGAAGGAAGACTGTGATAAATATATGCGATGCAATTCCCTGATTCAAAGTTATGAACATGCAACGAAGGATATATCTGCATCATCGGACAATTCCACCATCAAAAAATTTTATAGTGGAGCCAGCAAATGTATCAACACACCTTTAAATGCTGTTGCAAATACAGATCCGGGACAAATCTCGGCAAAAATTACACATTTCATAGACTTGATTGAAGGGAAACCGGTGTACGCTAGCTCTACAATGACTACTCCATTCACATCTTCAGGTAATAACTTAAAATAGCTTTTCGACAATTGCATTTAATCAGTGACAATTTTATCTGTTTTTTTAGTTCTTCCAAATGGAAAATTGTTCGTCATTCGCCTACTTGCCTTCAGATTTGTGAAGAAGGCAGAATCTGAAATTTTATCCGAGAAGAAAGGGTTCGTACCACTCGCCGCAATAGCTCAACGTCTTAGCAGGAAATTCCCAGAGTGGGGCTCTCTTGTGCAGGCGTACTTTTACAAATTATGCCCATTTTTAGTCCCCTTTAACCTCCCTCGAGGCGACCTGAGCTTGCAAGAATATTGCAACAGCTTAGGCTACGACTTGAAAGGAAGTGACTCTACGTTATTAAACGAAATGTTGGCAAGAATTAAAGGGTAAGCATCAATTAATCAATTGATCCGTGTACTTCAAGATGTACACACTTGTAATTAAAAATCCACATCATATTTATGTAGATACTGTTCGTTGTACGCAATAATGGTTCAAACCTTTGAAAAAAGTCAACAACTCGACATTGGAGATGCTACCTCATTCTTCACAATTGGTGGTGTTTGGGAAATTCTTACAAAAACTATGAGACTTGGTGAGCAAGATTTATTTTAAGCATTATTTTATCCTCTTTTTGTAATAAAATAACATCATAATACTCTCGTAGACCCTCAACCCGATGTGACTGTGATGGTCTATCAAACCCTACTGGAACTCTTGTCAGATAGACTCAAACAAGTATACGGACTGCAATTTAGCAAATTAATGCATGTTTTGACTTCGGGGTATCTTCCTAAGATAAATAATATAAGCGTAGGAGCATCCCAGTCAGGAGTTGTTCGATTTCATACATTTTTAGAAGATCAATTTCGTAGACGCTAAAAATAAATCAGATTTAAATATCCGTCATGAATGCAGCAATCTATCGTGTTTTAAATGCAGATCTGTAATTTGTAATAATATTTTTACATGACAGAAAAGGAAAGTTTTTTATATATAATTGTACCTATTATTTATTGTAAGTTGAGATATTATGCATTCATTCGATATTATAATTATTATAATGATCACTGAAATAAAATGCAGAAGAGATCGTATTTCTCTCATTACAAGAGAATTATCGTATTATTTGACATGTTTAGAATTTCATTTTATTATCCTACCTCGAAAAATTATAAAATTTTTTATTATTTGTTACCGAAAATGGGATGAGAGGAACAACGATTCAACATTCGTCCATTAATAATAAATAAAATAACCCTAAATTCCTTTTGCAATTGTGCCAAGTCAGGCTCGCTTAATAAGTTATTCGTGATCACAAACAAATATCGTGTGTCACTTGCACCTTCGCGTAACCACTTCGAACTTACTACCACATTATGACTATTTAAAAACAAATTTAAAGGTCAACTAAAATCAGGAAAACATATTTGAATACAAGTTTACCCTATATAATATTTTTAACTATTTCGATAAATCATTAGCGAACTTATGCGGCTACTTCCCCTTCTTCTTCTTCGTCTATTTCGGGTATAATCTCTTCCGATTCATCTTCAACATCTTCCATTTCTTCATCTTCTTCGTCATGTGCTGCATAGCTGGTTGAAGGTTCGGGACCCATCAACTCTTCAGGCATAGCTCGCTGTGGGTGAGCTTTGATAATATGCTCTTTCAACATCTTTTTCCGGAAGAAACCAACAGTTGTACAGTAGGGACCTGAAGCAAAATATTTATTATTTAGTATTCATGATTCATGTTGACCTTCAAAATATAAAATTTATTACATTTATAAGGACGATCTCCAGTGTGTCGTCGCATATGTTCGCGTAGGTTCATCTTAACGTTAAACGCCTTGCCGCAAAGGTCACAAGAAAACGGCTTGACACCCGAATGGATTAAATTATGTTGAGTCAGGTGATATTTTTGACGGAAAGACTTTCCACAAATCTGCATAATCAAGATACATTTATGTAATTATTCTCAAATACGGGCATTACATATGAATGGTGTTAATAGAAAATTCAAAATGACAATTTAAATCGAATTACCTGACAGGAAAAGGGTTTCGCCCCGGTGTGGACAAGAGAATGTGTCACTAACCCACCCCGCTGAGCAAAACCCTTGCCGCATTCCGAGCACTTGTAAGGCTTTTCCCCTGAGTGTGTTTTCATGTGTGTCAAAAGGTAGTCAGGAACAGAGAAAGCCTTTCCACACTGATCACACTCGTATGGAAGTTCTCCAGTGTGAACGCGTGCATGATAAGCGAGCATTGACTTGGCACTAAATGCTTTAGGACAATCTTTACACTGATAAATTTCTAAAGTAGTTCCTCCTCCCATCCCATTCCCACTTTCTTCATCATCTTCACCACCATTAGTTAAGAGTCTGTAAACGATCAGGGATACGACCTGTTTAAGGAAAAACGATTCAGTGGTTTGAGAGTCAACTTGGCTACCTTCCCATCCCACCTAGAGGGACTTCCGTCGGTCGGACGACCCCTCGTACTCCTCCAAATTTGTCAGGAACAGCTTGTCCATGGCTGTTGAGACGAACCACGGTCACACGTCCGCGAGAATCCATAGATCGGATCATAATTGGTGTCTTAGGCCCAGGCTGAACCAACTCGTAACGAGATTTCCACACTGGAAATAAGAAATGATAATAGTTCAGGTTCAGGCAATTAGAAATTAACCAACCATTAGACATACATCTATTTAAAACAAGCTAATCATAATACAATACTCACGTTGAAACATCTGGTCTTTGTAGGACTTTTTCTGTTCCTCGTCCAAAAATCCGTAATTTTCTGCCTTTGCATCTTCCTCCAAACAATTTGGTTTCGTCCTTGTAAGAAAAGTTTTGATGGCCTTCCGCGCCATAGAATCTCGCACTTTGTTAAACTGCTTGTGCATTGATTCAATGTTCTGACTCACAACGAGTAGCCCATCCATTTCTTCTGCACATTTTTGACAGAAGGGGAATGTATTTTCATCCTCCAAAGAGATTTGGTCACCCACGGAGAAAAATTCCAAAAAGAAATCCTTAAGCTGTTCACTCTTGGTGACTGAATTAGATGGATCGTTGATTGTAATGTCTACATTACAAATAATACAGCCTTGTTCGTTCCAGGGAGGATTTACTACTTCGACAACCTGAGTGACCTGCTGCGCGGCTTCTTCCACTTCATATTCCGCAACTTCGGCGGCGTGTACAACTGAAATTGTCGTGTCTGCAAGAATTGAATCCACAGCACTCCTTTGTTGCTCTTGTTCTACAACACGTACCGCAGCGCTATTTGCCAAATCAGCTTCTGCATTCATTTTCGCAACAGCCTCAAAGATCTGAGAATCGTCAATTATATCATGGGTTTCCATCGGTTCTGGTTTATGTATTACGTGCAGAACTTGAGTTTCTTCTTCCTCATGTTGTTCTTGTTGTTGTTCTATATGTATAGTTTTTGAACGAGGTATGGTCTTTTCTAATGGTGATGTCTCTTGCTGTATTTCTATGATAGGTTCTGAAATCTTGGCCCGCTTTGCAACAGGCATTGTTGGTTCGCTTACAGATTCGTCGTTTGATCCTGAGGAAACCCGTACTGTTGAACGATTTGCTCCTTTTCCAGCCACTCTAGAAACAGTAGGAGTAGTAGTAACAATTCGTCGTTTAGAAGCCTCTCCAACAGAGGAGTCATCCAATTTTGGTTTCGTCGTCTGTGGTGATGTTTGCTCTTTCCCAGGAGTTGTTGTTGTTGCTGATTTAGGCGATTCTTTTACTGCCTCTACACAATTAATTATAAATATTCCATGATTACAGTCAAACCTACACAATATGCAACGGTACCGATATGTAATAGAAACAAATTAAAATTACCATCAGGTTTGACAAATTTCGCTGCCGCAGCCATTCTTGAACTCATCCTAGAAGGTGGTGGGACCACCCCCTTTTCAGCAACACTTTTCGCCACTGGCGTCGTCACTGGATGTGCCACTGGGGACGATGTGGGGGTTGTCTTTGCTTCCTTCTCTTTATCTGATGCCGCCTTATCTGCAGCAGCCGCTGCTGCAGCGGGCGTTGGCACAACTCTGCGCCCCGTTCTCGTCATCCTCACCGCTGAGGCCGGAGTACTCGACATGATTAATCTGTTCTTCTTCTCCGAAGACACCAACTCTATCAAATAAAAAAACAACAATCAACAATCAAATTACTAAATTAAAAAAAATATGCAAGCAAATGAAATTCAAAATCAATTTAAATATTACAAGTTCAAATTCCACCATAAAACAGACCACTCCCTTATCTTCTTACCTTATCCAGCCACTCCCTGAACTAAGCCACCTTATCAGCAACGTCCGGAATTAAAAACGTACCGAATTAATTTTTTCTTCAATCTTTTGTTGAGAGGAAAAGAGTAAGTGAGCGGTGTTTCGACCGCCCAGCATAGAAAGTGCGGGGGGAGGTTGAGGATATGCAGTAACGACGACGAAGAAAGCCAAGCCAACTGTTCATACCTCCCGCTCCGTGAGATTCAATGTCTGCCCAAAGTTGAGAGAGATGGCGAACAATGGACAAATGCACTTCCTTCAACTAATCGACGCATTTCATGAGCGATTTATTTTATGGCGTGAAAATCATGCAATTTACAGAATGGAAGGTTATTTCGTTCATAATGTTGAATTTTGGCATGTTTTATTTATTGGTTGCAATCTTTGATTTTTATGTCTTGATTGTGGAATGTTTAAAAAATTTAGGATTTAAGGATTGATGTTTTGACTTTGAGTACCAAATTTCCATGTTATGTAATAAGGCTTCTTTGTTGTGTACGTGACTTAACAACTTAAACAAATGGGTCACTCTGAGTCCTTTTTTGTTATCTGGAGAAAATGTGGCTTGCCTTCTTCCTTTTGAGCAGTAGAACTATTGTGGAATGGTAAATATTTTGTGTGGATGATGACTAATTATTGTTGTCTTAATTATCATACACATGACACCAAAGTCATTAACCGTGGTAGACATTAGTTTGAATCATGATCCTGTGACTGCTGAATAGAGCAAGATTTTAGTGTCATCATAGATCATGTATATCTAGGATAATTAAGTTTTAAGTCTATTGGAACGACCACTTCATTCTGTGGAAAAGTGAAATATAAAGTTTTACAATATTTAACGATTGATTTAACCATGATTTTGATTATAATTTTGGGGATTTTCTTTGCGAGTGGAAATGGTACGGCAAAAAATTATTGAATTTATTAAATTACAAAATTTAATTATTATTTGTATCTTTTTCAAACAGCATTAAATTGCTTCGTATGCAATTCAGCCTTTGATGAAAATTGTGCAGCAAGAAATCCTCCACTTTCATTTTTAGTGGAATGCTCAGATCTCACGGCACAACCCTTTCCAATCCTGCATCCGCATCAGAATGTCTCAGAAAACGATAAACGAGCAATTAATTACAATAATACCAGCAATTTTAAGACTGGCAGTAATAATGAAGATGCCGATGGGACAGGCAGCACGAGTCGCAATTTCACATCATGCAGAAAGATGGATGTCACGATACCGGAGCAGGACAATGGAGGTTGGTGTTGGTCACGTCATTTCGCAATTATTTTGTGCAGTAAAATAAAATAAGCTATAAAATTTACTAGGTCACGTTAAGCACGAAACGGTGAGAATTGTTCGGTCCTGTGGCTGGCGGGAGAAACCGGAAACGGACGTTTGCAGAGTAATTTCGAGAGAAGGGATTATCAACACGCACTGCACTTGTCTTCAAGATGCTTGCAATCAAGGACACGTCTTCAGTATCCCAAACTATTTTTACGTCATGATAAGTGCAATGAATGCAATTATCGCAATGTTTTAATGGATACATGAAACATACATGATACATGATTTTTTTGTTAGAGAAGTACGCCGTTATCAATTATTTGTGTGCAATTAAATATGAGTCATGTGCAATCAGGTATCAAGAATTTTTTGAGGATTGAATTTCTAATGAGGAATAATTTTATCGATTAAAATCTTTTCATTTTATTAGACTTACCAATTTCATACCATCGATGTTACAAACAATTTCGCATATTATCTAATTTTAATAAATTCTGATAAATTTTTAAATTTTCAAGTAAGACTATTTTTAAAACATTTGATAAATTGTGAATTTTCAAGTAAGACTATTTTTATAAGATTCTGATACAAGCTAGCATTCAATTTTTATCTACTTTTAAATTGACTTGCAAATCTAAAATTTTTGATTGCTTGATTTACACAGGGAACGATAAGATAAAACTATTACTGAAAATTAAAACTAGAATATTATACTCTGCTGATGACTCGTAAATATTTTCATGCATTGCATTACTATAAATGCTTGAAAAGATTTCTATATAAAAATTCTACTATATGTAAAGGGCAAGAATCTAAGATCACACCTTGGTTGACAGTCATATAATTCCATCACATTTTGATAATATTTCAACGTCACCCATAAGCAATTATTCCTTATCATTAAATCTTACCAACATTGGAGTTATGCCTATACTTTGATTGCTTACATGCTGGACAAGAAGGTGAAAGTAGGTGAAAGTACGCTATTAAACTAACTCATTAAAAATATGTAATTCCTGACGAAAATTGAGAAACTTATTATTTTGACAACAAGTAGGTATCACACACTTGATTTAAATTATTAAACCAAATAATTGTTGTATAGGAAATTATAATTAAACTCAATAGAGTATTTATGTATGTATGTACCAATGTAAAAACAAGTAAAATTAAGGATAAGTACTCATCATATGTATGTATAACCACAATGTTAAACAGGTAATTTAATTACAACAGGCTGGTAAAATGGAAGCACTGCAGGCTTATTATTGTCAGAAATTGTTATTAAGTGTGAAGAGTGCCTTACATTTCCTTTCAGCATAATCTGCGAAATTGTGTGTATTGCATAATCTGTGTAATTAACTATGTTTCACAACTATAATTCTAATTTGCAGATTAAGTATTTATTATTTGGCGTGCGTTGACTATGTATGTATTACTTTAATTTCTCGATATCATCATCATTTCAAATATATTTTTTATCGACTAAATATTATGTAATGTGTGACTATAAACTATATTTTCGTCAATCTGTGTTACAACCCTGGATCCTCATCGTCATCGTCGTCGTGCATAATCGTGTGGTATTAATGAAGGTTTTATGGATGGACAATTATTACACTATTCTTTGTCCAACTCATTCTCTACTATTCATTCCATGTACTATCCTACTCTGTGCACTTTTATAACTTCCGGTGACTACGTACATTCGGCAAGTTGCACTATTATTGTATATGCATAAGTTCCATTAGGTTTTTATCAAGTCTGCTCCCCATTTCATCTATGGATCCCAATCTACTAAATTATTTCGTGTGTTTTTTTTAACCCTTTTGCGAGTTTAAGGACTGAATCACTCCTCCCACTGCGGGCAGGGTGGTGGTGCCCATGAGAAATTCGTCCACCTCGCGGGCACACTGGCGTCCCTCAGTGATCGCCCATACTACCAGTGATTGTCCTGGAAAGGAAGTTTTAGTTTTAGTACTTATCGTGCAATTTTCAGATCAGTCATGACAATGCAAATTACCTCTTCGACAATCTCCAGCAGCAAATACTCGAGGAATGTTTGTAGAATAGCGTCCTGAGGGTGTATTAATATTGCTGCGAGCATCCTGTTCAACTTCCAACTCTTGGATGACGCCGTTCTCGGGGCCTAAATTTAATAAAATATTTTCAATATTTTTATAATAAACAGGGATTTAACATTTAATATAGCTTGCCAACCTAAGAATCCCATTGCGAGTAAAACCATATCAGCCTTGTAGATCTGCAAAGTTACATAATATTTATGTGTAACGAATGTAAGGTGATTAAAAAAGTTGGTGAATTTATCATACATGTTCAGATCCAGCAATTTCTTCGGTTTTCCATCTTCCAGTCTCGTCCCTCTTCCAATCCACTTGCACCGTTCGGATACCTTTTGCATGAAATTTTTAAATTTAATAAGAATATTATTGTGACATGCTGTCAAATCACTTGGAATAGGACGAAAAGTTACCTGATATATGGCCATTCCCATCATCCAAAAATTCCTAATTTTTCAAAAAATAACAATGTTGTACTATGTTGATCAAGGTGAGAAAATAGTATATTTCATACCTTGGACATGGTCACAAATCTTCTCGGATCCTGACCATGCTTCACTCTCACCTAAACGTTAACCACGAAATTGTATGACTGATTTAATTAAACCCTCATTAAAATATATGAAATGGAAGTAATTAACCTCCTCATGGCCATAATCGACCTTGAAAGTTCTTGGCCATTGCGGCCATGGGTTATCATTCGCTCTGGATGGGGGTGGTTCGTGCTGGTAATACATAATAATGACAATAGTGATGTAAATAGTAAAGAAAATCATTTAAATTTACAGAAAATTTACCAAAATCTCAAATGTGACAATGGACTTCGCTCCCTGACGAAGTGAAGTTGCAATACCTACCAAAACCATAAATGAATAAAATTTTTTCACTCTGAATAAATGTTTCAATTTCCAAATTTATCTCATACAATCACAACCCGTGTCTCCTCCCCCAATAACGATAACGTCCTTCCCTTCGGCAGATAAGGGAACATGGTTGATGGAGTTTCCCATTTGTTTCTTTTGCCTAAATGAAAATTTATGTAATTTTCCCTTATTTTTACTGGCTAACTTTACATGTATAAATGTATTTCCTTACCAAGTCTCCAAGAAGTTCATGGCATAATGAATGCCATCCTATAACAAACAAAAATTATCATGAGTGAAAATACATGTAAGACGACTACACGAGAAATTTTTTCGTGGCTTTTTTCGTCTCAATGTTTTCGAGGATGAATATGTAAACTTACAAGTTGACGTCCAGGAATACTGAAATTTCAAAAAGTCCAATGTTATTATTCATACTCTTAAATATTGATCTGACGAGTATTGACAATTGACTATTACCTGAGATCTCTTGGCCAAGTTGCACCCATTGCCAAAACGATGGCATCAAATTCGTCGTACAATTCCTGACAAAAATATGGAGTAAAATATAAATCCGCAATAATTATTGACTCAATTATATTCGATACCTTTGCACTAAGGTCCTTCCCAATGTGTGCATTCAGTCTGAACTCGATACCTTCTTTCTGCATCAGTTTCACCCTCCGTTGCACAACTTCCTTGGATAGCTTCATGGTTGGAATTCCATACTGAAGAAGACCCCCAGCTCGGTCATTTCGCTACAAAATTCCAAAATCATTTGATTAAAAAAATATAATTAAACTTTTTTAACTCAATTCTATTGCTCTGTTTTCAAATATTTATATACTTGGTATTGCTATTATAATAAAGCTTGATACCTCAAAAACAGTGACCAAATGTCCGGCCTTATTCAATTGATGAGCAGCAGCCAGACCAGACGGTCCTGACCCCACAACTGCAACTTTCTTCCCAGTACGAAGCGTTGGAATATCTGGGATCATCCAACCCTTCTCGAACGCGTTGTCAATAATGGCGCATTCAATGTTCTTGATTGTTACGGGGGGCTCGTTAATCCCGAGAACGCACGATCCTTCGCAAGGTGCTGCGGACAAAATTAAAGAAAATAAACATCAGATTTTTGCATGTTAATGTAGAAAAATATTGTGAAAGAAATAAGTAAACACGTACCTGGACAGACTCTTCCCGTAAATTCGGGAAAGTTATTCGTCTGGAGAAGCTGAATATAAAAATGTATACGTTAAAATTTCTAGACGGAAAATAGTATGGTCATCAAAGACAAGAAAACTGTTAAGTCCTAACCTGAGCAAGGGCTTCCTTCCAATTATCTTGATACACCAGGTCATTCCATTTTGGAATTATGTTGCCCAAAGGACACCCATGGCTGGACTGGCAAAACGGAACCCCGCAATCCATACAACGTGCCGCTTGTGTTTTCAGATTTTTACGAACTCCTTGAAAGTTGTAGATCTCATTCCAGTCCTCTTGTCGCTTTGTGGCGTCGCGATACATTCCCTTCTCACGAGGATATTTGATGAAACCTCGGACTTTGTCGGGAACAGTTTCTTCAATGTCCTTCACAGGTGAGGGGAGCTTAACAGGTTCAGGTTGTTCCACGATCATCTCTTCTTCTGTAGACTTTTCTGCTGCTGCTTCTTCTGCCATTTGCTTCAAAGCACGTTGATATTCTTGGGGGAAAACTTTGACAAAGTGTCTCGCACTTCCAGGCCATTCGGAAAGAATTTTGGATGCCACGTTAGAGCCGGTTTTAGCTTGGAATTCTTTCAAAAGGTTGCCAACTAGGGTTATGTCTTCGTCCAGTTCGAGTGGTAAGAGATCAACCATTTCGAGATTGCATTTTCTGAAAGTCAATTTGTCAGACGTTATTATGAGACCAAGGAGGCAAAGTGAGATAATTGGAGGACTGGGGCAATGTGTGAAAATGAGACAAATGGGGTAGATTGAGAATATCTTACGACTCAAGGATCTTGTCAGGATTGTACACGTATGCAATTCCTCCACTCATTCCAGCAGCAAAGTTTCGCCCAGTTGCACCTATTGCAAAAAATAAAGATTCCTTAGAACAAAGTTTCATGAGAGTCTGTAAGGCCATATGTCCTCCTTACCCAAAAGGACGCACGTTCCACCCGTCATATATTCACAGCCGTGGTCACCACAGCCTTTTTAAATAATGATGCATTAGTTAGTCAATTACTTAATCATCTATGCAGCTAAGTATGTACCTTCGGCTACAGCAACAACTCCAGAATTTCTGACACAAAATCGTTCTGAGACAATTCCTCTAAAGACTGAAATATACCAATACATTTAAAAAATTGACATTCCTTAACTGTACTTTGCATTACCTAATTGTGCCAATCAGACATTAAAAATATGCAATACATACATGCTTTCCCCGAGGTGCCTCCATACAGACATACATTTCCAGCTATCACGTTATCTTCACTGTTCCATTCAGGACTCATTCCCTTCGGAGGGAACACAATTATTTCGCCCCCTGAGAGAGTTGACGGGTATAAATTATAAAACATTAAGGCATTAAGATATTTAAAATTAACCTGAGAGTCCTTTTCCAACATAGTCATTCGCATCGCCTTCCAGAGTGACGTGAATTCCCTTCGACATAAATGCACAGAAACTCTGTCCAGCAGATCCAGTCAATTTGATATTGATACTGTTGTCTGGAAGTCCTTCGTCTCCATATAATCTGAGAAATAGCAACAAATATATACATAAATAATCTCATTATCTCTCAATTTCTGCATGTTTTGAGTGCGTATATGTGCATACTTTGCAATATAGTAGCTTAAAGTCGTTGCGAATGTGCGACAACTATTTTCAATCGCCATTTCAATATCGACACGACTCTGCTTTCCCTCCAAGACGGGGGCTGTCATGGCCAATAGTTGATTATCCAATCTCTTCTCCAACTCAAAATCTTGAGGTACAGATCCCCCAACAATATTGACTCCGGGGCGCATCCACAACGCATTCTTTAAAAGACTACTGAAGTCGAGATACTTTGCTTTGGGGTGCTTTGATTCAACAACTTTCAGCATGTCTGTTCTTCCAATTAGTTCTTGGAAGTTGCGGACACCCATTTTTGCCATGTGTCGTCGGATCTCTTCCGCCAGCATGAAAAAGAAGTTGACGACATGTTCGGGTTTTCCTTTAATTTAATACAATTAAAATTTATACAATTAGTTAATTTGATTGATTAACTAATTGTAAGTTTGTATATCAAAAAGCTCATCCAAAGCATACCTTCAAACTTTTTGCGAAGAATGGGGTCTTGAGTGGCGATACCTGTAATACATTTATATTGTAGGATTATTCATTGCAGAACCAAAAATAATGTGCGATTTACTCACCCACGGGACAAGTGTTCAGATGACATTTCTGCGATATATTTTTTAAGGATTATAACAAAATGCATGAATTAGTTGAATGTATCTATTTTCTATTTCGTACCCTCATCATGGTGCACCCCATTACAATCAAGGGCGCCGTACTGAATCCAAACTCGTCCGCTCTAAATTAAAATGGAAATGATCACAAAAAGCACAATGTTATAAATATTTGTCAGCATTACCCAAGGCAGGCAGCAACAATGACATCGAATCCGGTACGAAGTTGACCATCGGCTTGGAGTACAATTCGAGATCTCAAATTATTGAGTACAAGCTACATAGATAAGATTGAAAGTATTGCGAATTTTAATTGTAATAATTTTAATATTTGTTGTACGTACAGTTTGATGTGTTTCAGAAACACCTAGCTCCCATCTGTAAATTAATTCGGTATACTAATTGTATTCACTCAGGAAAAGCATATATTTTCATATGTATTAGACATACGGAACTCCTGCAGATTTTATTCCTGGAATAAAATCAACCAAAATTGTTAACTACTATATCGATTAATCCCACAAGACAAGTAAATATGTACGTCTTTAACTTCTTACCAGTCCAAGAACTAGCACCAGTGCCACCGTCATGCCCACTTATCGTGATATGTTCAGCTTTGCCCTAAGTAACGTTCTGTATTAAAATCATGTATGTGCTAGTGGCAAGTTTTCTTATGTAACTTACCTTTGCAACGCCTGATGCAACCACACCCACTCCAACTTCAGACACCAACTTAACAGAGATCCTGGCTTCCGGATTCGAGCATTTTAAGTCGTAAATCAGCTCAGCCAGATCTTCAATGGAATAAATGTCGTGATGCGGTGGTGGTGAAATGAGACCGACAAGCGGCACAGAATGTCGGGTTGATGCAATGTCTTTGGTCACCTTGTACCAGGGAAGTTCGCCACCTGATGGATTAGTAATTAGAGTTTACTTAATTTCTGTAAGTCGTTAATATTTATGCGGACTGACTAACCTTCACCAGGCTTGGCCCCTTGAGCCATTTTTATTTGCAAGTCATCCGCATTTGCGAGGTAGGCTATTGTTACTCCGAATCTTCCACTGGCGACTTGTTTAATCGCACTCCGCTTGTTGAACATGGCATCCTGATTTTCATATCGCTCCGGATTTTCGCCACCTTCACCTGTATTATACGAAATTAAATATTTAGATCCCTCTCGCTTTATCACAGTCTCACATATTTTATTTTTTGGTTTCGAACCTGTGTTGGATTTTGCCCCAATTCTATTCATCGCGATTGCAAGCGTGGTATGTGCTTCATTTGAAATACTTCCGAAACTCTAAAAAAAACCTTGCTTAGTTAGCTATTACTGGATGTCAACCTGATAATTGACAAAAAAAGTGAATTGGATTATGATAATAAAGTATAATACCATTGCACCCGTGGCAAATCTCTTGACAATTTCGGCTGCTGGTTCAACCTCTGCAATATCGATGGGAACGTCGGAGAGGACGAGTTCAAGCTGACCTCGAAGAGTGCAAGATCGAACACTCTCCATTGCAGATTCGACATATTTGTCGTAGCTGTTTTTGCTATTGCTTTTAGTAGCTTCTTGTAAATTTGCAATGCTGAGGGGATCGTTAATGTGCTTTTCTCCACCGGCTCGCCAGTGAAACTGAAAATTTAGATTAAATTAGAGTATGATATCGTATTTAAAACATTACAAATCTCATGATATTCTTCAGGAAAATCAAATTTATAGCAAATTTAGTATATACCTGGCCGGGATTTCGCAAAACCAAATAATCGCTCTCACGGTCTTGATAGGTCAACGCGTGTCTGTCAAATGCTTCTTCCGCAATTACTTTAAATGTGACTCCGCCAATTCGTGACGCTGCTCCAATGAAACATTTTGAAATGACTTCGTCCGCAAGACCGACAGCTTCAAAGATTTGGGCACCCTTGTACGATTGCAGGGTAGAAATTCCCATTTTAGCCATCACTTTTGCTATCCCAGTTTCCATTGCGTATGAATAATTCTACAAGACAGAAATATGATGGAAGTGTTAAATTGTTACTCATGTAAATTTTTGTGGTTTTAGTCAAACCTGGAAAATAGTTTTGTCATCCAACTTCTTGTCAATGATGCCTTCACGGCGAAGACAACCTGCTGTCTCAAATACAAGATATGGACAAATCGCGTCCGCACCAAAGCCCAAGAGGACTGTAAAATTAAAATGGAATGGTTAATACCATGTTAAAATAATCTAAATGTTCATGTATGCACATGCAAAGTTGCTTACCACACATATGATGCACCTCACGAGCTTCTCCAGTTTCCAGTATGAGTCCAACCCTCATTCGCAGTCTTTCTTCAATCAAGTGAAAGTGAACTGCACCGAGAGCCAGAAGAGCACTGATGGGAACTCTGGGACGAAGAAAACAAAAGAGAAAGTTAGCACTCGTTCATATGAATTTTGACTCATGAGATGACAAATAAAGCAGATCTATTACCTATCTGGTCCAGCAAGACGATCAGACAACACGAGCATTTGATAATTATTCTCAGCCGCTGTACGAGCTTCTTGGCACACCCTATTTAGTCCATTTAGTAGACCCCCAGGACCCTAAAACAAGGAGAAAGTTGTCGTAAAAATGCTGATTGTTGTCTGACTGATACTATTTTTAAAGGATTATGAAATAGACTCACCTCCGTCTTGTCGAATACAATATCTATTACCTTGGTCTACAACAAAAGTATGATAAGTATCAGTTACATATATATTAATTGATTAATCTCATTTTTACCCTCCAACCCCTGTGTCTTGTCGCTTTCAAAACTTCCAAATCCGACAAGGACAAAATGGGTTGCGGCAAGATAAGTCGGTGACATTGTTCTTCAGACGGCTCCAACATATTGGCCTCAGGTCCTATTATTTTTTTACGCGATTCATGAATGAATGCAGAATCAATAATTACGCAAGAAGCAGAACACACGTACCAATCGGACATTGCAGAGACATGACAATTTTCTCTCGAAACGGGTCAATCGGAGGATTCGTGACCTGGAAATAAACCGTGAAAAAGAGCCCCAAAGAACATGTTAGATACTCCACTATTTAATAATTCAAAAGGAGGAAAGGCACTGATACCGCGTTGACGGACATGCTGTGTGTGTCTGACACTGTCTGAAACTGTGTGACCCTGCCCTCTCTCTCTCATCTTTCTCGTCTGTGGTCACTTCTTCACACCATCAGGTGAAAGGGTAGCCTTATCATAATCAATTTGTAAAAGTGGGTAACGCACCTGTGCGAACTGTTGCTTGAAATAGTCGTACATCAAAGGTTGGTATTCAGAGAGGCACGCGAGGGGCGCATCATTGCCCATAGACCCCAAGGCTTCTTTCCTGCAGTGCAACGTTAATTATCATCGATCCAGAAAACATTAAATAGACAACCTTCATTAACAAGTTATAAGAAATTCGTACTTGGTATTGATCATTGGGAGGACCTTTTTTTGAAATTTGTGTCGTATTTAGAATTGAATTGGTCGGCCGGGGATAGAATTATCGTTCGGTTACATGCAGAGAAGAATAAAATAGGCACATCAATTAGTTCATGTTTCATTAAAATAAACTTTTTACTAAAAAAATTAGGGTAATTTACTAACCAAAAGGTTTATAGTTTCAACAGTGTATCCATACATGCCAAGTCGCTTGTCAGCCGTGTATCGATAAACAACGCCTGCATAAATGTACGCCATTAAGCCAAATTAACTTAACTCAATGTGTTTAGGAAACTAGCTAAAAAAATACAAGTCAGTACCATCCGTCTCGTCCGTGACACCGTTGACATATCCATTTATTTCTGCGTCGGAAATGTCCACGCTGTAAGTGAGTCGACCAGTGTGAGTTTGTCGAAGTTCGTCTAAGGTGACTTGTTCCTGCAGCCAAGTGGAAAAAGGTCGGGATCTCGCCAACTGCATTTTAATCTCCTCGTCTTTTATGTATCTCTTCTCCTTCGTGTCCACGAGTAACATTCGGCCCGGTTTTAGTCTCGATTTGACCATAATGTTTGCCGGGTCGCAGTCGTAAACTCCCACTTCAGACGCCATGACGAGAATGTTATCCTTCGTAATGGTGAAACGAGATGGGCGCAAGCCATTCCTGTGGGAGAAGTATATAAGATTGATCATTAAATAAATGTGTTTAGGAGAAAAGCATGTAAAGGAGAGAAAAAATAATGAGAAAAGTTAGAATGCAGTAATCGTATCCCTTTCTTGTCTTGTACCTGTCGAGAATTGCTCCGATGTATCGACCGTCTGTGAACGCTAGGAGAGCTGGGCCTGTACACATGCACGTTTCATTAGACTAAAGTAACTCAAAAAAGTACGAAACGAGCTAGAAAATGACGATGAACGTACCGTCCCATGGTTCCATGGCTGGAATCACGTAAAATTATGTTAAAAGATCTTTATTAATATGGGGTTTTTAGCACTTTCAAATGTAGACTTTATGAATTTCTTCTACGTAATTAAAACCTTACCACAAGCAGCCCAACGGTAAAAATCTTTCTTCTCTTGTGACATGAGCTTGTCATTTTGCCATGCTTCGGGAACCTGTAAAAAATCCATTAAAATGCATTCTTGACTACTTTCTATACCATAAAATAATAAGGATGCTGCCAAGTCTTACCATTGTCATCACGGCCTAAATACAAAATCGATTAATAGAAAAAAATCAATTTAGTTGTGAATATCAAATTTCTCATTATAATATATGAAACCATAAATATACACCTCAGGCAATGACCTTCCTCCAGCTTTAACCAAAAACTCGAGAACACAATCGACAGACCCAGAATCTGAGAGATTGGGCTCGACAACAGGATACAATCTCTTCAGATTAGCTCCGAACATTTTGCTCTTCATTACACCCTCTCGACCTTTCTGAAAAAGTTATTAAATTTTGCGTGAAAATCAATCCTTGCAATGAATGAGTTTGCAATAATGGAATAAATAGTATTATAGTGTACTTACCATGTAGTTTACATTTCCACGAAGAGTGTTGATTTCTCCATTGTGTGCCAAGACTCTCAACCTGATACGTAACAAAAAGTATGACTTTCACCGGGGTTAGATAACCACCTACTCAAACAAAACTTACGGATGTGCCCGTTCCCATGAAGGAAATGTATTTGTGCTGAATCTGAAAGTCAGAGCATAAAATTTGCAAGCGTGCAAAAAAAATGTTCACAATTTAACTTTCTCTTTGACCATACCGAGTATGTACCAGGGCCAAGTATGTCTTGAAATCGGGGGACTTTAACTCGGGAAAGTACAACCATAACTAGCAAGAAAACAAGAAAACAATAGTTAGGAAAATGCTATATACAAAGGCTTCAGCTTGTATTTTTTCACCCACTTGTTCCGAAGTCAGTTGACCTTTGTAGACTATTGTTGTTGTGGATAATGAGCAAATATAAAATCGTGCTCCTGGTCTCGGAATTGTGTGAGTTGCTCGTTTCCGTAAAGCAAACACCTTTCACCCAAAACAATACATAGAAAACTCTATTATGTCGAATACATATTTGCATATTATGCATGGCAAAATGATTCACCTTCCGATCCAGAGCTTCCGCATCGGGGTCATCTCCAGTCACAAAAACTTGTCGAATAAAGGGTTCTGATCCGCGGGCCACTTCTCCAATCGTTCGGTTATCCGTAGGAACAGTTCTCCAACAAATTACCTGAAATTCAAACGAATTTTATTGTCAAACAGGAAAAAATATCCGAGTATTCTACGACCTTTCCTTTACACCCACGCAATATTAACCCGACACGTTATGCAAGATAACTTCGTTTCAAAGCGAGTTTTCAAACAAAGCCCTCGTTAACTCAAGGGTTCACTGAAACGTGCTTGAAAGCAGATTTATTTATCATTGTTTTATGATGAAATGGAAAAAGTAGATGAAATGAAACCCGAATTGGGAGTTATGCTGCATAACTTATACAACTTTTCCAATTTAATGGGGTTTGAATTTCATGAAATTGCGGCCATGCTCTACATTCATAGTCTTAAAAATTAATGGAATTTAGTGGAACCAGAAATAGTATAAATCGAATTATATGCTTGCTGCTGCTCCAGTTCACTGTTAAATATTAGTTGAGACGCGTTTCCCATTTATGTAGCTCAGCAGGGTTTTTAATTATTTACAGAGTAAAATAAACAAATGGAATACGCTTCACTTGAAATAATTTAATTTGGAAACCCATTTCTTTCCTGCAATTGCTTTGATCCTCAGCGTCTACTTGAAAGTCTAAACTAAATTTGAACACGGTTCCTCTGAGAGAACGAAAAAAAAATTAGTTTTTGTTCCTATATCGTGGAGAAAGCAGGCCTACTTATTTACGAGAAGAAGCTTTCTCTATCCGTATGCAGTCAAGCATTAACTTTCGCCTCATTCGTCTCAATTCATCATATTGTTATTCCAGACAGGAGAAATTTGTCCGAATTTTCATAATTTATCGAGTCCTCCTCACCGTGAGATCACACTCTTTCGCCAATGCGGCAAATAGTCCTTCGCTCTCCTCATGATGGATTTTATCCAAGTAAAAAATTCCAGTTGCATAACGTCCAAGTTCTGGCAATTCCACGTTTTGCTGGTCTCTGCAAATATGAAAAAAACAAGTCACAACGCTTAGCTTACTACAAATCCAACACGAGGTACGAATGTGTACGAGTCAAAAGTTGAGACATGATCTGAGTAGATGACACATTTTCTGCCTCCACGTGAACACGCATGCAAATGAGATTAACTTTGATACATGGGCAGCATGTGACTTTTTTTGGTTCAGACCATGCGACCTTATTATTACAAAAATTTGTAATTTGTTTTCGGGGTAAAGGAAAGATCGAGAAGACCACTTTTGGTTGACAAAGATCAATTTATGGGCAAAGTAGTATGTAATTACATGTTTCATTAAAAAAATTCAACAATATTTCTTTGCTGTTTGCGTATGTACGTATGTATTTAGCAGCATCAGAAGATAAGACAAATATTGTTGTGTCATATCCTTAGATAACAAGTTACGTAGACTGAGGAGGGGAGCTTGCGAGGTTGATAATAACAGATCCTGATGCCCTTTGGATATGTGGTAGGGTCCTATGTGTGTACTAAAACCCTGAAGTGGTTTAACTCCATGGCCACATTTGCGCCCGCCACACCCACTCAAAAATACCCAAAAAACGCTTTCACTCCAGGTTTCACTCATTCAAATCCACGCCAAAAATCCAATTTTACTCGGATTTTGAAATTTCTTTCACCATTACACTCCCAGATAGTTGCTTTCTTCAATCCAATGTCAAACTCAATTTTGATGATGATTATTTCGCAGGCATAATTTGCGTTGTGGATTACTACAACAATGCTCATTCAGAATTTTAAATTTTAAAAATACTAATAATTTCGAAAATATTGAGTTTGATATCGAATTGAAGAAAGCAACTATCTGGGAGTGTAATGGTGAAAGAAATTTCAAAATCCGAGTAAAATTGGATTTTTGGCGTGGATTTGAATGAGTGAAACCTGGAGTGAAAGCGTTTTTTGGGCATTTTTGAGTGGGTGTGGCGGGCGCAAATGTGGCTATGGAGTCAAACCACTTCAGGGTTTTAGTACACTCATAGGACCCTACCACATATCCAAAGGGCATCAGGATCTGTTATTATCAACCTCGCAAGCTCCCCTCCTGAGTTTAGCGTCACATGAAGTATTTACGGGAAAACACGTGCTTGCTTGAGAATCTTGACGACAGAGTTATGTAAAATTGACCTTTCTAGTCGAGTGTGCTTTGTTTCAACAAAAAACCAAAGGCTACTAAATAAAAGTATGAATGTGGACCCTTGCAAACTCGGTTAAACATATTAATTTCCTTAACCTTTCAAAATTAAAAACCTGGATTTTGAGACTGACACCCATAATTGTACTAATTTTGGCGTTTTTTTCACGTACCGAATTGTTTTTTTGAAGAACTCATGAGGTATTCCAGTCAGGACGCCAGCCTGGAATAAAAACGTTGTAAGTTTCAATAGGCTATATTTTTCCTGGACATACGAAACACAATAATTGAATCTTAATTAAATATCAAATAACTAAATATGAGCAGATATGAACTTTGGACAAGAGAAAGTTGAAGCCTCTTAATTGCGTCTGTGATTGATGATTGAACGATAAAACATACCCCGTCACCGGTATCATTGTCGCATCCAGTCGCACCTCGATGAACCATTCGACTCGCAACCATTTCTGCATCTCGTAAAATCTGCAATTGCATAAAACAGAATTATAGATTTATGGCATTAGGTCTGTCTGCTGAATGTTAGGTAAATGGTTGTTTAGTCTTCAGTTCAAGTTCTGAAGAAGCAATTATTTTGCTCATCAAATTCTTTGAAATGGATCATATTTTAAGCAAAGTTCATTACTGTTGAACTCATAATAATTTCACGCTTTTCAATTCTCATCCATCCATTGTCTGCGGGTAATAATTTATGGTCATGACTTCGTTAGAAGTCTGGTAATCTAATTTAAGTGACGATTTTAGAATAATGGGCATGAGTAAAGTTCAATTTCGATTCTCATCCATCCATTGTTTTTGGTCTTTGGGTTCGTAAGAAATAATTTATGGTCATGACTTCATTAGAAGTTTGTGGAAACAAAATCTGTGTTAGTGACGATTTTAGTCTTATGGGCATGAGTAAATTCTAACCCTTGACCTAATCGATCACTAAAAGCAGCACGAAATGCATGTCAATGAGTAATCGACATCAATCGACACTGCATAATGAAATTGATACAAGTGAGATTACCACTATCGCTCCCAACAAATAACTGGCTTTTTCGAGTCATATTTTTTTGTAGAGTCCAAGAAAAGTCAGTTATTTAGATATACCTATATAAATATAATACGAGCGTTTGTATGTATGGGCAAAGATGTCAAATTAACGGCTTGGATAACGACTGACAAGTTAACGATCGAGCATGTCAATGACCAATACTTACTTGACTAAAATTGGTGAGTAGACAAATTGCATTTGTAAATAAACATCTAGGCAGGAAAATGAGACACAAGTTGTATAAATATAACCAACCATGTGCAATTAGTATTTCCTCGTTCTTCATAAGAGTCCGTCTGCATATGTGTGCATTTTTTATGAAATAGAGCCAAAGTATTATAGTTCATTTATGACTGGTGTTTATTATATAAAGATCACAATTAATTGACATTTTGAGATCCAGCATGTGGCACCCAGCATACAGCCCCACCCATCTGAAACTTACTGTCATTATGACAAGCCCATCCTTATTTATACTTTTATTGTACATTGCGCACAATCGGCTTGATAATGGGCGACCTTTGAACGGGCAAAAGTCGTTATAAATATTGCTATTAATAAAGTCAAATAAACTTGACTAACACTAAAATACTACCCAATTATACATTGGAAATTATGAAAATAAATACATTTTTCATAATTTAGTAAACATATGTCGACCTATTTAATTATTTAATTACGCGGTGAAAGTGTCAAATTGACAGCACAATTACAAATGAGTTACATCATGTCATAACTTGTTGCAAAAGAAAGCACGATAATGACGTCTGCCAGAAAAATGCATGGCTACATGATTGTCGGAAGTATACCGGAACCAGCATATTTTTAGACCGGAATAATGTTTCGTCTCTCCGTTTACATATGTAACTCGGTCCTAATTTGAGAAACACCTCCGAATAAAACAGACTTGAATGCGTTTGGTGTTTATATTTAAAGCATACTTTAAAAAAATGCAATTTAACAACCAGCTGTGCGACCATTTGTCTGGGACTCGGTGGGGCAAAAGGGCAAAGTCTTGAGAAGATGAGCCAGGAATGATATAGAAAAAACTCCGAATGAGGTGTCACACCGATGAATGCAAAAGAATAAAGGGCAACGTGTGCATTCTTTCAAAAATATCAAGTAAAGTAAATAAAATATTTGCAGGAAAATTTGCAAGAAAATAATCATGTATACGATGTCTGATTGTGAGTGAAAGTACCATTAGTTATACTTAAGGCATGACAGGCAAAAAATGCTGCTGAGTAAACATAATGGCAAATATACCAAACTATTTGGTCTACCCGAAATATCACAATTCTCGCAATATAATAAAACAAACATACCTACATAACTTTTTCCCCACAAGTAGCCGACATAAAGTGAGATTTCATAGATGTACTCGAACGTAATTGAACAAGTACTTTCTCCTCGATCGTGTTGTTGTCAATAATAATAAAAATGTTGTTTCTCTTCACTATGTGAAGAGATTACAGTTGAGACATATGCACATACATATAAGCCGGCCTTAGTTATACAACAGAGAGAAAAATTGTGTTGGGAATCTCGGAATTACATACTTTCTCTCTGAGCAGCAGCAGTTGAGCAGTTCGTGATCACGTTGCCTCTTGCTGATGCCACTATTGACCTAGCCATAGCCCAACAACGTGCTGATGTGGTGAGCTGAACTACTTTCTCCGTGCAGAAAATTCAACCAGAAGTAAAAGGCTTCCAGTTGAGAAGCTGCTGGTTGGTGTGAAGCGACTATTTCTGGTCTCAAGCAGAGCACAGCTTGCAGTTCGGTAGATGGAAAACTTTATCCACCTCCAACTGCATTCTATTACGAACTTTATAGCTACTCTGTTCGTAGAGATGGTTATGAGCCCTCTGTGCCAATGTGACGTAAGTGATTCGAGGGAAATGCCAAGGACCCGGATGGAAACGTTATAAGGCTCATGATGCAAGATTTACTTTCTTTCTTTTACAGAAGATCCCCCCACAGATTTAAAAAGGATAAGAGAAAAAGACCTAAATTCCCAATTCGCTAAAAATTTATGTCCAATTAATAGACAGGTTGATAAATAATGCACCTTAATAACTAGCAATTTTGATTTTGCAGTGGTCCAGTTTGAAGTTGTGCCTACGTTAGTGAGTTTTTTGCCTTTTGTGTGCACTGGTCTGGTCTTTTGGCTCAAGGTGGAATAAAATTGATTAGACTGCGGCATTATTATGTTATGTACACGGGAGGAGAAGAAAGTAGGAGGCGAGGCAGACCATGCACACAGAATAAAATAATGCATGACCAAAATAACTTATGTACCAGTTTGCTTTCACTTCCTTCTCTTCATCAGCCCACATCTACTTCATCCCACAACCTGCAAAGTCAACGTCTCTCAGCAGACCTGCCTACACGTCAGCAGAAAAGCTATCACAATCACGTTATTCGATATGACTCCACCAAGTAATTTAATATCTTATGAATGGAAAGTATCCATGAAATTGAATATTAATGAAGATGCCGTTAAAATATAGTAACATGAGTATGAAAAAACAATTACTTTATGTCACTTTAATGTCATATATTATTTAGGTATTTATGTCCATAACCGAACCGCAGACGACATGTATAAGTTGGCACGTATTTCATTAGGAGGCTTAATAATGAATAATGACAAAAAATGCTTGGTTATACATATATGTACCACTTTCCTATTTGGTCTAGGATACAAAAGTAAACAAATTGACCACTACCACGAAAAACTTTGTGGTGGTGATAAGTATTACTGCACGAGATACGGAAATATATGTATGTTCAACGTGTGATATTCTATGCTTTCTATTGGAAAGAGATGAGAAATATTTGTATTATTATTAATGGGAAATGAGATGTCTTTTCGTCTCAAGCTGTCACGCAGTAAGTTAAATATTTGTTTGTTGGGACAACTTTTCCTTTGAACTTTTCTCATTTGATGTGTTCATTTCACGAGAACTGAACTGACATCCTAATGCTAATTCGAGTCGGTCGGGACTTCAAAACAAATTTTGAGAGAAAGTAAACTGAAACCGCTCGTGGAGCAAAATATCTGTATTTCTATTACTAAAGAGGATTTAGAGATACCTAAATATATGTCAGATTCAATATTTTTAATGAAAGTCATTCCTAAGAAGATCAGACTTGAAGCTTGCTCAAATTACGTGAATAAAAATTTTAACTTTTTCTCATGGGAAATTGAAGAAAATGCATTTTTTACCTTTGAGGAAGCGATACCATCAATTGACACAACGAAGCCAACTCCGCAAGCTTCCCGTTCCTGCTGGGGATCATAGAGACCCTCTTTTCGTGGACCTTCCCATGCTTCCGGTTTATTATTGTCACCACCGTTCACGAAAAAAGTATTGCCTTGTTCTTGTTCAGTCTCTTCTTGTTCCTCAATTACCTCCTCGGCTTCATCTTCCAATTCCACTTTCGTCTTCTTTTTGCCTTCCTCCTCACAAACGCCCATCATACACGAATAAATCCTTCACTTGGAGTACGTTCACACCACGAGTGGAAGTATTTAGTTGGTACTCTGGAGGAGTATGTATCCTTCAAAAGTATAAATTTCTCCCTTTTCCTTCGGGAAAAGTACGTATGTGAGTGCAGACCGGTCGACTAACGTAGAACAATTACCGGAAATATTGTGTGCCTACTTTTCTGTTCAGTCAGTTGAGAGTTGAGACGGATAAAAATCCTACCTTGTGTTGTTTAATAAATCAGAAACAAACAAATAACAAGCCAAACTGTTGTGTGTGGTGCTGTTGTTTAGCTAACTAACAAAGTCTACCAGGATGAATGAATGCAAATTATACAAGTTGCAAATTTTGGTAAATCAGAATAGCAAATGTTCCAAAGGATAACTTTTCATATATTGTATGCGGTTTAGTTGAGAATATTGGACAAAGTTGTGTGAGAATGCGTTCCAGAGGAAAGTTACAGGACAACTAAACACACTTTTGCAGCAGCCGAGTTATCATGAGACTTGAGTTTAGTTTGGGTCTCGAGTCTGAGCAATGGGCATGATTTTCCTGTGGTACGGGATGTAACGTAACCTCATGTTAGACTTGGACCAGACTATATCACCATCAACACAGAAACCAAGTCAAAATGTGTCCCCGTATGAAATATCAAATGTAAGACATTGGGTTGGTGTAACTGGAGCATCGACTTTGCTCCTCAGAGTTTCAGTAGCTTACAGAGGGGGCTTCGATCTTGCGCCTGTTCCAGTTTTCCATTTTTAAATTCTATCTCAGAGAGAGAGAGAGAGATCTTTCCAGATACATAATAACATGGAAAAGAGGCATTGTTGTGTATAGGGAAGGAAGTCGAAGAGAGTGAGTTGGTTGCTGGGGAGGGGGCGGAGAAGGCGACTTGGTCCGAATTCGGATCGAGTTACTCGTTTCATAGTTGAGTGAGAGAGAGACGGAGGAACATTTTCCTGTGAGATTTTTCGGGGTGGAAATAATAAGGTTAGAAAAAGGGGAGGGAGGAAAAGGAGACTTTGGAGAAAGTTGGGACAGAAATGAGTCACGTTTAAAAAATTTGATCAAGGGTTAAGATGAGATTTTAGCATTTTTGTTAGTCTCATGTCAACCTGTTACATGTTTAATGTTCGTTCCTTTATAATAAGTGTTGACTTTACCGTTTAGCAGGCAGAAATGGGGATACGATTGTGATGTTGGTTTAGGTAGTTGACAAATCTCTGCAAAGGATGAGACTGCTGTAAAAGGACATATAAACTCATTTACCCGGTTTTCGCCCTTCTTCTCTCTTTTCCGGGTATATCCATTTGTCTCAATATGCATGTAAACGGTGGGTGGGTGGGTGGTATGTATTGTAGGTGGTGAAAGGTTGAAGTTGAAGCATCATCAGCAGGACGAGTAGAAAGGCAATGCCAATTGACGAGATCAATATTTGGCAACGCATTATTATTGCTTATTTGCAAGAGACACTTTATCCCAGATTCAGCAGATAAAACAAAGCCAGTCATTAACGTAACTACAAATTAGACCCGAAGCTTTGAGTAATAACGAGCAATTACCAAAGCGAGGAGTACCATTTACAGTAAATCCTCCTAGTAGTTTTATAAAACTGGATATAATTATTTACTTATTTAGCATCAAACTAAAATAAAGTTGCACATATTCCAAGTTGCTAACAAATGTTTATATTTATATTGCAAAAACTAGACCCAAAATTGCAACTTTTTCATTAATAACAAAGTTTTGAATCGTCCTCATTAATAAAAAAAATCTATCTAAAAAATGTTACCTTCTCATTAATTAAACAAACACAATCCTCCTCATTAATTAAAAATTTCACCCTCCTCATTAAACTTTTACCTTCCTCACGCAAGAAAAAAAACTTGAAAAGAATTGGTCAGGTTTTTTTCCACAAATTCATGCATCCAATATTCAACGTGTTATCTGTATTCTGCGTCTCAACAACCTCTCTCAATTGACTTCCATTAAGCAAGTAATCTCATTTCCAATGTGCGATGTTCCATTCCATAATTCCAAGTCATAATTTTTTTATTAGTGGAAGTAAGTAAATCTCACACAAAAAAACTATTTTGGTGGTCAATAATACACGTTGTGTTTACTTACCTTATGTGACCTTCCTGCATTGACACATATGTAAATATGTAAGTATATATTATATGACATGATTACAGGGTTCGAGTACACCATGATGATGATCATTGATCATCATGAGCATGAGTAAGTTTTTATGGTTTATTTACTTCCTATGGGTGTATTTGGACTCGTCGCATATCTCGTCTGACTGCATTATGGACTTTAATACTTTTGTACTATTAACATTGACTCGAGTCAATGTTGTGTCGTCGCAATTTTCAACAAGTTACTTGTTATGAGAGACAGACAATAATTCCCACGAGGGAGGAAGGATGAAATCTCACATGCTCGCCGTGTTTATGTTTACGTGCTCACCAGCCACTTACTTTTCCTGTAATGACAATTTCATTAATGAGATTGGATCCACTTTCCGGACTTCGAACCCCACGATTAAAGGACGTGCATCCAATTGACCTAAGACCTGTTTTTATTTACGTCCTTTCATTCCATTATTTATATGCTGCTCCCTCCTCCTCGTCCAATGGTGAATTTTACATATGTATAAGTATTTTATTAGCATATACGTTCATTGCCCACCCGACATGATTTACATTACGCTTAATGAATGAGTCTACTTCACGTGCTGATTTGGCTGGCATTTGCAAAATTGTATAATCACGTCGCTTCTGGTGGTGATATTCCATGCAAAATTTCATGTGACTGAGCACTGACAGAAGTGACAGATTTCCATGGACCGATATGATGATGAGAAGGAGGATGAATAATGTATCCACGAGTCTGAAGACATCTTTTTTTAGTTGTAGTAACTTGGTACGGATAACTTTTTGAACTTTCAGTTTCTTGTTCTTCCCTAATTGCAAATTAATTGCATGGAATTGCGTTCCGCACTAAAATCAGTGACAATAAGGATAACTCATTGATTCAACCATTCATTTTTTCATAAAATTTATTACTGGCGAACTGCAAAATTGTCAAGACTTTCTGCACAGCGTACTTTTTTTCAACCTGATAAACAATTCCTCATACACTATGTATACATATTATTAAGAGATTGGATAATATTCTGTGTATCCTGCCATAGTCATAATAGGTTTCGTAATGTATGTAACAACTAAATATTTTTACACAAATAATAAGTCGTTGATAATAATAATTCATATTTGTAACTTGGGTAAAAATATTATTTGTTCTGTTCTTCGTAATCATGTATACATTTAAGTACCTTAATAGTTCAGTATATATGGATTGAATAAGTTGTATATTTGTATTTATTCATGTAGTTCATTAATCTCAATCTCAACCCAATAACAAAATTGGGTACAATATATTTCTCGGATTTAAAAGTTTCCATCCTTTATCTATTAACGAAACATAACGTATGTAAATAAGTAATATATAAATTTCTTCCCTTTCTATGTGTACAAATGCATAATAGTAAATAATAAATCTTTATTTAAACTTAAGTTTGCATGTAATTTCCTTCATACCTATGTAACAAATTGTCAAATAAACATTGTCAAAAATTAGCAGCACGGTTACTGTAAAAATGTTGATTTTGTCAATGAATTAATCGTTAAAAATGGAATGATTTTTATAAGAGTTTGGCATGTCGGTTACAATTGGGAATAAAGAGCATGGATAATTTTTTAGAGAGATTATTAGAAATCTACTGCGCGGTTAGTACATACAATAAATGTCCCTGCAATTTTCTATTGGATTAGTAACGGTTAGGTTAGGTTAATGAGTACAAGAAGAAACGAGAGATTTGTACAAAATTTGTTCGATTTGGAGATTAATACTTCTTAATGTGTACGGGAATGGATTTGTCATGTAGGACAATTTGACTCGTTTCATTATTATCTTACGTACTTCACATCCAAAAATTGCATCATTATATCATCATTGCTTAATATTTATATAGGAAGAGGCAAGAGTCGTGGTGCTTCCATTCTTTCCTCATTTAAGATCCAAAAGTATTTTATATAAAATATTAGGAAACATTCACCAGCACATGTCAATCAGATTTATAGCTTGCGTTGATTGATTGGCTGATACACGTAAAATTCAAAAGGATGATATGAGGCACATACACTTTCACTAACAAATTAAGTATTTCTTCACTATTAAAATAAAAATGTCTTCTCATTACCTTGCAGTTTGCACGCATGTATAATAGATGTCTGTTTATTTGTCTGTATAAATAAAATTTTCCTAAACTACTTCGCCTGCTAACTCAGAGCACAGGAAAAGTTTGAGATGAGAGAGAGATAACAATAATAATGATATTATTGAGAAAGGAAAAGTACTAGAAATCTAATTATTTCCACCTGCAGTAGTAGGAGTACCAGGTGGAACGGTTTCTATTTCCCTCTGGGCTTTAGAAACTTTAACTTTATCCTTTGGAGTTTCCACTTCTCCAGTTTCCATTGCAAACATTTTCATTTTTTCTTTAAATGACAATTTTTCAGGCTTGGGGGTTGAGGCTGGTTGTTTCTGCTGTTGTTCGGCGAGCCGTCGCATCCTTGGGTCCTTGTAAACTTCTTGTGCACCAATAACGCCTGCAAAACATGAGAAAATAATTAAAATCAAATTTATCCAGACAATTTGGGACTCGTTGCCTAAAATGCCATACCAGGCGTGCTTCCGGTTGTGGGCGTTACGGCATCGGGACTTCGAGGACTGGCGAGCATGGCTGTTGCTTCCGTGAAAAATTTCTGAAAATATTTAATAGAATGAAATCAGTAAATGTAACCACTTAAAATATTTAGTTTGTGATTATGGTATTTACATTAGGATCCTCCCGAACTTTCCCCACCATTTCATCTTGTTCTGGTGGTGTTGGTGGAGGCTCATTAGTGGCAACGGTTTCATTGAATGAGACTGTTTTCTTGTCAGACCTGGGACGAGGAGAAGTCTGAGGAGGGGAGATTTTGTCGGGAGAGTTTGAAAGTGGGGGTGGCCTGTAGAGAGTGGGTGGAGGGGACTTTGGCAAGGGTGGAGCTGCTGCAGTGGTAGGACTTAGATGATAATGTTGGGGCTGTTGTTGATGGTTCTCCATAGGATAAGGATTAGAAACAGGAGAACCCAATTGTTTCGGGGGGTAGGAAGTTCTATACGGGGACTGATATGGGAAGCTGTGTTGCTGCATTTGACGCTTAAGCTCTTCTTCCTGTAGGAATAGAAAGTGATACACAAAGTCAGCTTGGTTAAATTCAAAATAATTATTGGTATACAATTTTTTTCTGAAATTGGGCTGGGCTTACCCTTCGTTTGGATGCTTCTCTAATTAATCGTTCTTCTGCAGCTTGTGCAGCCTATATTGAATAAGATTAAATTTTTAAGATATTTAGATTTGATTATAAGTAAAGTATTTTTACCTCAAGCTCCATTTTCTTCTTTTTCATTTCCTCAATCTTCCGGGATCGTTCTTCCTCCGCGTGATCCAACCTTCCACCACCATTCGTTGAAGTGATCCTCGTCTTGTCGAGATCTTCTTGTAATCTTCTAATCATGGCTTTTCGTTCGTTCGTCTCTTCCTCCTCCTCCTCGTTCTCTCCCTCGTCATCCTTCCTGATTTCCTCTGCTGCCCTGCGTTGAAACTCTCGTTCCTAAAAGACAATTAACATACAAGTTAAAAACTTGATGAATAAACGTAAAAATAAAATTCATATTAGAATAAAATACATCATTATCATACCAATTTCAAAGCTCGTAACTGTTCATCTTGCGACGGCGATCGATTAAGTAAGCTCTCTAATTCTGCGATTTGCTGATCTCTCCAGTATTTTGCTGCCTCCTTTTTCCTCCCAGCTTCCACCTCTTTGGCTTCTCTTTCCCAAGGGTTTGCCGGATTCAACGGACTCTTAGGAATGTGTCCATTATTTAAATATGACCCTCTTGGAATTTCTCCTGCACTGGCAGAAAATTGGGTCTGATGATGTATTACGCCACCAGGAGACATGTCACCCCCCAGATCACCAGGTCTGAAAGGTTTGGGAGCTGGTGGGGGGCCACTACTGGATAGCGGTCTCTGACCATGACCAGGGTGCATTGGACGTTGTTGTGGTTGTGAGGGACCATATCTTGATAAGTAGTTTTGTTGTTGGACTTGTTTGTTCAGCATGATTGCATTCCGCTCTTCCCTTCTTCTTAGTTCGTCCTGCATCTCCAACATTTTTGCTTCCTGTCTTAATAAATCTCTATTAACTCCTTGCTGAGGATGATGTTGTTGTTGTTGTTGCGCACGAGCCCAATTTAGATTGCCTGGCACGGACGTATTCAGATTTGGTGGTGGTGGTCTTGGACCAGGGTAATTGCTGGGACCATTACTACCAGGATAGTATTGTCCGGGCATAGGTTGATGTTGGCCTATAGGACTTCGAAACCCGGAGGATGCAGAGGAAGAAATATTGCCGGTAGAATTACTATATGGGATATAAGTTCGGACTGGCACATTAGCTGGGTGCGTGGGGGCTGGGGGAGGATAAAATCCCACATTCTGATAAAATCTCTCTGGTTCTTCAGATTGCTGGTGAAGAGCAGGAGTCGAGGGTTGTTTGTGAACCATGTCCGGTCTTGGGTCTAAGAGGCTCTGAATTGATCTGTAATAATAATAAGAATTGAGTACACATTTTTGAATTAAAGACTACAATGAGCATATCTGGTTTTAATCTATATTTACCTAGATCTCGGATGGTGAGAGTCATGGCTATTTATCCCTGGCATCATGCCACCTTTTGACGAAGATGGATGCATTGTCATCGACGCGGAGGGATAATGCTGAGCGTAAGATCGTTGTTGGTCATTATGATGAGCTCCGTACGGCGCACTTCCACCATGTCCAGGAGATCTGACCATTGGCTGGACAGTATTGGGGACATCACTATTCAAGGCTGGGACTGATTTAGAAGCCTGAATTCTTTGTTGGTTTAGTGGATGTCCGGGTGGCAAGTGACCGGAGGGATCTGTAAACTCTACTTTTGATGGAAGATCCCTTTCACTCATTCGACGGGATGCGTTAAATCCACCTAGAGAAATTAGATTAGATTTTAGTACAATGTTTCATAATTGATCACATGTGCTAACAATTAAGCTGAAATTATAAAATAAAAGCTCATGCAAAATAAATTTAGATACATATGTAAAGTATTTGTTAAGTAAATATAATGTCATGTCATGCAAGCATATGTAAAAATTATATGTAAGTTAATTGTTAGATTCTCCTAAAATAAAATTAAAATTAAGCCATGTACAAAAATAAAGGCGAGATTTCGTTCAACTCAAAAGCAGGCAAAACGTATTGTTGCAGTAATTCCAGAAGTGTATCTAGAAGAATAAATATTGAACCAAAAAATATTCCAAATTCCCATTCCAACAAAAAATCTGAAAATAACGGTGACGGTGTGGCAAAAAATTGCTTGCTTTACTGGACTCGAAATGTAACAAGAACTCACAAGGGGACCCATCAGAAGAACTATTATTAGTAGTGTCTCCTCCATAGTAGTATTTATTTGAATCAAGAAATTTCATTAGTCTGGAAGAACCCACAACTTTTGGAACGCCGAGACATGATTCACTCAGCCCTTTTCTACTCAGGGCTTCAAAAGACTTCCAACGAGCGAGTGAACTATCGCTTTGAGAGGGTCGGATAGTTGTGTAAGGTCCACTATTGACACTGAGAAATCCTGACATCTCCGTCTCTGACATGACACCCCCAGGGACGCCGCCGACACCACCACCACCACCAACGGCATAACCCACACTCTCAGAGTAGATAGAGCTCCAGTAGCTGGAATCTACAAGGTCCTCCTCAATCTCATTAATGTCCTCCACATCAGAAGTAGTTTTATCCTTATCAAAATTTTGGTTGTAGGTGGACAGTTTAGTATTGTTATTAGGTTTGGTGGTGCAAGAAGAAGAAGAAGACGGTGAAGGTTCAGTATTACTCGAGGTAATTGAGTGATCTCCTCCTCCAGTTTCGATATCGGCAGCAGCAGCAGAATCCATCAGGGGCTTGTGGAATACAGGGGGCACGCGAGATCCTTTGCAATTAGTAATGTTACTCGTAGCAGAAGCAGTTATGGGATTTGGGGGCAAGGTTAGAAGCTGATTGTCAATGCACCGCAGAGCGTCTTGTTTGCGGATGTTGAGATTAGAGTTATTCACAACGTGTTGTCGTTGTACTTCGAAATATTTGGTGGGAAGCGGTGGTGGCATTAGTAGATTCTTATTAGGATGAATTAACGTGTCTACTAGCTCGCTTTTGTCTAATGTGACATTGTTAATATTCCGACCAGTCCGATCATCGTCGTCATCACTGTCGTCCGAACTGGCTTCGTCATCACCATCATCTAGTACATTTATGTCGACGATTTTGCCGACGCCCTTACCTCGTGAGATTTCTGGGGATGGCTGATTCAGCATGGACGCAATTCCTTGATATACAGCGGCTTGCTTGGCTACTTCCAGGGTGACTATTGGACCTGTTCTCACCAAGTACTTTGCAGCTCTAAATTAAATATCGGAAGGTCATTTACATAATTTAAGTCAATCATTTTTTTTAATTTAGGAAAAAATAATTATTCTTAGATTGATTTTGCACTCACTCTTCCTGCGAAATTCCGACAAGGCTTTGACCATCCACGCTTAAAAGTTGGTCTCCAGTTGCTAATCGCCCGTCCTGAAAGGTAGAAAATTGGTCATTAATTTCATAACCAAAAAGCCCCCTCGTGTTCAAATGCCTCATTTATTTTTTTGAAGTGAGCTGTGAATTTTCTTAAATTTTACCAGTTTTCAATTTTCCCTAAATTAATTTTAAATTGAACTCGACTTCCATGCAAGGAGCACATACATACATAGTTTGCATGAGAATTTGGTTGGAGGAGAGAAGAACCATAACATATTGTTACAACCATGTTTAAAATTAGCTCGTAACACGCGATGACATCAAAGCTGTCATTAAAAATTGCGATAAAGTCAAGTCAAGATCTGAGAACATGACATATTTCTCCCGAATTCTACACCCACTCAGAGTCTAACCCCGACGTACAAGCCTACTTAAATTGCTCACCAAATTCTAAGAACGCTGCATGACCATATACCACGCCACTTTATTTGTAGTCGGTTCTTTTATGCCGAAATTTCGTATGTACATACTACAGTAAAAGGTAAAGCTTCATTCGGAAGGAGGAGATGTCACATTTATAACGACGGGAGTGAGTGGTTTCCCACAAGGAAGGTCTCCACTCACGACATGACGACATTCTATATTCACACGGGGTAATTTCACACTGGACAACAACAAGTACTTAATGTAATCTAATGTGCCATGAAATGCATGTCTTTATATTCTCCGAATATCTACTTAAGCTCAACATAAAATGGGTTCATCCTCCGTGAATTTCTTGTCCGTACATATGCATACATACTCGATTGCATACTACATAAGCTACACGGGTCAATTCATTTTGCGTCATAATTCTGTTGCTTATAATATTAGAATAGAATAGATTGATGATACAAAAGTCAAAGGCCTTCTTGCCCGTGTGTCGGTCGGTCGGTGCGTGGAGAAAATACCGTACAGAAAGGTTTATCGATTTGGTCGGAACTTTATTAATTCACAGCTTGATATTGTTGCTACATAAAGTGGGTTGAAATTGGAGAAGCCAATAATATTTCCCAGATTTGCCTTCGTTATTTAACCTATTGAACGATTTAACAAATATAATGTAATAATTAATGAATACTTGATCAAATAAGGCAATTTTCAGGAAACTACGTAGATATTAAAGGAAAGGTCCATTTCATTAAAAAGTCAGCCAGCAAATATCAACTATCTCTCAGAGGAACGATTACCTAAATATCATAGGAAAGGTTGCAAATGTCATCCGTGCCGGAGCAGGGTCTTATTATAAGGGTATAAAAAAGCACTCTTCTAAATATTAAGACGATTATTATTTTCTCAAGCTAGTAAAAAGTGGGATGGGCCGGATGACGAAAAGTTTCAAGTTTTTCGAAAGGATAATGCAACTTTACAAAGGAGGGCCACGCTTGGCTGAATCCGGTGTGTGTTTTGATGCATGTAAAATAAACTTCATTTTATTACCAAAACCAAAAACTGTTCCCTCGGCTGACTAAAAATCAAACCTTTTGCTGTACTTGTTCAATATTAGTATGCAATGCAACGTGAATTTTATTCCCTGTTAATAATGCTTCTATTCGTCTGGAAAAAAGGTTTAAATTAGTAATAATCCGTGAACTGATTGACGGATGACGTGATACATAAATATTACCACAAGTTTTTTTTAAATTCGGGTGAATTATCAATCGTTTCATGCTTGCGCAATTATTATACTTGAAGTGAGTTAGTTATGTGCTGTGCGAATGGAGCTAAACTCACGAGAAACCCTAGTCTCAGCACAAGGTACTTCAGGAGGCCGTAGGTTTAAGCTCCACCCGCACAGTACATAACTCGTTCACTTTATGTATAGCAAGGTGTAAAAGAGTTGTTAAACTTTCAAGTTCATGAATTGCATAATGATTATTTTTAAATCCATATAACGTAGTCGGTTAATAAATGCTACAAATTTTATCGAGTATACAGGAATTCGAGCAACTGATGATGTACTAAATATGTAAGTATTATAGGGAGCAAGAGATGCATGAAATGAATTTAATTTTTAATTTAATCCACGAACAGCAATGAACTTGCATGAATTTCATTGTTGAAACTTATAATCTTATCATCTCATCATCAACATAGAGTTCAATGTTTATCTAAATATAATAAATTTTATAAAAAACGTTCAATTACCATATCTGCAGATCCATTTGAAACAACTGACTTGATGTAAATCCCCAGCTTTTCTTGACCGGCGGCCTGAAATAATCATAAAAGAGAAAAATGTAATTAATTTATTATTTAATATATACTTCGCGAGAATTATGAATATGAATAATAAATAATAAGAGAAATTAGGGTGTGTGAGATTGATGTTATTCCGCATGACGGAAGTCCTAACACACCGCCTGCCGTTCTTAAAAACATTTAGTTAGTTCTTTTCACAAATATTTAAATACGATGACTTGTTGATACACAATATTTTTGCTCTGGTTTAGTCTCATAACAAGAACAAAGGCTCATAAATACTTGGCATTAAATTTAAGACGTCTGGCTGGCTGGACGGAATATGCTCTTTAAATTTTAATATTGCGTGTTGTTGATTACCCAGTTTGCTTATCATTGCAGTAGGAATGCATATGTATCAAGTACTGTACATGCAGTAAGCGCAAGCTTGACTTGAGCACTAATTTTTTTTAAATCTTGCTGCAGAGTTCAAGTAGAGGTTAGACTTTTGAAAAGAAGTAAACCATATAATTCCCTGAAAAAATCTGGTCATAAAAGTAATACAAGATTTCATATTTTTTATTTTACAAAGTACCAGCAGACGGTAGAGGTACAAAAATATAACCACCATGTCGGGCTCAATTCGTCATCTTGAATTGCATCCGTCGTGATAACTAGAATAGTTAGCTACATGTACTCGTATGTAGGAGAGGGGAGCTTAGAATAAACAAACCGAGACCAACTATGGTGTCGTAATTTCAACCAAAACCATAACTAAAAGTTGAAAAGTTATTATGGTTTAGACTTGAGGAGCCGTTCGGGTTGTATCAAAATAGCAAATGAGATGTTCTTCTACCCTATTCGTACGTAACAAACATTGACTTTTCCACGTTATGCAATTTGAATGTCCCTACAAGCAAGGTAATTTTAGGAATTGTATCGATATTTATTATTGGCAATTTCTTGGGAGATATATTTTCGGAGGGTATGTAGTATGTGCTATTATTGGTATTGTACGAGCAACAGCGGCGACCATGCGCTAAAAATAACGGGAGGACAAAGCTATAATTTATATCGTGGTGACCAGTGACCACCATCTGTACCTCATCACTAATAACGCGTCGTTGCTGTTCTTGACCAACAGTGAAATAGATGGGATCAGGTTTCGAACAGTCCACACATGACATGGCAAAGTCCACACTTTTGCGTTTATTCATCTGCTGCAATCTCAATTTGCTCAAACGAGCTTCCAACTCTGCTATTCTGAAATTCTGACTCTGGATAATGTTGCTAAAGTCTGTGAAATTAGAATGGAAACTGATGCTGGTTGAACTCGCGTTATGGTGGTGTTTAAAATTGTCATTATTATTTTTGCTCATCTGCTCGTGCTGGTGTTGAAGGTGATTCTGGTGAAGAACAAAGCTTTGCGACACGTTAGACGGTTGTTGGTGAATATTATGATTATGTTGATGGTGCTGATGCTGATGCTGATGATTGGTGCAGGTTGCATTATTACGGTCCAAAAGACCACCATGATGATGAAGATGTTGCACCATAATTCTATGTCTGGATGAGGGCGAAGGTTCTGCAAAACTGAGAGGGCGATCCCCACGGAGCTTGCGGGGTTCTGCATAGCTTTGCGGTCTGCATTTCTTCTTCGGAATTGGAATAATGGTTCTGTCTTTCACCACGATGCAATTAGTGGAATTATTTGCGGTAACTGCTGCCAGGGGTGAACTTGTGGTGGAAGTGGTCATATAGCTGCTGACATGTGTGGAGTTGCTAGTATTCGAATTGGTAGTAATTAATGGAGCGTGATGATGATGGGAATGGCCATTCGAGTTGGAATGATTTTTAGTAATGTCTCCATTTCCTAGTGGTATTGTCGACTTTGCTGGCGGATGATGCTTTGATTCAATAAATTCATCAGTATTTCGACCGAAACCAAAAGTTCTTGCTAGTGCATTGGTACTTTTTCTGACACTGCTAATCTTGTGGGTGACGGAAGGATTCACGTCACGATGGTGGGAATGATTATCAACTCGGGTGGTGGTGGACTCAATAGCGACTTTCTCTCTGAGCTTATCCCTATCTTTCTCCTTTAACTTTGATGCTTTTTCCTCCTTTCCTCGTCTCTCTAGTACGACATCACTCCCACCGTTGCACTTTTCCTTGACCCTGCTGCTGTCGCTGATTTTCACTCGTTCGGCTTTCTTGGAATTGGATTTTCGCAACATCCCCGTCACACCGGAGATTCTGGAGGTTCTCGCAGTGAGGGGGAAATGAACATGGTGCGTGGGAGTGATAACCATTTCTTCTTTGAAGCCACCATTTTGATGTAAATGATCACTTGTCGGAATCTTCTTTAAGCTGGGAACGACCACCATTTTTTTGTTCTTGACACTGAGACTCCGACCTGGACTGCGATCATTCATTTCGGACCACCACCACTTTTACCTTTTTCTTACCCAAGACGAAATTACGTGAAAATCCCCACTTTTTACCACCAAACACAAAATGCCAACACACATGCACATAGTATTAACTAAACCCTTATTCGTACTAACTAACCACTATCCCCGTCACAAAGTGTTATTAGTGGCGATGACACAAATGTATGTTTGTTCATTTTGTCAGTAATTTTTTTGGGGTGTAGTCTCTCTTCCTCCAACAAAGATACGATAATATTATTTGACAGGAACGAGCGAACCAATGCGCAAAACTTAATTGTTTAATAGTATTAGTAATTTCACAATGTCCACTAACAACACGTCACCCTCAGCCACGCCACAAGAAAACAAGTCGTAAAGGGAAATCACTTTACAATTTTTAAGCAATATATTTATGACGAATAGTCTCCAAAACTGAGAGTTGTGCAACAAATAATGGAACATTTAAAATGAAAACGCCTTAATGAAGAAGACAAGACTAGAGCTTAGGGACCGGGACTCATCATCCATCCACCTCTACTTTTAACTTCCTGTCCAAACACAAACTGCGTTTATACGATGCAACAACAACCAACCAACGTGAACCAAATGACACTCGAGTGTTTAACTTGAGAATAAATTTTTAGCGTTTTTTACTCTAAAACTTGTACACCTTCTGTCTACTCAATTCAAAGTAACTTGCCCTGGCCCGTTGGAGGTGGATATATTTTTATTTAGCGTTGTTACTTATATACGCCTTGTATTCACCTTAACGATTGCATCAACATTAGAAGTATGAAACCAAAGCAGGTAAACTTTACTTTACACTAATTTCCGTCTTCCTCTCAATCCGGATTTTCTTTCGCACGCTTCTCTCATAAGCATCGTGGTTAAAAATCCATCCCTCAGGCTATCCCGTTTTTCACATGCATTACATTGAACTCTAATCTAATCTAATAACAGCAAAGAAGGTATGCAACGTACAAACTAGTAGATAGATAACTGACTCAAGAAACAACTGCACTCTCACTAACTGAACTAAATTAAGTATGTGTCATGTCATGATCACCGTAACGCATACGTACGTAGAACGAATGAAATGTCCAACGCATTTAGCATAATAAATTAAAACCTTGCTATGCATATGTGTATCTTTCCGTATGAATTTTTAAAGCACGAGTGCCTATTGTTACAGATGTTTTATTGCGAATAAGCGTTTAGAAAAAGATGAAATAAGGCCCATCAAGAAATAATGTTAAGTATTGTCTCTCTGTCTGGCTTTGTGTGCAGTAATACGAAATAATGGGGTAAAAAACTGTAATAAAATAATAATGCAAACTAAACAAATGCACTGCGATAATATGTGTGTTGCCATAAAACAGTAAATGCTTGCTTCCTCCTACGAAATAAATGGAAGGTGTATACCCACCATTTCACACCAAGAAAAAACAACTGCTAAGTGAAATTTAAGCAAGTTTTCATGGCTTAACGCAAAATTGCCCCCGTAACTGTAACACATTTGATTTATACGATTCGAGACCCATGCAAAGTGCGGAGTAACAACGTTGAGTGACAGGAAAATAGTCTTTTCACTTTCTCATTCAACCACGAAGAAGGAATTTTGCATTTTGCAAATTTCAGGTAGAAATTAAAACTGCAAAGATTAAAAGAAAGAAAAAAAAACACTCGTGATTTGAGACTCTAACTGAGGTCGGCAAAATGTCATACAAATTACGCTTACACGAAAAGACCTAACTATGTCGGGTAGTCTTGAGTTGAGTGCTAACTATTAGTACCTGTTATACGTAGTAGCATCACTAACAATGGGTAAATGGACCAATAAGATTGTGGTAGTGGTAAAAGAATTTCTTGAAAAATTCCGTGCTGTAGGATTCAGTAGGAAATCAACCTCATCAAATAAGCAGAATGTGTCTCAAGATAAGTAAGAGGCTTAAATCAGAGTATACATAAGCATGACAAACGCATTTCATCTCGGAAGGAGGTAACCTTTTTACTTTAATTCGTGATGAAATTACACTTGTCCGGATTACACGTGAGCACAAGTGTTTGTTAACGTTATAAGTACATATTCTGGGTATAAGGTTGAAACGATATTTGCGAGGAATAGATATTTCTTATGAGCAATCGTTTCCTTAAGGTTACGCTTAAATCTAGTAGATCAAATCTCGAATGGTAGATGGATGCGAATAATAATAATAATATGCAATTCGTCTGGTGACTCAAAACACAATGACATTTTTATATAATAAATATACTGTTTTAGCAACACTTAAAGGATTTTTATTATCTTACCTTGGCTGCAACAATGCTTAGTCCCAGTCCTCCCGAAATCTTTTGGAGTTTAATCGTCTGAATCTCCGGTCCAGCACCGGGTGGAGGCATCAACTGATTCGAACTAAACAACTGCTGCTGAGCATGATTATTGTGATGATTCGCAAGAATCGAGTTTGACGAGGAGGGGGACATTGGCATATTATTTCCAATCACGCCGTGATGATGATTGTTGACAACACCAGTGTGATTGTTGATGAAACTATGTCTTTCACTCCCTATAACACTGCCCGGAGTTCCGACCACCATCCCGCTGCCCGTCATATTGTTGAACGCGGCAGCAAAAGATCTTCCACTCATGGCACTGCAAACAAATAAGATCTTATTTTTAATAACAACTCGCCTCACACTTCCCCATCAACCCAAAATCCCGCAAATTCTTTTCAGAAGAAACCTCGCAATATTTCCTACTTCTCAAATAATAATAATTAAATTTTTCACAAATAATTAAATAAAAATGTCACTCCCCCCAACTCCAAGTACCTCATCAAAGAGGAAGGCTACACCCACCAGTAGAGGTAACAAGAAGGAGAAGAAAGAAATAGTTTACAAGTTTTGTGTGCCTGATTCCGAAGAGGATGAAGAAGAAGAGTCAATTTTCTCATCAAAGAAAAAATGGACACCAGTTGAGAGCAAGCTAAATGGGACACCATTTTCCAAACCTCCACCCACCAACCCCAGATCGAGATATGTTGGGAAAACGATTGACATCCGGGGAGGAAAACCAATCCCAGAATGGTGGAAAACGGCTACAGTCTTGAGGACAGATAAAAAGATGGCGAGAAAGTCCGAAGGTGAGAAAACAACAATTTGTATTTTGTAATATGTACAATATACCACGTCTAATAATTTGTTTGTTACTGTTTAGACAAACAAGACGGGAAGCTGTGGAAATTCTACTGCAAGTTAGCGAGAGAGCCCGTGACTGATGGGGCAGAGTCACAAAATTCTAACCGGTCGGATGGAGATTCTTGCACCCCGCTCACCCCTGCAACCCCACCCATCATTACGTCAAATGACAGCCCTTTAACGGCGGAGGAGAGGACAATAGTAAATGATAAGATCAAGGATGCTGGAATTGAAGGACTACCCGTCCCTGGAACCGATTGCAAGGTTCTTTATAAACCACCCGACACCAGTAGAGGAGGAAAGTTCTATCGCCCTTGGGGGTTGTTCGCTATGATAAAGGGGACAGGTGAAAAAAATCATCACTACATTTGCACGGCTGACCACAGTAAGTAATTTATTTATGTAATAATTAATTTCTGACAAAAATAATAATTTATATTCATTTATGTAGATTGCGTTCGGTATAATGGTGTTATTATGGAGGAGCACCCACGATGTCATCTCCACAAAGGCGGCCAGATTGGCTTTGTTTTAGGACAATTCACAGATGGAAATAACAAGAAGAGTGAGGTGGTCTTGCACGTCATAGCTTCATTCAATTACACTGAAGGGGATGAAGAGGGAAAGAAGGAAAGTGCTAATGTAGAATTACGCAAACAAACCTGGTCTGATGATTATGGTTGGGCAGCGTACAAGAAAGAACGAGAAGCCTTGGGTAGAACAGCCCCTGATTTGTTCGAGATAAAGAGTCGCAGAATGTATTTTGAGGAGGAGACTGAAATGATGAAAATTTACTCAGCACGGCAGGTACATGAGCTGCTAACTACTTATGTTGGTCATGTAATCATTGAATCACTAATTTTAAGCTTTTCCTTTAATAGACTGCAACCCTATTCCAACTGCTCCTCTGGCCCGACACAACTATCAAAATCATTTGTTTAAATCAGAAAATAAACCTTCCAAATGCTGCGTACCAAGAGTTACTGGATGAGATGGATGGATTAGGAATTGAGCTCAAAATTCATGACAAATTGAAGCCAAAAATAGCAGAAGAGTTGGTTGTGGATTCCCGTTTGGAAATTCCATTCATGATGAAGGCCGAGCCGAACGAAAATATGTATTCTATCTTCAGAAGAGGACAAGAACTGATAGATGATCAAGAGAAAGATAAGAAGACTGGGAAGGATGATAAGAAAAAGGAATCTATTGCTGTACTGTACTTTGCATCGAGTCCCTTCATAATCTACGCTGGTCAGGCGCTCAAATCCGGCGTCCACGGAGACTCCCAAAACTCTTCTGATCCCGTGGTGGATTATAAAAATAAGAAGGGTGACCAACCGGACCCTGAAATTGTCCCAATAGGAGTCGTTGCAGCTGCAGACAGATACAAGTGGGAGTTTCATCTCCATGTCTGCGCTCTATTGGCCTCCCTATTCAAACTAACTAATCACATCAATCCAGAACAATTTTCCGCCCAGTCTCACCCTCTCTGTATCAATAAGCAGCTCGATTCATCGTTTGTGGACAAGAAATCATGGGGAATCATTAGTTCCTACATGATGAAGAAGTTCTTGGTGGATATTTCTTTACACCCAAAGTAATTCGTTACAAATTATTTGTTAGTATTTAATCGTAATTTTATGCACGTTGGAACTTTATAAACTAAATAAAATATGAATACCTGGGTGACCGCATCGGATCGTGGAAAAATATTGTCCAATATCTGATCGTGAAAAAAAGATTTCAGTTAGTATTCCAGTAAGTTTGTGTAGGTGGGCGTTTAAATGTATGAAAGCCCAACTACGTATGTATAACTTGCATTCACATCAATATCAACCACACAATTTAGACTTACCCAGCAGCGTTCGTATTTGGCGTTAGTCGACACACGGGGGACAATGGGGACAAGAATTCGACGAGTCCAGTCGGAATTCCACGCACAATATCACACGAATATCCGTCTTCCGGTAAGAGAAAGGCTAGTCCGAGCAGAGGTTCTTCTTCGACACGGATATGTCGACCATCACCGCGAATAACGTCGTCAACTGTACTCTCAGCAACCTAAACCACAAATGAAAAATAATCTCTTTTGTAACTTTGGCTGGCTTGTTTGGGCGAAACTACCAGAAGAGACGAAACAACCCCTCATAAAAATTTGTACACTCACGTTTCACCGTCGTCGTTCGTCTCCCATATGCAAATTGTAAATGAAATGATGATGCTGTTATTCTCTCTTAACAGAGTTTGGTTTTTGGTAGAGATATGTACGATGGATGGATGGATGATGATGTTGATAAAGTAAATAAACCCAGCCTTTTACTAATGGTGGTTATACATGCGTTGTTAACTAATACTAAAATGCTAACTTGTATAATAGAAGTGTATGTATGTGTGTAATGTAGAGTAATAATGTAATGTTTGGAAGAGTCATGCAGTTCTATTAGTCACTCTTCTTTTTGGGTCTTCTCTCTCTCTCTTTTTCCATCGTACTTCTTTACTTTGATATAAAAAGTTCCCAATAAGACCTTTCCTTTTAAGTTTTGAACTGACTAATGACTAAACTGAGGGAACAAAAAATATTATCAGGTACACAAACACGAGACATCAACCCTCTTGCAATAGGATCCTTAATAATATGACGAGGATGAGGATGATGCGATCCCAAACACTCAGAGTTTTAGGCCTTTTAAGATGGCCTTATAGATTTACCCAGATGTCTGTCTGTGCGTCCGTCTGTGCGCACGATAACTCTCTTTAAACACATGCTATCGACTTGAAATTTTGCACACTTCATCTTCGGGCCAAAAGTAAGGACGAGTTCGGAGATGGGCATGATCGGCCAAGTAGTTGGCCGGTGGGGGTCTTTTCCACCCAAATGTGTTGCCACTAACTACAAGATGGCATTAATGCCATCTTAAAAGGCCCCGCAAAGTTGCTTGGAGTAGGTTTTTAATCTAATCTCAGCAAAACCAAGGTTTATTTTTCATCCCATGCATCCATTCAATGCATGCAATGTATTCTTTCCACACTATATTTTTTACCGTTTTTACGCCCTTTACTGAACCATTGGTTGCATTGGTATGCAACGTAATTGTGGAAAAAGTGCATGAGATGATGGGGTTGTGGTGTGTGGATGTATACATACGCAAAGAATAACATTTTTTAACTAGATGTATGGATATATATATACGTATTTCACACACTGAATCTCAACGCTCTTACTACCAGACCGTATCCTCAGTTAGTTTAGGAAAAGGATTATTTATGTTTTGTTGGTTTTGTCTGAATAAAAATGGTTTCTCTTTTTTTCAGTGGGAAGAAGAGAACAGATTGAGTTGAAAGTGACACTTTGTAACATTATTGCAATTGTTAACCCTGATTTTGAAAGGCAACAACAACCCATATCGTAACGTCATCAGATCAGTTGGTTATCATTATATCCGGCATGCATAGGTCGTCAGGAGGAGCACAGTCAGTCAGTCACTTATCTGTCGTTGTACTCAATCATAATCTGCATTTAAAATTTTCTTTTCGACACGAGAACTTCTTCCTTTTCCTCTCTCGTCAATTGCGTTGGACAAATAAACGAGGCTTCTTTTATTGAGGGTGAAGAATTACGCATGCAAATGTATACATTCAACGGAAGAACAGTTTGTGAATGAGGTTCTCCTGATGAACCTCGGAAAATAATAAATCATTTCCCGATGCAATGTCTTGTTGATTGACTATGAACCCTAATAAATAAACCTTGCTGGGCTATATATATATGGCGTGTCATCAATATTAGTTTCGTACCCAAATAGAAATATCGAGTATTCTCACGACAATATGTAGGATTGCGTACGTATACGTTAACTAATTTATTGGACATTGCTGCTGCTGCTGCATTTACCTAAATCGATTCAATTCGGCTTGTGCAAACAATTTGGAGTCGTACAGCGATGAAATAAAACCTATATTAACCGATGAACCTTTCCCTTTATATTCAAGAGATGGTCAGCACTTGACGAGTCACGAAAATAAATATTTTTCTATTTTTAGCATTTTGTGAGAAACGTGAGTATGTGTGTGTCACACGTATGTATCCCCTGCCTGATAGACTAATCCACTCGTCGTGTGACGTATGAGGAGAAAGCATGTCACAAAAACCAACTAGTGAAATTAGCCGATTGCAAAACAAACAATTAAGTCATTAACTTTGTTTTTGGGGTGGTACACGTGTGTTTCAATTCTCCAATTCTGAAAATATGTTTTTCAGGAAGTATTGGAATCTATTATACAAATGACGATAGATGTGTGCCGAGAGGATACCAGCTCTAACCACACACTTTATGTAAAACAATAGTTTATGGGTGTATGTAATACCCAACTCTCTTATTATGTAAGTTAGCATGTCTGCAAATATATGAAAATTACATTTCCAACGACCGGAAGGTAGGCGTTTTCGTGAGTGAATGAATGGGGGTGTTTCATAGAAATGAATAATAAAAAATAAACACATAGAAAGTTAGATGACATACCCGAACTACATTTTCCAGGATTTCTGGGGAAATGGGGGCTTCATCCGAGTCGTATTGATATTTCATGAGGAGACATCTCAATTGCATTGAGTTTAGTTTAAAACAACTACTGGCTGCTGTGCTTACTTCTTCGGCTGTGTTCTTCATTGCCTGCGGGAGCAAATTGAGAGAGAAAAGAAAACATTAATGGAATGAAAGTGACATATGCTGAATTCAGCGTCATTATTTCTTTATTAGCTGCCTCCTCGTCGTATTCTGCTTACATGCCTTGGGGTAACAGTTACACGTACATCCATCTCCATACATAAATGTTGGGACTGACGACAGTTTGAAATATGTGCAGGGAATGGAGAAATGTGGTGAGAAAGTCGTAGCAGTTGTATAGACTTCTCTCCATCAATTATTCAAATTGATGTTTTATAGAAATGGACAGGGAAACAGATACCCCAAAGCATGCTTCGTTGCACAATTGAGATACAGTCTCATAGTGCATAGCACGTTCCATAAACTTGTCATGCCTTATTGTCAATTAAGGTAAATCTTGCCAATAGTCCAGTTAGACTATTGTGTCAGGCAAGGTTTCTCGCAAATAAACTATTTATGCAAATATTGCAAAGTAAATCCAGAATACTGTACCTGAAGAAGATGGGTCGCCTGGATAATACGGACAAGATGGCAATCAGCAGCCAATTCCAGACCCTGCTTTTCAGCCCATGTTTCAATTCGATTAATCCTTCTCCGTAGTCGATTGCCCCATGTTCGGCTGCAGTAGTTTCTTCCGTCCATGCCAATCAACTGTCATAAAGAGAAGACAACACAAGTGCATAATCAGTTAGTGCCAGTTCCTTATAGAGAAATAGAGTCATTTAGATTTAAAAGAATTAATCCTCTTCCTCCTACATTAATCCACTTTGTTGCATCCACATCAAGCTATTAGCCGCCTTCACTAAACTCTACGATACCACCCACAGAGAAAATGTCACAACTTGGAAATTCTAAATGCCAGCATCTCAAATATACACTCTCTCATTTACTTGTTTATCCTGTCGAAACATGAATCAAACCAAGTTACATATATCAAAACAAGAAGCTCTTCTGACATTTTCAAAGAAAATGGTATAACAATATTTAATTTCAACTATATTAAAGAGTTAAGTTACTTGCTTTGAAATAAGGGCAACGAGAGTACAGTTTGCATACAGTTGCATTGCACCAATTTTTTATACAAGCTTTATCTAGAAAGGTTTAGCCACCCAAACTTGGGACAGCATTTACAGACCCCCGTTGTTACAAAGTTAAAAGTTACATAACATAAATATCTGGTTTTAACCACCCATCATCATCTATTATTGACTCCCAACGATTTTGACGCGGCCTTGAGTAAGCATGTTAATAAATTATAAATCATTCGAGAACAAACTCCCCATGGAACTCAAAGTTCAGCAGGGAAATGAAAGGAGAAAGTCGTCTGGAGAAAGTTTGAGTGACAGGACAAACCAGCAGGTGTGAGTACATTGTAAATACGTGCGACGTGACCAATTTGAGACGGCATCATCGTAGTTGCATGTATAACGTCCAGAAATAACTCAGACGGTAAACAAACATGCTATTTACAGAATATTTGAAGATTATGTGATATGGATGGAGGAGGAAGAAATATGATGACGAGGACCATGGTGGTAATACGTCATAATAAGATTTGTTTCACAGCCTATATACTACATGTCCACTACTAACACTAATACTAATGTGGATTTAGATATGAATCCTTACCTTGTTAAATACGGCCATATTAACAAAGTGGAACACCTGGGAGAAAAGTTGTATTGTGAGGGCTGCATTGACACGGGATCGACGCAATAATGTCATCGTCGAACCGAGGACACCAATCATCTAAAGTGCGGAAGAGAATAAAAAAAGTTAAATTTAAAAACAGGAAGTTTGTGGTAAATAAAACGAAACGAACACTCTTTAAAAGAAATAAAGTCTGCATGTGTATCGGTAGTTCCGTTTTCTTTGTACATATGTACATACATATACGGCGTGTTATATAAACAGCACACATTTGGCAAACTTGTTGTTGATTTGAGATAAGCAATTGCTATCCAAATGCTGATAAGCATGTTCGATACAAAAATTAATTTATGTGTACTTTCTTTCCAACTTTCACTAAAGTTTTTTTTGGTTGGCGAAATTACGTAATATGCTTAAGTTTATAGTGAAAAATAGTATGCACGTTTTCCTGAACGATACAAACGAAACAATCAAATTTCATATAAACTTACTGGAGATGTTGCATTTTCATCGTCTTCATCTCTTTCTAGGAAAAAATGCCCCACCAAATTGGATATTTCGCCTTGAATGCAGGTCACCAGGTGTCGAAATGATAGTTGCACAACTTCCGCGAGAATATCTTGAGCATCCCTGTGAAAACAAATGAAAACAAATTAAAAATATGTAACATGGATGCATCCTCAAATGTCAATGCTAGTCCTTAAAACTTCTACTCACACTGAGAAAGCTCCAATCTGCCTGTCAGACTTTAGAAAATGGAGAAGTTCTGATGAGTTTGCCATCCAAAATGCCTGTAATAAATTGGGTAACGGAGTAGAATTCTTGTTCCTTAAATAAATATGTTGTAAAAGTAGTTTTCAAACTTACCAAACTATTTGCATCTGTGTTGCGATCTTGCAAAGAAAAATATTTGTTTACATAATATGCATCATCCATGTCTTCAATTAATTAATTTTACTCCTACACCTTTAGCCTAATGTTTCAAAATAACTCACCTTGCACGGTTTGCATCATTAAATGAGCCACTCTTATTAAGAATGCGGAAAGGAGGTGAGCTCTCTCGTGTGGGGTTGCATCCGGTCGAAAGTGCGTCGTGGCACGATATCTTGCAGACAAATATATTGCGTAGGTGGGAGAAAGCTTGAAGTGCAGAGTGGCTGGGGAAATGTTTACAACAACGAGACTCAGAAATGCGTCTTCTCCAACTTCCGGGAGTTCAAGAGTTGCTGGGAGAATGGAGTCTGGCCTTATCGCCCTGCGTACATACCAGTAAATTCGGATTACGAATAATTTTTTCATACGAAAACTGCGTAGAATTAGACGAAGATTGAAAGCCTAAGCTGTCAGACGTGTGTCGAGTAGCATGTGGTGGATATCATAACTCGGAAGAGATGATGATTCACTTTGTGTTTTAAATTGATTACATTTTATGAATTGTATGTAGGTCATAACCACCACCACCACAGCATCACACTGGCTTGATCTTTGTTGTTTTGAAGGGTGTGTCGTCACACAAAGACGACCCACTAAAACTTCAAAATGAGAGATGAAGTGCGTCAAAGAGAAAGCATTATAGAGATTTCATAAGGGTAAGAAATGTAAACAGCCCAAAGCAAAGTGAGGGTGAAAGCAATAAAATATATACACAGATTATTATTTTGCATCGTAAATTGTTTTTTTCGTCACAAAAAAAAGATCCACCCTTGAAGTTTAAGACGCAAATTCACCTTGTAGAATCATCATGTGCAGGGGATAAGGGAGGTGATTGAATAATACTTCCAGATTTCGACATTCCACCACCCGTCGTAGTTGGAGAATCTATAACCTCCCTAAGGGAAGGTAAAAAACAAAGGAAAAAATCCAGTGACCAACCGAAACCAAACCAAAATAAATACATAATTCTACTTAATACGCAGGACTACTTCTACTTTCTTCCTTACGAAAAGTGCTTTCACCCCAAGTTGTGCATATCATAAGTACAATTTATAATGAAGGAACAACTTTGGGCCAAAAAACATACATAGATAAACAAACTAATTGCAGTATTTACAGTATGTGCATACTCAAAGTTTTCAAAATACTATGATACATTTTACACTATCGCTGCTATATATCACTAAATACAAGCGTTTGGTGAGTGTGTTTCACAATCAAGAGAATTTCAAAATAAAGTTTTTAAAAATGTGAAGAACCCGGTAAACTTACCTTTCATTAAAAGTTCGATTGCCGGTTGGACTATTTCGCTGAGAAAATCTAAAGTAATGAGTCCTTCCGAAACGGATTATGGCTCCATGCTGCCGAAAAAAGAGAAAGCGGGCAAATAAGTACAAATCCTCATCTTTCATGTTCCCTGCTTATCAGACACAATTATCGTTACCAACCTGAAGCATGGTCGTCTCGTATATTCGCTGACCGTTCACGTAAATGTCGGAATCCCTCGATGACGGTGTGAGGGTAACTATTCCCTCAGTGTTGGCAATTACACAATGCCTCGGTCTGAGACCGGCGAGTTGAAGGCCACCCCACTAATTAACATGTGAAACAATTGCTTTTAAAATTTTATCTAAAATCAGGTGCCCATGTAAGTCTTTAATATGCAGTGCGAATTCAAAAAGCGCACACACAGGTGGGCAACTGATTTCAGTACCACAAAAATTTTTTTACTTATTTCTATATAAAACGGCAATTTTTCGATAAATATATTGTATTATTGCCAAATGAGATCCTCAGACGTATTTACATTCATGACACACTAATGAAATCCACACAATATATTTACCCCTAACTGACTTACCCACTCGCTCCCCACTTCCGTGACGTCAGATTCCAGCGTGATCCTTCTCCCAGTCTCACTTCCATCTGTAATTTAATTAAATCCATGTCATTCGTGTCTTAAAAGAATTCTCCCTAAAAAATAATTAAATTGGTTCATTTATTACTCATGAACCAGAGATACATAGATAGATCGTAAATCAATCCTGTAATTGACTGCAACAAATTATTGGAAAGAAGAAACTGACGCGTGTGTATCGTCTGGTTCAAAGGAGAAAGTAATGAGTGTGCATGTCAGAGATAACGTAGATAATTCCTGAAACAATATATTACTACGTGTACGTGGTCCTTATCGCCATGAAGGACATCAGCGCATCTATTACCACATTATGAGCAGGTTTATGAGGGAAAACATGGCATAACTTGCACTAACGGAAGACTTTCTCCCAGCAATAATCCATCCTGTTTGTCATTGTCCTGCATGATGTCGTGTCTAGCCCAAGTCTTGAATGAATGACGTAAAATCAATGAGCCCCACCACTTTATCTTCATTTACTTAATGTACTTTCCCCAACTGGTAAATACGGGAAAGGGGGATTGCAAGCACTTGTGTACAAGAATGTTGGAGTAGTAACTTTATGTCCATGTAAAAGAGTAAGTATGCATGCAACAAGCTTTCTTGTTAATCTTCTTGTTTTCCTGGGTTCTCCCACCACTAAAAAGTAGTAGATAACATACAGGATGTCGTTGATAAGCAAGGACAGGCTGGCACTGTACTACTCCTACCCACGCGAGAAAGTTAGGACTTAGATTGGACGACACGACGATCAATTTCGACCAAAGCTTGCTACGCTACAGACTAACTGACAGAAAATGTCAATGCAAATTTCCAACCTGGATTTGTTCCCGGACGATAAAGTGATGAAAATCAACCAACCAAAACTGCATTTCACCGGTAATAAATTAGTTCTAATGAGGCTCATTCTAATCGCTCGTGTCACTTTGAATTTGTCAAGTATATAAATACGCCGTAAATTTATTTGCGTTAAATAAACGATTATATGAAGGAAGACCTTGTTTGACTTGGTTGCATGTTTTGTGTATTCTTTAATGTCAACCTTTGCCTCACCCAACTAATCAATTACTTATCTGAAGCAACATCCCATTTGTTGTCAGTCAGGCAGGGGACAGGTTCCCAATATTCGGCAGTTTCTGCACTAATATTTGCTGAAATCGATCATTGCTATTATTGCCTAACAGCAGCTTCTCCTAAATTTATGAATGTTGCAAACCCCACCCCCACCCTTGCCATATATGCCATATCTCGTTAATATGAGTAGAAAGATAATTCATAAGTATAGAATTTATCGTTCTCCATCATATGAGGAATGCCTCCAGCTCGTCATGCGATAAAATCTGAGTCCACCTTTACATAACCGTGTATTTCATAGGGTTAAGTTTAATGCACCACCAAATTAGTTGAAACTTGCCACAATTTTTAGCCGAATTTGCCACTGGATGAAATTTTTCTAACTTTGGCCTTTTTAGCCACCAACTTAGATGGTGGTTACCACAAAATTAGATGGGCTGCCATTAAGATATTTGATGACGTTAAATATGGATATAGGTTACAAAAACAATGCACAATTTACAATACTATGATTTACTTATTTATAATTATTTGCCTATATCGTTTTAACATGCAACTGAAATAATAATGAGCGCTTTTTTGGTTTTACAGCTTTAACACTTTTCACCCAATGGAACGGTTTTAGCTTCCGGTCGACTAACATCTAAAGCGTATTCTGGATTGCTAAGCCAATTATAGGCCAAACGTGTTCTTTTAAATACAGGCGGGACGTGAACATGTACACTCTAAACAAAACGGTGTCAATATATGACTTAACCGCCTTGGTTAAAATTATGATTCCGAGTAGTAATGAATTTTTTCCGTCCGGTCATAACATTATAGCAACCGGTATCAAAATCATCAAAACTCGGATTCAACATTGTAACCAAGGCGGTTAAGTCATATATTGACACCGACGGTGTTGATTCGACAAATTTTTATTTTGAGTGTAGAATTAGTCCATTGATTGGTGTGAACCATCCATAATCTTGTGACGCTAGTGACGCAGGAATCGAAAATTGTTGATGACCTGTCCGTATTCACCCAATCTTAGCAAGCGGTGTTGCCCGTTATCACCGCTCCGGTTAAGTCATATATGCACTCCGTTTGGTGATGATTCAAATTGATTCAATACCATTTTGCTAAGAGTGCCCGCAATGTAATCCGCAATTTGTAAATTTTCTTCTTACACCATCCTCTTTCAAAGAAGGTTGGCGTGAAACAGAGACAAAATAATGCTTAATGTTTGGTTCATCTTTAGATCTATTATACCTGGTGCTTGGTTTTGAATTATTCCAATTGAAAGCATCGGTCTCAAGTCTGAGGTAAATATTTGGAAATTGTACAAATATTTTGTGGTTTTTATATGCAGGGTCTCTCTGCTGCGACCAATCTTTGGTTTGACTTAACATATAGGAGATGACAAACGAGTCATCTATAAGTAAGTCGAGTAATTGTCAATAATCTTGGAGTTGACACTAGTATGCCAAAGCGTTTGTGCTTATAATTAAACATTGAGTGGACTACAGATTTATCAATGAAACTTGGGATCTGTGAATTGTTGTTTGCCAGTGCCTGGAGGCCTCCAAGGGATACAATTGATGGATGGTTTATGAACGATGATAGGCCAAAAAGCTTTTTAGTTGAGTTGTTGAGCTGTTGAGACAATTATGCGTAACTCGGTCAGAATCATTAGTTTTAGTAATCCCCACTCTAATAATTTAACAATTTCGTCTTTCACACTTTGGCTGATGCCTAAGATAATATCAAAGGTAATACATATGTACGTCAGTTCATATGTGTGTTGCATATGCTGTGCAAATATATGTACACAAATCAGGATAATTAAATTATAATTATTTAGAGATTATTGTAAATTATGCATTGTATTTGTATCCTATATCCATATTCAACGTCATCAAATATCTTAATGGCAGCCCGTCTAATTTTGTGGTAACCACCATCTAAGTTGGTGGCTAAAAAGGCCAAAGTTAGAAAAATTTCATCCAGTGGCAAATTTGGCTAAAAATTGTGGCAAGTTTCAACTAATCCGGTGGTGCATTAAATTTAACCCTATTTCATAATATCTAAATTTCATACTTTCACCCAACCAATTTCTGTGATAGTGATGTTCCCTTCATTGACATAAATTTACTTATCAAGTAAAATTGTCTGCCAATGTTATGCATGACAGGTGCACATAATTGAAACTACATGCAACAAGCGTGACAATTTGGTCTATCAGACATATCTTAGCATGTCCCAATCTAATGACTTTGGCAGAAAAATATTCTGCCGTATGCCAACGAATGTAATGTACTGATGAGTTATGCAAGTCGTTGTTACATAGTAAGTCAATTGCTTGACAGTATCGCCCCCATCAACGGTGCAAAAGTAATAACTTGTACTCATGCACTTTCCTCAAAGACATTTGGTGATTGGTAATGGGTTTTCTTACCTGGAAGAAGTTCGATAAGCATTGGCTCCAATTGTCCATCATCTGGAAGAATTGAATAGAATTAGAATTACCAATGATTCGACGACTATATAATTTAGTATTAAAAAAACATAATTCCATATGTACCTTAGAGTATTTAATACTAATATAGGGATATTATTATTAAATACTCTAAGGTATGTACCAACTAATTTTGAAATATTTAATCGTTTTTGAGATAATGCAGTATATGCAGAACCCACATTTGGTATGTCCATTATATTTTGACATACTGTATAGTTATCGTACCATTGGAGGGTTTTTTGAAAATGCTTGAATTTTGAAAATGAAATAAAAATTTAGCCGCAAAATTCGCCGAATTATTTAATGATCACCGGCACTTAAGTGACAAGACCCGTTATTTCTCGTAGAATTCATTGGGACCATTTCGAACATCATGAGGAGGCCACAGTGGCTCCAGCTCACTTGCCTGATCGTTCGACTGCTCGACTAAACTTGCTTGAAGAAGCCAAGCAAAAACCCAACGATCTCCTCCATGCTTGCTGCAACTACAACTACAACAGCAATTCAGCAATCAGAATTCCCACTACCTTGCTCTGACCGTACACATTATGTTCCCAAGTTTAATTATTTCTCAACTGAATTTAAATAACTAAATACTTATAAAAAATAGAAAACGACAAGTTCGAGTCTTTGTAAAGACGTAAGTGTGTATTTTAATTAACTAATTGTTTGGTTTTACCACAGTGGTCATAAGATTTTTTAGTTTTGAACTGCCTACTTATAACATGTGGTCATCAGTTATTTATTTCATAGTGACAAATTGTTCAGATATACCACAGTGGTCATCACTTTTTTTTTATTTTATAGTGCTTGCTTCGAAGATGGATCGACCGTTGTCGGAGGTGGCCTTCGTCGTTTGGCCGACAGAAGCAGAGGAGTTTATTTTCTATGACGAAAGTGGTGATTTGTTTGAGGTGGAATTCGTAGATGATGACGGTAATTGATAAAGACTATTAACAATCTACATTTTTGTCCCTGGGACAGCTGTCTAAAAAAATATGTGCCTCATATTTCTGAAATTTTAGATCCTGTCTCCTCACCCTCTCTTCGTGTTCGACGGGTCCTGATCCCCTACAAGTATGAAGATTTCTTCATGGAAGACCAGGCGAAAAATATCTTCAAAGGAGTGACGATATCTTTCGAAGGTACTGATCACCACAGTGGTACTGATGACAAACATGTAAATGTGTTTACTTATTTTTGAACAGAGTATCACAAATGGCTGCAGAATAAAAAGTTCCCTAAAACGTTAGTCCCACGGTATAAAAGGACATTTATCGGGTTTAGAAAAATGAAAGACGGTAAGAATGTTTACCACTGTGGAAATAAATAAGCTTTCATTTAAAGTAAAGCAATTCAATTTTGCGTTGAATTATTTTAAAGAATCCACTGTGGCCGAGTATCCAGAGGTTATCACGCTCGATGAATCTAGTACATTCAGTACGAGTTAGTACAACTATCTCCTCTCCTCAAAACAATTTTCAATTTGTTATTTTCTAATTTTAGGCAAAGGTATTTCCTTCCCATCGTCCTCGACTTGCGCAGCTGATCTCTCTTCTTATGTTGAGGATGACGACCAGTCCCAGACTGATGTCGAACAAGGTACAATTTTATCTGATGGTAAGATTATCCTTATTTACTGTTGTGTTACCGTGGCTGTTTTGTTGATTTAAAAAATACCAATCTTTATAACTTAGACCCGGGTCAGGACAACCAGAAGTACACCAATCCGCTATTAAATGAAGTTCCTGTCACTGTGACTCTTCCACCTCCATCCTTGGTGGTCGATTGGTCGTAGAAAGGATACGTGTATGTGTTGATTCTCCTAAAGAAGTCCGATTTCGCCCCTGGGGCACAAGAGGCGTGTCGGTCCCTGAACCAGAGTAACAATCGAAACGTACTGGTTCCCTATTATATAGGGAAATCGAGTAAACCTCATTTTTCCTGGTATCACGAAAAAAAACCAGAATTTAGTGGACCCGCCAGAATGGCGTCGTCAGGGGACTACTTTGTCCTCCAAATCTGTTTATTTGAAAGAGCAACCACGGAAGAGTCCAGCCATCTGGAAGCTTTGTTGATTGTGAGTACCACAGTGGCATTTTATCTAAATATATATTTGATCGAGTAAAACATAGACAAGAAGTTTACCAAGTTTTTTCTTGATTTAGTTGGAGTCGCTAATTCAACGACGAAAGGAGATGGATGGGCCTCAGTTTGAGCCGATTAATAAGAAAATGCCCTGGGCAGCATTGGCCAAATGTGATGAAGAAAGGATCTTCGAAGCCGTGCAAGTCGGAATGGCTGGTATTGTACCAATCTCTCTCGCCAAGTACCCAGCATCATTAAAATTACGTAACTTTGAGTTCCCACTGGATTTAGGCCAACAAATTAGAAACAACCAGATCATAGACGTCACAGGTGATGTCCCAGGGACAGCAGAATAATTCGATTTATAATCCCTATGTTAATGAACTACAACCTCGTTAATAAAAACAATGTTGACCATAGTATGCTCTTTTGTCCCATGCACATGTCAGCTTGATCTATTTTTTCATATGCTTACACATAAATTTGAAATGTCATATTTATAACTGATTTCAGTTGAATGAAAATATTGCATATTTCCATTCATTGATAAATATTTCAAGGTCCATAATAAAAAATTCCGCAAAATTAATATTAATCACAGCATTTAATCCGGATTAATTAATCCTTAATCCAAAGTCAAAACCCATTAATCACCCAACTCTGTCCTGTTCAGGCTTAAAAATTATATGCCGGGCGAAATTTTTAGACTGTATAATTATCATTTAACATTTTCAGGTTGTCATTTCATTATTTGGGCATATAATGATTCACCGGATTCAAAGATTTAGAGAAGAACTTACTTCCATAACTTCCCCGATATCCACTAAGGCCTTCCTCGTCCGCTCTGCGTCCTGGCTTCTTTTTCCTCTTTCGTGGATGATAATCTGGCGGTCTTCGTCGAACGTGGAACATTATTGAGCCTATGCAGAAAACAACAAAATACTGTCAATTAATTTCCCAAAATGCATGCGGTAATGACTTTCTCCTTCGTTTTGGATGTATTCTTGGAAATCTTTGTTATGCTACTCAGCCGTGCTTACTATGTAATTTCGGTGCATAACCATCAAAAATATCCCAAAATAACAAGCCATTAAAAGTCGATAAAAACATACATACATGGTAAAGTTATTAGATGGATATAAATACTAGACAGTCATCAGTCTGCATATTTTGTAACCAGCTGCGGTCCAATTAAACGAGTGCTTTGCAAAAATTTAAAATTGAAGGGAATACAAAACACGGATTATTTGCAGGTCTCGCTTTCTTTTGCTCGTTTACTTGGAATCAAACAGGCGGATAAATTCTAATGTCAATACTGCTTTCAAAATTTGCACAAAACTTATCTATTTTTAATGAGTACTGCCAACAAACTCGAAGCAAAAAGCGGAACACTCACTGTCTATTTATCTACCAAACTAAGTACATAATAATATCGACAAGGTTTTATATGACAGCTCGTGATGCTTCAAATGGGTTATAAAGTTTAAATATTTGCTCTGCGTTTTTTAGAAGGACCTCCGTAAAACGAGTGACCAACCACCACCGTATATACTTTGCTACATTTATGATACACAGTACGTATTTCTTCACTAGCTGGCATATTTCTTCACCTATTTATATATTATCTTGCCCTGGTAAGTGCAAGTGAATAGGTAAAAAGGCGCATTAAATCAGTCATCCTATTTGACCAAGCATTAGTCCAGCAAAGGGCTTAAGGTAACATAAAAAGCTTAGAGGAGAATCAAAATGTCACAAAGAATGGGCTTTTAAAATCCCAGTCTGTGAAGGTAGTTGCGTAGAAGAACAGGTACAAATACAGTAAACGCTGCTGGAATGGAATAGCTGGAGTCACAACATTAGATAACTTATCGCAGCCACTAAACCCACGAAAAAAAGTCACCACTGGGGATTAGATTTGAACAACAGAAAGCTTTGAGGAATTTCTGACCGGTTGAGTTGAGGTTCCAGTAAGAAAAAAAAAGAAACTCGCTTTTTGTTCTGACTGACGCGGATTTTCAGGGAATGTAATAAGTCTTCATTGTCAAAATAATAAAGGCAATGTACAGGAGCAATGAAACCTTAAATGACAAAGTAAAAGCCGAAGACTTTTCTCTACCTTTGCTTCCTTCCTCTCAATCCTTTCTTACGTAATTTTACTCTGGAATAAATTCAATTCCAGCAACTATACTCTTATTCGTTGTCTGATTCTAGGATATAATATTTTTTGTAAGGTTTGTGGTAGGACGAGGACTACAAAAAAAAACAGTCGGGATTTTACAAGTGACTTATTTTGTCATACAAAATATACGGGTTGAGCATCATTCATAAGTAAAAGGAGCAAGCTTTAATCTCATGTAGGGCAAATTTTACTCCATCTCATATCATCAAATAAACATCCGTAGTGCGTCTCAGCCAGAACATAATAATTTTATTATAAAAGTTTAAAATTCCCTAGTGCCCCACTCTAAACTAACTGGTCGTACAGTAATTCTGAGACAACAAGACTGTCAAAAAGTCTTTCCACTTTCAAGTAACTGACGGGTAATTTTTAAGAAAAACACAAAATATCCAGTATTTAGTATTAATAAAATCGTCCACATACCTAGGACCACCTCCACCTGACAATTCCGCCTCCTCGTCGAGAAAGACCACAGGCCCATCATGTCGACTTTTATATTAAAATTACTACAAACCCAACCCGGCTGAGTTACTTGGTGAGACGAATAGACTTCTTATGGCACGAGCCAGTCTTTATTTATTTACATACTTATTATGTATGTACAAAGCACTCGTTATTACAGTAATTTGGTTTACCACTCTACTTATTATTCTTTGTGTGTGTGTCTTTTTTACTATTCTGCTATTTTATCAAGTCTATGAAATCACAATTCAACAGAGAGAGAGAGAGACAAAGTCTTTTCAGAGCAATGCCGACGACGACGGTACCGAAAAACAAGTGTGCGTTGGTTACAGAGGACAAAGTAACACTGAAACTGAAACTTACCCCGATCGTTGGACTGGTTCATAAGTATGGAAAGAGGAGACTCGTCATCGTCCAGTATGCTTTCTCCTTCCCCTTCGCAAACCTGCGCAACATTTTAGAAGCAATTTTGTTTAATTTATTACTTTATTTAGGCCAAATAGTGTACAATCAGGGATGAAAATACGAATAAAAAGAACATCATACATTCATATTAACGAGTACCAGGAAATAGTAAATCGTAGCGCAATTCAAAAATATTCTACGACGCATTTAAAACCAGACGCAATTTACATATCAAATGAGAAAAGTCGAGCCTTTTGTTGATGTCTTGACATTCCTCTTAAGGAAACATCTTTTCAGTAATAATGGCAGCTTCTTCATGCTCTCTGATTTCAGCACTTGTATTTACACAGATTTTTATACATAAATATCTGATGGATTTATGTTCTTACGGCCATGCAATGTATGTATGTAAGATTCTACTATATTCTCTTTTGTGCAATATACAAACCTTGGAAAAACACTATTCCCATCTCTCCATCCATATGCAAACAACAATATATATGTACGTATGGTAAAGCTCGGCCAGTAATTTCATTAATTTGCTATGCCACATGGACATATGATCGATTTATCCCTTTTGCTCCACATTCAATACATATATACCCATCGATGAGTCTGGGAAGAACGTGCGTGAAAGTCACCCCACCACACAAACTATCTCGATATCTATCATGAATTTCAGGTCAGTATCAGTAACATATCGGCCATCGGTATTGTATCAATAACAAGACGGTAATAGGACAGATAAGGGCAACCCAAGATCTTCACAACTAAAGCTTCACGACTCTATTGTCGTATACATATATTTGTGTAGAGTAAATGAGTTATTAAACCACACAACTACCACGACTGGTCTAGTTTTATTCCTCCTACTACTCCAATTTCTGGTAACTATTGGTAAACATTTCCATTTCTTGGAAACCCACTTTCCGGGCTGCATAGCTATGTATGATGGCCCGGGCATCGTTGACCAAACCATACCCGGATAGTTCGTTTATTTAATTACGGTAAATTACTAATTGACAGGCTGGAGAGTTCTCGTACGCAAAAATTATAACGCATTGCTATTTACTAGGTCCCATTCATGACTATTTCGGTCTTATGCTGTACCTAGTGACTAGGTTATAGTAGTTAATACAAAGTACAAGTACTCATTAAATTAACGCACCTGGTACAAACAATAGTTTTGAGGGTCCTGAGTGGTGAGACCGTATTTGGCCAGCATTTCCTTCACGACGTAGACAGCCGTGTCATTAACGGAGAGAAGAAGTGTTTTGTATGGGACGTCGGCGCATAAGGATTGTCCGTAAATCTTCAAAGTTCCCCCAGTATCTGGTCCCCCGTCCCTTGAACGAAACTGAGCCAACTTCTTTTCCAACTTTTGCTGACGTCTTCTTCTCATTACGGCTTCAGGATTGGAAATTGAACGAGTAAATCCTGACTCGGGAAGTTCTGCAATTTGAAAAAAATGATCAAGTTTTCCAATTAGGTGTAAACTCGTGTGCACACGTAATACTATTTAAATATATGGGAAAAACAAAATACATAACAGTGTATTTGTACTGTAATTGTTGACAATGAAATGAATCTTCGATTCCAGTAATCTACTGGCAAAAGCTGCGCATAAAACAACAGAATTCTACGACTTTGATTGTTTTATTTATTTTCTCCAATTCCCTAAAACAAGGCATACGTGATGTTTTGTACAAGATAATGAAAATAACGTAATCTTGTTCAATTACATGAACAATAATATTTTTCATGTTCTGCAAAGTTACCCTTTGTCAAATCAATTCCTTCAGCGCCTTAATTCATGCAGTGGAGAAAGTAGATAAATAGGATCAACTTTCATTAGAAAGAATCAATGCTGACAATAAGCAGATCTTGTTGAACTGCAGATGGATAATCGGTCTCACGTTTCACTCGACCTTGTCGTCGTCGACATACAGTAAGAACGTGGTGATGGAAAACAGCCATCCCCCCAACTAAATAGTCCGGCGACTATATGATAAGTATATTAACCTTTAAAAAGGCATCGTGGATCGTGCTGACATTCTTACATACGCAAAGTAAATCTACTGCAGAAAGCAGACACTTTTACTTCAAGTTGAGAAGCCCATTTGAACTTTGATCCCAGGTGCTAAATGGCGAAATCGGATCTGGCATTATCCTGACTAAATGATTTGCTCCCAGGAATAGCATGAGACAGGAGCTTTCATTTTGGAAATTGATAACGTCCCTATTCATCCAACTATACATAAAGTGAACGAGTTATGTACTGTGCGGGTGGAGCTTAAACCTACGGCCTCCTGAAGTACCTTGTGCTGAGACTAGGGTTTCTCGTGAGTTTAGCTCCATTCGCACAGCACATAACTAACTCACTTCAAGTATACGTAAAATAAATTGATAAAAGTCACTAAATATCTTGAGACCAGCCACTTCAACTTCAACCAACCCATCGACTAGACGGTGCCAACTCAACTAGAAAACTCAATATGTAACCCAGAGAAAGAAGAGAGAAAGGACAAGAAATAAGTCCATGCATGCATCGGTCGAATAGATAACCAAATGTCCTAGCTGTCCGGGTCTCCTCTCTAACTTTTGCTTACGCAAATCCACGTTTACATAAGAGAGGAGATGAGGTGAGTGAAGCTATGCAGACCTGGTGAAAACAGAGGCAGCAACAACAGACTGAATAAATATAGGTTACAAAGCACGTCATCAAAATTTATATTGCTCACAGAGACAAAGTTATAATTGTGCAACAACGCTGAAATTTAGAGTTTGAGGAGAAGGTCACCTCAAATCGTTTGGAATGTATTCTTCTTTCAGATTATGTACAGAGTCAATTACTTGATCATTAAATGTTCACGGGCAATAGCCTTGGTACAGTCTCTCGAAGAATGCGGATGCTTTCTCTCCAGAGAGGTTTAAAACTCTAATTTTTTGGGTATATCCTTTAAATCGTGAGCCAACAAGTATGTAGGTTAAAATTTGAGTCCACTCATAAAACATTTACCAGAATTTGAAGAGTTTTAAAGCTGCAACACAAGGTCTGTACTTGAGAACAACAACAAAGCAATTCCGTTTTATTTAATTATCAAACCACACAATACAACATTCTCTCGTGTCTTTTGTTCTCCTTTTCAAGTTACATTCCCTGCAATAATGGTGCAGTCTGCACTTGTGAAAAGACATGGTTCGCCATTATTCCAAATAATATGGGAGAAAGTACAACAAAGTAGAAACCAGCTTATTTTGTAAGAGGTGGTAGGCGCAAAGTGGAAAGTGCCGTCAAGCCCAACTTTTAGTGAAGTTGCAAAAAGGTATATACTCGCCAACCTCGTCCCAGTTCTAGGAATCTAATTTAGAAAAGAGAAAGACATTTGTCTCAAAGTCAGGATCCTTCGTCCTTAAGTGGGAAGAAAAAGCAACAAGAAGAAGAAGGAAGTGCATAATACTCTACGACATTGACATCGACGACCGACTAAAAACCGTCATCCGTCCAAGAAACGAATGTTTGACAACCGTCAATTTAGAGAGACAAAAACCAATGAAAACCAAGTGTGGCACATTTATTGTGTGTCAAACGAAATTGAAAGGAAAATGAAACACGAGGCATGAAAAACATTTTGGTTTTCACTCGGTTGTTGTATCACTTTGCTGTTTGAAACATGATAAATACCATTTGATGATTTTGTGGGAATGCGAATATTCCAAATTCCACCCTTGTTGATTGATAATAATGCGAAATCTATAAATGAACCAATGCCAAATTTTGCGGATTCCATTTTAAACATATTGATTCAATTATTCGCATTGTTTTACTACTAAATTGGGGACCGACAATGGAAAGAAGGCACAAAGAGAGTAGAGTGAAAGCTAATTTGGAGTTCAAACATGGCCTGTTTTCTTCTCCTACCTGCCTAGTAGGAAAACACTTATTGCAAATAACATGGCTGATTAAATACGGGTCAGCCAAATAAACGAACGAGACATTCCCAAAATATTTTCAACACAAATATTGACTCGATAGAACAAAACAACAACGCATTTCTCAGAATATATGCCCTCCAAATATTTACAACCTTAATTTAAAATAGAATTTAAATGGCGTGAACGTGTAAATAATAAATATGAATGTTGTCAAAATCAATTTTTTTCTCACCATTATAAAGTTTCTCAGCTGCACTAGAACTCTGCTCAGTCTTTGTATTTTCTTGCATTTTCTTGAGCTGTTTTTTCTCCCGTTTACTCAGCTTTCTCTTGAATCCTTCATTCACCGTCGGAGCAGCATCCTTGATTGTGTTGGTCTGTTGAAAGTCGCAAAAAATTGTAACTTTACAAATCAATACGTATACAGTTATTTTTTGGCTGGACAGTGGTGGGAGTAAGAATATAAAATGAAAAAAAAGTGCAGTAGTACAAATCGGAAGATAATTTTTTGTATAATTCTTACGTCGATAATAAGAATTAGGTATGAGAAAAGAATAGAATTTGAAGGTAAAGAATTACGAGAACTACATGAAATGAATACGTGAAGCAAACCAAACAAAAAAATAAAACGGGTGTCCTCATCTATTACATAAAAATCATATCGGACGACCTCATCGATCCTTTTAAGCAAGAATCGGCCCTCGCGGTCATCAGAGTGCCAATTAAGTTGTACGAACAATGGGCGTTCTGGTTCTCCGAGGCGTCGTTCTTCCCCATTTTCGTGAATTTCATATAAGGCATATTGTGGAATTGATAACATTCTCATGTCTGGACGGAATTTCTCCACAAGAGTTTCAATAACTGCTTTCGTGGTGGCTGTGGAAGAGATGCGGACACATTTTGTTGCCACTTTTGCTCCAGCTTCTTGGAAGTAGAAGCGCATGACGCCTTGGAATTCACCATCCTGCAAATAAAAATTCCTATTAGTCATTGTTTAATGTTTAGTAATATAGGGCAGGTCAAAATCATGAAAAGAGGACAACGATTGACGTAATAATTGGTCAATAAATGTTGACAGTGACTAATAATATATAGCAAAATGCATTTATAATGGTCCCGTAACAGATACGCATTTCCGGGTATCACATATTACTCAAACAATATTACAACAAATTACAATTCATCATTTGTCAGACTGATTCTACAGTATCCGTTTAATATTTCGATGCGTTACGTCTCTTTTTTGTTTGTCTTGTATCCAGTGAACGATAAGGAAAGCCAACAAACTTGAATGAACTCGTTGTAATAATGTAAATCGATAAGTAATCCCGCTCAGATAATGCTACTTTTTTATCGAAATTGTATTACATAACACGTAATCATTTCATTACTTTGCATAATAAACTAAAAACACATTTGCATACATACTTAAATCTATGAAATATATAATGTACCTCGTTTGGTTCCGAGATTTCGAATAAATCCAAACGGTTGGCATTCCATTGAGCTATGAGTTGTCGCAAGGCCTCACGTTTTAATATGGTTCCGTCCATGGCTTCGCCGTTTGCTCCCATTTTATTTTTATGATAATAATTGTAAATGCAGTTTATGCATTTCCAGTTGAAAATGTAAAAATTTAAGTCTTTTTTGGATGGATTTGTTTTATGTATTGCTGATTTGCAAATAGGCCGGAGTTTAGTTAGAGAACTATTTATTTATTATCTCTTCTTGTCAATAGAGTAGTAATCTTCCATCCTTCGTCCTGTAAAAGAAAGACAATTAAGAAATTAAGACTAAAAAAAATATTTTTATTTGTTAAATCCCCTAAAAAAGTTGAGACGTATTGATCAAATTATCAAAAATGCTATACAAAATAATATTTTTCCGTGATATGGCGTGATATTCATCTAATTTCATGAATCGTACGAATTTAATAACTAAACAAAAATTGGCGTGAAACTCACTCCAAACCTTAAAAATATCAACTCTTCTTAAATGCAATCTCTTAACAGCTTACACTAGTTTTCGTGCAAACCCAATTCACAAACTTACTTATATGTTCAAGAATTGTAAACTTTTGTTAAATTCCAACCCCACTAACTAAATCTTTTGATATTCACATTTTTATTAAGACACCGAAAACAAAAGTATTCGTGATTTAATTTCGTTGTATTATAATATCATAAAAATCAGTCTGTCAGTCCATTTTTATAGGCACTTTATAAATCAGTCTCCTTCGTTTTAGTACAAAAAACCACTTAATAATCTTGTCAAAATTTCATATTTTTGCTAAAAACTAACACCAATCCGTTCATATTTCCCACAGTCGTTCGTGTATATGTTCCCCTCTTACAGAAACTATTTAGATGCACTTGTTCCCCTGTGTAAAAGCTTCTCCGAGCCTCACACGACTCACTCTTATTAAATGAAACGCATCCGTTAAAAGAGCTCTTTCCTCCCTTTTTCACCGGAATGAACACCCTTAAAAGGGGAGAAAAAGGGAAAATATCACCAAAAAAATTGGCGAAAACTTGTTGACAAAAATATGTAACAGTTTGTATTATTTAACACTACAAGATTCCTCCTTCTTATTATTCACTCACATCTCACTCGCTATACACTTGTTGTAAATGCCAGTGATGTAACATAATAAAAAAGTGGTGGTGGTTTTTAGTGCTGATGATGATCGAGAATCCCAGCCGAGAAAAATAGTGAGGTGAGGTGGTTTGGTTGGTGGGACTCTCTGATGGGGAGGGTCGGTTGATTGGTGAATGGACTCAGGTGTGGAATTCGTTGATCAAGAGTCAAAGGCGTTTTCCATTCTTGCCCTCAAGGCGTAAGGAATCTCTCATTTTTTGCGAGACCATCATCTTAATACCAACGCCAAAGGAGGGCTCCCAGTTAACGGACAGGATCGCAGCCTATCCGAACATTGTTGGAGAGAAGAACATTTAAATCTTTGTATGTAGGAACGGATTCACTTTCTACAGTGTAATGTAATGTATGCATTGCATACCTGCTCATTATTGTACCTGTCCTTAAAGAAAATGAGTCTCCTGTAACACCACCACTGCAACTTTTACAAAATACAACACTTGACTGACCGGCATGACATGGCATCCCAGCGTGGAATAGTATGTGTGTAGTAGAAAGAAGGCTTATTATTATTGTGATTCTTCTCAAGAGTTATTACATTATTGGGATTGGATTGCTGGCTTGATAATATTTCCTATATTTAATATTAAGAGAGAAGTGGAGGTTTGTATGGTGCTGTGATTTTTGGCTCCTCTTCAGATTGGATTGGATGACAAAATGTGCATACGTGGATTGGATGGATAGTAAAAGATGAGATGATCAGGTTGTTGGTGTAGAAGATACGACGTGATCCTAGTTATTAGTGGATATTGCTGGATATTTTTTTGTGAGAGGTTGGTTGTTGTTGGGCGTCGGATTTTTTAAAAGGCCTCTGCTTCTTCCACTACAAATGATTTTATTGTGATGATGCATGACCAAAACATGAATATTCTTGCTTTTACATAGATATAGATAGGAGTGCATGGTACTAGAAAATAATAGCGTGATGGGCGCAAACGTAAAAGTGAACAAAAGTAGATATACAGATACTTGTGTACTACAGATAATAATAATAATATACATATAGATGCATGCATTTCTTGAAGAGAGCAAATTTGCATTGTTTTGTATTTCCAAATTGCTTCCCACTATATAAATCGGAACTTTCTTTGAGCGTGCAAATAACAATGATTTCATACATTTTGTGCCCTGTTTAGTCAATATTTCCTCTTTCGGGGCAGGAAATCGACCAAATTACTTTCTTTTCTCCGTACACACATATCCACATATGTACGTCGTCAATAATACAATGAGCCTTTAGTGGGCAAAGGGCAACACCAAAAAACATGTCGCGTAATATATCCATTTGGAAAATCTGGTGTTTCGTAACGTGCATAAAAAATTACGTATGTCCTCAAGAAAAGTCGGGCTTATATTTGTCAATTTCTTCCCAAATATTGAACCAACTCGAATTTTAAATTGCACAAGAGCTGGGCTATTGGACATTGCATATTATTCTATGGACAGTCGGTGGTCTCACTACTACATGATCTGCCCAAGGCTTTGGAACAAATTTTTGCACAGAGCGATACATAATGATTGACATTTTGTATATTAAGGGAAAGAAGAATGCAACGATCCTGACAACTTGACGTGATCAGAATCTCTCGATGTTGTTGATCTGTCTCTTAAAAAGTTGTGATTTTTTTGTAGATTACCCAACTCAGGAGAAAAATGTTACAAAATCGTAGGAATGGATCATGATTTTCGTGAACAGTTATTAGTATCAACGGTATAAAGCCGATATAGACAACCAATAAGTATGTACCAACGGATACTTATTGAGACAATTTTTTGTTTTTGTGTGTATTTCGTCACTGCGAGATGTACATATTTTGTTTGGTAACTTTACATCAATTTTTTTTAGTACTAGATCATCTTTGATGCATACCAGTACAGGTTGAAAAGTAAGTAAAGTATTTATAAGAGTATAACCAACATTGTTTGGTATGCAAAACAGGGCGACTTGAACTTTGCCTAGATTCACGTCAGATTTGACGGTTTGACAGGATCAGTTTGCTAATAGTTTTTCAAATTAGCTTGAATTACATGTAATTTGCATCGTTAATGTTTAAAATTTAATAAACAATGTGAAAGGATGATGATTTTTTTTCAATATCATCCAAAATCTCGGATATATCAGGTATTCTTTTTGTTTTACGCATCACATGTCACGAGGTTACATCGTAGTTCGGTCAGTCAGATAACATTCCAAAGCGAAAACAAATTTCAACAATTAGAATCCCGACATGGCAGCGAAGGGTAATTCATTCCTTCAATGTGTATGTTGAACCACCCCACGAAATCATACATGTGCACATACGATGAGACCTTTTCAATTTAAATACAGAGAGTGAGAGCGTAAAGGAACATCACGTTGCAGGTTTCATTTAAGCTTTTAACATCAATGTTGTCATTCTAAACCGCAATTTCAAATCTGTATTCATGTAATTTAGAAACTAAAAGTGCGAATCCCGACACAGAAACAATTACAAACCACAGTTTTCAATTTGACGTCCCACCAAACTCTCCCATCTTCTCGTCACCACTCTTCACCCAATGAAATGAATTGCCTTTTTTGTCTCAAATGACAATGACTATTTTTATTCATTCTCTCTGGTTCATTTCATTGTTGAAGTAGTAAACATCACAGCTCACTGTTTCGTAATTGTGTTGTAATTCTATGAGATTGTAATCTAACAATCGGGCATTCAACGCCAGCATGTTTTCGCTACAAACGCCACACACACCTAGAGCTATCCACTATTTCCTCTTCAATACCTAGGTATCCACCACGTATGTATGTGCTTATTATTTACATGAGGACACTACTTATTTCACTCCATTGTGACAACGTTTCTATTGCTGGATTGGATTATTTAATTTATGTAATGCAATAAATAAAAGTGCGGAAAGGAGCGTATGTACTAAAGTGAAATGTTAACTCACCTCATATCACCGCATCATCAATGTGATGATCATTATTAACAATTGAATGTGCGTGTGTCCTGATTTTTACTACTGGGAACTCCTACTCACTCACTACCACCGACAATGATTAATTTTCACAAATAAAATACCACAACTTTTTTGTGACAAATTGATTGACCATGTTGTGATTCTACTTATTAAATTACTCACTACGTTTTAGAACACATTTTCATGAACATTTTCAAAATGTTTGTTAAATTGAGGATTCCTCACTTTTATTTAACCCAGCAAAATGTGCACATTTCACTCGTGTGCCATAAGGCGAAACGCAATTAAATCCTTGTTAAAAATTAGCTCAGGGTTGGTTGACACTATCAACGAGAAAATGATGAATATTTTGATTTATACACTTAACTGTCGGAATACATGAAACGAGACACTGTGTCATGTCATAAATAAATCCATTAGCAAACTAAACAACAGAAGAACAGAACAGAACATGAGATGAGACTCTCCAACGTCTTCTTCTCCTGCACTTGTGTTTCCGATATAATTTAACGGAAGTAACTGTACAACTCAGTGTTATAACCCTTTTAACCCAACAAGATTACGATTAAGGAGACGTCTGAGACGAAAAGCACAACTTTAACTGGAGCAGAAGGAAATGATCTCAAAGGTTTGGATTCTATTCTGCAAATGAGCATTGGTAATGAAATGACTCAAGCTTTAAAAAATACGGACGCACAGTCAGACTTTCATTCAGTCAGTCATCCACCAATTCAACTGTAAATAGGGAACATTAGCCATTACGTACGTACATACTCGAAATATATGTAATAACATCGTTTGTTAGTTACACAGTCAGGAATGCGCATAAATTACGGTGCTTTACCACCACCGAATTCTTTTCCACGGATGCAGTGAAATACAGAGCGCGATGATAACCACATATTTTTTTATAAGGGGTATAAGAAATTAATTGTGGTTTCTCTTTCTCAAGGGATTCATGTTCGAATATGTGTTATGGTTCGCAATAAATGATGTTGTTTACATTCCGATTTGTTCTTAATCTTATTGAGCAAAGTGAGAAACATTTTGTAAATGGGATGCAATATAAACGATTGTTCGCATTCCATGAACATGTCTCTTGGGCAAACTACATATTTATTACGGCATGAAAACTACTGCATACACGAAGTAACAACATAATCTGCAAAATAATTACAAAAAAAGTTTATAAGGATTAACGACATCGAATGGTGTTGTTGGATGTAAGATTTATTTTTCTCTTCTCTTGGTTAAACAATTTAGACACGCCAATTCTACATTTCTGCCTCAATTTAGTCACACAACCAAATACATTTTTGTGAGTAGCCATTGCGCAAATTTGTTTGAATAGGGCTCAAAAAAGTAATTAAGGAATCAAGTCTGAATTGAAAGAAGAGAGAGAGATTTTGAGCCAAACTGCGGAATATCTGCATGAAAATGATGAATAATACGGGAAGACGACAGAAATTTAAATGCTAAATGTTTTCTGTACGTATGTATGTAAAGAAAAATGACATCTCAATTTTCTGCAGGCTGAATGAATCTAGTTTTTATGTGAATAATTGTCATGAATAAATTGACTGCGTCGGTAGTAGAGAAAAATGAATGGTATGTAACATTTTTTTGTCATTTTGGTGACGATGCAGACGGTAAAACCTGCTAAAAAGTACCGCATTTTATCTCAAAATTACATATATGTATTTCTGCGTATATGAAAAGATCTCAATTTTCATATCATGCCTGCACATATGACAACTTTCCTTACTTCTACCCCCTATTAGTAACAAAATTAAAGAACAACCCATTATTACGAGGATGTGACATACTCATTAAAAATCCTTGTCTACTTTCCGCGAGCAACGTGCATTGCATATTTCTGCCAAAACTTTGCACGACATTCTCCATGAAAAAATTACATGCAAATTATTAAAGGTGTAGACGCCAACATGATATAACTTTTCTTCTGCATGGCAAATGCATTTTAAAAATTTAGCATCAACACCATCCCCAAATTGCTGCTGCATTCATTTCATTCTTGCAAAAAAATAAGTTAAGAACATCACTTTTTTAGCTCGAGGCTGTAGCAAAAGTACTCCAATAATAATATTTCACAGTTTTTGTGATGGGAGCACTAAATATAAAATAAATGTCATTTTTGCACTGATGAGTAAATCCTTCTTGAAGAGTGAAATAAAGCAGAGTCGTATTTGCTACTGCACATTGTTTGTTGGGACGATACATATTGTGCTCGAAAAGGATTAGTTTCATGGTTCGTAGTCACCCACGACCGAGATGGAAATGGAATGAAAATCCGTCATCAAATCAAATCAAAATCCACTCGAGCCGTGACGAGGTTTACACTGTCAGTCAGTTACATGTGCACTTGTTTTGTTGGATGGTAGAAGCGTATCAAATTAATATCGAATTAGGTAGTAGTTTGGTTTTAGAAGCGGCCGCATATTGAATTGAAGTGGCATGGTTTATTTATATGTGGTTTGGTTACTTTACTTTACTTACTACTATACGATTGTAGTTTTGTCGAGTAATTGGATTTTTTTTAAAAGCGACTTATTCCATTTCGAGAAAGACAAGACAATTGTAGTGGAAAATGAATGAGAACATGTACAAAAATAATATTAGAGTATATGCAACGACGACATTTGTGCAACCTGCACTAATTGTAATTTAAGTAATAATTTGTAAAAAGTCGAAATTTTACAAACCCTTAATTCGACGCGAGTTCCTCGTTAGGTTGACGTTTCACTTGAAAAAACTAATTTTAACATTAATATTTTATTTAATATACACAAAATTCCACTGATTACTTAATTTTTCACTTGAAATTAGATTTAAACAGCAAACACATTTCACCCTCTGGTACACATTCGTCATTCACAATTACAAAGTCAAAACTTGCATGTACTTCATAAACTTTATTGTATTGTTCTATTTTGTCATTTTGAATGTCTTTAATCGCATTATTGATTCTAATAGAATAGGTATTTAGGTCATATTTGATTATGATGGGACGTCATTAAATAGCTTAGTTAAAGGAACACGTAAAACAATAATGTTTTGAATCGGGGAAGGAAACATAAATCGTTTGTGTTGGATTATTGCTTGCGCCTCTAAAATCATGATATCAAATTACACAGAGAAGAATGCTTGTTCTGCTCGTGTGGATTGTGATGTCATAATTATGTGCTAGAATATTTTGCTTTATTTAATTCGTTCCGTGCAGTATCGACATGCAGTTTTTCCCAAAGTAAAGAAATGTTGGTCAGGTTTTTAGTCTTTTTTACGACGGAATTGCGTCTATGAGTAATATTTTTGCGGTGGAACGGTACAGATGTGCAGACGAAAATACGTATCAACACCACAACTGCTAAGTTTTGACTGATGGTAATATGGTGTCTAAAAAGCAGTGGCATGCTTCGTTCGTTTGGCTTGGCTTGACTTTAGCTTGGCGTGCAAATTTGGATGTTTTGATGAGTTAGCAACATCGTTAGGTCAAAAATTAGCAAGCATCAGTCATCAACTTTGTTTAGTGTTTGTAACGCAGTGAAAATCTTTTTGTCTGCAAACAGCTCGACATACATGGCGTATAGTTTTGGTAATGAACCAGAATGTAAGTACTACACGCAGATTACTTGTAGTCGTATGTATATTGTTGGTATTTCTCAGGTTTTTTTTATGAACTTGGAAAAAAACTATGATTTTGTTGAGTTATCATCATTTTAACGAAAATATAGAACAGTTAGACTTTCTTGTTAGGAAGAAATTGTTAGAGAATTTGAAGGGTTTGTAAATATTTTATTCAGGTTGAACCACATCCTAATATCCATCCATTCTGTGAAGGACCATTACCCATTTCATCATCATCATTTCTGATGTGCCGAAGGATTTTTCGTGATTTTGCGAATGCTGCTGCATTTCTAATGATTCAGATTTACATAATGAGCTTACAGTTAGTTTAGGAATGTAGGACGTGAGTTGTTGTCATTATACCAGGTTTCGTTACAAATTTACATGTGTAAATATGTGAAAACAATATGTGGGCTGAACACGAGCATTTTTTACACAAAAATATATGTATGCATATCAGTTACACATTTTATTGTAATTTGTCATAAAATAAATCTCCAGTGAGGTACAATTTTGATTTATGTACATTTCTTTCACCCAGTCAGTTAGGGTTGTCCTTGATGTCGCGCATTTAATTTTTGCATTTGACACACATTTGACTCTTACTAATGTTTTAATCATGAAAGAAAACTATGTATTTATGCGAAATAAAAATAAACATTCAAAAACTAAATCGTGTATATAAATTTAGTTTTTTATTTTCATAAAAAATTCACCAGATATTCATACCTTATTACATAACGTCGTCATCAATTTTAGTCCAGCTCCTGACGAGATAAATACAAATTTCTGTTTTTGGAGTACATGATAAATTATCTTAAAAAATAAAAAGAAATTCTGTTTTCGTAATTTGTGGAAATTGTTAGCATTTGTCGTCCATTGATTTGTCACGTATTAATTATCTTTTAGTCGTAAGCTTGATAAAATCACAGTAAACATTCAATAACTCATTTTCAATCGCGAGTTTGGAGGAACTTTGAAACATTGGACTGTTTTTGTAAAATTAGTCATTTGTACTGATTGGTTACTAATTATCCTGGAGAATTTGGTAACTGTAAAGCTGCCGAGATTGAAACTTCTTCATTCGCATACAAACAGTAAAGCCGTCGACCATCCTTGGAGTAGCGGATTCTAAATGAATTTATAATAATGTTATGAAACTATCTGCTTGAATAGTGCAAACTGGATAGTTCCGCATGCAGCAGAAATTAATATTTAATTTTAATTACCTCTGAATTGGGAGTGAAGCCAGAGGGACAACCTTTATGTCGCTAATAAATTTGAGATCCCAAGTTGAGTAGAATCTACGACAGATAAGTTTGGGCCATTGGTACATTGCTGCACTTTCATAATTTATTCGTAATTATGAGCTCGGTCTCTCTCTTTACTTACTTGATGTGACCATAGTCGCAACCCACAGCGATTAAATTTACATTTTTCCCAGGGTCCAACCCACTCAAACAGGCAGACTCGACTTTCTCCTCGGGTTGTATTCTGCCGATCTCGAAGCCATTAATTGTGGACAACGTGACAGTGTTTGTGGACAAGCTCACAGTCACAATGTCCCCAGTGGATCTGGACGCATTGACAGAATCGATGCTGTAAGGACGCTGAATTATGTTGATGTAAGCGACTCTATAAAAGTGTGCAAAATTTATAATGCAAATACGCCGAGGATAGAATGTTAGTGTGGTTTATTTTTTTGCATGGAATGAATGTATACCTCGTCATATCCCAAATTATGGCATGATTTTCTCCCGAACAGGATACCGCTGTGTTAAACTCGAAATTTAAATCGATACATTTTATCGGCTTGTAGTGCCCGACTAGATCAAACGTTTCCATAATATTTTCCAGGTTGAGAGACAATTTCAAAACTGTGATTCGGCCGGATTGATAACCTGAATTGGGGAAAAAACCAATCAATAACAGTAACCAACCTGATAAGATAAACTTTTACTTACCAATCCAGATGCATTTTTCTGTCGTTGCGCACGCTGTAATCTGTGGTGAAAGGAAATGGTTGCAAATTATTTAGAATCTTCTAATTAACTTTTTACAACGTGTTTCAATTATTTATCATGTCCCACCTCGTCCCCAATACACAAATGGATTACTTTGGACTTGATCTGAATTTCATGTGAACTCCACGCTCCAACGACGGTATCACCCATGATAAGAGTGCCTTTTGGCCAAAATAGTATTCGAGTTTGGGTTTCAAAGAGGCACATTTCATCCGAGTATTCCCTCGTATTGACCATTTCCAATTCTGAGCATGTCGGCGAACCGAGGAAATAACCCCATTTAATTCCACTCACAGTGTCCAGTACTTCCTGCAATGATAGCAATTGTAGTTTTTTTGCACCACATGATGACGATAAAGGGTTCTAATTTCACAAACCATTTCGCAATTCTCCACCGAGCACCACATTGACCTCGGATGCATGGATGAAAACAATTGTTTGGGAGTTTGCCCGTAATGGGCGACCATTGCCCTTCTCGCTTTTCTTGACAATTCATCGCTAACTCCTTCAATATCGAAGCCCTCGTAGGTCTATTAAATCGAATGAGATTGTTTCATCATACGTACGCACTTGAGATTAATGATAAGATCAACTTTCACTTACCGACGGATGGAAAACATTCATCGCTTGTACGGCCGGTTTTCCACTTTGTTTATACCCAAAGACGAGGTCGATCCAGTCGCACAATAATTTTCTCACGTGATTACTTTCCAAAGCTTGTCTGTTAATTAAAATGAAGAGCCTGGGATCCTTTTTCGCCCAGGGTGGAAGTTCTACGTGATCAACGCGTTGTCCATTTTGTCTCACTCCGAAATTAAAGTGTTGAGTGTTTTTGAGAATTTCGGGAAGGTAATAAAATTCGGGGATGGCTTCTCTGTAACGGTGATAAATAATATGAAATAATATGAAAATGCCCGTGAGATTTGAAATAATTTGACTAACTTGAAATCCGTATTGGATTCTTTAGCAGCAAGTCTCCATGTCGTTTCAAGGCTGTGAAAACTTCGATCAGGAATGTCAAAATTCCCGTCTATGGAATACAACATGTCATAAAATGTATGTTTTAGTGGACAAGTAACAAATAAGTTTCACGGTCTTCTGCATACCTTGGTATTGTAAGAAATGTTGAGTATAAGGTGGCAATCGGATCAGATAATGCAGCACTATTCCAGAGTTTGAATAGTGAGACCCGTAAAAAAATGGAGGAAAGTCCATTTCACGTTTCAGATACTACAAGATTACAAAATCCAATTTTTCCCTAGGATAAGCACAACAATTTACATAAATTTAATTGCCAACTCACGTTATAAGTGGTCATAAAGTGTTCCTCCTTTGAGGGATCTTGGATAGCCATGGGTCTCCTTAAGTCCCGATATGATTGTAGTGCATTCAAGTCAAGCGTCAGTGTGTCATATTTGGCAAGGACAAATGGGAAGACGGGATACTGCGGTGGTAATAAATTATTACGCGTAAAATCAATGCAATTCTGCACCAACAATGTGTATATATTTCGAACCATACTAACCTGCATGAGGTCACAATAAGTCCTGCAAAATGTAAAAAAAAACTTTTAAATTTTGGCAACTTGAAGCGGATTCGAAACTTTCTCCAATATTTCTAACCTGCCAGATGCAGTGTTGAGGTACATTAAATAGTCATAGTTTGAGAGAAGACCTTTGGTCCATCGGTACGTCATGGTGCTAAGGGAGGAATCCATCATGATAACATTTTTCTTCTGGTGTGCGAGGGCTTGCTTGATTTGGATAAAGCTCATGAATTCTTCTCGATCTTTGAAGCTCGCAAAAATAAACAGGTAACTTTGACTGCCCACAAAAATCTCGACTCCTCTATTTTCATGGGCGAATCTCCGCCGAAGAATGTAGACCACGTAGGTCAAGGAGACTTCAAGGTTTTCAGATCTCTCTCCAGAATTCTTGTTGAGGTCAGGGATAAAATAGAGCGTGTCGGTACTAAGGATTACTTCACCACGGATTTCTTCACCTGGGATTATCCGCATGCACAAGCGCATATATTGAATTTCAGTCTTGATTGTGGGAAATTTCATCAGTTCATCGCAACTGGTGTCTGATTGAAGTAGTAAATAATCCAGTGGATGACAGGTTTCAGCATCTGTGAATAGAACGTAATATGCATTCATTAAAGTTTTATGGGCTTGGCTTATGCATTTGGAAATTTTCACGAGTAGATAGAATATAAAATTCGGTAGATTATAACATAAATAAGTAATAGGCGCGTCTAGGTGGCACCATGAAACAAGTGGTAATTTTGATTACCAGATATTCTGTAGTCTGGCAGAATAAATCGCTGCGGGATTTTGAGGTGCTCTTTGTGAAGACGAAGTCTCATCCTACCTGGACCCTCGGACTGGTCGAGGGAAGAAAACCTTAAATATTAACATGTAATTAGTTTTAGTGTCATGATAAGTGTAATTTTTGAATATTAAAACTGACTTTGGATAAAGATCAGCAAAATGCCAGGGAGCTTTAGGATGACCAAGTTGCTCCGTAATTGCCAACCATCGCCTCCTCGCAATGATATCGTCTTCCCGAGTGCAAATGGATTTGATAACCTAAATAAATATTTGTGTCAGTTTTTGCGTCATGCTAACTTCAGATTTTATTAGGCTCACCTCCACCCCCATTTGTGTCCTCGTTCTCGTTACGGATTCAACCACTTGAACTGCAAAATTAGCCGTGACTTCGAAAATACTTTCAAAATAGGTGGCATTGCAGAAGTAACCCTTGTTCACACTGGAATTCTTGACCCTCACGGATTCATTATTTTGCGTTGGTGACGAGGGGGAGGAGGGGGCCATTGGGGAAATACTGGGAGTGATACTTGTCCTCGTTTTCTCCAAGAGGGCCAGACACTGTTTCAACTCTTGGTACGATACCCCACAAACTGGTGGCGTTTCAAGTAGAAGTTTAAAATTTCTAAAATCTGCGGAGAAAGTTGAGAAATTATTTGTGGGCGATAATATTCCTGCGTGAACCAAAATTGAGATAAATTTTTCTCGGATCGCTTTCTCCGCATCTTTTCGTCTCGTAGGCGAGTTTCTTTCGGAGCTTGGTTGGTTTCGTTCTTCGCTTTGATTTAGTTCAGTTAATGGGACTTGTACGTCTTCTGATTGTGCTTCATCGTCATGCCTTAATTGTTCTATTCGAGGAGGTAAGTTTGGGTTTAATTTCAGCGATAAATTATTGCTCTCTGTAAGCAATGACTCGAATGATGGATTATTTACACGGTCGGGAGAACCGTTTCCATAATTTTCAGAATTGTGTCTCTCCTTTTGCGTCGCTTCTGATAAGAAGAGACGAAGAAATGCGGTGAAACATCGCTCCATTGAGGCATCAGATTTCAGAACTTTTGGCAGCCAGGATTCCAAGTTGGAGCAATTTTGAAGCAGTACTTTCAAAACTTGTTGTTTCGTGTCAAAGTCGACCTTGTGGGGAACGAATATTTTTGAGAGACAAACTCCCATCAGGAAGGTTAACCGTTTCTTGTTATTCTTAACGAATCCGATCCAATTTTCCGTCTCCAACGCGTCTCCTTGATCCACTTCCATAATATGACTAGCAAACAGAGAAAGGAGCCATTTATCAAAGTTGTGTCCAAATCTGGACGCTGCGCTGCGTTCCATAAGCCATAAAACTCTGTGATTGTAGTCACTTTTTCGTAAATCCTTTCCCGGATAGTTTTTCAAAATGGAGATTGCTTCTCTGTAAAATCTTCCCAAGAGGGGACTGCCATTTGGGCCAGATTCTAACGCCGGACAAAACAACACTTTCCACGGATCTTCTTTCGAATTAAGGATATTGTACCGGATAACGTATGAAATTAGGGCGTTAAGTTGTCTTATGGTGGATGTGAGAGACACTGATTTATAGCAGTTTAGTATTGTTGGGATAATTCCCAGTGACATCAAGGCAGGTATCGTTCCAGGTTCATCTTCCTGAACCCAGGTCAAGATTGTGGTCAAAATGGTGTTGTTTTCCAACAGGCTGAGGGCGAGAGGGTATGAGACAGGGCCAAATCCTTGACAAATGCTGCTCACCACGGGAGCCATTTCCGGTTCCCCGTGAAGGTACAAGCTTGTCAGGAAAAAGCCCTTGTTCTTATTTAGAAAAGCCGTGACACATGGATTTTTTACTCTGGACAAGTAGCTCGAGAGGAGCTTGAGAGCTAATGTCTTTATCGTCACGTTTGTATGAGAACAATATGCAACGAAGAGATGGGAGTTGACGTGCGGTCTCAAAATGGAGAAAAACGCTCCATCCGGAAGAATTGCCAGGGCGTTGAGCAACACTGACATCAACGCTTCGACGAGAGATTCTTGAAAAGTATTTTGAAACGCGTCGTACTGAGATCGTTTAAATGTGCCTTTATTGTAAGCTTTTTGGTTGGCAGTTTTTCCCACAATTTCTGGAATGTCCTCATTCATGAAAACGACGTCATCCAGTGTTTCCTTATTTTCGTTGGTCTTCTTGTCATGATCATGATTAGATATGGAAACTGTTGGGGGAAATTTTGCCACTTGAGGTAGTGAGGAGGAGGGTTGCACATCCTGAGTCTGCTCTTCCGCTATTGTTGCGAAACTTGGTAATTTGGTTTGATAGAGGAAGAATGCATCTTCTTTTCGAGGTAGTGGAGGACATTCTTTGGGGAGGAGGGGGAACATGCCATATTTTACGATGGCGACACAAGCATACGCATCTGGTGGGGCCATTAGTTCCATAAAGATTGATTTTACCAGAGCACATATCCTCAAGGCGTCGATGCAACTTAGTGGGGACAGTGGAACTTCCTTGGGTGCAGATGCAGAGGATTTTTTAGCAGCAGTGGAAGTTGACGGGGTGGGAGTGGTACTCTCTACCGGCGTGATAAATTCCTGGGTCGGGTGCACCACCTCAGGTTTACATTCAAAAATCATATTGCAACAAATTGATAAAATTCTGTTGACAAAATCCTTGGATTTTAGCGTTGCGATGTTGGTGGTGCGATGCATATTCTTTTCTAGCAATAAATCCAGAATGACCGTGAGTAGACATTCGAACAAGGTTCGTCGTCCCGTTGGGGCTTCTGCATCCGTGCACCGGATACGAATCAAGGTTCGCCATGAGGACAAGAGACACTTGTCGAGCAGATCGTAGTCGAGGAGTTTGTTCCCACTGGAAGTGACACAGTGATGAACGAGAACAATAAATGTTTTAAACCCGAAGGCAGATCTTGCATTATTTAAGACGAAGCGGATGAGATTGTAATGCGGGGATGGTCCAACATCTGTGACCTTCGCGTGATTCTTAATTTGACCTAAGGCCAGGGACAATCCTTTAGACTGGATGTCGTCACCGTCGCATATTTCCACCACCTATGACATTTATTGAAGTACTGTATCGTTGCATGGATAGTAAGTGGCCGCGGAAGCCATGGGGACATCGGGGGAAAAGGTGAGGGCGGGGCTTATACAACATGGGCAGATGATGGGGACATCGAATAACCGTGGGGACATTGTTCCCCTGTCCCCACGCTTCCGCGGCTACTGACTGTGACTGGCAATCTACATATTCGACAGCTTACCCTTGCATAAAGAAACAGCATTACGTTGAAACCTCCAAGCTGATGCAAAGCCCATTGGAAATCGTTTCGATTTTGAGATGCAGTCAGACAGTCGATGAGACGCTCCTATATTACATAAAAAGATCAGTTATGCTTATGTCTGGATAAGAAATATGTCTCAAATATGTATTATTTATTATGCTGCTCCTATCACGTACACAATCCTTCCTACGTAACGTATTAGCTTTAAAGCAGTCAAAGACCTTCTGAAGCTCATTGACGGTAATGGCCCCACCGTCTGTTGGACACCATTGGTCCAAGAACTGAAAGTCATTAATACCTTCCACGGAGGCGGAGGATGAGGCAGTAATGTTGCTGGGATTACGTCTGGTTGTTGGGTTTAGCTGATTAATTTCTGCTCCGGGGATCGTCAATAGTAAATTTGACCCCTGTGCCCGGTTCTGATGGGAGGATTGTTGAGGGGGAGAGGTGCGCTGATTATTTATGATGGAAACGCTTGGGCCGGCAGACTTTGTTTTGCGAAGGGCTTCTTTGTTGACATTTTTCTCTTTTTTTAATGCTGCAGACCCCGTGACCCGATTGGTTGGGGTCGCATCGCTTTGGTCGGAGTGCGTCTGGTCGTCTTGTTGCAGAGTATTTTGTAATTCATTGTCATCTTCGGAGGGGAAATCTTCCTCTGCTGTGGAATAGACTGAGGAGGATGAGGAGGACGTGACTTCCTTTTGACTGCGAGGAATAGGGTCGACAACGCGGTTATCTTTGTTGTCGATGGAGTGCTGAGCCTAGAATTTTGTATCGGTTGAAAAGATTGTCATTTAAATTGTAATGTGCAAAATATCTTCATGTTGATGCTGTAAACTAGTAAACAATGATGCAATAATATTATGGTTCATAACAAACAAAACAAGCTCAAAATTATGTGGCGTAGTTTAAAAATTATTATTTAAAATTGACTAAGCTGTCTGGAGCATCAAAAAGATTGAGCAGCAATACATAAGTAGTCAATTAATCCGGACGTGATACTTAAAATTTGTTAGGCAAAGCTTCTACATATGAAATTGCTTATCTCATTCTCGTGCTTGTTATAAATCTTTTTTGCCACCTACTTTGTCACGTAACAATTGAAAATACTTTTAAGAAGATTCTTGTGATCCGCTAAGTTGCAAGTGTGATCTAGCACATTGCTAAAAATATCATAATACTTTTGTTCACGAACCAAGTATTGCAGATGTTTCTAGAAACATCTTGTATCGTATGTCAACAACGATTAGTGACGATTTATGTACATAGGTAATATACGTAAGTATTTTCGCATAAGTAATAAAGAACCACGCAAATATAAAATGTTTATGAGATCTGTTTCTACAAATGTTATTATGCATGCCAGAGTGCAAATCTTTAAGAGATAGAAGGCAAATTAAGACACGCTTCTTTTTTATCAAGTATCAAATGTTATGTTACCTTGTTGTCGGAATCTTCCCGTCGAAGAATATTGTTTTCCAATTCTTTTAATCTTTTTGAATCCATTTTTTTACATGGTATTTGTCAAATGATTTAAATATTCGTTTAGCAGAAAGATCAAACTTGCACTATAATAGTTTATTTTGTGTTTGTAAACAGCACTTTCACTTTTTTTGCATTTATGTGCAGGGAATTAATATATCTTTTAGTGTACTTATTTTATAAATATAATAATTAGAGATTGATGTCACAGGAAATATGTATGTGCATGACATGTCTCCATTTCCACGTGATAGTCAATGTGTAGTAAAAGTAAATACGCGATCGTCCCGTGATAAATGCTTATCACAAATGATTCAATATGAGAATGTAATATTTACTTGATCTGTTAATCAGTATTGTTTTTAGAGAGGCCTGACTTCTCGTGGTCAACAAACAGCTATACGCAGTCTATTTGACTGAAAATTGTCAACTTATTTAGTAACTCATGCATATGTAAATTTCCTGATTTTCTATTAACTAGATCATTCTCTCCAGTTTTTTTTACGTCGACTGTGTTAAATAGTGAGGTGCGTTTTATATTTCAACTCTGGAAATGTGGATCAAACAAAACTGGTTTATCGACTCCAATTATTGTATAGGTTATAACTTAAGTGAACACATTTATATGCATGTTTCACTATTTGTTCATCGAAAAGTTTTGTAACGTAGGGTCCTTACACACTTCGTGATGGTCACTTAGGCACCTTGAAGTTATGATATGGGGACTCATGCACTCGCTATTTGCACAATTGTAAGTAGTATCTTTGTTAAATTTGAATGGGATCATGCGTGCAGGAATTTAGCCCCGTTTGCTTTTGGAAGTTGATATATTTGTATATTTATTATTGACCAAACAACTCGGGAGTGGCGGGATGATAAGTATACACGAAGATAAGCAATTTGTCCAGTCACTTGTGCGGTGTTCTGTTCTGAATGAATTCTGACGATGAACTGACTACCATCGGAAGGTGTATGGAGGATGAATATAATGCGAGATAAGCCGGCAGAGGAGAAAGATAAGTCATTAGTGACATATGTGTGTCCAGGCAGGTATGCATTGTACTTTGTCAAACCATACTGCTGAGCTTACTTGGGTTAAATCCTATTTTATTTATTCATAATCCATGAATGTGATGCAGATTAGTGGAATAACATTAAAACAATTGCCTCCGTGTTGTTCTTACTCTGGACCAGATTCATCCTTATTTTATTACCCAAACATAATCCGTGATCCATGTCATCCCATCAATGAATGATAAATATTGTATTGTAAGACATGAAGAAATGGAGCACGTGTTAACATCCTGCTAAGAAATTAATCGTTTTTAATAGGTACACATATTTCTAGTAAATTGGAAAAACGACCGGAAGTGCAAGTTGGTTACATAGATTGCTTTCCCTTTCGGGGACGACATTTTGGGGAAATGCGATATAAATATTTGCAAAGTCCTGTATCAACAGGAAGAAAATGGTTAATTATGCATGTACACAGCAGCTGAATCATTATGATGACACATGCGGAACACATTATGTGCAGATTGGCATTTCCAATTTGGGAGATCAACATAAGGATGTATTGATTTATTTTGACAGTTATCACAATTACTGCATGTAAATAATCTCTCCCATTAACTAACCCCTTTCTCATTAAGAATTCATGTACGAGGAGGCATTCCATTGCTTGTCTATAAATCCGTGTGAGTAGAATAAATAGCGATATAAGAATCGCAACATGGAATGAAAACCCAATAGGTTTTGGTGGTGGATGATGGGAAACTGCGTCGGTAAAGAGATTAGCTGAACAGTTGCATTCCACTTTCTTTTCCAGCATTCTGACATAGATATCATTCATACTTATCATTGAATCATGTGACGTTGTCACATGGACACAATTAAGCACATGAGGAAGTTCCGTTGATTCCTATTTTATTGTACATATGTCCACAAAATATGCATACATGAGACTCCACACGTTTCGGTATAAACTTTTTGTGTATGTATGTAGATGCAATTTTGAGGCGTGTGCAAGTCAACGAGTAAATGCTTAGGTAATAGTTTTCTAAGGCAGGTCAATTTTTTCCAGAACATATGCGACGATAGAATTATTGTATGAAAATCGAGGTGGTTCCAACGGGAGTGGCATCGTTCCCACCCTCTACAAACCTATTAACAGCAGCTTGTCATTAATTTTTTTTATTTAACAAGGGGATTGAGAACAAGGACCAGAAATTGCAGCTCAGGATTATATTTTATGTATTACTATGTACTTTCGTTAGTACCGATATTCGTCTGCAGAAGTGAGTGATGACGACGATTCGTGATTACGATTAAATTATGTGACGTGAACTTTCAAGACGATTAATACAAAAAATAGGTACCTACCTGCATCTATTTTACTGTTATTTGTGTACACCATTAAATTGCACGAGATACTTATCTTCGGAAATGGTTTCCGAATTTCTAAATGCTGAAAAAATATATATGGCGTGGAAGTCGGACAAATAAAAAGTTCTGGAACTGGTTATTATAAACCTGGAATATTTAGTCTACACATTGAACAACTTTTCATAACGTTAGTCAAGATTAGTTTGTAAAATTGTTATGCAATTTTGGCATTATTTTGCCTGAACTCGTGGAGTATGACACAATCCGTATTGCACTATTATTAATTAGCATAAATTCTAATAGTAGTAATCCTATCTTAGATTTGTTTTTCACTTGTTTTGTGCGTCGTAGTATACTATGTAATCTTCTAGTAGTTAGTTATCTAACTAACTCAACTCAAGGCAAATGAAAAACCTTGACGGATGACGTTTGACGCGTGGAGGATTAGAAATTGGCATGGATTACCTGTTATCATGTTGTATAATAATGTTGGAGCTTTCGATTTGGGATGGTATTTCAAATTGGTCTACGACGCAATTTACGAATAAGCTGGATGTTGATCATCAATTTTTTCAGGTGTTTCTAGTTGCATTAATATTTATATTTAGAATAATGACTCATTTACGTATGTTTATTTTGTGCAATTAGATATTGTGAACCGGATATGATTAATGATTTATGTTTGTTATTTATGCGACCTTCTTAATAAAATAAAGTTCATATTTTATGTAGATTTAATTACAGGTTATTAAACAACAACTTAATTATGTAACAATTATTATGGTCTCAAGTTTAGTAAAAAAATATATGCTTATCTTCCAGACAGACAATGTAAGGTCACTTGAGGCATTCAAAGTTAAAAATAGCTTTTATTTATCTCAAAAATAACAACAAGAATAATGGCCAAGATTTTGGTGTCAATGACGCAACAGGAAATGAGAGATTTGCGTTTATAAAGCATGCTAGGACAATTCTTGGCTGATTTATATAACATGTGCAATTTGCGACATTACTGCATTTTAAGCATAGACACGGTGATTTCTATAACGCAATTCTAGATCACACAATTGCTCGAAGAACCCATCATTAGGAAAAATCGGCCTGCGTTTTCTGAAAAAAAGAAAAGAAAAAATACACTTTTTGGAATTTATCCAACAAACAATTAATTGGATATCTGTCATGTGTATGGAAATAAATAGAGCGTATTCAAGCTTCCGACACATGTCACGCGTATCCATGAATGGTTAACAGAAGCAACTTTTTAGTGTATACCTGACGGTTCTCACTGCTTCCTTGGCAGACATAGACTTCTTCATCATAAGATAAGCGATTATCAATGTGGCAGAGCGACTGATTCCTTGCTGGCAGTGGACATAGACGATCCCTCCTTTCTTTAAAGCATCGTCAATGAATTTTGTACTCTCCTCGAAATTCCTGTAGATTGGAAATCTCTTTTCGTCGTGGGCTTGTACACCCTTAAATTGGATGCCGGAATGGCTGTAGTATGAGGGCTTGGTGAGCACCTGCATGGAAATTTGCATGCATTTGCATGTATTATTATGCATATGATTACCTATTCGTTGTATATTTATGGTACATACGCAAGTTCCGCAAATGTCCTTAGATTCGCAATCTGAACACGCCATTGCTGCATTAAGGATGTGTGTGACTCCTTCACTGACCAACCTCCGCACACTTAAAGCTGTTGTTCTATTTAAGAAAGAGGTGGTAAAATTAGGCAAAAAAATCGAGTAATACATAAGGAAATGCATAAATGTATGTATTTCACATAAAACAAAATCCGATGTATGTATTTACAAAGAAGTGACGAAACTTACGCATCTCCAAGCAAAATTCCGGGATACACCTCATCGTACGAATTTCTTGGTGGACACCAACCCTCCTTCACGATCTCCCTGAGGTCTTCCTTCGTAGTCCCTGTGCCGAACCTTCTCGTGTACATTTTTAGGAAACAAATTGTGTTTTTTTAAACTTTCACTTAAATATTTGTAATCAATTTAATTTTAATTAGGAAGGCTGAATAAACTATTGAACTGAAAGTATGTATGTAGTAATTAATTTTTTTCTCTGTCTGTGTTCCACATTCACTTTCAATTCAACAGTCTGAACGACAAAACAACCTTCCGCACCCACCACAAGAAGGAACTGATTAAACGACACTGAATGAGTTTGGAACTGTGTCGGTGGACTTTTTACCAGAAGATTTCATGGGATAAAATAAGTGGAGTGGGTTGAAAAACCATGCAAAGTGTGTATGTGTAGAAGAAATCGGTATATATCGTGATCCCGTTCTTAATAAGAAAAAAGAACTATGTTACTACTATGTACCACCACGGGGTACGGAAAGTGTTATAAAGAGGGGAATAATAATTAAATGTTATGCTTGCGAATCTTGGGGGTATTGTATGTAGGCATGCTCGTATAGTTAGTTAGTTGGTGGTAATAATATGAGCATAAGCATGGCATGACGGCATTCTCAGAGTTCATGGGAATGTTCTCTAAAAATAAAGTGACTTTGGCACTTTTCACCGTTTTTTAAAGCTCGTCTTCTCTTCTCCTCTGGTCTCACTCGACTTGATATTGCGAATAATAATATCGTCATCACCCCACTGAATCCGATTCATCTAAGAGAATATATAATCTCCGTAGTTGTGAAATCCAAGCTATGTGTTTATGCAACTGGTGCAAAAATGTTTGCGCTCCAGCCGTATGATAAATTGCGAATGATTTGTTTGCAACTTTTACAGAATTTCGTGATCTTGGTTTACTCGGCTTGTCTCATTTTAAACAGTTTTAGTGTACCGTGTCCTTGTAAATATCTATCAGCCGTGGGCGTCATTCATCTCATCTAATCATCACTTCCGTCACTCAGCAGGCTTTCGCAATTACATCGTTTTCGGATAAACATGCAAATATGTCAATTTAAGCTGATTTATAGCAAGATAAATGTCAGACTTTGTGTCACGTATACAAATTAATGAAGGAGAAAGTTCCTTGACTTGGATTTTTAAGCATGTTATGTAAAGACGTTCAAGATCATGCTTTTTTCTACTTTATCTGTTCTCTCTCGGAGGAAGAAGACAATAATTCAAGTTGTGAACTAATTTAATCTCATCGAAAAAAACTAAACGAGTTCATGGTCATGGCCGTCCGTTCGTCGTGATCGCTTCTATCTGTATCGTGTCTGGTTTTTTGCGCAGTAAAATTGCAATAAATCATTTCAAGGAGAATGTGCAATGATTAACTAGATTTTCGATTTCAAGCTGGTAATTTTTGTGTTTGTATTTTTAACTGTCACCAGTAAGCTACAAATATCTCACTTGACTTTCTCCAATGAATTTACGTAGTGATCTTCAAGTAATGAGCTGAAATCACTGAAATATAAATGAAATTATAGATGTCTAAGAAATACCAAAAATGATGAATAAAAATATGTATTCAAGCTTTCTAAAAAAACAAATTTGCAAAATAACGAGAAAGGAGGAGAAAGCAATTCAACTTCCTGTTTCATTTGCCCCGTCTCACCTTGCGTGTGGCGCGAGTGAGCTCAAACTAGTAAATTTTATAACTTTTCATAATATTTTCTAAAAATCTTATCAAGTTTCTTAATTTTAATTACTGTTTAAATATTGGAGATATCGTGTTAAAGTTTATCTGAAAGTCATTAAGTTCTAGTCATTTAGATGTTATAATAAAATTATCACGACGACCGTAAAAGAGTTGATTACTTTAATTTAAAATTAATTCAAAGTTTTAATATTTTAATTGATAAAATGTCCATTATTAAACAGAGTAAAGTTGAGTACGACATATTTCTCGTACTACTTATTCCCATACTTATCTTGATAACCAAGTTTATTCCAAAATTGTCGACTTGGGTAAGGACTAGTTATTTAATTACTCTGGTATGTTTAAATAGTCTATAGATTGTTGGCTTAATTTTTTTATCATTTATTTACAGATCTCTACCAGATTTTATAGATTAACGTCCAAAGAGGCAGATCAGGTGCGAGAAATCATACAAATCAGGAAAGAGATGGGGGCTATGTCGATGGTGGACGAATTTGCAAAATATGCAAAACTACAGAGAAAGTTAAACCAACTTACACTCGATTTGGAATCTAGTGGTACATAACTACATATTTATTACCATAAACCTGAATAATAATACAGAATTGTTCTTAATATGTATATATACAACTCTGTTTATTAAATATAGGTGACTGTAGAAAATCCATCCAAACCAAAATATACAGGTGGACGATGGGAATTTTGTCAGGGCTTGTCGCCATTATTTACTTATCATTATTGGGCTTTGTCGGAACATCTACGCCCGTTTTTGTTGTCCCCAAAACTTGGTATTTTCCAATCCAGTCAATTTTAGCTTATCCGTCTGAAGTCGAAGGAGCTATCAGTATTCCAATATGGACTCTTTTAACAAGAAACGTAATTTCTGTGCTTGTTAAAATGTGAAAGTATGTCAGTCGATTTTGAAAATTTGTGTCCATCAGTTTTATAATTGGAACTTACTTTGTACTACATATGTACAATAATAAGTCTGCCTTGTCTAAATTGCCGTGATAGTGTAAGACATCGAATTAAAATGTAAACTTTGATGTTGAGTCGCTTCAATTAATTAATTTGTTGCTGTTAACACTTGATTTAATTGTTACTTCCAATTCGTATATATGTATTCGTTAATTCGCACACACAAATTAAGTAACTCACTGTACAAAATTTGTACTACAATTTGTAGTCTACAAATATGGTTGAACATCATGTTTAAGAAAATAAACTGTATGATTCCGTAATATAATTAATTCTTGCTAAGCATACGTTTAATTAGCTGACCAAAATCATAATGAGAATTTTATCTGTTTATTTAAGTGTACATGCCATTTCCTCTGTAATAACTTAATTTACCTACATTACGAAATTCACATTTACACAACATTCACACTTTGTATAAAATTATACTAGATAAATAATCCTCCCATGGTATTGCACCACTGCATCATACATAAATGATTTTCTGATCTTTTGAAAATTTAATTTGTGGGTGGCCTTGATTTACCTATATTTGCTTTTATATTTAGCATTGACATTTCCGTTTTCCTTCCTCCTACTGAACAGGAGTAAAACAACAAACAACTTTCATAAAAGGAAACTCGAAACTTTGCCATTTACGAGTCACCTCTATTCTCTCCTCGGTCTGTCTGTCATGGACTTTTCATTCTTCTCAAGTCTGCAAAAGCAACCCGATTACTCCACATTCGATTGGAACTTTCTTCTCTCCTTTCTTGTGCATTTAGGCAAATGAATCAAAAGACCTTCACTTCAATTACATACGGCGGTTGGGTGGTGGGTTGGTTGCCGGAGAAAGCATCACCACCACCACTAACGAGAATCTATACAGATATCTTTGTACCGGATTTGTCCTTCTGCCATTGCCCACCAGCAAAAGAAAGCTTAGGTAAACTCAGGCTCGTGCAACCTTGGACCTTGAAATTCAATGTCGGAGTGTGTGGAGGATTCACTAACTCACTCGTCCCGTTGCTTCCTCCTTTCTTGTGGGATTATTCCTCTCGAGAAATAGAATAGATTTCGAATAAAAGGAGCATTAATGCAAATCCTGCGTCACAATGGGACGAGTGCACGATGGAAAGTAGAACTTTTCCAAGTATGGAAGAAATTAGTACTTTCTCCCCGTCTGTCATATTTCGACCCACTTCATCTCATCCGAGACGTGCACATACGACCTTAATTTGGTAAATGAGGATGAATAAATTGAGTTGCTTTTTTCCTTACTGGAATCGTTTGTAAATGGAAATCTCATTTCGGAAAGGAGATGAGTGTTCAGAAATATTATTAGTATTTTGCATAGTTGAAGAGCTTCGACCTAAATTTCGGGAGGAGGAAATGAAGATTATTTAATTCGGGAGAAAGTAGTTCATCGCGATGATTTCGTGGAATTCTACGAGCAAAGTATGTATATTTGTTTTCCCATTTCCAGACAAGTTTCGATGTTTGGAGAGCTGTTGATTTATGCACATGTACGTATGCATAGTAAATATGTTACCTAAGTGCATATATAGGTGGATATATTGGATTCACTTTGAGAATAGTATAGACTTTTTGTACCTCTTATTAGCCGAGTTTCAATCTAGATTCTCATGAGACGCTTCATTTGACATTTTTTATTTTATTTGACTATCCACCTACTCGTATTGAGACGACAATAATACGAAATAGACCTGAATGAGGCTTCATATGGAGAAAGGCCTTGTGACGTGAACCCTTTGCCTTTTATTTTTCCAGGAACATCAAACTATCTCCCACCAGTCAAATAAAATAAAATAAAATAAGCGACCTGGACGGACAGCCCTTCTTAGAACTGTAGAAATGAAATTGCATTTTTATGGGATAAAAATCCTTTTCACCAAGAGACCCCTCAAGGGACGAATTGAACGCTTAAATTCCTAACTTGAATGCCTTTGACTTTTTTCTTCTCCTCTCGCCTAAATATTTTCAGTGCGGGTACATGTGCGTACGAGGCCTAGATTTTAAAACAGTTTATTTGTAAACCATACCATGCAGATCATGCAATTTCATCATACGTACGTACGTATTGTGCCATGTGTGTATTTATGTATGTGTCGAGGCATAAATGTATTTTGAAACCGAGTGAAAAACAGGACATAAAAGTGATTCAACCAACAAACTAACCGAGAGGGACGGCGATGATGTGGTCTGCTTCTGTTGAAGGCCACTTTGAACAAACACTTTTTTCCAACTGTCTACTTTATTACCGTACTCGTATAAAAAAACAGTTCATCTCCTCCTCATCTTCTGTCTGTGGATTGGATGCAGTTGGATAATCGGGCAGGGAGAATGGAGAGGAGGAGATTTTAAACTGATTTTATACGACGACTTGCTTTGGCCTTGGCGTTTGTAACTCGAAAACGAAAAGCAAGGTATGCGTTCGAGAGTACGGCACATAATAACAAAATCATAAAAAACCATGATGATTCCTTTCCCGTCGCATCATCAATTTTCTACAGATTTCTATTTAGATTAGCTTAAATTTAGTCCTCGTGATTAAACGGGGTAAAAAATAGACGCACTGCACACCGGGTTTGAAAACATTTCTCATGAAATGATGTAAGCAGCAGAACATCAATTTCCGAGACAAATAAACGCAACGCATCACAATAATAATCCACAAATAGAGAAAACGAACGAATGACGTTCGCATTGAAGAAGGGTTCAAATAGCTGAAGAAAAATACAACCCTATAATATCGCATGCACATAAACAAGAAGACTGATCAATGAAATAAATGGATTACGCAAACCCGACCGACTCGATAGTATCTGCTCGATACTTACGAGACATACATACAAAAGATAGACAAATTGATGTTTACTTAAGTCGTTCAATTTCACCTTCAGTTTCTTCTTCTTCCTTAGTGAAAAGAGCGTCCCTATAATTTGAGTAGTCCACCAACATTTCTGTATTGACAATCGTCCACACTTTGTTTCTCCTTGTACCACACATGCCCGAGTACTTTACGGGATGATGGCATAGCTTAAAGTAAACCCCGAGGACAAGGTCTTTTGAATGAGATGAGGACTGAATTCAAATGCCTTGGGCTCCATACCTAACCTACAGACAACACGAATTGTGCATCAAATATGGCTTTACAAACCTACATATTTGGATATTATGGAGTTTCATGAAGTGGTATCCTTGCTAGAAGAAGGTAAAAAGGAGCATTGAAGTGGTGGGGATGAATCTGGGTCACCGCCACAACTTTTCAAGCAGCCGTCCAACAACCTCCAAACAAGTTGACGAACGAACGAAGGTAAATTAGAGTACGATTCCGATATTGCGATACAATTCATAGTTGTTGGTACATAAAATAATGAGTGAAGAACTAACTAAACCATCAACTCTGAGGAGCTGTCCAGAGTAAGTTTATTATTGGTCTCAAGGTGACGGAGGGGGAAAAGAACTCTATATGCTGCAGAGTAAGCACTTTTGCTTTTCTTTATTTCTTGAGAAATTCGGCCACTTCAGTTTCAATGAGGACGATTTTTTACACCACACACCACTGAAATTAGACACCTCAATAAATACATACAAATATGTGGGCCAGACTGTGCTGGATTGGATGGTCCTTCGAATGGCTAAATAAATAAAAGGGTTGCAAGAATACTGATACATTGACATGCTACTTTTCGCTGATGTTGTCTTTATAAAACACGCCACATCAAGTATGTACATATGTATGGACAGATACAATGTATTATGCATTAGGTTACGTTATATAGAAGTTCTGCCGTGTATAAATAAATACATGTATGAATAGAAGAACTACACGATTTTTTTAGTTCATGCGAACATTTAGAGGAACATAAGTACGTGGTAACATTATTACAAATTTGTACATGTGTATATCCCTGGCCTGGAAATCCGATATGAAGAAAACTGATTTTTTAATGGGCACAAATACAGCATAAAATTATTTGAAAACAAATAAAGTGCATAACGATATATGCAATTTTACTTTATTTTACTCCATATTGAGCAAATATGTCACGTAACAAAATAATTAATTGGAGAACTTAATGGAACACCAATCCATTAGGACTAATAATGTTGGACAAATAACAATCCAAAATGGGTTGTCTGGGATGTAGGAAAGTAGGTGAAGCGATTGAAAACTGGAGCATCATTCAAGGCGAGAGAAGAGCAAGTCCATATTATACAAGTCGTCGTCCCCCACTTCACAAAGTCCAATCACAAATAGAATCCCACCACAAGAGTACGACGCGTACTTGGCTGACTTATTTTGAGTGGGTGTCAAGTCTCTCTAACGACCCGAAAAAATAAAGCCTCTTCAAAACCTGTCTTCATTTCCATTTCATTGAGAGAATTTCCAGAATTTACAGCCAGCCAGTTAAATACTACATATTTAGTAGTAGTTGGTCATGTAATAAGTAAGTCGTGTGTCATTTATAAATGGGAGGGAGGAGCAGCAGGAGAGGAAGGAAGTGGGAATATGATGCTCAAATACTTGGCCTCGTTGAAATAGAAACTTAAAATTAGGTCAACTAACAACGATGCTACATACGTAACGTAATGACGAACAACAATGTGCTACATACAAAACAACCATGAGAATACATAGGTTACCCTGGACTGGACTGACTGAGGATGAACTCAGGGTAGCAGCATTTGCAACATGTTGCTCACTCACTACATAAACGGCATACATATAAAAAAATGTATGTATTTATAATGGCATCAGTTCGTCTAATCATATCATCCTGTCTCAAAAAGATTTTAGGTTTCGTAATGGCCAAACTTTTTTCTGAAATGAATGAATGACATTATGAAAAGTTCAATATTTGATTGGATTTCAACTTCCAAGAAAAACTAATAGATTTTGAATTATGTATGCGTCCTTTCCTTTCCTAACATTTCTTGAGTCGGGCAGGATTACGACGTACGCCTCTGAAAAGGTCAATTGTTGGAGAAGAAATTGAATATTATTATGAAATGAATTCGGAATCTGAATTAATGTCCTTGATCCAGTCTCCTCTAGTAGTCGTCGGGTAGTGAGATTTTGAGACTTTTTGTCCCCGTCCGCTCTGCGTAGTTAGGTTAGTTAACAGGCTATGTGTTGTGTAAAGGAGAATAATGTAGTCTCTTTCTCTCTGAAGGAAATCCTTGAAACTTGTATAAGTGGGACTGCGTTAGGAGAAGAGGCGAGGGTTGTATACGAGTACGTTACGTATCCATCCCTATATA